GAGGAAGCAAATGCTCTGGGTACAGTGTAGTCTGGGTCTGAGCTTCTCCTGAAGACGATCCGGACTTCCCCACGACCTTGGCTTAAACACAAGCCCGCTTTCGTCCTCGCCTCCATCCCTCACTGAGGATCAGCGCCGCAGCGCGGAATACAGAAAGAAGCCGACGAGTGCCAGAAGGGGGAGATGTTTCCTCTAATGGGCTTCATACTGCCTGCGGTACGACTTCTCGTGGCGGGAAGCTAATAAAAGAAAGATAAACGGTACAAGCACTCTAAAGGCTAAAGGCTGCTTACACGGGGTCCTCAAGCCGACGCCGTAGGCATTTATTTGTATACAATGCCGTTTCAACTTAGGGTGGCGGGACATATTTTAAGAAAGGCGCCCGCTACCCATTCTCTCCCCTTGGCGCCGTCTTTTCCAGTTAAACGCGGCTTCTGTAGATTTGACGGCAGAGCTTTCGCGCGGCTTTGCAGGAGCGAATATAGTGTGTCGAACGGACTTGGGGAAAACGAGCCCTTTCAAAGATGCGTCTATACATAAATTAAATAGACAGTGCCTGTGCCCGTTCGGGTGCACACCGACTCCCAAACATCCATGCTGCAGTCGTGATCGGCCTTTAGCCCAGTTGAGATTCGCAGACCTTAAAACCGCTCTGCCCTATCATATCTCTGCACCTATCCTCTCGACCCTGACGAACGAGCTAACTACTTAGAAACAAGTAAGTGCTCCTTTGATACAGAAAATATACAGACGAAGTACAATCGAATATAATTTGGAAGGATCCATTGCTGGTTTAAGGTCTTGTCTAAGTTCAAAAGTTATAGTTGCCGAACTGCAACATGCTTTCAAAAATATTCAACAATTATTCGCTTTCGTTCTCTCGAGTTGCATCCAGAACACGTGAAAACACGAGTTTGGGTTGGCAATGCCGCATGTGCTGCGCTCTGGACATTCCAAATATACGGCGAACAACCGACGAACTTGCATGGCAGCGTTCGTTTCGCTCGCTGCGTCAACAGTGTTTTGACGCCGCGAGCAGCGTCAAAGCCGCCGGGGCATTTTTGTCGCTTGTTTGCGCTGTACTCGCTCCGCTGATTTAAGCCGCTCTTCCCGTTGCCGCAGCAGTTGAGCACTAGCTCCAACCAGAATGTCTGCCAAGGCAATGTCTTTAAGCTGCCCTAAATCGACTGCTCACGTAGTGTCGGTCTGAAACCCAAGTTTCAGAAAGTATAGTGTCACCACAATTTTCGAGATACATACCTCTAGCGTGGTCACCTGAAAGGTTTTAATTCAAAGAGTTCATCCCCGACAAATAAACCAATACAAAAGCTCTCAAGATCTATATTATGTTATCAGAGTTTAGTAAAAACGATAACTCCACAAAAAATATAAACACTCCCCCCCCCCCCTCCCACCCCCCCTCGCCGTTTTACACCGAGGAACCGCCCCCCCCCCCCAAAATGGAGGCCTAGATCCGCCCCTGGTTCGATGGTGCTTAAAGGGGATGTACAGTAAGTTTTGTGCTTTGCGCGAATACCGCTTAGAAAGGACCCCTGACGTGTTTTGACCAATAAAACAGGCGTTCATTTTCTCCGCACGCAATAAGCGTCACAGAAAAAAATAAAAATAAACGTTCACCCCCCCAACTTGCCGCCAGAACAAGCGGCCACGTGATCTGGAGCCGATTCTATGCCGCCAATGTTGGTCATAGCTACGCGCTGGGGTTGGCAAGGCTCAGGACACGCGTTGAGTTCCAGTCATTGTTATGGTTCGGCTATTGTCGTCGTTGCAGCGATTGGACACGTGCCACTACCTGAATGTTTGTCAAACTATCGATTATCACAAGCCCAAATGGACTGCCTATACGCAATGCTCGGGTCCAAGCTATGAGACGCATTCAAATATCGTCACTGGAGGATACCGCGAACTCCCAGCTACGCCATCAAGTTTTGCGAAGGAGAAATTAAAAAAAAAATGCTCGTTTTTGTGCACGAAATTCCACCGCAACAAAGGAGTTTGTTGGTCAGTGGCGTTGCATGCCAGTATACTTGGGTTTCACTAGCGCCAGTACGCTCGTCTAAAGTGAAAATTTTTCCTAGCAAATATCGTTGCACCGCCCCTTTATTAATATCTTACATATCGCATCGTCATGAAACGTCTCGTAAAAGTTGGGGCCTTCCGTTTCACGTCAGTGTGCTGTACGCCGAACTGAAGTTTTGGGGTGTCGTATATGTGACAAGGGGTGCAAGGACTACACCCTTCGTTTTTGTTTGGTTTTTTTAGAGTGAAAGTCGGCAATGGCGGCTCAATCTGGCGCGTGTTTAAAGCGTCTATAGCTCACTCTACAACCCGTCAGTGAACAACAACAATTCTAGCGGGATTGTCCGCTCGCATTCTTTGCCAGTCCTTCTACAACCAATCCCTGGGAGCGTGACAACTTGTATAGCATTGCCGGGGACCTCATTAAGGGGTGTCGTATATTTTGCTGCCTTTTATGGACACTCTCGATCACAAAGATCCCTCGGTTCCCGGCCGGCATGGAAAGCGCTGTAAACATACCAGTCGGGGAGTTGCCAGATGCGTACGTACGTCGGTTCCCGAAAAAAGTCACCGCACCGTGTGGTACACACGAACTCAACCTTCTGACGTCACGCCCCTACGATGGCACTGCTGTCGGCACCGCGCATGCGCAGAAGCTTTCCCTCTCGTGAATCTAGTTTCGGGACACGCGCAGTGCCAATACACCTTGTGGCAAAGTTTGTAAATTATGCGTTGGTGCACCAAATCTCCTGTCAATTTCATCCACGTCATACACCACTCAACGCAAAACTCTGTTATTTTAACAGAAAAAAAAAGAAAAAAAGTTAGGGTGTTTTATGGTCATGCGTCCCCAATCGAGTCTTTCGCGACGACGACGCGCTGATCCCCGCAAGCAGTGCGAAAGCGTGCCGCATGCCACACGGGCTGCCAGCTAGGTGGCACCGCCCTCGGCGACGGTCGGCGTCCCCGGGAAGTCGTACTGGAGCGAGCTGTCCACGTACTTGTTCACCGAGACGGCGAACATGAAACGCGCGGCGCAGTGGAGCACCAGCGCCTCGCACACCCGCGACCAGAAGAAGCCCGTCAGCGAGCGGAACAGGGGCGGGCCCGACCGCGCCAGCTGCATGTCGTTGCGGGCCAGGACCGCCAAGAGCGCGGCGCAAACGCATCCCAGGACCAGCGACGTCAGGGAGTGCGCCACGTCCCCGTAGCGAAACTGAAGGCAGGCCATGAGCAGCACCATCAACAGCCCCTGGTGGATCTGCGAACAAGCAACCTGTAGAAAGTATCCTTCAAAAAACTCTAAAAAAACAACAACAAACGAAGTATCCAGTAAGTTTAGAAAGAGTTATATACGTAAAGACAGGGGACGGGAGAACACATCTCGACCCCCCTCTTTGCGTATATAACTCTTTCTAAACTTACATCATCACCAAAGCGCTCTCTAACAAGTATAGACGTATCCAGGTAGCGATTAGTTTTATCAATGGAGACCCACATATCTCCAGGCTTGATATTTTCTCTTCCGCCCCCCCCCCCCCCCCCCGAAAAAATAAATAAATAAATACATAAATAAATAAGCAGTCGTAAAATGTTGCTTACGGTAACTTGAGATGAGGATTGAGGCAAAGGTATGTTGCTCACACACAAACAAAACAGCGAAACTGCAAATACCCCCCCCCCCCCCCCCCCAAAAAAAAAAAAAAAAAGAGCTGTAAAGCATTTTATGTGTGGGTGCTGTTGCCTGCACTGCTAACAGTCCAGATCCTGGGATCGATCCCCGCCGCTGCCCGTTTCGATCTGGATGAGCGTCATTTACGGGAGTGCGGACGTGTATCACTACTGCGTGGTGCACCGTTGTACCGCACTGGCTGACCGAGTGCCAGCTGTACACATTATTATTATTGCTAACAGTTATCGCCCAAATCAATAACTTTCACGTATTACACATGTTTGTCTATACATTTGTGCCCAATGTAAAATGTTACCTGATCTTCTTCTTGTCGTGCTTCCCTCTTCCTGCCCAGTTTCTGTCACCGCATTCCCGGGTAATTGTACACTTACACCAGCTCACATGCGTTCTCACGTTTTGTTCCTAAATTTATCGACGTCGATTAGTAGGTTGGTTTTGGGTCAGCCACCGTTCTTCCCCTCGGCCACTATATAAGTACCTCCGGGGTTCATCGTTACAGTCATTGTCAATTAGTGTTGCCAAAATGGTGGGACATGCATTTCTTATCGGGGTGACCTGACAACCGCCAATCTGTGATGTATACGTTTATGCACACACCTCCAACCACAGCAGCAGCCCCCCTTCCCCCTTCGCCCCCCCCCCCCCCCCCCCCCCCCCCCGACATACTCACACACCTAGAGCGCCCCAGAATATTTCCAGCATTCCGCAGTGTGAGAATCCTGAATAGGCCCCTGCCGACATCCATCTGACCTGGCCGTGCTGAACGGGGTGCGTTTAGCATAGCCAGACTGGTTCGGTGGAAGTTTATAAACTCAACTTTCCACCAGCGTTGCAACGGCTCAATGTTTTCTTATGAGGCGTGTAAGAAACTTTTGATTGCAAGGCAGGTGTGAAAAGGCCACATGCTTTTATGAGGGAAACTAGGGTTCCATGTTTTCGGGTAAATCCGATAAACTCCGAAAAACTCTTCCCGGTAAAATTTCTGACAATTCGGATTTATCTCAAAATCTCCGAATTTCGAGGTCACGATGGCAGTGACGAGATTGGCCTGAGTAACTTTGGAGCACCCTTTGGAGCAGTCAGAAGTCCATTTTGGAGCAGCAAAAAGTACATTTAATGCTTATGCACACCAGTGCACATATCATGTTTAGATTTATGTGTTTATGCCTACCTTGACTTTTGGCTTCTGTGCAACCTTTTGGTGGCATCAACACCGCGGCAGGTCTGATTCCCTAGCTAGCAGTTTAATTGCGAGTAGAAGCACAAGGCACAGTAACAATGAAGGGCAGTATAAACTGCTTTGCATGGTTATTTTATGTACGAAATGAAACGTAAACCAATTAGTTTAATCCACTGAAATAATGCTAGAATATAATAATTACGAGCACCCAAATCGATGCTTCCTCCAAGTTCTAGAGGTTGTAGTAAAACTGCAGTTCTTAATTAGCTTTTGTCATTTGATTATGAACATCAATGACATTTTATAAGCAGAACTTCGATCATAACAAAAATCAGCATGTAAACGATAAATATGTTTTATTAAAATAAATCGCGCCGAACGCGTTTAGGTTATTCCAGGGCTGACATTGACTGCTCGCGCTAATTTAGTTTTAATTTCTTTTTTATTAATTGTGCCGTTGCAAGGATGAAATATATATAAAGGTAATAAAGGTCCTTTTTTGTTTTTTTACGGCACAGTCCAATTGTCTTTTATGTCCCTCTTTCGTTATCGTAAATTAGACACCAACACGCTCAACAACGCATCAACAAGTTTAACGCATAGAAATTATTTTAAAGCGTGACCTGCACGCTTTAAACGGCTTGCAGTGTTGGGACTTTCGGGATTCTGGCAGGGGTTTATCTGCAGGATTATCAATTTAAAATATTATTACTATTAATATTATTTTTTTAGGGGGAAGGGGTGTATACCATATGCTTGTGTACTTTTGTAGGATATTATTAGAAATTATTCGAGGTGGGGGCCCGAGGTGGGGTTTCGTGTTTTAGAGTGATGTTGGGGGAGGTATGCCTAATTTGCGAGTCTCTCAAGAAAACGAGGAGGCCGTTCGAAGAACCTCAAGCGAGCCGACGCGCGTGCCCACCTCGGCGCGCTCATGGCCTCGCGGGTCGCGCAGGCAGCACACGAAGTGAACCACGGGAACAGCCAGGGCAGCCACGAAGCGCGACGTGCCTTCGCCCAGAAAGCCCAGTAGCCGGAGGCTCCACAGCACGCACCAGGACACGATGAGTAGGCGACTGAGCTCGCACAGCGACGCCAGCCTCCGGTTCTGGGCGACCATGAAGAGCGCCTGGACGATGCCCCTGTGCACACACAGCCAGCCGTACGCTCGGAACCAGTAGGCCGCCTCAGCCGGCATCAGCAACGGACCGCGGAGCGCCTTTGTTTCTGCGCGGGTCTCTTCCTCGCAGCCCGCCTTGCGGAGCCAGTACCAGCCGCACAGCAGGTACAGCACGTTCACGGCCGTGTTGAACGGCATCCGCAGCCAGCGGGGCAGGCGCCGCGCGTACGTGCTCGGGTACTCGCCGTACGCGTCGTGGCCCAGCTCGACGTTGCAACGGTCGAAGAGGCCCCGCACGGCGAGCAGGTACAGGACGGCGACCAGCCCACTGACGTCCAGGAGCGGCACGTACCCCGAGGTCCCGTCGCTGAGCTGGTGCACCGTCACCGTCATGTTGCGGCTCGTGGGTGCGACCCGCCTAGCGGTGCTTGTTCGTGCTCGGCACTCCCGTGTGCTCCCACCACGGGCGACTCGGGGGACGCGTCATTTCCAGGACCACCGCGAAGTTCGAAATATACCTCACTCAAATTATTCAAATCACCGCGCCATTTGCGCCCAACTGCCGCAAGAGGCGCGCCGAGAGAACTATCAGATTTTTACATCCGGGCAATCTGAAAACCAAAGAAAAAAAACAAAAGCCTGCGCAGCGCTCCGCAGATATCGAAAATATCAGACGTGTTTTTAACGTATTTTTACTATTGGTTTATTTTATAATGTTTATATACTTTTTACAATTTTTATTTTGTTAGCTAAATAATTAAATTTTGAAAAGCATATTTTCTGCACTGATCTTTTGGATGTTGTTTATCATCCGGGGATTTCGGGCCCGACCCCAGCATTGTGGGTATGAATCAAGATGGCGGCACCCATATTGAAGTGGAAGCGGGTGACAAACACAACTGGCCCTGCTCCACGGCCTCGTCACGGCCATCGAGCAGTCGCTATCAAAGATTTAATGATAGTATTCGGCGGCGGCAACGAAGGGATAGTGGATGAACTTCACGTCTACAACACATGTAAGTTCTTCAGCGGCCTCCGCTCCCCTGCAGCTTACCAACATGGCGCCCTGTATTGTCTTTGGAAGCAGGGGCGCGCTCCTCTGAGCGAAGTGAAGTCTTGGCGCGAGCCGCGTTTTCCCAATCGAGGCGGTGTGATATAGCGGATCATTATTGATTTCGCTGCAACCCGAGGTCGACCTCTCGACGGCTCCTTAATATTCATTTATACGAACTCCAAGCACTCCAAGCGCCTCATCCAACATGGCGGCGCCCTATGAGTGTCATGAGAAAGTTCGCGGCGCGGTTTTCTGTCGCTCCTCGGTTCGCCTGCGCGCCCAAGACGTGCGCGGAACGTCAGAAGCGTTCCGAAGTTCCTTTCCGCTGATTGTCTCCGCGATCGGAAGCGCACTTTGATTCCGACAAGCGCTTGTTTTCGGCGGTCCTGAGTAGGTTTTCCCAAGATGGCGTCTGTTTGTAACATGTTCGCTCCATGGCGGCCGAAAAAGAGCGCGCGCTGATGAAATACTCCGAGCTTCCCGTTCGCTTCCTCGATTCTGGCATTTTCTTTTGTAGAAAAAATCCGTCGCTTTCAGTAGGGTTGTAGTTTCACAATTTGCTTCTCGATTTTGCTCCCCTGTTGGTGTTTTTTCAGATAATCCCCTTCAGGGGGGGGCTTGTTCAGAAGTGCGCTTTTTTTGTGTGTTTTTTTCCCTCTGCAGTCGCCGCTTTCGCGCTGCGGTTAGGCCTAGCAATGTCAGATCGTCTGGCGGCGTCGGCGGGTGCGTTCCTTCATTCGAGTCTCGTGGTGATGTCGACTCGCTCTGGCCAAAAATGGCAGTGTGACGTCACGGTTTTATGGAAGGGAATGTAGTCAGATAACGCTGATGAGGGTAGCTCAGATTCTTGTGGGTTCTTTAGTAGTAGCGTTAGCAGCCCTGCCTTGGGATAATCTGATCCTGAAAAAGATCAAATCTGCTGCACGCTCTCCAGAACGATTTTTTTTTTTTTTTTGCGCGTGCTTTCTGGGCGCACGAAGGCTAAAAGGAATATTGCGTATTGTATAAATTTCCCTCAGATTTCTGCTACAAAGAGGGGACCGACTGAATAAAAGGAATAATGTGATAGCGGTTTTCAGACTGCTCCGATCAAAGCACTGCGGTTTCGGTTTCGCCCAAAACTTGACGTTTATATATATATATATATGTATATATATATGTATTTATTTATTGCCTGGCTCAGTTACCCTGAAATTTCGAGGGCACATTCTTCGGTTATTGAGATGCTTATTTATTTTGTTTTTCTGACTGCCTCCTTGCCCAGGAGTGTGTAAGTTGTCATAAAAAAATACACAAGTTTCAAATACATCAATTCGAAAGAAAGAAACAGAAACAAACGAGCACGCAGTTTTACACAAAATCGTCGCATATGCACAAAATAAGTACAAACAATAAACAAATGGGACTAATATAGAATGTAGCCATATTACACACGAACATAAGTAACCGGAAATGCAGAGGTTTGAAAGTATGATTCAAGTTGTTCACGGTACAGTGCAGTCTCGCTAATGATGACCATGGATTCGGGAGGGTCGTTCCATACTCCGCTTTCTTCAGTGTAGAATATCTCGTGCAAATAGGGACTAAAGTATGTCCCCTTCTCTTTCCCCAGGGGGGTAAAGACGGGAGCAGAACGCGGCAGTGTAGACTCCAACAATCCCGAAAGAAAGAAAAGCGACATAAGAGCGGAAAAAAGAAGCAGTTAAAGTTGCTTGAATATTCGTCAACTAGATTTAATTTTGTACAATGCGCGCAATGCTAATGTTTTTTCTTTATTGTGCAAATTAAAACTAGAAAAAAAATTGAATACAGACCTTGAAAATGATGTTTTCCCGCTTCACTGTGTAATCAAAGCGTCGTCAGCAATATGGTGCCGTGGGGCCACCAATGTCTGCGTCTATGCCTCGCCGTTCTGATGCTGTTGAATGGCACGGGACCTTTCCCTCTATTTTGGGGGTTCTTGAACCCTTCTAGCTCGAGGAACCCCTATTTTCCTCGGATGACAGTCAAGCCAACCCCCTGCCAGTCTCGGCATTAGGCAGAAAAGCAGTGCAGAAGCATACAGACCTTGTAAAGAACAACGCACGCACTGGGAATGACACATCGTTATGCATCGGCTTATGGATCACATTTACTGAACTAGTGCTTAAATATGTTTTACTTAGGGGTGGCCATGGAAATTACGGAGCTCGGAGACCCCCACGCTCTAGATCCAGGGGTCTCGAAACCCCGGCCCGCGTAGCTGTTCCGGCCGTTCCGCAGTTTTTCCGACGAGTCCCGGCCTGTGGCCCACTTCCAGCAGGTTCGCTGTTATTGGTGCTATAATAAGCGTGCATAAAGAAATGGCGATGCAATGTGAACTAGCCGTGTTAACGGAGACATTAGAAAAAAAAACTAAGGCTACCTATCGTAAGGTGTGTCCTCTCGTTATATTATTACTTGGACGTTGTCATCACCTGCATCATTACTCTTTAGTCCCCTTTTTTTTTTTATCTGTGTAAATATGTATGTTAGAAGTCCTTTACATTCCCATGTATATTGTGCTTTAGTGTCCTCTGTCGTATCCATTGCTTATGGTCCACATCAGTTCTATCGTTTTCATTGGTCTTCTGCCCGGTTGGAACATGTCAAAGTTTGTATGCACTTTGATTTATGCCTGGTGTGTTTTCTGAGTCCCAGTTATTGTGTAATGTCATAATTAGCTCAATACTAAATTTCAGGATAAAGTGGATGTATTCATCCACCTCATATTATTTTCTTATTATTCTAACTTTCAAGTTTGTATTTCAATGCTTATCTAAGATTATTTACTTTTTTTTTTTTTTTCATTTATATTTACTTCTTCATTTTGCAGCCCGCAAGACGACATATCCCCGATCTGGCCCCTTAGCCAAAAAGTTTGGAGACTCTGGCTCTACATTATTATAATAGGAAGTTTTAGAATAACATACGCACTTTAGCATTTGCTAACATGTGCAAAATAGCGCTTGAATAGTGTTTGCAATTTAGCACATATTATGCAAGGCGTTCCACTGCCGTGACTCAAAACCCAAGTATCTCGTGCTTGCAATGCCACCAAGATACACTAACAATTGTTATTTCATTTGCGAAATGCTCCAACTTAAGAAATGAAACAAGTTTTTTTTTTTTTTTTGTTCAGAGTGACATTTTAGATAATGAGAGTGACGGAAGTGGTTTCCCTGTGGTGTCCATTCGCGTCGGCAAGAGAGATCTCATATAGACCCTTTTGCTTTTTAGAAACATGAACCCCTTGGAAGGTTCACAAACATAAATCTTCCAAGAAGTGGTGTTAAAGAAGGCTTTGTTTATTTTTTTTATGAACTGGAAGTTCGCTAGGACGTCAAAAACTGGAGCACTGCCTGGTGGCATTTGCGAAGAAAGGGGTCTATACTGACCTTTGCCGAAAGGTGTTCGTGCGTCGAAAGCAGCAAGTTGCCGGCGATGGTTGCCCCCCTTGCTGGGTTCGGCCAAACTTTTGTGACGTGCAACTCCCGTAGGAGCGCAGCATTATCGTGTACCAAAAATTGTGCTCGCGAGGGTGCCGCCAATGTTCCACTCACGACAACCGTCAATGCGGCCGCAACCGCAATCCTGGGAACCGCCATTTTCCAACTGCACTTGACTTGACTTTAGCCCTGAAAAACGCAAAGACTCTTTGCATTCGCACGCAATTTTCGGGAAATAGCGTACACAAAAGTATAACCTGCAAAGCGCAAAACTCTATTAGCTTTGCAGGCGTGTTTGCCGTGGCGACGACGCTACTTTTTGCGTACACCATTCTAAATGCCCGTATTAACTGCATGCCTCATTTGCAGCGACCAACCAGTGGTTTGTGCCCCCGGTGAAGGGGGACATCCCCCCTGGCTGCGCCGCATACGGCTTTGTCTGCGACGGCACCCGTCTGCTGGTGTTTGGGGGCATGGTGGAGTACGGGAAGTACTCCAACGAGCTGTATGAGCTACAGGCGAGCCGCTGGGAATGGAAGCGGCTCAAGCCCAGGCCCCCGAGGGGCAGCCCGGGCCCCCCCTGCCCCCGCCTGGGCCACAGCTTCACCCTCATCGGCAACAAGGCCTTCCTCTTCGGGGGGCTGGCCAACGACAGCGATGACCCCAAGAACAACATCCCCAGGTGGGTGGCGACCTCGGCTCGGGGCCGGTTCGCGCGCTTGCGTCTGGTTGCAATTGCGGTGCTTGGAATGGGTTTCTGACTGACGTGTTTAGTGTCCCATTCTGCCCGTGCGTCAAAAGTGCTCCCATAGTGGCAACAAATGGCATCGCAAAAGCCGGGATGTGGTGGTGTTAGGCGTAAAAGCTCTGAAAAAAGATATTACGCGACCTCGACCTCAGTAGTGCTAACAAAAATTGGGAGCATGGAATGTGGCGAGGGCAAACTGCGACCCCCGCAAAACCCCCTAAAAAAAATTGACATTGCGTAACACGGTCACATCAATTTGCCGGTACATCTAGTGGAGAAATCGACAGTATGTAACTTGAGGTCTCGTAATGTGGTGATGGAGGCTTATTGCGGAGAAGGCGCCGTGGGGGTAATCGAGCTTTCATTTGCACGCCAAAAGATCCCCAGGTGGTCGAAATTAAAGGGGCACTGACACCCCAAAGGTCGTATTCTTTTTTATTGTCTAAAACGATGCAAGTTGTAGTCATAGACACGCAAAAAAAAAAAACGCATCGCGAAAAAAAATTTCCCGCGCGCGCGCGCGCCTTTTTATTTTTGGCGTTTATATTTCCCGCGCTAACCTCCTTGCTTCTTTTGATCGGTGACGTCAACAATCAGGAGATTTAGAAGCTTTGTAGGCGGCATTTCTATAACATTTAATAACGGCAATCGTAAAACATGTTTTTTAACGCAATGACGAACACACTAAGGCCTTTCTTTTTGAAATACCAAAAATCTGATTTCGGTGTGATGTCGCTTCCTGAATTTGTGTTCTCCCTCGGAAACCTTGGCGGCGCTCGAGCAGAGGCTTATCGCCGAGTCGGGGAAGACCGGTTTTTCCCCGCGTCGGCTCCCTTCTATCCCGCCTGCTCACCTCCTCCTCGCTTCGGGTCGCTGTGGCAACGGCGCTTTGCTTCACAGCGTAGTGCGGAGGTCCGAAAGAAAGTCGAGTCGCAGGAGACCGCAAAATTTGACTCACTGCGCTGGCGCGGATCGCGCGGGAACTTCAAATTCGGCATTTGGAAATTGTTTTTTTAATTCACAAATACTGAATTCCCAAGTTTCGAATTTTGAGGGTAATGTCCCGGCATCATTTTCAATCGTTTCGGATAATAAAATAAATTACGATTTTGATGTGTCAGTGCCCCTTTAATTCTCAGTCTTCCGCTGGGGCATGCCAGATGCCCGTCGTTGGTTTGGCGCGTAAAGCCCCCAAATTTGAATTTTTGTCTCACATTGTGGTAATGCGACGTCATTCCCCCGCTAAATTTGATGGGGAAACTGACATCTCGTGGCATTACTTGCTTGCTAAATTTAGCAGGTAAATTGTTGTCGCGCAACTTCAGATCACATGACGTCGTGCAACACTCGTTCGTGGCCTCTTCATATCCACTCGTTTGCAAGTACATCGGGTTACCATATATTTAGAAGTGTGCGTCTATTACTCGTTGTATCTTTTTCGCGGACTTACTCTTCGCCGAGCGTGAAGACGACCGAGCAAAGGTTTGCAAACGCCGAGCGAAACGACACTTGTTGGGTAGTGTTTCTCCGAAGCTTTGCAGTAGCAGATAAGTTGAGCGAGTTGTTCTTGGCCTCAAGCCTGTCCCTCATCTCTGTGCCCTCGCTCCCGCTTTGGGGACGCAGATACCTGAACGACCTGTACACCCTGGAGCTGCGCCCGTTCTCCTCGAGCATGGCCTGGGACGTGCCACAGGTGTTTGGACAGCCGCCCCCGCCCCGGGAGTCGCACACGGCGGTGGCCTACCAGACGCGGGAGGGGCGCCAGGCACGGCTGATCGTGTATGGGGGCATGAGTGGCTGCCGCCTGGGCGACCTCTGGCAGCTGGACGTGGAGTCGATGAGCTGGAGCAAGCCCAGCGTGCTGGGTCTGGCCCCGCTGCCCCGCAGCCTGCACTCGGCCACCCTCATCGGCCAGCGCATGTTCGTCTTCGGCGGCTGGGTGCCCCTGGTCATGGACGAGAACAAGGCCTCCACCCACGAGAAGGAGTGGAAGTGCACCAACACCCTGGCCTCCCTCAACCTGGGTGAGCAGGTGTTATGTTGATAGACGGCAACCCTATTACACCACTTGTGTTTTCGTAAGTGGTACTTTAGATGGTACTTCATGCTCCATATTTTTATGCTCAATTAAAAATATATATAAAAAAACAGTTAACTTTTTTTTTTTTTGGAACTTGGCGTTTTGCAAGGGTTAAAGTGTTTCTAGTGCTGAACTCATTGATCTTGTGTTTGACAGCAATCAAGATGATGGCTCTGACAATTCAGATATTATCATAATCATCAGTAGCGGTGATAGCGACAGCAATAGAAGGCGACGTGTTTGAAACCGCAGTGGATTACTCGGCATCTTCTGCACCGCCAGTTTCAAACTCTCCTCGGCAGTTCACTTCTTTTACACTATACGCCAAACGACACAAGAAGATGTGTGTGCTAGATATATCTGTTTCCACCAGTAATATAAACTGCAGGAAACCAATCGGCAGGATAGCGAGCCAGTTACAAAGGCTAGACATTAGAATTCGTCAAGTAGGCACTCGAAAGGTCAGTCCTTCCTGGACACAGACAAGGCACAGTTATGACCATGGGCACGCTGTCGAAGATTTGAGAGGTTTGCGAATGGTCTCATTGTCTTCGGAAAAGTCCCGACAATAACGTGAACTGGAATGTGTCAAGGCAGTGCGGCATCAGTGAAGTTCGATGTACAAGGGATGAGCACTCTTGGGGTGTGACGAATCTTATATTGATATTCCTATGCTTCTCTAGATTAAGTTGTTTTATTTCTGAAAGCTTTTTAAGGGGGAACACTGGTCTTGGAGCTTTCTTTCTTATTTTATGACCAAACTTGATGAAACTGCACAAGCTTGTTCAGCTTTTTGTGCTGATTTCATATATCTGGTCATTTTCTCAGTCAGTAGCATTGAACTCAAAATAATTAAAACTTGCCTGCCTTTGTTTGGAAAAACGATAGAAAAAAAACTGCTCAACAAAATATTCTTTTTAACACATGGCTAGATACTACGAACTGTAGACAATAGAATGTTGGAAGCACTTTTAAGATAAACTCATTATTAGTGATTTTACCACACATTGAAGTTCAGTGCTCAATGCATGTCTAACAAGTAATATAGCAAAATAACAAATAGAAATTTTTCTAGACTTATATTAAAAAATCTGCTCTCAACATTGTATGCTTCACACATTCAGCTACACATTTCAGGAATGGTTATATTTTTATCCGCTCTAGATGCTGAGATATCCCTCCTGTAAATTTTTAATGAGTCCAAAAATTGTGTTTTGTGAAAACAATGTTTTAGAGTCAACTTCAATGCACATGCAGCCCACATAGATATTATAAATTGACTTATAGCTCAAACATTCATTCACGAAATTATAAGCCTGGTAGATTCAGAAGAACAACAGCCATCGCCATTTTCAAAAGAATGCAGTTTTAGAAAGTTTTTGGCTCCAAAGACCCATGTCCCCCCTTAAGTGCATTGCATTTGCATACTATTCAGAATTAACATAAAACAAGAATTGTCCTCCACTAACCTATGCTTCTAAAGTTATTAAGCTTTTTCTTTGGCTCCGCGGGTGGTACCAGCGTGATAAGGGTGGGGCCCGGAACACTGGAGTTGAGGGCGACGACACCGCGGAAGCAAAGGCATAGAAAAGTCACGTGACACATGGTCAATCATAAGGGGACACTTGAGTATATCTGTCCTTTCTTATGTTGCCGCCGAGAGTTGTATGGGGTTCAACTGACCAGGGGAGTTGCTATTGCCTGCAGAGACCATGACCTGGGAGCCCCTGGCCATGGAGGTGTTCGAGGACGCAGTGCCCAGGGCTCGTGCGGGGCACTGCTCGGTGGCCATCAACTCTCGCCTCTACATTTGGAGCGGCCGGGACGGATATCGCAAGGCCTGGAACAACCAGGTGCTGCCTTCTTTGCCCTTTTTAATGCAGAACGTGGCACGGAATTCCAGCCACATAATGTGATGTGCGATACCGCTCCGAGACTTCCGATAGAGCCGAGGCAACCGGCACTCTAATGCGCCAATTCCAAAGGAACGTTTCCAACTCGCTTAAGGTGCGCTGATGCCCGCCCCGTTGCTTTCCACGCCCCCTGCGCAGGTGTGCTGCAAAGACCTCTGGTACCTGGAGACGGAGAAGCCGCCGCCTCCCACCCGGGTGCAGCTGGTCCGGGCGTCCACCGCCACCCTCGAGGTCTGCTGGGGCTCCGTGCCCACGGGTGAGCAGGGCCCCCCCACGCTTTGTCCGAGCGTCCAAGTTGCGTCCGTACAATGTGGTGAACACAATGCAAGGATGTGACTTCAATATATCCGTATCTGCTGTTGCTTCTTTTACTCTAAAGAGAGGTTCTGGTGTGTGGTGAAGCAAAATTAAAGCATGCTTCGTTACATAGACACTTGAGGTGCCAATATGGTGAAGGTTTATCCCAAAAGACTGACTTTACTACAGCAACATTCTAGAAAATATCTAATCTTTTTTACATTTTTTATTTTACTTTATTGTCGAGCATCACGCCGAAGATATTGCCGGGTGTGGGAGAGGACCGAGCAAGCACAGACTCAAGAGATTGTCTTTATCTTCTCGCAGCGGACGCGTACCTGCTGCAGCTGCAACGCTACGACGTGCCCCCGACGAGCGCGGTACCCCCAATGGCGGCGGCACCTCCCACAACGCCGGTGGCGCCGGCGGCACCCGTGACGCCAGTGGCCGCCCCACCCGTGGCACCCGTCCCGGTGACACCCACACGCCCCACACCGGTGGCGGTAAGCCCTGTGGTCACCCCTCGGGTCGTGACACCCATGGCGGCCGCCCAGCACGTGCTCAGGACTCCGACGGCTGCGCAGGCAATTCGGGCACCGGGTGAGTCGAACAGCCTTCTTGCCATTGTTTATTATTGTTTTACAATATTTGTATTGCCCATATGCAGAAGACCGGTTAGTCGGACGGGGCCTCCTCCTGACTTTTACCACGAAGCAACTATGTTTGCTGAAATATTCATAACAAGCCAAGGGGGTGGTCTTTTAGTTATTAAACAACAAAAAAAGATGCTTAAATATCTTTAATGTTGATATGAAATCGTAGCATCTTTCAGGGAACGTAGAAAAGAGAGCGTCACCACGCACATACGTTTTTCTAATGTTGTGCTTACATCCTGCTATGATAAAGGCTTGCTGATAAGTTTTCAGATTATGTTTTTCTATATGGGATATGAGATATGTGCAGAGTCCAAAGTCGTGCCCCGGTGGGTACGACCTGGGAGTTTGCTTCAAAGGGTTCAAAATTTCACGGTTTATCTTGACGTTTCCTTCTCTGGCGCACGCACTTACCTGTATTGTACTCGGTTTCCTTGGTGCTGTTAGTTCAATTTTCCTTTGAGTTTGCAGTCGATAATCACTACATCCACCGTGGCAAATTTCACTGCTTTACGCTGGCACGTGCGTTGAGCTTCTCCACACTGCACCGGCGTGCTTGGTGCAGCGTCTGACATGGGGGAACATCTGGGTTGGCTCAATGAGCTCAGAAATCGTGGTCACTCTCGAAGGTCTTTTAGTTATAATTTTGAATTGACCCATGATTTTGAAATCATTCATTCTTTCATTTATTTTGAGCACCCCACAAACACCTTGACACCTCCTTTGTGGTGCACTTTTCATTTCATTTCATTAATTGTACCCTCAAGGCCAAAGACATTAAAGAGGGGGAAAGCAACAAGAAAGGGTTAAAGGGCAACTCTGCTCACTTCCAAAGATTTCTGGATAATGAGTGATTTTGCATTAAAAAGCAGTAGTAAAAGACACTACGTCATTTGCTTCACTAAAAACTGGATATATGTTGTTAATTCTAATTTTAAACACGAGCAGAAACCGAAACTTCGGCTCCGTCCGGCAACATTGGCCTCGGGCCGCCAAGAACATGGTATGAGATGTCACGTGATCCTTTGCGCAACGACGGGCGGGATTGGGGCAGGCGTGCGCCAGGCACTAGGGTTGTCTGCGCAGCACTATTCACTACGTTTTGGTGTCTGTGACATTTGACATATATGTAAAATATGTAAAAAATAGGGTTAAAAAAAAAATAGAAATTAGTTTTTAATCAAAAACAAAATTGAACACGAAAAAAAAAATGTGGAAAGTTGTAACTAGACAATAGCATCATCACTCTTACAAAACCCACACTCATCATTCACAAAATGAAGGTTCATATTCATAGAAATATGTTTAAAAGGATTATATGCCAATAGCAAGCATGACAGGGTCTGCATTACAAAATTAGGCAGATAAAACAATGAAAACAATTTTCTAGACTTTTAAGGAACACACAAGTAGATGCAACCTAGCAATGCAGGTGAATCTATAGTTTCACTCAGCATTATTAGGGAACGTAAAAAAAAATATATTGAATCATTTGAACGAGAGGTGTTCTTCACAGCTGTGAAAGTCCAGAAGAAATAAAACTGTTGTTCCAGAGTTGCTTCCTCTCTCTTCTGTAAAATCCCGAAATCATCATCAGTTGTCATATTTTTTGGGATCGTAAATCTTTTTTTGCTGCAGTCCCTCGGCAAACATTTGTGCTCATTGGTGCCACACGTGAGGTCAGCCCTGATCTAAAATGGCAGTTTGCATATTTCAATTCTTCATTATAACTGCCCTAAAAGAGTGATCTCCTGTGCCTTCTCCAGTATCCAACATTACTTCTCTTTGTACAGTTCTTCTGATGGAGTCTAAACACCTAGATAGGAGAATCCCATCATATCTACGTTGCACGTAGGTGGGACACGAGATTTGTTTGGAGCTCTACGGATAGACTGCCCACAGATTCTCTCAAAATGATTGAGGAAGCAAACTTGCCCTTCGCGGGGACGTCTAGTGGGTGCGTGCGGGGTGGTGTCGGCCATGTTGCGAGTGCCCTTCACATCCACCTATTCCCTCGAGAAAAAAAAAGGCAGGTTTCCCCTACAGGGCTGTCCTAGCCACTTGCCTGTGCAGTTGCCTCCTGCCCGCTTCCATTCCTCATTTTGACGATGCCATGTTTTGTTGTTGTCGGTGCAATGTGTGTTTTTGTTTCTTTATATCCTTTTGCTGAAATGAATGTGCGTGTGCGTGTGTGTGTGGCCCCGCGACCCAGCAGTGCAGACCCAGCAGCATGCGACGCCGCAAACCACCACCATTCGTGTGCCAGCCTCCTCAGCGGGCTCCCTGGCTGCGGGCCTCAGAGGTCAGTCCTCTGGCAACCCTGGTGGCCTCCCCCTGCCCCGTCGGCTCCTCCCCGCCCTCTGTTCCCTGCACGACCGCACCCCTCTCTCTCTCTTCCCTTTCCGTCTTTGGCGCACCCCTGCCCCTGCTTCCCGGCTCTGTCACCACGTTTGTGCACCAAGGCTTGAAGCCTATCTAAGGGCATCCTCTGACACCTTAAATCGAATCTGTTGGAGACAGATCTACAGCATCAAGGTCGTCCTAAAAGAGTAATTGAGTCATAGTTCATGAGCTGAAATTTAAGGGAGGACAGTACCTGGGCATGTCAACTATTGAACCGGTCACTCAGTCGGCATGAAATTTGCAGCTGGGTGTTTGTAGCCATATGAGGGCATACAAAGTTTCAGCCCTGCCAACCAGTTTTATGATCTACTATACCCCTAGAAGAAAGTAAAGCATAGCTTGGCATAAAATCTGCACAATGGATTGTTGAGCAATAGTGTGTATAATCACATATTTTTCTGGTGGAATGCATACTGGAATACCTGTTTCCTGTTACTATAGAAAAAAAAATTCACAAAGTATGCATTTTCTAACAAAAAGAAAAAAGGAATGTCTTTTTTTTTTTTTTACATTTATCAAGTTTTGCAAATTACAATTTTTCATAATAAAGGAACATGAAAATGGAAAATCTTAGTTGATAGTAACCGGCTCTAATAAAATTTCAGTATATAAGCCATAAAAAATTAAGTCTCGACAGTTTCATACTGAAACAATAGATTTATCTGATCAAATTTATGTTGAAAAGTGCACCAAAGAAAAACGCCTTCAAAGTGCCCTAACCTCTACCTTTTCTTTAGCATCGGTGGACTGAAAGTAATTTATAGAAAGAACCTATGCAGTATAAACAAATTGAACTTTCTGGGAATACTCTCTAGATGTTGGCAGGCAGATGTAAATATAGCATTGTTCAAAATCAATTTTTTTTTTTGTAGTGTTTTGTCTTTGAATTGAGTTAAATACAGCAATATTTTTGTGCAGGAGAGAAGGTGCCTGAATGAGCGTAGTGATGCACCGAAAGTTGGCCAAGTTACAGTTAAGGCAACTCCTAGAATGTCCCACAATGTTGAGGAGTTGCTGACCAATGTTTCAGTTGAGAACTGCAAAAAAGGTGCTGGCACAGTCTTGTTTAGATTCGGTACCTTGCTTACGGCAGAATTTAGGGCAGTAGCAGCACATAACACTGGTGCTGAGACCCAAAATCATTGTGAATTTGTGTATTTGTCATTATATCAATTTTGAGAAGGTGCTCTCACCAAACTAAGGCAACCCCTAAAAATGCAACGAAGTTGCAGTTAGCTATATTTATTCTAAGCTAGAAAGTATTTAGTTCTCAAAACTGTAGCAATTTGCAATAACTCAACTAATTTGTCCCCTTACAGTCCTGGATAGGGATAAAATAAAGTTGAGGACATGTGAGACGTATTGGTGAAGTCTTGACCAACCGTGTGTAGCGAGGGAAGGTTTGCGAGAGGTTGGAGCCCCAGGCAAGGAATCGGGCCTGGCTTTACAAATGGCAGGTTCCCAATGTGACTGCTCTCCACTGGGTGCTTCATTTTTTCTGACGATGGGGACTTTCATCCTTTTATGTATGCGGACATCCGCAGCTCTGTGAGGCACTGCAGAAATCCAACAAAAAACATACCCAAATTGGAAACGTCCAAGACGATTAACAAAATTGCCACTCAACAAAAACAAAACATTTTCTTGAATGCAACATGTTTTCATTCTGTATCATTGGTCTAACAGGTTACTGTAGTAACTACCTTTCCCTTAATTATTGTACTTTTGGTAAGAGAAAGCAACATGGCTAACAATTTATGCATTTTTCAGTGGCAGGTCCGTAGAGAACTTGCGTTTAAATTTTTGCTATGTGCCCATTTTGAGGCTACTTGCCCGCCATGTTTGTGCAGCGTTAGCTGAACGTCCAGAGGACTGTTCTGCGAGAAATGTATTTGGGTGACTTCAGTTGCTATGTTTGCAGTTCCGGAGGGCCGGCCAGCAATAGTACTGGAGCTGGTTTGTGTCTATGTTCTCTCGTGTTTCTCCTCCTACTTTTCTCTTCACTTCGGGTTTCTTCGTCACGCGTGTGACAGACACTCCTTTTTCTGATTGCCTAAACCTTTGCATGACTCTTCTATCATTGGGGCTTATGCGTTTTTGTATTTATTTATGTGTGTGTGTTTTTTAGGGGGACCATTTTTCATTTATCTTCATCTTTGACTGCTGGAGTCTTAGACATAAAATTCTGAATTCACTTGTGTTTTTTCAACACTCACTAAATGACGCAAAAACACTCGTGTTTTTGCAATTATTTTTTAAATATTTCTGTACAAAAATGTGTTTCTATGCATAAACTATGGCGGTAGTGTTATATACGAGCCGCATTGAGTTAGGATTGTCACTGCATATTTTTAGTTTAAAAACTTCAGCCTTTCCATTCTGGTGAAGAACGAAGGCAGCGATGCCGTACTATGGCGGGAATGAAGTAATGGCCGGCCGCAAGTCGGCAAGCCGAAGTGGAAAAGCTGGAAAGGTGGCCACCGTCGCCCATAGATGGCAGTAGCTGTCAGGAGTGTTGTGTCCACATTTATTTGCTGGCAGACACGATCCTGGGGAAACTAGCCCTTAACAGCTCCGCTGTAAAGTTTAAATTTTTTCTGCTGGGGTTACGCTTATCCACAACCTAGGAAACGAAGGATGTGGCAATTAATTTGGATCTCTGCAGCCAAGGAAACTGTGGCGGCTTAAGAATGCCCAAGAACTAACTTGGAAGCAAGAAACATAAAAAATCTCCGCATTTCTTAACCTAACCGACTTGCGAAAAGTCTCCCAAACAATAGCCTTCCTCGTTTGAAATCGCCGCAAAATCTTTGCCGAGTCGAAACGCCCATACGCTTTTTTACGTTGCCCGAGGCTCGCTTCGACGCACGATTGGTCTGTGGCACGGGCAGACCCCCGCTGCCTTCCGCTCCTACGTGAGCCTCGAGCTGTCTCGTTTCCGCCGCAGGCACTGTGACCCTGGTGCGCACCCGTTCTCCCGGCGTCGCGGGCCAACAGCAGATCCGGGTGATCGCCACGACGCCCACGGGGCAGCAGGTGGTGAAGACCGTCACGGGCACCTTGCCCTCCGGAGTGGTGAGTGCCCGTGTTCGTCTCTATCGGTTATCTGCATACAATTCAGAGTAATAGGATAGATACTGCAGAGGGTAGTGACCTAGTTGGTGAGATTTAAGGTGACTGTTGCTTTCTTGCGTACCTCGAGGCCAGTTGCGTTATTATGCGAGGTGCAAAACCAGTTCGGTCAGTTTGCGCTTGAGATGCAAAGGAACGTTGACATTAATATTTAGAACAACACCGTGTTACGACTACAATGGATGTGACAAACAAAATTTATGCTTTTAAAGGAAAAAGCACAGAGAAGGGGTTTACGGCTTTAGTTATGACACGAGTATATTTCGCGGGACAGCGGAGCTTGCAGCGTGGCGGAAGTTGGAGCAGTAGGCAAAGTAATTTTGCGAATCGAAATAAAATTAATTGCGAGACAATCAGCCTGGTTTTGGGCAATGGCTAATATTGACCCCTTCTAACGGGGGTGCTGCATCGTTAATAAGCATGCGGTGGCTCGTCCAGTGCCAAGCTGATAAAATACGTACAATTTTATCATTACTAGGACTCCATAAAATCGAAGATCTTGTTCATGCTTCGTGTGCACTGCAAATCGGAGTGGAAGTGCAGATTGTGCGTGTTGGATTGCTGGGATGTAGTTCAACTCGCTCCTTAGTAAAGATTATGTGCCAGTCAACGGGTCGTATCGTGATATCATTTTGGAAACATGGAAAGCCAAGTACTTATCAGAGTTTGACTTAAGGCCAATTCACGCAGTGCGATTCGCTAGAGTTTCCGGCGACATTGCTTTCGCGTCAAAAAGGCACCATGGAAGCTGCAGTGCTCGACGTCGCAACTGCGAAATTGCGAGCAAAACACGCCACATGAATCTGGCATAGAAACCAAAGAAGAAGCAGAGGGAGGCAGTGGAACAAGGCCAGAAGGGGGGCCAAAATTCCATTCGGGCTTTACGCATCTCGTGGCATTCAGGTGGGGGTTCCACATGCAGGTGCGTGCCTCACGGCATCAAAAAAGTGCGCTCGAATAGGGACGGTTCCTCAAGCTCCCGTCATGCTGCGCCATCTCCACTTGTCAGGAATGCTGTCTTCCACTGTGCTAGTGACCACCGTAATTGAAATCGCCGAATGGCCGAAGAGCGGTCTTTTGAGCCGCTCTCCTCGGCCGCCGACGCAGCAGCCCGTGGCAACGGTGGCGGCCGGCGCGGCCGGCGGCCAGCCCATGTCGGGCATGGCGGCACTGGCAGCGGCGGCGGCGGCCACCCAGAAGATGACGACGACCACCTCGGCGGCGACCCCGGCCAGTCCGTCGGCGGGCATCCGTGTGGTGTCCCCTTCGGTGCTGAGCCAGCAGGGCCTCAAGCTGGGCACCCTCCAGGGCGGGGCTGGGCAGACGGTGCGGCTGGCAGCGCCCGGCACACTGCTCAAGACGGGTGGCAAGCAGATCATTACGGTGCACAAGGCGGGGGCCACCCCAGGGGCCTCCTCTCAGCCCCAGATCGTCACCCTGGTCAAGACCACCCAAGGGGTCACCCTGGCCACGGTGAGGGTCCTCGACTTATGTCGCGGCAACGCGGTCGTGCGGCGGTGCGGGGGTGGGAGGTTGCTCGGTGTGGCCACTAATGGATTGACTTTCACTTCCAAACCAGATGCCCAAGGTGAGCCTGATTCAAGGCAAGGCTGGCATGCAGGCACAGCAGATTCAGGTGAGTTGGGAACTGATCTCAGTCGTCTCTCTGATGTTGTGAAAGAAATAGTTTGGGGTTGGTCCAATTAAACGAAACTCCGAGACAGAGCACTGGGAGACCCGCCTGTATTGGTTTCAGGTGGCTCAGGGGTTTTGTTGACGGGCTGTATGGAGAGGACGGCAGAAGTGACCAACGCGTTGGCAGGCCGCTCCTCCGGACCTTTCAATGGTGCGGGAATAGGGGGGGGGGGGGGGGGGGGGGGGGGGGGAGGGAGGGGAGGGGGAGGGGAGGGGAGGGGAGAGAGAGAGAGAGAGAGATGGCAGGGGGAGGCATGAGGGGGAGAACTGGACGCGTTGGAAAGGAAGCGGTGTGCTGGGACTGCGAGTAATGAAGGAATGCATTCAGTTTCTGAGCATCCTTAGCCCTATCTGGATTAACCCCTCAGCTGCTTCTTCACGTTCTATTAATAGGAGATAATATATTTTTTCTTTCCTCCAGGCATCGCAGTTGTTATCGGCTCTTCTCTCCACTGGAAGTTATATCCGTTGTCCTAGTAGGGCGTCTGTTGTCGGTATCGTCGAGGAGCGGAAAAGACTGCCCACCACCGCGGTGTTTTCGGGATTTGATCCCGAGTCTGCCGCATGCGAATTGGGTGCATTACCACAGGGCTACGCAACAGCTTTGAGAATCCGCTTTATCAACATTCGATAAACACTGTGTACGTGCGAGTCTCGTGTAGCGACCGCTAAACAGCCACAGTTGCTGCATCGTCGCGATAGAAAATTCTTTATCATTCTTAATTAATTACGAGTTTAATCGGTTCATTGTTGAAATTAAAAGCATCGGCTAGGTGGTGTTAGCCACCGCCCGGTTAAAAGGGTTGAGCCGTATCCATCCGTCCCTTCATCTATCGTCGTATTACGCCACCCGTCGCGTCGCATCACGCCACTCGAACCAATGCCACCTAGAAGAGAAGGCCTGTGTCTTTCTCCCCAAATGCATAGCTAGTGGATCCATGCAGCACCAATTAGCTGGCATCAGCAACGCCGCCCTCTCGTGGAGCTCCGGCGTGTCTGCCGCTTGAAGGGGTCGGGGGTCCACTGATGACGATGTTGTCTCGACTTCGCCGTCAAGACTTCATGGTGCGTGAACGCGACACCAGTGCCCGACGGCTTTGGAGATGTCCCTGTGACACCGAGCGCCCATTCTCAGCCCAATTGTAGCGCTAGAGGTCCGAACGAAATGTCAAAGTTTTAGAACTAACCATTATATTATTCCAAAGTTATAATCGATTTTCTAAAATCTTCAATGATGAAATGGTGGCCGATGGGCCTTTAATAATGCATGCAGCTTAATAATGCCACTCACCAAAAACGGGCCCCATTTTCCCATTGAAATTTTCAGAAAATCGTCTATAACTTTTCACTGAGATAATGGTTGGTCCTGAAACTTTAGCATCTGGTTTCAGCCGCTAGCACTACGTTTGGTGGAGAATGAGCATTCAGCGAGACAAAAAATGCGCCGTAAATTTTTTGATGAGACACGCTGTACTCAGTGGTTTAAGTTTATATTTCTGTGAGCTGGGATCTTGCAACGATGTTCCAGACCAAAGAGCGAACCTGTGGCAGCGGTCATGCGAGCCCAAATACCCAACACGCAGTGATCGCATTGTCGTGTGCTCTCGTTCTATTGCCCCGTAGCGCATGGAGTGCTCCTATACCACAGTACACATACACTGTGTCACAATGTTTTGTGTCCGCGTGACCCCTCGAGATAACTCCAGACTGGTCCGCGACATCATTCCGAGATCCCGGCTTTTAGCAGTCGAAACGGAAGCCAACAATGTGAGGATGATTTAGTCTGTCGGCATTCTCTACGTTGCATTCTAAATTTTGTAAAGTCATACACAATGTTTATATTGATCCACACTGTGCTGTTAGGATAACAGGGCACTGGTCTTTTTCTGCTTCAGAGGGCCAGATCTCTTGTCGGTGTCTTCTGCCCTTAAACTAAGGTGTAACTTCGCGTTTGCAGGGCAAGGGGATGATCCCCCAAGGTGCCACCATCGTGAAGCTGGTGACCACCCAGGCAGGAGCGGGTGGCAAGCCCCAGGCCACCCTCCTCACCTCCCAGGCCGGTGCGACGGGCCAGCCCACCCTCTTGGGACTCACCTCGGCGGTGAGTTTGAGCGGGCACCGTTGAGCGGCGATGCCAGCAAGGGAAGTTGGAAGATCTCTTATCGCCGTGGCGCGTCTTGGTTCACAGGGCTTACCTAGAATGTGAGCTGCACATTGCGGAATGTGACTAAATGCAATGGTAGGACAAGAAAGGTTCAGTTCGTAACATTGCTCCAGCAAGGTGTTTCACCTTTTGGGGTCGTGCGAGTTTTCCCCATCGTAGGCCTTCCCTAGTCTGAGTTAATTTAAGCGAAAAAAAAGATCAAATCAATGAGTGACTTCAAATTCAACTATTTAATATTCCACGTTCAATATGTTCAGTTTGAAATAACTGCATTGTTCTGAATGTTTTTATTTGAATAATTTAAGTATACTTGCGTAATGCATGATACTTTTCAAAGCAAGTGTCGGGTTACAAGCCAGGGTGTCGAGTGCAGGCTTTAAGGCAAGACACTGGTTCTAAAATCAACTTTTTTGTTTATTAATGGATTATAATGAAAATTAGTGTGTATATGTGTTTTGGCTTCCTCTTTTCAAATATACAATTAGTTCTGCAATATCTCAATTACTTTTTGAGTTACGAAGAAAATAATGAAGCCTAATTAGGTCATTTCTTACGACTCATTAAGGAACTTTCTAATACGAATTTTTTTGCATAAGTGATACGGATTTGTAGCTAAAGACCTGTCATGCAAGATGATGCTATTTATATTTTTGTAAAGATAGATCATTGTATAAAACTAGTCTAATTAGGTCAAGTACACTATTTACAAAGCTTAACAAGGTCACATTATCACTAATAATAAAATTTCGGGCCCATACTGTCATACAAAAATAGCATCACCCTGTAGTTCACTTCTTTCTGAATTCAACGGTATAAAGTTTATAGAAATCCTCGAAGAATAATCTCATGAAAACAACCGTAAGGCTAGGCATGTAGACAAAAAATGCGAAGCTGAGAAAATTGCAGTTGAAGTTTTGACACTCATTGCATAAAATTGAGTAAGATATCCCATGCAATAATGTTCAGCAATATGAAGCATAGTTCTATCTGAACAAATTGAGATGAAAAATTCTACAATCCGTTCACAAGAACCTTTAGAAATAATATAAAACTGAGAAATAATGTCTGCAATGTAAAATAACGTTATAAAAGAATGAGTAGGCTCTATAAGGGACAACGGGAAGAAGCACCAAGGGTTGCACGTTCCGAAAGCAGATTTTGTTTGGCCCTGAAAAGGGCCTTTGTTCGTGTAGCACTTGAAAGGGGAGCCCCTCACAGCTGTCCAGGACTGTAGTCCCCAGCTGTTCCAGTTTGGTGTTGCCTGGAGAACCTCTGCTTTGCATTGCTGCTGCTCTGGTGGGCAGTGTTGGCCTTACACGGATTGTCCTTCTCCATGCTTTGAGAGCTTTCATGTCCACTACAATGAACTGTGTCCCAGCGTCGCGCGTCTGGCCTCCTGTGGTGACGCCGAGAAGGTCGAATTTGCGCCGGGTCGCCGACTTTTCCGATAGCGCACGCTTGCATTCGTCCGATCGTGCGACTCGTTGCGCCTGCTCGGCCGTGGAGTAGTATGCAGTGTCGACACGAACCGCGCTCGCAAAGCTCGACAAACTGCCGCTGCTGCATGGAGTCGCGATGTCTCCGGCTGATGTTTCCGGAAGATCCAAGGCATCCGGCGGTGCCGATCGCGGTGGCGCACTTGCAGCAGACAGCTTCGGCTTCCTTGTTCCACGGTCGCTTCCTCTTCCTTCCGAACGCTTGCCGCGTGCTCGATTTCAACCGAGCGTCGTCCGGCATCTCGAGAACTCGAAGCGAAACAAAACAAAACACGCGCGACTTCGTAGGAAAACGAACCAACAATATTCAACGCAAGCGCGCAAACGGGAACTGAAACGTGCGCTCGACCACAGAGGAAACAAAGCAGACAGGCCTAAGGAGACGGGCGGAGACGAGCCCAGGAGCAGACGACGCACCTCTCGCCAGCGCAGGAACGGAAAGGAGGAAAGGAGAAAACGAGCGGAGGGGCGCGTTTAGGCCAATAGCAGGGGCGCTAGGCGCCGCGCGTGCTCTGACGTACGGGCACCTTGCTAGCAGGCCAATGAGAGATCGCAATTGGGGCTTTCGAAACCCGCGGAATGCGGACGTTCCCCGATGTTGTCGCGATAACGAATGGCATGGGGACGTGGGGAAAATAAGCGGCTTTCCAACAAGACCAAGATGGCCGCGATCCGACGAGCGATCGCGAAACGCGCGGGGCGCGAAGTTCCACTTGTTTTCATTGAACTCGCTGTGTTAGGGCTCTGCGGGGACATCGTAAATATCATTTTTTTTCACGTTTAGACATTGATTTCGACATTGAAACTTTGCAGGCAGGTACCTTAGACTACAATTAATCCAAATATGTGAATTTTGAAAAACGTGAAATTTCGCGTTTTTTGACCATTTTAAGACCCGCGTCTCCCCTTAAGTAGAGAACATTTTCATGTCTTTGCCTTTTTACTTTCCTGTCATTGCAGATTGCATCTAGCGAATAAAAAAAATGAAAAAGTGTCGCACATTTTATGCCATTCGATGGCGCAATTTGAAATTGTTGGCAGGCGCCCAACGTTTGACCGCAAAGGAGAAAGGACCTGTAAGGAGAGGGCCGACACATACCCAAAACGGGAATATTTATTTGTTGAGCGATACCCACAGATGACCCCAAGGGGTTAAAGCAATTTGCGAGGGCCTTTGAGGACAAGACGGCATCCAGGGACGGGGTCTGCTGAGTCCTTTCGCCAGAACTTTTCAGAAAGTGTTTTCTAATTTTGTTCTGTTTGGCCAAACATGGGGGGGTTTCTCCAGTCTGGCCAAGGCCAGTCCCAACTATGCCTCGTGCTGTTCCACCGTGTAAGTTGGTTTGTCATCACTAGGCTGGGCAGCTAATGAGCAGCGCGTGTCTAGCTGGCCTTCTCGGGATACCAGGGTTCAGCGGCCAAGTCTGGAGCTAAATGCTTAGGGGTTCGATGACATCTGCCCCTAAGGAGGGAAGAGAAATCATACCATAGGTTCATGGTGCTGTCCTTTCGGTGGCAACCCCATCTCGTCGCAATGGCAATCCAGCGCAAGCGTAAAAAAAGCAGTCGTCCTCACAAGCTTTAGCATTTCGGCATCGTTGCATTCCTTCCGAATTTCTGAGATACGAATAATTTGAGCTTGCCTTCGAAGCATGCGGTGATTTGAACGACCGCCACCCGTTCCAGGGTGCCGGCGGGGGTAGCCCCAAGGTGATAACAACGATCCTGCGCACGCTGCCCTCCAACATGGTGACGGTGGCCAAGGCGGGCATGGCTGGGGGAACGGTGAGCGCCAGCGGCACGGCGGGCGGCCCCAAACAGCAGACAATCGTGATAGCGGCGCCCAAGGGGGCCCAGGGCGGGGCCAAGCTTCTGGGCCAGGCCCAGGGACTCAAGGGGGCCCAGGCGGGGCAGCAGATCCTGGTGGTCACCACCCACCCGCAGGGCAAGGCCACCGTCGTCGGCACCGCACCGGCCACCTCGGAGGCCGGCAAGGGTAAGTGGCTTTGCCGTTTTCCTCCTGGTCGTTGCATTTGCCCCCATCTGTTTCTACGACGGATTATTAAAGGGTAACTGCAAAGAAAAAAAAGTTTTCTTTTAAACAGCCTAATTGGGACAAGCATGTCACAAAACAAATGTTCTGCGAAAAAAATGATTCTTTTTTATCAATATTTATGCCACAGGACGTAATTTAGTAGAGTCAGAACCTCTCCACATTTGAAACTCCCGCTCTTTCGACCCCCGCGGAAGAGGAGTACGCCCCGCCCCTCACTCTCCTTGCGTTGCGGAGTTGAACGACGCAGCGTCTCGACTTCCAGCAAGATCTGGCAACTACGCCAGGCCGCGGTATTGTTTTGGTTTGACGCGGTTTGCGAGCACATGTAGCGAAGACGTGACCGGAGAAGTGCCCCTGTGATGTTCCCGGAAGACGGAAAGTATCGTTCGTAATCGTCGTGCGTGCTTTGAAAGCGAAGGGAGTCACAGGATCCACGAGTGCGCAACCACAAGCCAAGGTTCACGACAGCGCTGCGTTGGTTCCGGCGATCTCGTTCTGTTTGGTGCAACACGGCGATGCGACAGAGCTGAAACGTTCGTGGTGTGTGTAATGCGGTGCTAACACGGAGCGCAAATTGGTTGTTGTGGGGTTGACGTTCAACCAGTTAAGTCCCGTCGTCGTCAGCTGATCCAGTCAAACTGGTCCGGGAGGACGCTGGGAGCGTTTTTAAAAGTAAATCTGCCTCGCTTGTTTCAAAATGTGGAAGTTTCCCGACGCATACCATACGTAAAAAGCTGCGGGCGTTTTCAACAAAATTACGTCATTTTAATTTAACAATGGACTCCGAATTGTCCTAAATCTGCCGTTTTTATGCTTCGTGTTGGACTGCGTTTGCACAGCGACGTGTTGCATCGTGCGGTGTGAATAAATTTGGGCACGATTTCGTACCTGCCTACAGATGCATGAACTGAGACCATTTTTACGTAGTGGACATAGTGCTTTTTTATTTTCTGTCTAGTCGCGGACGTTAGGTGCACACGGGGCGAATCTCGACGGCCTCCAGAGCGATATGACGAGAACGTAACTAGACACGTTGGTCGCTACGCGAACGCCCGATTGCCTCCAGCCAAATAGCATTCCTTTCGGGGCGACATGGCTGCTGGAAGGCTCACTGTCGGGATCACGCATCTGACATCTCCGAAAAGTCAGCATTTGCACGCGCAAACAAGCAAAGCAAAACAAAAAAAAAGGCACGCTAAGCAAGCAAAGAGGAAAACAAAAGAACCGCGCTATGAAAGCCAAAATCCCGCGTCGCTTCCTATCACTAACACCTGCGACAGCTGCTAAACACACACTGCTTCACTTCAAGAAGTCTCACTCAAGCACCTGGGTCAGCACGAAACGACGAAACACTGATCACTTCGGCGAAACGATTAGTCGAGGTAGGCGAGACAGGCGGGAGCAGAGACTTGGGCAGCCATGAAAGAATGGCGAAGCTTTTGTTTGTATGAATCCAAACGGAAGTGCCCGTCTTGTAAGCCCTTTGTAAAGAATAATAACTCTCATCACATGGGTTATTCTTTAAACGTAAAAATATGCCGCTCAAAAGGAAATTGCAACATATAACAAAGGTTTAAGAACCAAGATCTAAGCTGTCAATCAAACTCTTAGCCAATGAGAACCTTTTGGGATTGACGTCACATAATCACAACTTCGTGGCGCGCGATTTAAAACGGACGAAATAGCCGCAAACTAAAATGAGTCTCACGCAATAAATATTGCTGTAAAAAATGTTTTTTCTCGCGGAAAAATTGTTTTTTGACATGCTTGTCCCAATTAGGCTATTTAAAAAAAAACTTTTTTTTTCTTTGCAGTTACCCTTTAATGTGCGTTTTAGGGCTGGTTCACATGTCTTTGGCAGGAATTCTCAAACTTTTGTAAACAATGGTGCACACACCAGGGAGTGTTTGACACATAGCGTCAATGGATGACTCTGGTCTTCCAAACAAGGTTAACTTTTTAACCAATAATTCTTATTTGTATGAAACTTGCAGGGTATATTCAATAGCTGGGAAAGAGGATGACATGCAAAGTTTTAAGTTTCCAAGTTTATTTTCCAAAGATACGTAAAAGTATGTTAAATAAACTCTGCGCCCCCCGAAAAAAAACTATAGGAAAGGCAATGATGATGGACAGTTCTTTTGGCTAAACATGCGGTATAACACCCGTGTCACATGACTATGGAAAGAAATTACAGAAATTTTATTATTTTTTACAAAAAACTAAACTGTGAAAAAAAAGTTCATTTTTTTGTGTGCAGGGTTGAAGATCCTGTAGCTTTTCTTAACAAGACCATGAGAATACAGAAAATAAGCTTGCAGTGGCATTCCTTACAAGATTTCTGTACAGAAACTTCAAAAACTGGCTCCACACATCAATGTCAAATTATAGTTTTCCTGAACCAAGGTTTTATGACAAGAAGTGAAACTGAGATAGACACGTTTGAAAGTTCAGAAAGCTGCACTTGATCCAGTGCCGACATGTCAGAAATAATATTTGTTACAGGTGTGAAGCTTTCTGACAACATCCAGGATATTTGAAAGCTGATAAGACTACTTGTTAAAAATGTGACTTTAGAAAAAAATAATTAATATATCTTTAAGGTATTGTCTGTTTTTAAGCTGGAAGAACACTTTACTGAGGGGCATCGGCAGCCAATGGAAGTTGGGGAGTTGGGGGGGCCCCTGAGGGTAGTCGGAGAATAGTTCCTGGGAACCCAGCTCGCGAACCTCACGGTTTAGACCAGGGTTCTCCAAACATTTTGGCTAACGGGCCGGATGGGGGGTCGGTTGTAGTCTCGAGGGCCGGAATATAAATATAAAAATGTAAACTAAATAACAAGTTGTAATTTTTCTGCTCACTTCATGTGCGCATTTGGTGCGCATCGTGGCATAATATGTATATATTTTCTTTTACACGTGTTTATTTTTGCGTTGTTAGCAGCGGGCCTGCTTAAAGCGGGCCATGGGCCAGGATGTTACTGGAAGAACTGCGGCCTGCTGAGGTGCCAGTGGAAGGCCTCCGCGGGCGGGGGTTCGGAGACCCCTGGTTTAGACTCTAGGGTGTCGTGAAACATTGTGACTTCCTTTGTCATAGTCTCTCAACCTTTTTATTTCATTGTCCTCAATATCACCTGGCTGCATGCTCGATTAGGCTGTGAGAGTCACTGTTCCTGGGCACTGGCTGAAGCCTGCGGATGGGTTTGCTCTCTCCCTGGCTGCAGCCAAGACGGGCACGACATCTGTGAACGTGCTGCCCATCTCGGCGGGAGCCCAGCTCAACTCTGTGACCTCTGCCAGCGGGGTCAAGATGATTGTGGTCTCGTCTTCGGGACTGACGGGGCAGCAGGCGTTCACCATCCTCACCACTGCAGCCCCAACACGTGAGCAGGCACAAGTTCCCTCTCGGCCTTAACCTCAACTGTCGTGCCACAACGTACAATGGTGTTGCGGGAATTCTGCCCTTCAGAGTGAGAGTCGTGATTTGTAGTGAACAGCAATATAACCTTCAGAATAGAGCAAGAAACGAATGCGATCGAAACTCCAGCGGACCGTCAAAAACGGTTCCGCTTATCAGGAGACACCACTTCGTAGACTTGTGCAAGCGCTTTGCTGGATTCCACTTGTAAAAGTTATGCAAGCTTTTACTTTGTCGTTTGTCGACTTTTCTCTCGTCTATCCCTTCTTTTTTGCTTCTTTGTCTTTTCCCATTTCCTTTCCTTTTCTTCACATTTTATTATATTTTTTAAGCTTCCATGGAACCTTCTTTTCCATTAAAATTTCACCTCCTGCTGGCTCGCAAGTGGTTTGAGTTGTTCTAGTGGGAGACTGTTGTCTTTCCATTTGGTGCAGGCACTCAGCTGACGAGCAGCACCTCGCCTATCACCATCACAATGCCAGCGTCCCGTGGCACCAGTGCCCTGACCATGCCGGCCAAGACCCTTGCCGGGAGCACTATCCAGGTAGGGATCTCTCTCTCCCTTTCCCTGTCGGCCTGTCTTTGTGTACCCTCCCCCCAGAATGTTTTCTACTTCAACAAAATCAATGGGTGTGAACATCGCCGGTCCCTTGCTGGCACGTTTGTGCCTCTGAATGAATGTGTAAACAAAGTACTTATACGCAGTGTTTGATAACATTCACTTGGGGTACGCCCATATTTCTTGTTATATTAGTGTTCTTGACCAACGATTTCCAGCCTGTGTATTAGGGAAACGGAAGTACCTCTTCGTAGTATCGATCAATATAGCAAAGATATGGTTATAGTGTAGTGGAAGTATGTTTTCTAAACTGGCACAGGCGTGGGCAATAGGTACACCTCTGCATGCAAAGTGACTTTGTCCGCAGAGCTATGTCCCGCAATGCTCTCCGCAACTCTGCAGACAAAGTTAGTGACATGGTGGCGTCTTCATTGCAGAGAGCATAGCGGAGGGAAAAACGGCCTTATGAAAAATCCTTATTGACATAGCAAAGATTAAAAAAAAAAAAAAAAAAAGCTCTTCCTTACCATACTAGCGTGACAAAGGCATTGGTGTTAGTGTGGGGAAACTGGGTTCACATGTGGAGACTGGATGGCGCAAAGTGGCCCTCTGTTGCGTAATGTAAGTGCATGAGCGCTCCGTGAATATCTTGCTCGTGGGTGCCATCTTTTGCGGTTGCAGCGTAAATGAGGCTTTCTCAGGCCCGTTGGAGTGCGAGACACAGTACATGGGACGTGCGGAAAACGGAACAATTATTGGAACGCAACAGCGTCGAGTAGAGCCCTGGCACCAGCTCGCGGCAAAAGAAAACCAAACACTCCGAATTACCTCAACCGGTTGCGACAAAGGAATGCTTTTTCTTCTCTTTTCTTTTCTGTCACTCTCTCTCGTGCTTATTCTCTTGGGAAGCCTGGTGCGCGCTCGTTTCACGAAGCAGAGCGCTGCTGTTTGTCTGAGCACTTGACATTTCACCCCCGCCGGCAGTAACACGGAGGCACTCGAGGAAGAGGTCCGGCTGGCACCTCTGTCCAGTCAGTGAGGGGATGAGCGCTGCATTAGCATTCGCTTGGCAGTCGGTCTGTCGACTTCCGTTGCTAGCGCCTAACGGAATATGGTTAGGTGCCAGCCATATAACACATTCTGCATTTCAAAATAAAAAAAAAGCTACTTTACTGAGAAGAGATTTTAAATAAAAATGGTCAGGTAGGCGTAAAAAAAATAGTGGAGAGGCAAAAGGTTGTAGCATGCAAAACCGTATCTAGCTTCTTTTTTCTTTTTTTCTTTTTTTTATCCACAGCATTTGTGGTGTACGAACTAACTTAATTTCAGTGTTTGCCTTCGTTGTTCTCTCGCGACGACGACTAGGAATATGTACTGATAAGCTGCGTCCACTGATCTCTGCATCCCCTCGTGTCTCGATCCAGTTTCGGCCCGTTCGATGCACGAGTGGTTTGCACACTATGTGACGGAACTTCTCAGTCTCCGAGTGGTTCGAGGGCTCGCCGCCAATGGGTGGGGGTGTTCCTGACGCACATGTCGCGTTGCAGCTGCAGGGCACAGGCACGGCCGGCACCCAGCAGATTGTGGCCCTGCCGGCCCAGGGGCTACTTCCTAGCGGTGCCCAGGCCATCACCATCCAGACCAAGCCCGGTGCCAGCCCGTCCCAGAAGGTTCTCACCATCGTGGGCACCTCAGCCTCCGCCGCCTCCACGCCCACCCTCGCCAGGGTGGCCGGACACCAGGGGGTCACCGTGGTCACCACACAGGTAAGCCCTCGAGGCAGAGAAAACGACGCTATCCCCCGTTAGGTCGCAGCTGCCAAAAGAATTGTTATTGCATATAATGGGGTTAAATTGCAAACAATATTTTTTTTGTCTTTCCTCTTTTATCTCATTTCACAAGCCCTCTGATCTCCCTTTGTACTGCCCAGGCACTGAGCAGCCTGCCCATCTCTGCGGCCACGTCGAGCGGCAAGGTGATGCTGATGACGGCGGCGGGACAGGGCAGCGGTGTCGGCGGCTCCACCACCACGGTTTCCGGAGGGGTGACTTACACCACCATTCCGGCCTCTGCCCTGAGACTAGTCGAAGCGGCAGGTGAGCAACAGACCGTAATGACGCGATCGCTGGGACTTTCTCTGCCGCAACACGACAGGGAAGTTTTGAGCCAGATCCAATCTGGTGTTCCCAGAAGCTAAAAAGTTGCCCGAGAAAATATTGATCTCATTTGAATCCCAGACATGCACAGCGTAGAAAGTTCATGCCTGATATGAAACACAAAAGAGAGAGAGACAGAATATAATGAGAATGAATACCTACAAAATGATGCTAACTTCACACTGTTGCCAGGTGCAGCAGCTCATAGCCGTCACGCATGTGCTTGGTGTTCCCAGAGAATGCTTGTGTAGAGCAAACATGAATGACCGCCTCCTTCTTTGTCACAATGTGCAGCTGCGGAGTCCGCAGAGGCAGCAGAATCTCGGGCGGATGAAGCTGCCAATGCAGCGGCAGTGCTTGAAAGCGACCTGCAGGTGAGGCTGTTTTTTGACATTGATCCCGCTTCTGCTTAGTAATGGCTTTGCATCATTGCTTGCACAACGCAGAAGTACTGTAAGTGAGCCTATGCCATTGTAAGTTTTTCTAGGAGGGGGAGAAGCACAGCAGCTCAAATACCTGCTTGTTGTGCTTCATTTCTAAAAATGGCAGTGAGCTTTTGGAAATAAGCAAAAAAATAACATGCAAGTCTAAAAAAAAAACTATTTTGAGTGGCAATTTTTTTTTAATTAACTGGATCATTTAATATGCTTAACTGTAAGTAGGGCCTGGGTTAGTCCTAGTGTCAAACAACCTTTTGGCGTGACTAAAGCTCAGCTAATTTTACAAATAAAAACTAATCTCGTAGCTTTTTCATGCAGTACCCTCCCCCTTTGCTGGCTCTCCATGCATGCACAATTTTTACACTGGCACCCCTTTTTTCTTTTCGGCCCCCTTCCCTCCCAGGCTGCTCTTTGGTAGCGGAACTCATGTGGTTGTGCACCCCCCTGCTGCATCTCCCACTTGCGTTGCTAACTGCCCGGGCCCCTCCCTGCCCCGTACACTGCCTTGCCTTCTTTTAATGTGTGGAAGAGAATCTGTAAATAAAGCCGGCGGTGTTTTAGAAAAGACACGAGAGTGTTGCCGTTGCGGCCTTGTGTTGTTTCTTGAGTCGTCCATACATATTTCGATGCTGGCATGATGGAAAACAAGCAGCTTTACTTGTGACGGTTCCTGTCTGCCTTGACAGGATCTGGCTAGGTATGAGAGTCGTAGAAAGCAATATGGTGACTGAGCTGAAGGTAGGAGGGGCTAGGGTAGGTTACACCAGCCAAGGCTTTTCACAACTGGAGAGGATTAAGTGCAATGGTAGACATGTGCAGCACGATGTGTTGCTAAATGCTGGCTTCTGAGGGACCTTGTATTTGCATACCGTTTGCCTATGGCCAACTTGTAATTCATGGTGCCATGTGAAAATTGGGTTTCTTTTGACCAGTCCACAAAATGTGTTCGTTGGCATGAAGGCATTGCGCCCGCAAACGATAGAGGTGAGAGAGAGAAGGGGGGGGGCAGCGACGAGCAAAGATGTGGTGCATCTGCTCATGGCCCTTCCTGCCCTTGTTCCCCAGGGCATGGAAACAGACGCAGACAGTACCACGGACCCAGCCATGATGCAGTCGGCACAGGCCCTTCTGGATACCATGGTGCCGGTGAAGATTACAGCTGAAAGCGCGGAGGTCTGCGACGACGGTGTCCACTGCGGCGAGAATGACGTGTGTGACGACGGAATGCATTGTGACCCACAGCCCGCCTGCACAGATGGAATCCATTGTGGTACTCCAGAACCTTGTACTGATGGTGTACATTGTGGTACTCCTGAGCCCTGTACAGACGGTGTTCATTGCGGAACTCCGGAACCCTGTACCGACGGTATTCACTGCGGTACTCCAGAGCCCTGTATGGATGGTATCCACTGTGGAACTCCTGAACCCTGCACCGATGGTGTCCATTGTGGAACTCCAGAACCCTGTACAGATGGAATTCACTGCGGTACTCCAGAGCCCTGTATGGATGGTATCCACTGCGGAACTCCTGAACCCTGCACTGATGGTGTCCACTGCGGTACTCCCGAACCCTGTACAGACGGCCTCCATTGTGGAACTCCAGAACCCTGCACCGATGGCATCCACTGTGGTACTCCAGAACCCTGTACAGATGGAATCCACTGTGGAACTCCAGAGCCCTGCACCGACGGTATCCACTGTGGTACTCCAGAACCTTGTACAGATGGTATCCATTGTGGAACTCCAGAGCCCTGCTCAGATGGAATCCACTGTGGTACTCCTGAACCCTGCACTGATGGCATCCATTGTGGTACTCCAGAGCCCTGTACAGATGGCATTCATTGTGGAACTCCAGAACCTTGCACCGACGGTATCCACTGTGGTACTCCAGAGCCCTGTACAGATGGTATCCACTGCGGTACTCCAGAGCCCTGCACCGACGGTATTCACTGTGGAACTCCAGAGCCCTGTACAGATGGTATCCACTGTGGTACTCCAGAGCCTTGTACCGACGGCATCCACTGTGGCATCCCCAAGAAAAGTGACTGTACAGACGGCATCCATTGCAGCACACCGAAGCGCAGTGGCATGCTCTCTAGGAAAGCGTCTCACAGCCTGGCTGTGTGCGTGGTGGCATGCTCAGACGAGGGAGAGGGCACCGGAGAGGGCGGGGAAGAGCAGACGACTTCTGGCGACCAGCAGGGCGAAGGAGAGGGAGGTGATGCGGGGGGAGGGGGAGGGGAGGAGGCCCCACCCCCGCAGGAAGAGGCGGAGTCTCAGGGAGGAGGAGCCGCCGGGGGCGCGGGGGGAGACGAAGGGGACGACCAGAAGCCGCCACCGAGCGGCGCTGGAGATGCAGCTGACGAGGCCGCCCAGCCGGAGGGTGAGGATCAGGAGCAAGAGGAGGAGAAAGAAGAGCAGAAAGGTGGGCAAGTGTCTAGGGTTAGCCGCTCCTCGGAGCTAGTAACTGTGAGGAAAGCGAGAGGTTCCGACAGGCACCCAAAATCGATTCGGTCTTGCATTTCTCGCTTTTTCTGCCTTGTGCTGCTATCCTGGGTTCTTGGGCTGGAAGCGCTCCTCTATTGTTTGTTATACGTTCCTGACTGAGCCAATCAAATTGTATCGTATATGGGAAGCATTCAACAAGATGGCAGCACCACGGTGCGGATCCTAGCAGGAGCATTTCACATAGACATTTTGTGTAGCAACCGACCATAGTTTCTACTCAATTTCAGCTTCCCTGAGCATAGCTCTATTGGCTACAAGATGTATTGGTGGCGCCACCTCGTGGGCGCCCTCCTGTGACGCAACTGATAAAATGCGAGCAGACGATGAGCTATGTCAAAGCACAGAGTGACTGTTAGTTTGCATCTGTGCCAATATAAAGACGGTTTATTTATTAAAGAAACAAGTATCATGATTTTGTGGGCAATCTTTCTAATCAATAACCGCTTCGAAGTTGCTTTTTTTATATTGGAAAATCTTTACAATGTTCAAAAACAAGCCTTGAGCTTTACCATTACAGCTTGCGCAGCGTGCGTCAAGGCTATTCACAGCTTCTCTGATACTTGTTTTGTTTGTTTCTTTTCCGGATCTGTGGAGGCTGCTGTAGAAAAAGGTTTTGCATTCAGCAGAGTAAATGACGTATCGTCTTCTTAGCTTTGCATGCGCGTACAGTTGTGGTGCAAAGCGCCGCACACTTGTTTTAGCTACATCGAGCTTGCCGATACCAATCTGTCCAAGAGTGACTCGTCAGTTGCTGCTGAATAAATGCTCGTCAGCAACTGACGCTTAGCTTTTCTGGAATCAAATATGTGGCAAAGAAGCTTGTCACGTCGTGACTTCTGCTTAAACGAAAAGCAGAAATTTTCATAAATTCTTAAATTGTCGGCCATGGCCCGGCAAGTTCAGGCGATTGATTGATTTCTTCTATCCCATTTTTACGAAGGATTGATTACAAATTTAAAATCGTTTGCTGAGAAGCACATCACGCATTGTGCACAAAATTAAATATACAAACTAATTCATAGCAGCTGTATTCTTCATTTTTTGGGATGATGAAGTGTCACTTTTTTACTATAATTAGTTAGAGGTTAAGAACATTTTTAGAGGGAAAGGGAGGCTGAGGAGGAGCAGGAAGCAGACAGAACGCTGGAGAGAGATTTCCTTCTCTCAAGCATTCCATTTGCTTCCTCTTCCCCAGCCCTCCTTTCCCTCAAAAACTTTACTTAATCTCTAAATGACTATAGATTTAAGACTTCGATGGTGAGGGGGTCTCGCACGTTTCACGTTGACTGCGTGAATAGGCAGGGATTTAAATTAAACGACTAGGGAATCCAGCCACCGCTTGTTCTTGCCGATTATTCTGAGGAAATGTTTGTTTACTGGTTTACAAAATTCAAAAGAAATCAATTCGAAACTAATGAGAGACCTGCACTCACAAAACACTGGAGCCTACATGATACAGGGGGTCGCTTTCACTTTCACTTTCACTACACATGCGAGAGGTTTCAAAATTTCGCTTTTCTATTTTCAATTAGACATTCCTTTCTCAATTTTATTTTGTCCGACTCATAATTTAAAAAACGTTCAGCCTTTCCACTCTCATGAAGAAGGAAGACCAGCGGAGCTGTACTCGATACACTGTGTGCTTCTTCATCGTCGTCTGTTTTTCGCGCTGTTTCCTACGATGAATTCCCACCAACGCGCCCAACTATCCATTCTTCTACTATACCTGGAAAGGTTGGCGCCATCTACGAGCGACGGCGGAAACCATACCGGTTGTGTGCTTGCCACCGTCGCTTATAGATGGCGGTAGCTGTCCAGGTAGGTTTGCGTCGGCATACCGGACACGATCCTGGCGAATCTAGCCCTTAACGGCTTCGCTGTAAAAAATACATCTTATTCACAGTGGTAGATGTTGTAGTGGGATAAAGCACTGAATATTCTGTTTTTGTCTTCCAGTTTTTTGTAATGGGCTAGAGAACAGCACACCACCATTCGAGTGCTTCGACACCTCAGCACCAAAAGTGTTTGTTAGCGCAACTACGCTTGCAACGGTTTCAAGCATTGGCAAGCTGCAAATGTCACTTCACCAAATAAACACAATGCGTGAAACAGGCCTTGTTGCGCGTTACCCAAACAGTGCATGAAGCAAGTTGACGAGTAGAGGGATCCAGGATCGGCGCAGTCAGTCCCAGTCTGTCCTATCCGTGACGTCGGAAACGATGGTGATGATAGCTAGAGAAGCGCCCCCTGTAGTTTGCGCACGCCGCCAATACAAAACGTTCGGGGCCACAGTCGGCCTCAACTTTTTTACTCGAGAATTGGAAAGTAAGAATGCGGGTCCCCTCCTTGCGCTGGCGAAACCTGCCGCAATCATCTGTCACATGTGGTATGTCTACTCAATGCGCCAGCGAGCAAAGAGCAGTCTGGAAAGAGGAGCGAAAAATACTTTTAACATAGATTTTATCAATTAGTCACCACTGAATGTTGTTTCGTTGTGATTTCTGGATCGTCAAACACTCGCATGTTCTGTAGAGGCATATTGTAATGCAGAGAAACAAAAAACGTGGCAATCTGTTGTTTATTGTTGCCATCATTGCCGCTTACAACTGGGGGATTCACTATTGAGCCTAGGCTTTGGGCGACTCCGCCGGGCCAAATGGAATGAGGACACGGAGCAAAACGCCAGACACAAATACATTTCTGAACGTCAAGGTGTAAACCTTTTTTTCCGAAGCGAGGTGCAGACGCCGCCAAGAAGCCAGCTGGACATTAAAGGTGGTTTGAGCGGGCAGCGCTTCACTATAAGACGTGACGGGGACGCTGTTGTTGCTGACACGCCCAACCAGCTGCCAATGCTGGGCAGCACGCTCCCAATAGCCTTCTGTAATTTGTTGTGCAGAAAAGTGTTTCTGCAGTCAAAGCACCCTGGTAGTTATACTTACCCCATTGTTTTAGTAATCGCATAAAAAAATTGCGAAGGTATTTGAATGTGGCGAGAGGGACTCGAAAAAGAGCCTCCCCAAATCATCGGTGTAGAAAAAAACCTCCACTTTCGAAGAGACGGTGTACCCCTTTAATTGGGCACTGAACTTTGCGAAACGGAATTAATGTTCCTAAATTCCACGAACGACCACGACTGATTTTAACGAAGGCGACAATCCTGATGGGAATTGCAGTCGCGAACGTTTATAAAGAAGTCTGTTATAACGAAATGGCGACTATAGTGAAGTGATCACGATTTCCCATTCCCGTTATCACTTTTTCAATGTATTTGTTCCTGTTTTTAGTGAAGGAAATGGAGCTCTTGCAAGTATAGCAAAAAAACATTTTGCAATAATTCTTTAAAAAAAATTAAACTTTGTCGTTGCGATTGAGCAGCCACCCTGAACGAGCCGCAGAGGTGCCGCAAAGGCCGGCGGCAGCAGCAGCTTCTGTATCGTTGTCCGTACCCCGCTCGTTATCTGGAAAGCGCCTTTTCCGCATCGCATGCGCAGAAAACATTGTGGCGTGCCGACGGGCATTCGGAGCGCCAGTGATTCCGATCGAGCAGTTACCCCCTCTCTTAAATTTGGTCTATACACCAACGAAGCGCGAACTTGAGCCCCTGAGAGCAAAGTCGGTGCCTATGCGCTTCTTTGTTTACTTTCTGTTCGGTGTCGGCGTCGCTAATCGGTGTGGTTGCTCGCTGCGCAAAAGTCTAGCTTCGCTCAAGCACTGATTCGGTGACTCGTTGCCAGTCAACGATTGCGAGTACCAGCTCCGCTTGGCACCTCGATGGGGAAAATGGAGGCAATCTCCTCGAAACAAAGGCGTCTGCCACTCTCAACGAGATGCACAAAACAAAAAAGAATGCCATCCTCCTCTGGCAGCCGTCGCAGCTGCCGACGCAGTCCGTACGTAGCTCGCAGGATCTTGGCTAGAAGCAGCTCCGATCTAGCAAAGGGCGGATGTAGGGAAACCTCGACCACTCTCTGCAGGCGCGATAAACACGTGCCCGTGACAACCCGTGTCATCTTTTTTCTTTTCTTTTTTTTTTGCGCGTTACTTTTATGGAGTTCAGATATAACAAAGAACCAGATATGGCGAAGTAATTTCCGATTTCCATAGACCTTGTTATAACCAGTCTCGACAGTATTAGCCAAGGCAAACGTCTAAAAGCTCACGAGTAGATTTTAGATATTTTGTGTTTCATGGTCATTAACATGATTCGAAAAGAAACTTGGGTACTAAAAGCGCCAAAAGAGGGGTCAGATTAAAAATGACGACAACACAAGGTGCCTTGTGTTGCCGTCGTCTTTATTTCATCCTGGTCTTTTTATGCGTTGTGAACCAACCAGCCCAAATCACTACTTTGTTGCAAAGGAATCTTTTCTTAGTGAGTTGAGCACGTTGATAGGGAATTAAACAGTAACGAAAAAAAAAAAAATACATTTATGTATTTCTTTTGTTATGTATTTCTTTTGTTACTAAAAAAAAAAAAAATATTTCCAGTTTGGTGAAGCATTTTATATATTGATGTTATTTGTCTCTGAATCAAGACATTTTCCTGGCTAAGGTGCTCACCCAAAATTTGTGAAGTTTCACTACTTGACAGTGGGTGTTTTGTCTGTGCATTTTACTATTTGAACAGACCGTTATTTTTAAAGTGGGAAGGACAAACACATTTTGTGCAGCAACACGCGCATAAAATGACAGTGACGCAGCAGCGAACCAAACTCATGCAATACCATATGAAACTAAATACCGACAACAGATATGCCTCGCATCACAATACAATGCTTTTCGTCTTCTACATCTGCGGATCCGTTCGTTTACTTATTCATCCAATGGGCCAATAAAGTGGGGCAAGTTTAGGAAAGCGGCACGAGGAAAAGCGAGTTGTGTCGCGTGCTTCTCGTAGTAATCCAAATTTGAGTTTCATATTTTTAAAAAAAATTGCGTACAACTTCCCGAGCGTTTCCGTGATGGGGGATTCGTTCAATGTTTGGGATCTCAAAATTTTCGATCTCGAGGAACTTCAGTGTCCCTTGCCTGCCGGCCGAGGAACCCTCTCCTGTCTTGGCACTGACGCAATAAAACAGTGCCAAAGCCTACAGGCCCTCCAATACGTAATTCACGTACACCGAGAGAAGCGATTTTCTTGTAGTTGTGCATCAGTGAGTTTTTTTTTTCTTGTAGTTGTGCATCAGTGAGTGGCATCTTCTAAAATGGTGCTTAAACAGGAAAAACGCTTTACGTTGGGGCAGAGACGGTCGAGGAAATCGGGGATCTCGGGAACCCTGGGAAATCCCCGGGTTCCTAGCAACCCTGTTTGAAGACGCGCGATTTAACGGAACGAATAACCGCTACGTCCCGCGCGTGCCATTGCAGACGCAGGGGACACAGAGGCAGGGGAGAAGGTAGGGGAGGGCGGCAAGGCCCTCTCGCTGGAGACCCCCGGGGCCCTGCCCCCTGCCCAGATGTGCGTGGACGACCCGCCCGCCAGGACCGCCGCCGCACAGGGGGCCAAGGCTGAGGCCGAGGCTGAAGCTGCGCAGGAGGCCACGCCGGAAGAAGCAGCCGCCGCGCCCGTTGAGGCTGCGGCCCCGGAGGAGGAGACCGGTGCGTGCTCGCGTGCTTCTCGCCCCAGCTGCGTCCTCGCGGCTCGGGGAATACTTGCGTCTTAGCTCGGCATGGCTGCACCCTGCTTAATACAAGCATTTCGTGCTTTTCGGCCTAGCTCTGCGTTCGAGAGAGGACTGTGAAGTTTTTCCCAGAGTAGCTAACTAGTCAAAGTACTAGCATTCCTTTCCTATCCCTAGCCTTGGTGCTTGAGAATACAAAAGTGGGCAGGCTTTCTAAAACAAAATAGCATAGAATCTAAAAAGAAATAGTGACAATTTTTTTTTTTAAAGTTATGGAGGTCTTTTGTTGGATATGTGCCTCTGGAATTCCACGGATTGGGAAGGGAAAAGCAACCCCTGTGAAGGGCGTGTGGCGTGACGACTGCACATTGCACATTGCTGCCCTAGCTTGTATTCTCTGTGCACAAATTGAGAGTAGATATGAAGACGCAACCACTTATGCCAGCCAGCCGTTGGCTGGCGTAAGTGATCATGCGACCGCAGTAACAACCAGTCATGTTCTGGCGTGAACAGTATATTGTTTTAAGTGTAGAGGAAGGTGTAGTGACAGGGAACTAGCCAGCTGGGTTTGCCGGTATTTGGATGTCGTGGTACAAGTCTCAGTACATAAACGATTGTACTGAGCTGTACCTCCCTCAAAAGATTCTTATGTAAGCTCCTTTCCAAGAAACACTCGGACCCAGTCACAAAGGACCTTTTTCGAGCTCACTCACTGGGTTTGAGGCTGGTCTCTTCTCTGGTATCTCTGCTGACCCTAAAAGAGTGGGATGTAATTTTGATGGCTGGTGCCGGTATAGGCATTTTTTTCGACACTGCCGGCAGCTAAATGGTCACACCGGTGTGCATATTTCCAAAGGACATTAAGAAAGTGTACCAACTTTCTTGCAATTCTGGAACATCTCTATGGTTTTCAGGTATCTCAGAAAAGTCACTGAGAAAAGTTTTGCATGTTAACGTGCCAATTAGTACGGCCAGGTTTCTCAAACTGCCTGGCAGGGTTTGGTCTGTCGTCAAACTAAGGTTTGGGGATGGTGTTTGTTTTGTACCCCCCTGTCAGCAGCTGTTGCACCGGAGCAAGCGGCACCGGTGGAACCGCCTCCTGAGGAGCCCATGGACACAACGGAGCCACCCGCTGCTGACCTGCCTGCGCCACCAGTCGAGGCGCTCAACGAACCCACGGGTGGGTTGCACCGCCCAAATGCTGCTCGTGCGGTGGGCTCTTGTTTGCATTCATTAAAGCAGTTAAGAGATGCCAAGCTCACTGCAACAATGAGAGCCCCAGAGATGGCACTGCAATCGCGTGGGTGGCCTATCTGAGGCGTGGATGAGTGGATGTCAATGGCTGTACCCTTTATAACGGGCGGTAGCTTGCACAACCCAGCTTAGAAATGAAAAACCAAAAGTATGATTCCCCCTCGTCCTTTGAAGCCAATTTGCTCCCCCTCTGCAATTTTGTAACTATCACCTTGTGGTGAGGAATATGACCAGAATGACCTTTGGGGGATCGGACAAAACAAACTAAACATTGCCGTCTGCCTCTTTCCCCCGGCAAGGGAGTCGCCAAGTTTGCTCTGGTCAAATCTAAGCGGCGTTACCCCAGCACCGGGCCCACTGGGAAACGGGATTGGGACTTTGGACCGGAGCCATGCTGGAGGGAGTCCCAACTTTTGCTTTGTCCCCAGCTGTTTTAGTTGTACATCATTCAATTCTCCCTAGATAATTTCCACCAGTCTTCCAACCTTCTCTTTGTTAATTAAATTCATTCCCTTCTTGTCTGCAGTTTAGAGGTGATAGCAGTGTTCCCAGGTGGAAGAACAACTATTTGTTAGATTGTTAAAAACAAATGGTAAGATTCAAACAAAGATTATGTTTTCATACTTCCAGGTTACACTTTTAGCAGTTATGTAGTATAGCGGAGTGATGCAGTAATAAATATAAACTCTTTTGAAGGGCAAGACCAAGTTCCTTTTTCAGGAAGAGAAGTGTGCAAACTCGGAATAATACTTGTAGCCACTTTTTGGGCGAGTTTGACGGCCACCCTGGGCACCTGAACTGTAGTTTATTTGTCAGGGTTTCGCATGATGTTAAAAAATAATAAAGAATGGTTTGGATCCCTGGCCATAGCTTCTATGGAGTCTTGGGAGTCAAATCGGTATTTACCGGTGAACCCGATGTGGAGTCGCTTGTTTCACTCCAGGCGTGTTTCAGCGAGATGTGCATTTCTCATGCCCGTACTGTGACGAGTTTTTTATTGGTTTTGTTGTTTTCTGTACATTAATGCGTCAAGGTCGAAAGCCTCGAGTTGTCTGCAGATGGGAAGAGAGCCGAATCAACTCCGAAAACCGAAAAATTGTTCCTCAACGATACGCAGACCCCCTGTCCACTCTGGCGTCGGCCGCGATGTCCACCACGATGCCCGTCACAACGCCGGTGGTCCAGCCGGAACCACCCCCGGTGGCACCGGCACCCAAGAGCGTCGCCCTGCCCGTGCTCAAGCCCGCCGCATCACCCGCCCCGCCGCAGGTGGCCGCCGCCGCGACCAACGGCGTGGCCATCAAGACCGAAGACGGCGCGGAAACCAAGCCGGTGGGTTGCTCACTTGCGCCGCACGCTTGCGCCGGTTGCTCAGACGCAGATTGAAGTTGGCTCCGTCGAGTGGAAGGATTCGGTAGGTGGTCCTGCAAATGCATAGAGTTTTCTTTGCTTGGTGCGCAGTAAACGCTTCGGGATCCTAAGTAACGAGCTTTGTGCCGTGCCTCCCGACGTGCAGTAAAATCCCACCAAATTTGGATTGGGGGAAGTTCAAGCATTTATGCATAAGCTTTCCATTGAGAGAGCAGCCGATGTAATTACTCGGGCACAAATATTACCTGTGTTAGCATTAGCTGGATTGCGCCAGGGTTGTTGTGGCTTACTCCTAGTTCACTGCCACGAAAATGAGGCATAAGTTAATTTTTTTCTGCCGTACGGTCCGACTGATGCGCGGCAATCGTGTATCGTCTTGCAGGCAATCCAGGAGGCAGTAGCGAAGCCGTCTCCGGCCAAGCGGGACGGCATGTGGTTTGACGTGGGCATCTTCAAGGAGACCTCCTGCCTGGTCTCGCATTTTTACTTGCCATCGGAGCAGACGGAACGCAAGGACGACGTAGGTGGCATTCGCATGCTCTGGGGGACACTATGTAAAAAAGTGAATGTTTGAGCCACTTGTTTGATTTACATGACATTTACAGGGCTTGTATTTGTTGATGTTGAGAATGTTTCTGCCAAATTTTGTTAACCTGGGTGAAGTACAAAAAAAAATTGCAAATGTTCAGAGTTGAAAGTGGGCCTGTCTGCACAGGAAAACTATTGTTTTGAAATTTCTTATAAATTTATCGTTTTCATGTTACATTGATTGCTTTAGGACAGTTCAGAGCAGATAGCTATGGAGCTATATTTCTATATTATACCATCTTTCATTACAATAAAGCCACGTAAACACAACTACTGTTTTTTAGATTTCCATCTTTGTCCAAAATTTTAGTTCTTGAGCATGAAAAATGACAAAAATAAAAAATGCAAGCTCATAGCTATCTTCCCTTTAAAATGTCAACTCAGGAAAACTCATAAAAATGAATCCAAGTTAGTAATAACAAAATGATAGTTCTCCTAAAGTGAAATTTATGACAGAAAGTGGAATGGAGAAAAATGCATTCAAAGTGCTCCAACCTCTACCTTTCGTTTAGCATTGGTGGACCGAAAATAATTTATAAAGAATTAACTATGCAGTGTAAACTAATGAAAGTTTCTGGCAATACTCTCGAGATGTTGGTGGATGTAAATGACGTTTTTCAAAATCAACATTTTTGCAGAAATTGTTTTTTCTGGGTAGTGTTCCAACACTGGTCTTGGAGCTTTTTTTCTTATTTTATGACCAAAGTTAATGAAACTGCACAAGCTTATTCAGCTTTTTGTGCTGATTTCATATATCTGGTCATTTTCTCAGTCGGTAGCATTGTCCTCAAAATAATTAAAACTTGCCTGCCTTTGTTTGGATAAACGATAGAAAAAAAACTGCTCAACAAAATATTCTCTTTAACACATGGCTGGATACTACGAAGTGTAGAGAATACAATGTTGGAAGCACTTTCAAGATAAACTCATTATTAGAGATTTTACCACACATTGAAGTTCAGTGCTCAATGCATGGCCAACAAAACAAGTAATATAGCAAAAAATCAAATAGAAATTTTTCTAGACTTATATTAAAAAATCTGCTCTCAACATTGTATGCCTCACACATTCAGCTATACATTTCAGGAACGGTTATATTTCTATCTGCTCTAGATGTTGAGATATCCCTCCTGTAAATTTTCAACGAGTCCAAAAATTGTGTTTTGTGAAAACAATGTTTTAGAGTCAACTTCAATGCACATACAGCCCGCATAGATATTATAAGTTGATTTATAGCTCAAATATTCATTCACAATATTATAAGCCTGGTAGATGCAGAAAAACAACAGCCATCACTATTTTCAAAAGCATGCAGTTTTAGGAAGTTTTTGGCTCCAAAGACCCATGTCCCCCCTTAAAGGAGCACAAAAGTGGATTTTAAGACTGTCTTGTGTTTTTGCACCGCATATCGCTGCATATTTGAAAACATTTGGAGAAAGGCCCAAAGGCCTCTTTTCCTAAGAACTTGTCTGGATTGTAGTGCATTTGCCGGAAAATAGGTCTACCTTGTCTCTTGAGTCCAAACTTATCTTTTTTTTTGTTGTGTGTTGGACTCATTTGAAAAGCCCCAGTGACTGGCCTCTGCAGGGAAGTAGACTCCTAGACTTTGTTTGTCCGCGATCGAGTGCCCCGTGGCCAGGTGCCTGATCGGCGTGCGAGTGACGCATTCCGTATGCTCCCCCCAGGACGTGGATGTGGTGTCTGTCCCAGACCACTCGATGCTGCAGAAGCAGGAGCTGCTGCCAGGCACGGCCTACAAGTTCCGGGTGGCGGCCATCAATGCCTGTGGCCGGGGGCCCTGGAGCGAGGTGTCCGCCTTCAAGACTTGCCTGCCGGGCTACCCGGGGGCCCCGTCCGCCATCAAGATCAGCAAGGTGGGGCCTCCCCCCTCGAAGTTTCCCATCCTCTGAGGGGCTCTCGGTCACTCTGACCGAGAATCTAGGGGTTTTCCCCCGTCCTCTCGACGACCAACAGTCTCGTGTTGAAGCGGTTTTGGAAGTACCGACGCATAAGCCAGCTTAAATTGTGGTTGTAAACTGGGAAATATATTTGGAGTGGAGGGGGGGGGGGGGGGGGGGGGCAATGAATTAATTATGGGTAGATGAAGAGCTCCGGGTTGGAAACCCTGGGTCTTCGAACCAAACTTGGAAGTAGCAGTCAATTTAATTGGGAAGTTTTGAGACCTTACTAGCTTAGTTGCCTTGAAGTGTTTCTTCTTCTTCGCCTAGAACAAATTGACAATATTTTATCTGGAGCCCTCCTCGCACAATACAGAATATGGGGTGGTTTACTAGGGCGGTATAACTGAGGTTACTGTCTTCTAACGACGCGGGCATCGGGCACATGCAATGGAGAAGTTTTTAAATGGCAAAGCTGTTACGTGTGCCCTGTGCCCTCAACTGTGCCGCTTGTTGGGAAGCGGTGTGCTCGTTCAAAGAATGCAACCGAATAAAGAGGTGACCCACACTTAGCTCGGCATTTGCAAGGGAGGGACTGATTTCAAGTCCCTCCCGCAAAATCCTTGCGTATCGGATTGTCGTCCTATTGGGAACAGAACAATTTCCTTTCTAGTTGAGCGTTCGGACCTTGTTCGATTGGGTGCCAAGACCCTCAAACCTTGTTTGGTGGGGCAACGAGTCTTTTGGGCCCTGTTTGACCGAGAGTCTGAGTCACCCACCCTCGTGCTGTTCAGGGCCCCGACGGAGCCCACCTGTCCTGGGAGGCACCCCAGGGGAACCCCGGGGACGTGACGGAGTACTCGGTGTACCTGGCGGTGCGCTCTGCCACAACGGGCGACGGGGCGGGCTCGGCCAAGACGGTGACCTCGAACCCGTCCCAGCTGGCCTTTGTGCGCGTCTACTGCGGGCCCCAGGCCGCCTGCACGGTGCCCTCGGCCTCCCTGGCCTCGGCGCACGTCGACATGACCAGCAAGCCCGCCATCATCTTCCGCATCGCCGCACGCAACGACAAGGGCTACGGGCCGGCCACCCAAGTCCGCTGGCTGCAGGGTGCGTGGGGCCACGCTAGTGGTGCTTCGTTGTTGGCTGGAGCCCCGCTTCATTTCATACTTGGCGTACGACGCCGTCAGGGCTCCCGGCGAGCCTTCGGCTTTGTATCGTGGTTCATTTGCACGGGCTCTCGTGCAAATGAGATGCAAAATGAAGCCATGCGCTTGCACCGGTAACTTTCACAGCGATGCACACTAAGTTTGAAGTGGAGTGTAGCCAATGGTGGCAGTCACGGAAACCTCGAAATCTCCGCTCGAATGGCGATAATAGAGAAGCATTATTGCCTAATATTCGTGCGGTACCCAGTTGGCAAATCGTGCGTTGGAACGAGTCATCCACTACCTGCTCTATCCTCCCGTAAATGTTTGGCTTCGGCAATGTTCAGAACAGTCTTGTGTTGCCACTAGAGTGTCGGGTTTGGCTCTGGGCAGGGCACGTAGAGGGGCTTTTAAAAAGAGTCCATTGGTTTGCACATACCCAGTTGTTGGGGGAGAGAACAGGGATCGTATCCATCTTCCCGACATTTTTCTATTGGGCCTCGGTCCAACTCCTCGGATTTACGACAACCTCTTTTCTACGACAGATGGAATGACTCCCGCGGGCGGACGCGGCGGTGCTGGAGCTACAAAGAGACCCACCTCAGAAGGGTGAGTGGTAGTTTCCTCCTCCCTTTAAGCCCCTATCCGACCACAAAGCCAAAAGAGTTGGGGAGAGTACCGATTTTACCGTATTTGCACGAGTATAACGCAAGGGCAAGTTTTGATGCCCTCAAAAAAAAACTATTACTATTATAACGCGAGCCGGAGGCCGCATAAGTTTACTGCACTCGGGGGGGGGGGGGGGGGGGGGAGGGAGGGAGGGAGGGAGGGAGGGAGGGAGGGAGGGAGGGAGGGAGGGAGGGAGGGAGGGAGGGAGGGAGGGAGGGAGGGAGGGAGGGGGAGGGGAGGAGGGGGCAATGGAAATCTAAGAAATATGAGCTTATGTTTTGACTGCAGTCATCCTGACCGCTCAGGTCCTTCTGTTTGCAATCCATTAGGCGACTTCGCAGATATGCAGCAGCACGGGGCCGCTTGTCTGGTAGTTCCTTTTGCTTTGGCGCGAGCTGCTAGGCACGAAGCAGAAGCACCAACACACAAACACCACACCACTGTGGAGCAGAAATCAAAGCAGGCAGAAAAAGAGTACTGGACCCATACACCATCACACTCATTCTTCTGGCCCCTCCACATAAACAAACCTCGTGTTGCACGATTGCATGAACACAGTAGGCAGGTGGTCTTGGCTTGGCTTGTGTTGACTTGACTTGACCTGGCTTGGCTTGAATTGGCCAGTGCCTGCATTCCTGCAAGGCGCGCTGCATTTCTGCGGCGTGCTTTTTAGCGTGCGTTGTAGAAACCCGAAAGCGATAAAACATTTATGTGTTCTGTTCCCCCTTCCCCCCTTCACGTGGCCAAATAGCTTACAAATTCGCTCCCACGCCCTCACTTCTTTTCCCACCTCGTCTCCTGCATTGAGCCGGAGGGTTCACTCTCCATATTTAGAGTAGCCAACCGTTTCATCCCCTTCCCCAACTCGGAGTAGCCAACCGAGGCTGGCCGATTTGGTTAACCTCCGTTTTCTCCTCCTGCCCTTATCTTCTTCTTCTTCTCCAGACTCGCATGCCTCGTGGCTGAACTCGATTCCGAATATACGTGAGCTGCATTTTGAGGCACGTAATTTCGAAAAAAAAACTCGCTTTATATTCATGCAAATACGGTAATTAGTATCCTGCCAACCTCAGTCAGATCACTGCGCGATGGCAGACACTATGCTACCAGTGCTTTCTGGAATAGCTGCTGCAGTTCAGAGAAGCCCACGCAGGTACTTCTCTGAGTGTTTCAATTCGGTAGCAGCATTCTGTCGCGTTTTGCAGCCTCCGACATAAAATCGACCGAGGAAATAATGAAACTCTTCCCTCTCGCAGGAAAGGGGCAGCCGCCAAGAAGGCCAAAAACGAGGACTCCTGAACACGAACGACGACGACAGAACTGGCATCGTTTTAACCCTCCATTTTTTTTTATCCAGTTGCGCATTGTTATTTTTTCGTTGTCGTTTTTTTGTGTCCTCCACGCTGGGATTTGTTTTTTGGGGAGAAAATCTCGACAAGCTGCCCTCTCTCCTTCCGATAGACCCTCTGAGGGTGTGTTGACTGGTCCCCCTTCCTTTCTTGCACGTTTCCTTTCTTCGGTAAATAGCGTGTCTCTTCCGTTTACCCTTGGTTCCTCTTCGTCCTCTTTGGGCACACCACCACTACATTTTGCGGCATAGCACGCGGATTACCCCGGCATTCTCTATATCTTCAGACTTTTTCATCCGCTGTACATAAAAGCTTCGGATTTTAGCTGCGGCGACGTCCCCTCGGTCCGTCGACGACGACCGGCCGTTGGGTTCACCGGTAGATTGCATTCGCGAGCTGGTTCCCTTTTTTCTCCCCCGTCTCCGCTGCCTCCTTCGCGACTACGGATATTCATTTTTGCAGTAGCTGCAGAACCCCCGGCGATACCCGCACTCGAAACGTATTTCGGTGAACTTTCTTTTTGTCCTTTTTTTGGGGTCTCTTGTTTTGTTTTGTCTGTCAATCATCTCTGCAGCACTTCTTATCATAATTCTGCAGTCAGGCACACATAGCTTTAACATTTAGAGTGTGCACTCCCACGTGAGGAGAAGAGGGGAAAAAGTTTGACAACAATGTTCACCTCAGAACTGTATATAGCACTACATTTTCGTCCCGTTGTTCCTTCCCCTTCGTTATGTTCCGTTTGTCGTTTTCTTTTTAATCGCATTCATTGGCACCAAAATTTGACCTGTTGTTCTTTTTGTATAGCATGCAACAACGGACAGAAAAAATATTTTGAGAGATCCTTTTTTTTTTGTGTGTTGTACAGTGTTTAGAGCTGATTTGTCAGAGATGATTCATGCCACAAAGGTGACAGTCCGACTGGGTGTCCCCTACCCCTGTAGGTGCCACCCCACCAGGGTGGCCTTCTGCCCACCATCTATTTTTTTTTTAAGTGCATCAGCATGTTGCTTGTCTACCTACCCAAATCATCACTGTTTTTGTTTTTGTGAGAAATAAAGCAGTTGTAGACTTTTACAGGAAGCCTGTGTTTTCTTTTTCACCTGTATCTTCGGATTGCACGTCGACTATGATGCAAATGGTCATTGGTATACACTTGTAGACTACTTATTCCTGTCTTCGAATTGTGAGGCTAGTTGCAACTGGCAAGAACAACTAAAGCGACCTGGTTAAAGCCTGTAGAGTGGTAACTGACATGTTGCTGAGACTTAACTTCAGGACCTTGAAGAAGCTACTTACTAGCTGTTTCGGTGACATCTTGGCTGCCAGTTTAAGGCTAGCTACCGTAAATAGCTTTTCAAGTCATTTGTCACTTGGTAGATGAAATTTTTATTTCAGCCCAACTGTTTTAGGTAGGCCGCAGAACCTTTGCGAGACAATTTATGAAGGCTTGGCAGGTTGTGTCGTAGTTTGCGGTAAGTCTTGCATCGGGAAATTTCCTAAGCTAGGGCAATTGTGGACGCTCGTAAAGATAAGCGTGTACTAATTGGATTAGAGCTGATGTTGCTTCCTTGCCATTTCTTTTTTCTTTTATTGGTTATCTTTTATTTTACCTGAACGTCTTCTTGGGAGGTGATGACATATGGTGCTTCTGAACATTGGTACACGGAATACTGTGTCCCGTGCTTCAAGCCACTTGTGTGTGGTTCATCACTTTGACCCGACATTGAGCAGAGAGTTTCGTGTTTTCAAGACCAGAAGGTAAGACTGGGAGAAGGACCTTGTGATGAATCTCCGCAGTGGCCCACTTGGCATGCTTCTGTATCGGCAGGTTGGGTGTGAGAGCAAGGTTCTAACAATCGTTCAGCAAAGTAGAAAGTTATGCGAAGTACTAGCAAATTTCAATAAACTGGCGGTTGATTAGGCTGCTAAGTGGCACTAGTGATTGCGTGGACTACGGTTGGGTAGCTGCCCTTTTTTATTTTCTTAGTTTTGGAGGACTTTGGTTCGGTGGCTGCCCTTTTTTATTTTCTTAGTTTTGAATTAGTTTGGCATACAGTAGTTGTTTATGCACCAACTATTAATCCTGTGCTCTGTTCATTCAAAAAGTGAGTGGATCTTGAGAAAGAAAATGCGCTGGTCCGAATGGTCCTGCCAGTTTTTGTGACGCTACCACCGCATGACTTCGAGACTAACACTGTTGCACTTAATGTGTATATTTTCTGTTTGTGCATCAATCCCTCGCTAAAATGAAAGCACCTTAATTTCTCTGATCTGATTGTGTGTGTAGCAGTTGACCGCTTGCTGGAGGATTCCTGCATGGCTCTAAGCAGCCTTCTGGAATTCACTCGGTGTGAAATCTCGTCACCTTTCCATGGCTGACAAGGGCCCCTCGCTGGACGTTGCGTAAGTAAAAGTTTCTAAGAAAAGTTTTATTCGGTTGATCCACTTACACAACCACTGGACAAATGCAGCATATTGTAATCTCAAAGTTTCTAAAAGATAATTATTCAAAATAAGCAACATATCTGTAGCACAAAGTGCAGTAATTAAATAGCAGGATAAGTTAAGTGACTGCAGCTTCAGTTGCACCAGAAACCTGCCTATAGACCTTTCTGGAAAATTCCAGGAGACCTCGTGGCGAGGGGAATTGTGGGGCTGTTCCGACGTATGCTCGTGCTGACTCGACGATTTGTATATCCTGGAAGTGGCACGGTTCATTCTTATCATCAGGAGCTCTGAGGGCACAGAAACAAAGCAAACAAAAAGGTCATAGCATGTTCTGTTTTGCTTTTCTTCTATCTTCCTTGCATTCTAAAACCAGAAAATGTCTTCGTCTTCTCGAAAATCTCGCATGCCAAACAATGGAACGTCGTAATGCGTCAAGCAGACGTTGGAGGCACCACTTGTAGCTGGAAATGTTTATTCATCCCCTGGTTACTCATCCTTGCCATTTTCGAAATATTCATTTTCATTTGGCCAATTACAATTTAAGACATTTTGACACATTTTCGTTGTTGGAAATAAAATACTTTTTATGTGTTTTCATACAATCTTTGTGTAGTCGTGAAAGGGTTGATCAAGCAATAATTTTATGGCACTCACAAATTGGAGGTGAGATTTAATTGCAGTGAGCTCACAATGTGCACCGAGAAAGTCGTAAAAAGACTACTTTTCGGCGCAGTCTTCTTGATGGTCTAAAAACTCGTTAAGCCGAAATTAGCTTGTCCAGCATTCTGTACTGTTCTGGCCATCTTATTGGCAGCCCATATGATGTCTTCGTCGAGTACTGAAGGCCTCAAATGTCCTGTTCAGACACAGCTGAAAATATCGCAACAGATTGCAAGTCGAGTGTTAAGTCATTGCATTGCCGTACACCTTGACAAACTACCTATTGTAGATCTCAGTCGACGCATCTTCAAATTCATGCGTGTTCATGGTAACTGCCAGCTGAACAACAATCTGGCACGAAGGATCTTGTACAGTGCATGGTGTAGTGGGCCTATACATGTCACTGGTCCTTTTTTGCATTGTGAACATAGAACCCTTATGTGCACAATGCAAAACAGTACCAATGACATGCACAGGCCCTCTAAAAGTTGGCCTAAACATGTATAGGCCCACTAAAAGTGGGCCTAAGTGTCGGACATTAAATGGTACTGTTGGCACTAAAAGAGGTTAGCATAAACAAGCGATTGCTAGGTCAACAGAAGGGAAACACGTGCTGTAGTTGCACAAACACAGCGGGAACGAGATTGCCTTGCAGTTGCCATTCTTTGGGGCTAAAGGGAGGTCGGAAGACAGCAGCCTTTGTCAAAGTGCACTTTTGGAACGCCGCTGCTCTGCCTCGGGCTGCTTTCAGTGGTCACGCATGACCGTGCATATGGGGTCTCTTTTAACGCAGCATGTGTTATGTGGCTGGAATCTAACCATATCCGGTAAGGTGCCAGCAATGGAAATCAACAGGCCGACTGCCAGCCGAACGCTAATGCAGCATTTGCCCCACATTGACTGGACACCGGTGCCAGCCAAACCTCTCCCTCGAGTGCCTCCGTGTTACTCCCGGCGGGGGTAAAACATCGCATGTTCAGACATGTAGCGGTGCTCTGCTCCCTGCAGCGAGTGCGCTCCGGGCTTCTCCAGAAATAGAGCGCAAGAGAGAGTGATGGAACAGCGGAGAGAAGAAAGGCGGACTCTCTTGCCGGGCAATGGGTCGAGGTAGTTCCGAATTTTTGGTTTTCTTTCGCCGCAAGCCGGTGCCAGGCCTCTGCTGAATGCTGCTGCATTTCAATTGTCATGTTTTCCACACACTTCGTCGACTGTGTCACTCTCCAACAGGCTCCGGGAAAGTGCATTATGCTGCAACCACGGAAGCTGGCACCCACAAACAAGACATCCAGAGAGCGCTCACGTGCTTACCTTGCGCGACACAGGGCCGCTTCGCGCCATCCAGTCTTCACACGTTTCTCTACACTAACACATCACATTCTGCGTTACCATCGCCTTTGCCACACTAGTACGGCAAAGGGGCTACTTTTTAAAATTATTATTCACCAATTTATAATCAAATTCGAAAGGATCATAGATGACAGTATTAATGTACTAGTACATAAAACTTAGTTGCAAACAATAGCTGGCTGCTGAAACACCCCTGGAATAGAAATGTGGGAACAGCCCAAACACTCTGGCTCTCGGTGTTTTCACGACAATGCAGTGCACCGTACAGCAATTTCACAATCCCAGCCATTGATCGCTTGTGCTAATCCCTTTTAGTGCCGACTGTACCTTCTAAATTGGTTCCATACATGTGATCACGCAACTTTCCTAGTGATTTTGATGAAAGCCTTTCAATCGTGCAAGGAAATCCACGATTGTGTTCGAGCTAACCATGCTGCGCCCTGTGCTCTAGTCTAGACCAAGGGCCCGACACGTAGTGATGCACTCACCGTTGTCGTGGCCCTCTGTGAACCACCATTCACAGTGCCAAACCCTGGCGGCAGCGTCTCCAGATAAGCGTGAGCAGTGAGACCAGCAGCAGCCGGCCCACCTCCTTTGTCGAGGAGACCAGCGTCACCAACCTGAGCATAGTTAAAGAGCAGGAAACTGGCGAAGATCAACCGGACCACCCATCCATCAGCCTGGAGGTTCCACCAACCTCGATGACCGTCGAGGTCGACGACAACGATACCGGTGTCAGCGCGGGCGTCAGACTACTCCGCGCCCAGATGGCGAGCGGAGAGCTGCGGTACGGCCCCTGCGTGCGCAAGATCTCGATGGCGACGGAGGAGGAGCTCTTTTCCGTGCGGAAGACATCCTTTGTGCCGACGATAACCTCCAAGGGGGACATCGAAGACGACCTCTGGTTCGAGGAGTCCATCCGAGCCACGGCCCTCCAGGTGTTTGTACCGTTCCTGGCTGCCGGCTTTGGAACCGTTGGTGCTGGTCTACTCCTGGACATGGTTCAGGTGGGGCTTTGACAAAATTGCCCAATGGGCCCCAAGTGCTCGACGAACGGCCTCGGCCACTTGTCTGGTCTTGCAGCACTGGCCAGTCTTCCAGAAGGTCACGGAGCTATTCATTCTGGTGCCTGCACTGTTGGGCTTGAAGGGGAATCTGGAGATGACCATGGCTGCTCGCATGTCCACGCAGGTATACTTCCTGCCTCCTTTATACATTCTAACTGACATTCAGTGGTGCTACTGCAAAATTGTGATTTGGAGCAATTCTTCGAGCACCTGAAGACAAATTTTTGAGCACTTTGGAGCACCTAAAACTGGCTTTCGGATCACTTTGGAGCACATAAACGTAAAGTTTGGAGCCCTTTTGAGCACCTAAATATCACTTTCCAAAGTACCTTTGCGTAAGCAGTTATGAAAACTTATGATCACTTAAATGTATTTAAGAGAATTTTAAAGTTTGCCAATCTCCTACCAAGCTTTTTTTTTTTTTTTCTGGGGATAGTATCAACCAATTTAATGTTGTTCCTCACAGGCTTAACTATGAAAAATGTATGTGAGAAATTACTAAACAGATCTTTCTTATATAAAGTTGACACAATTGTTGATGTAAGTTACTGTGTATTGTTTATTTTGAACTTAAAGAACCTACCAAAGGTCTGTCCCTTAAATCTTTTGCAGCTTTTCGTTTATGCCTGCCAGCATAGTCATGTTTTCGAAAAGGCTTAAGTTTTCCTCAGAAAGAAGCCCCTGCCCCCGATCCTATTTCTTCCGTTCAAACTTGTCGTTTAGAGTTTTATTTTTATTTTAGGTATACTGTTAACCCGTTAGGGTTGTTACAGGGGTGCACAAGGCACGAGAATACATATGACCAAATACAAAAAGAAACAAGGACACTGTATCAACAACATTTCAAACATACAAAAATAGCGCTTGACATTGAATTTATAAATCGTCAAACAGCGACGAAGCAAAGACATCACACAATAACATCACAATTTTCTCATGATTATACGTATAGCGGTTGTTTATAGCGGTTGACCACAGCCACTAAGTGTCCTTCACTTTGTCGCGGCTCAGGTTGCACGTGGCTAGGGTAGGTGGCGCAAGTAGCCGCCTAATTTGGCCAATCACACATTTTGGCACGATGTGGCAAAATATGGAGGATTTTTATCATGATGACGGAGGATATTGCTTTTGGCGCAAAATGGTGCAAAAGTAGAATCACTGAACATTTAACGGCTTTACATATATGTGGCAAAGATTTGGTTGATGCATAACATGTACATATCTTTTCAAGGGCAATGGGCTAAGTAATAACTGCTACATATGCTACTTGATGTTCAATTGAGGAAGCGACATAGCCACAATTGAAAGCTTGTTGTAGTGTTGAAACTTTATTTTTTCTGCTTTTAGGCAAATTTAGGCCACATGGATACCCTTCGGGAGCAATGGAAAATGGCCAGCGGGAACATGGCACTGGTTCAGGTACTGCCAACAGCTGCTAAACCTCGCAGAATATACATGCACAATAAATTCTTGACTACTGCTCAATCATGTGAATGATTGCAGGAGTAATTCGAGTGATCCGTGCGTCTTCGCAGTGTCAAGCGACAGTCGTGTCTCTACTGGCATCCATCTTTGCCATGATCATGGGATTCATCACGGAGCGTCGCTTCGACACCCACAACGCACTCATGCTTTGCGCCAGCAGCTTGGTCACTGCGAGCGTGGCCAGCCTCGTTCTGGGTGGGTAACACGCTTGTTGTACTTCAAGCGCGTCTCTATTCAACGAGTAGCCTTCATTATTTTATAGAAAGTATGCACCGTGTGCATCTGATGTAGAGCCACTCTTTTACCCCCAAGCTTGGAAATACATTGATGCTGCAGTGCCCTGGAGAATGCATACTAGCATGCTTGTCCCCCTGGAGGTAGTACTTCCAGCATCAGAGCATAAAGTCTGCATGTCCATGCCGTTACAGGGTCAGGCATACTCAAACCGGCGGATCGCATGCAGCCCGTCGCGTCTCTAAAACCTCGTTGTCCCGGCTCTTGATACACTCGACCGAGATGGATGTTGCACTTGTGTGCCATTGAATGTGTCATGCCATAAGCTCTCAGTCCTCAGTGTTGTCTCTTCAAAGCTTCGGGCAAACGTTGCTTAATATAAGATCTATTCAAGACCGCAACATTTATGCATTCCATACTTGCTTGTATCTTGCAAGCATCGGACCCATACCAATCTCTCGTGTGGTGGCTGCAAACGCAGGCTCGCTCATGATTGGCGTCGTGATCCTGTCACGCAAGTACCACATAAACCCGGACAACGTGGCCATACCAATTGCGGCGTCGCTAGGGGACATCACCACACTTGCCCTGCTCGCTGGCTCTGGGAGTCTGCTTTTCAATGGCACCGGTGAGTTATCGGGCCTCAGTGTCGACCGCCAATTTTACATCAAGGATACGGTGCGAACCGAACGCTTCTCCGACTGCAGAGGATGTCCGCCTCTATGTGTGTGTGGTCATCTTCTTCATGCTGTTCATTCCACTGTGGGTGCTCATAGCCCGCAGCACAACCTACACGTCCGAGGTGCTCTGGAGCGGATGGATTCCCATCATCTCGGCCATGGCTATCTCGAGGTGAGACTCCCGTAAGCTCTCAACAAAGTCAACGTTTTAGGGATGCCACCTAGACACGGGATCTCCATCTTATCACTAAGGTGCACGAGGGTGCACCCAACTTTGCCGGCAGCCATGATCTTGTGAGAATCACCATTACGTTCCTGACCAACCGACTTCTTCGGCTCACCACGTTATTGTGAAGCCACAGGCTGTTCAACGTTGTTTGTGTACTTGGTAACAATTACATGCTTAGCAGGACGAGTTGTTTCAAGCTTGCTTCACTGCAGTTGTTTCCTCTTCTCCCTGCTAGTGGTTGTTGCTTCTTTTTGGTTTTGAACTCTGACAGTAAGTGGGAGTTCTGCTATATTTCTCCTGGTTTGTGGTTTGCTCAAGCGGGCTGGATAGCTCTGTTGAGCAGGCTTACCACCGCACATTGGTGCAGTGCAGAGGAGCAACCTTCGCTAGGTTAACATCGCTGTCCCAGGTACTTTGCTTCATCGCTCCGCTTCATTTTTGTTTTTGAAAAAACAATGCATTCCTCTTCAGTATCACCTAGGAAGACCACACGTCAAGTATTACGACCTGGTTTCGTCTAAATGTTTCTTAAAGGGGGGGGGGTGCAACGATTTCCGGACTTCGGTCAAAGATTTCTGGAAGTTTCCCTCTGACACTTCTTAAGTAAAGAACAGAAAATCGATTTCACCTGCGTGTCCTAGTTGTTCCGTAAAAAAAAGATAGAGATTGGGCACCCCTTAACTCACTCCCAGCCCTCAGGGTCACACCTGGTCCCCCTCCTAGTGACGTCATTCGGAGTGCCGTGTAGCTTCCCATGTGCTCTCTCAGAGGACGCTTCCTCTCCCCCTCTCTGCTGACATTAGCGGGCGTTATGCTGCAGCTTAGAGCCGAGCAAGGTCACGTAATCTTTTCGTCGTAGTTCCTTCGGCTGCCACTTGGGGCTGCAGGTGGGGGAAAAAGCTCAAATTTTGCTTTGCGATTATGCAGCGGAATCGCAACATTTTTAATGAAGGAGGTGTTTTCTGTATCCTCCAAGACACGATAAACGTAAAAATGACGAGATGCAAATTATTTTAATCATAAAATCGTTGCACCGCCCCTTTAAACGATCTGGCAAACTTTGCAACTCGCCAAGCTGCCGAAATTCGCTGACTCAAGTGGCGATTTGAGGCACAACCAGCAGCACAGTCAAGGCTACGGCATGGGCGTAGCAAACATTGGGCTAAAAGTCATCGCTAGCAAGAAGGGGCTTCTTGCTTGTTTTTAAATCTCCGGGCAAGAGTAACGGGTGACATCGGCAACGTTGCCTCTCATCGCTCAACGGTGTCCACATGATTTGCGTACCGCGCCTGCGCAGCGCTCTTTTTGGGAGCCGTCCGGCCGTCCCGCTGTTACCGCATCGTCATCTCATGGTTTGTGATTATTTTCTCTCAGAGTTTCGTTCACACTACGAACACCATGCGCGCAAACTTATGCCGCAGTTGTGCAGACGTCGTTGAATGTCACAGACACCAAAACGTGGTGAACAGTGCGGTGCAAACAACACTTGCGCCTGGCACACGCCCACCCCAATCACGCCCGTCGTTGTGTAGACGATCACGTGACATCTCATACCACGTGATGCCCATGTTCTTGGCGGCCCGAAGCCAATGTTGTTGGACGGAGCCGAAGTTTTGGCTTCGATTTCTGCTTGTGTTTAAAATTAGATTTAACAACATATATCCCATCTCTACAAGGAAGATTCATTTTAATTCAAACCAATTTTTAAAAAAAAGTGGCATCTTCACCATATACTGTATTTACTCAAGTAATAGCCACACTGTTTATGAAAAAAAACTTTGAGGGTTCACTTTTCCGCGGAGCACGCAGATTGCCAATCACAGTGATCGACAGCATGATTTCAGCTGTTACAGGACAGAGATAACGTCTTCGTTCGAAAATACCTTTTGTGAAGATTGCATTTGTATGGAGAATCATGTTCTCGATCTGGTTATTTGTTATGTTATTTATGCGCAATGATTGGCTGTATATGTGTTCTGTGCAGGGGTGGAAGCGCTGCACCAATTGCGCCATTGTGCGCCAATCCACTTTTGCTGTGCCATCCTGCTCTCAAGCGCACATGTTGCGCCAAAACTAGCCAAACAAGTTTTTTTTTTTTTTTTTTTTTTTTTTAAGGCTATATTTGTTGGAGTACTCTTTTTTTTGGGCCACAGTGGTTTACCGTGTTCCGTTTGTTTAGGTAATTACGAAAAAAAAAAATAGGGACTTCTGCAGCACTCTTTTTGAGTATGAGTTTTAAATCGGGCGAAAAAAGTGACAATTGATTGATTAATATACAGTCGACTCTCGTTAATTCAAAATCTCTTAATTCAAACTTTCGGATAATTCAAACTAACGTGCAGGTCCCATCCTATGCGTCTCTATGGGAAGAAACTCCTGATAATTCAAACTTTGCTTTATTCAAACAAATTTTCGGCCCCCCTCGAGTTTGAATTAATGAAAGTTGACTGTATAATGAACTGTTGCCTTTTCGCAAATTCTTTAATTTGGTCTGGCCTCTAACAGTAATGGTTACCAATACTGCTATTTCAGCATGACCCCTAAAAGCAATATTATGAACTTCATTAAGAGACTCTAGTTAATTAGTCAACTTACCGCGACAATTATCCCCACATCTAATGTTTGCCGAGCCTGATAAAGACATGGTGAAGACAGAGCTCGTACAACTCTCACCCTATTTTTAAAAAATCTTCGAATTAAAATCAAACACTTTGTAGAGGCCTCTGACTGTTTGAGGCAACAGCCAATGAAGTTTAAATAAAAACTAAAGGAGCTTTAGCAGTGGAAGAATGGCAGTTAAGAAAAACTTTAACGAGTTCAGTCCAACTCTTTTTGGGAAGCATATTTATCGCCCGCATGCCGATCTTGCATCATCATAAAGCTTACATGAAAAATGCTATTGATGTCTATAAATAAATGACAAAAGCTGCTTTTTCTAACTTGATTAAAACTTGCACATTTTCATTTCAACCTTCAAAACTTGAACAAGACATGCAATGTGGTATTCAGAGTTATTCTATTCTATCATCATTACAGTAAAATACTATTTTGTTTGCTTTAGATTTCATACCTAAAATAACCATTTATGAATGTTCATCATGCTATTCCCTTCAACAGTCAGCATGGGTTTAGAAAGTGGCTGCTGCAGTCCCATCAGTTTGAAGGCGTTTTCATTGCTTCTGCCTATGTTCGTGCTTGCCATTAATTAGCAAGCTGCTAATTCTGGGCACAGGAAATAAAAAGAAATAAGAGACTGCAGTCACTTGAAAATGATGTGGCAGCTTTACTCATGGAGCGTCTCGTTACAGCCTCGGGGGATCCATCCTGGACATGACGGTGCCAACGTTCGAAAACCTAGCCGTCTTCCAGCCCGTGATCAGTGGTAGGCAACTTAATGAATGTGTACATTGGAAACTGCCCTCATCCCATCTCCTATTGATGACATCCTCCGCTGTTTTCTCAGGTGTGGCAGGAAACTTGGTTGCCATCCAGACGAGCAGGCTCTCGACCTACCTGCACCAGCGGACCAAGATCGGGACACACCCGCACTCGGCCGGCGTCTGCATCGACCCCTGCTCGGCATTCTTCGGCAAAGGCAAGTGAAACGCCGTGAGGGCAAACCACCGTCCACCAGCCGAGGGTAAACTGAAAGCCACATGCACTCAATGGCGAATATAATGTTCAATCTACTTCGTTACAACTGAATATTTTGTGCAACTGGCTCAACCACCCAACCAAGACTTGAAAACACTTTGTTTTGTTTGCACATCTTGTCAAGTCTCGTGCTTGTTGGCTGGCGATACTTGGTCTAACTACAATCACCTCCAATGTGTCACTTTAGTGCACAAACTTGGAGCAACGCGGTCGAAGTTTGTGGTCGTCCAAATTATCTCGGCAGGCAGCGTGCACTGGCTAAAACAGACATTCTGTCATTTGTGGCTTGTAGGTGATCAAGGGGGCTCGATTGAATTTAGGAGTCCTCTCAAAAGACCACTCGCTCGCCGTTTGCGCGCAGGTCGCAATGCAAGAACTGCCAGAGTGCTGATGATGATGGTCCTGCCGGGGCATCTGGTGTTCACGTACACCATCAGCTTCCTCAGGCCGAGCCACATGTCCATCACGCCCGTCTTCTTGCTCGTCTACTTCTCCTCGGCCATTTTCCAGGTCAGTCTCATCTCGGCACATACCACCAGCTAAGGTGCCCAAGGACTGCCCCTTTGCACGACTCTGCCGTAGCAGACGTATGAAGGCCTAATGCATCGCAGTAGGAACCATCTAAGTGTTGCGACTGACAGCGCAGCCATTAATTCTGTTGGGGCAATAGAAACGGGGGAAATGCCGTATATTTTCATCAGTCGAGATTGCAAGGATAATGCCCTCAATGCTGACCAGTGGCCGTCCTTCGGCAAATCAGATTGTCAAAGTCGAAGTGTAGGCCCGTAGCCGCTTCCGCAGCTCGCCCACAGACTTACCGACAAAATATTATTGTTGCAGCATGTTTTCCACCGAGCGAGTCGAATAAACTGCCGAGACAGGCAGTGAGGCACGTTGACTATGTAATGGCCCCATACAGCATTACAGCTCTGAAAATCTATCTTACTTCACTATTGATGAAACATGTTGATGATAAGATGTGAACACGCAATAAAAATCCCGCAAAGATGTTTTTTGTTCTCTGCTAGTGAAGTGCATTGACAAAGTGAGGTGCTTATGCAGTGTTACACCTGCAAAGACGTCGTTGCCCGACACGCCGTGACCCCGTGCAGGTATTCATCCTACTGTACCTGTCGCGCTGCATGGTCTACTGGATGTGGGGCCGCAAGATCGACCCGGACAACGCGGCCATCCCGTACCTGACTGCGCTGGGTGACCTGTTTGGCATCGGCCTGCTCGCGCTCTCCTTCCACTTGCTCAGGGCTGTGGGCGACGTAAACGCCGCACCGCGCCACGCTCGAGACCACCTCTGGGATGACCTCCTGCCCGACCTCGCTCCGAGGAACATCTCCGTGCCGTTTGCTTAGAAACAGGAATCGCTACTTTGATAAAGAAAAGTTCTTTAAGTAAGGTTTTCCACCTCTCCTTTTTGTAGCTCTAACTCCATCTTCATGCTTCCAGAACTCTAGAAAGCCGTAAACTAATGGCACGCACGTCCCGCTCGAATACAACAAACGCGATTCAAAATTGAACTGAATACGTTGGGAAAAGTCGAACGTGCCGAGACGAAAAAAATAGGCACCAGTGCCGGCACCAATAGTGTTTCTCCTCATGCAGCTGACACATCGGGAGAACTAATGCCGAGCAGCAATCGCTCCAGTTACAAGGGGAAAGCAGAGTCTGGACAAGGCCATGCTTTTGATTGACAGCGGACCATTGGATCAGGCCCAACTAGAACCTTCCCCCCCCCCCCCCCCCCCCATTGTTGTCAAAGTAGTGGCACCACCATGGCAACGAGGACAAATGCTAGAACGTGGAACACCACACTTTCTCAAAAAACAACAGTCTGGGCATTTTATTGCTCAGTGTCTGGAAGAATGCTTCCTCTCTGGACTAGAAATAGGCAGGTGAAGATATTTTTCTGACACACACACATCCAAAGCGGAACAGCTGCCTTGCAAACATTCAAGCACTTTAACACGCACCACGGAGATGGCCCCCAGTGCTCACGCCTTGGTGAGCAACTTCTCCGACGAAGACGCCATTGGCAGCATGGCAGCTGCATTCTTCTGCTCTTGAAGCTGTCAAGAAAGTGCAACCTAGAGTCAAAAAAGAACTCTCAGCTAGAAACTTACTAGCTTACTAACACCTGACGACCCTTTGGAAATATTTGGTACAGTAATTTCAACACTTTGGTCACTGCGAAATTTGTTGTGCGATCTGGATCGTGTTATGCGTGCTATGGCTTTCAATAAAGCAACAAGTTTTCGCTGTTCTAACACAGAATGTGTTATATGGCTGGCACATAACCCTATCTGGTTAGGTGCCAGCAACGGATGTCGACAGACCGACGCTAATGTAGTGCTTGTCTCCTCGCTGATCGCACAACAATGGCGGTTGGCGGTTAGACTTCATACGAGTTCTTATCCGCGTAGTCGCAGATATACCTGAGCGTGCCGCCGGATGCTAGCAATATATATCGCCTAAGAACGGTGCCGTTGCCTTTCGGTAGCTTTGCTTTTCGTGCTAAGTGAACTTCGTAGGGCGCTTTTTCTTTGGCAAAAGGCACCCCGAAAGTGCCCTAAAAAGGTTTGCAATTTATAAAGCATGGTTACTGTGGCGCGCCCCCGACCAGTCGTGGGTGCGCCTCCATCAGTGGAGACGTGCCACAGTACCTTGCCGTGTCATATTGGTACCTAATATGACATTTGCACGAACTGAGTAAATGCAAAAAATTTTACCCCGTGTAATGAACACCCCCGCTAAATATCTGTCAATTTTTCGGGAAAAAAAAGGTGTGTTCATTATGCGAGTAACTACAGTAAACAGTTTCTCAACACTAACAAATCACAGTCTGTATTACCACTGCTTTTGCACGTTAGTACGGCAAAGGAGCAGCATATTTTAGAAAATTTTTCAGATTTTTCTTATATAAATGTTACTACTTACTGTTATTCTTATACTGCTACCCTACTACCACCACTACTGCTAACTGCAGCAATCACCTTTCTCAGCAAAATGTAAAGGCGCAAACGAGCTGGTGTACATTGCACATGGTCGAAAAAAACCCAAGACTGCGGGTAAAAAAGTCTAGAGACTTTTTAGTGTTGTGTCGCTTACCCGCAGCCTCGGGGTTTTTTCAACCACCTTTTTCAGCATGGACTTGCTGAATGCAATGACTATCCGCCTTTATGACATTCACGAAACTCTGCCAAGTTGCGTGCTTAATCGTGCCCTGTCTACCAGCGGTGACTGTAGAGCTTTCTGGAGAAAGGCGCTATCTGTAACACATTGACATTACGCAACGAAAAGACATATTGGCACCTCTAACGCCTTCAACCTGGAATATGCGTGTGTCTGACGTAGCTGTGCATAGCCAACACGGCGGCTAGAAGTGGCAGACTTTGGCGACTTGGTGCATGTCGAACTTGGTTGGTCAAGTCGGTAAACTTTTAAGGCAGAACTACTCCGTAGCATTTGATGCGCGGTCTCTCTAAGGCCAGCAATCTGATAACGAACAGGAGGTCTTGCAGATGTCCCGCCACCGGCACAAGCTTTCTACCTTCAATAACGCACGAGCGTGTGTGCTAGGGGTCGGGTATTCGAAAGGGACGCTCTCATTCTGTCTGCGACTAGAGAGGATACTAAAAAAAATGGCATTGTTGCTCTCTGTTGTGCTGCACATAATCTCGTCGAGAAGCGAACAATGCAACACCAAGTCGTTCCCGGCATAAAACTGCCAGCTCAAGCCCCGTCTGCTGGGGATGGCACGCACCTTGAAGTGGGTGTACATGAAGACCCCGCAGAGGGTGAGCACAAGCCCCAGCCCCTGGACCGGGAGGAGGGGGTCCTGGAACACGATGAAGCCGCCCGCCAGGATGAGCACCACCTTGGTGTGCCCCACCACGTTGTAGCTGGACGCGGCCAGTCAAGGTGCCTCTGCCACGCAACGTGGTCGCTCAACCGATGGTGGCAAGAACCCGCCTGCCCGCCCGGGGAGCCTCCGATGTTTGCCGAGAACACGTGGTCGTGCCTGGGGGTCTCGCTATGGTGGTTGCTGTTGCTCAGTTCCTAGCCCTGCTACTGCTGCTCTGGCTATATAACAGTACCCATTCCAAGTTGGGTGCAAAGCTGCGCCACTGCTTTTACCAACTTTGGGAAAATGATAATAGGATATTATCTGCACTGGAGTGTCTGGAACGTGCCTCCGACTGGTCTGTTTAGTATTCGCACCGCCCCCGTGCCGAAGTATCCCCGAAAGGTTAAGACAGGGAGCCACCGGAATTGCTATAAGCTGGTTGTTAAAGTGCCTGCAAAGAAGACCGGCACCTGCTGGAGTTTCCACTGAGCGACTGGTTGCAGGTTGAGCTACGGTAGAGTAGGCGTTCTCAACAAAATTCACCTTCGCAGTCACATCACCGCCAGGATTGTGGCATTACATGGTCGATAATGACGACGAGGACTGTGACGTTCGCTTGATAAAAGCGCAGGGTGAAAAGGAATCCAGTCCACACTGAAAGCTAGGAACAATCGGACGAAGTGAGGGAAACTGACTATTAGAACGAGGTGACTGCCGCTGAAAAGAGGCGATACTCTACAGCAAACACAATCCCCGATTTTCACAATAATTTACGGATAGTCAAATGATTGGGTGTGTGACCTCTCAGTCTGGCACCCTCGATTGGCGCCTACTTGGTTGCCGGCAGCCAATGGGAAAACTCTAATTTCCTTTCTTGCAACGCAGTGCCCCAAGAAGTCAGTGATTAAAAAAAAAAAAACTACCCCCCCAAATGCCCCCCCCCCCCGGCTGCTGTCACAAGCTGGGGAAGATTGAAAGAGAATGTTAGGAAAGTTGGGCTCGACGACCTTAGGGATATTTCAGGGGCAAAAACCAAAATACCTAAGGCTGCCATTAATCCTTTGATTGATGTTTTTTTTTGTTTTTTTTCCCTCATGCCGAATGCAGGTTTTGATCTCAGTAATACAGCTGCATGCTCTGCAACTGAAACCGAACGGGAACGCATATCCAAAGAATTAATGGACATACAAACATTTTTTTAAAAAGTGGGGCATATATGCGTTTTACTGCATGCGCACAGCAGCTACAGAAGCGGGCCAAAAGAGGATACGTGACGGCAGAGGTGTTGCCAATGATCCAGTAGATAGAAAGGTTGACAAGGAAAGCAACCAGCCCTGTCAGGAGCACAAGTGCCTGCAATGGAAGCGAAGAAGCATGTCAGCGCATAGCTTGAAGAATTCCACCGGGGAGTGCAACCTTACAACAAAGGCACACCACAGGCCACATCGTGGCCAACAAAGGAACTTGCGAGGAGCAATCCTCCACTGAATATCTTTTACAAAGAAAACAAACTGCGCGACGACTTGAGTTGTCTCACCTTTGTATTATCTTTGCATCAAAATGCATTTTTATAGTGAATTCCTTAGGTAGCGTTGACAATTTCATACCTGCCAAGTTCAGAGAAACCAAATCTGGGAGAATTTCTAAGTGGAAGGAAATATTGACAACAAATGTACACAAAGACAACTTCATTGCATTTATATTGCACTGCTCATGCTAGCGAGAAACATTTGGGCCTCGTTATCCTTGCAGCCGTTTCTTGCGACGGCAAAAACTCCTTATTGTGCGGGGAGAGAGGGGGGGAGGGGTGAATTTGCATTTTCCGGGAGATTTTTCTGTCAATCGTACAGCCGTACAAATTGGTCGAAATTCGGGAGTCTCCCGGGTAATATGGGAGACTTGGCAGGTACGCAATTTGTAAGTGAATATTCTGGTTCGATACTACTTAGCAGTTGCTTTAATTTGTCTAATGCTCTCACTGATTCTGTTCACCCTGCCTTCAAAGGCAGAGTGAACAGTTCGGCCACCATCTTGGTTTTTACCAACTTTACTGGACAAGCGTCCATGTCTAGACTAACCCAGGTTTTAGCAAAAAGTGGGGTAGGCGCTTCCCCGGTACTTTACGGTAAGTATGATCAATAAAAACCACAGACTCAAATTGCCAACACTGGTTTGCTGCCCAGCGAACCTCACGTCGCTAAGCAGGTTATGAAGAGCTAAAGCTACATTACATGCATCTCACATGTATCGCAGTATGCCAAAAGTAAGTAAACTAAATTAAAACGGGTAGCACAAGTTTCAGCTTTCATGGAAGAAAAAATTGCGCGGCTGATCTATGACTTTCTGCCTCACCCATCTGCCTTCAACAGACTTCCCATATTTTAACTGGAAAGTTGACAGCTGCTTTGCTGATTGCAGCGTTAATGGCAGTCGGTCCTTCGTCACACTACGCAGCTGATTTTTAGAGCTAGCTGTTTTCCTGCAAAAGCAACGAGCACCTGCAACCTGCTTGAACTATAAAATTTAATTTAGAAAAAAGTGATTCTGGTTTATTGGGTCTAACAACCTTCCAAATTTCATTAAATAAATGCGACGTGGAATGAGGTAAAAGTGAGCATTTACAATTTTTAGCATTTTGGACACGGAGATGACAAGAGTGGCATGAGAGAAAAACGCTCAAATAGAGGCCTTCAGACTGCAACGGCCCTTCAATCAAACTTTGCCACACAACGCACGTTAAATAAGCATCACCAGCGAACCGAACACCTTTCCTGGTGGAGCGAGCGGACTGCCAATTCTAGCTAGACGAAAGCACCTAATTGAAAGAAGAAAAAAAAAAAAGAAAGCCGTTTACAACTCCCTGTAACCCCGAATTAGAGCGCAGCTCTTGAGGAGAAGGATGGAAGGGTACTGAGGGGAAAGTATACCCCTCCTCACCTCGTCATCCTGCCTGCTGCTGTTACTACTCCTCCCCCTCCTCCTCCTCCTGCTGCCCTCCTCCTCCTTCACTCCCCTGTGGCCCCCGTGAGGTCACGTGATCCCCATGAGGTCACGTGACCTCAGGGGGGGGGGGGGGGTCACGTGACGTCACGGTTACGCCGACACCGACCAGGCCGGAAACGGGCATCTAAGCACTGCGCTCTAAAACTAACATTGCAAATGTGCATTGCATCTTTTTCCTCTCCAACTGGAAGTTTCGAAATGCTACGCCACCAATGCCACATCTACCGTCTTTCATTAAACACCTACTTTTGAGACAGGAAATAATAAAAAAAATGTATAGATGATTAATTAAAACTGTGCCACGTTTTATTTTGTTGTGGCTCACTTAACAGTACCTCCAGTCTTGTTTTCAATTGAATGTTCAGACTATGGAGTGATCACCATCGTACAATCATACACATACACTTAAAGGGTAACTGCAAAGAAAAAAAATGTATTTTTAAACAATCTAATTGGGACAAGCACGTCACAAGAGAATTTTTCCACCAAAAATAAAATTGTTTACAGCAATATTTATTGCGGGAGATTGATTTTAGTTTGTGGCTATTTCGTCCGTTTTAAATCGCGCGCCACAAAGTTGGTATTATACTATAAAAAATTAGTTTTTTCGCGAAAGATTTGTTTTGTGACATGCTTGTCCCATTAGGCTGTTTAAAAAGACACTTTTTTTTCTTTGCAGTTACCCTTTAAGGCAAAAGGGAGATCCTGTAAGAGAAAAAAGAAGCCTGGGACCTAAAACACATTGGGGGTCGCAACAACTGCGTGCTCTGTCATTCTTTTCATATGAGAGAGAGTATGTGCTTGCCCCATAAACCATAGCATCATTGATCGATATAACCATGAAACACAGTGGATTACTAAGAAACAACCGAAATAAGGCACCATTGCCCACGCTAATTCAAAGACACAATCTTATTATTACTGCCAAATATTATGAAATATTAAAAAAGATGCATAAAAACTGGAGCATTCAGCTTTTTTAAAGATGTATAGAACAGCAATTTTTAAAGGCCGATTCACACATTTGCAACTGCTTACGACAAAGCACGTTACAACCTCTCGTGATATCTTACGACTAGTTGGCACACTGGCGCCATCCATGAGGTGACCCTGGAACTGCATATCACTAGAGCGAAAGATCTGCAGTATTTGCAACATCAATGTATGGACTACCTACGAGAAATAATTGCTTATAACATTGTCAAAAGTTTTTCGAGCTAATAAAGAAAGAATGATGCGCAAAAAAAATAGAAAATATGCGGAAATCGCGGGTGTTCCATGGCTACCCGATAGACGGCGCCAGTGTGTTCTCTCGTCGTGAGACATCACAGGGGGCTGTGACGCACTCGGTCATAAGCAATCCACAAGCGCGTGAATGAGCCTTAATGCTTTTTAACAAAAGTTGCAGCAGATGTTGGAACATTGTAGCAGTCACCTGCTCAGCTCTTTGAAGGTTTCATACCGTTCCCGCTGCACCGTTTTAGCGGTTATTCTTTCTGATACCGCTTACATGAAAAAGGACCTCCTACGGATGTTTCAGAGTGGTAGCCAACATGTTGTTAATGGGCAATTCTGCCCTGCAGCTGTCGTCTCTTAGCAAAACGTTGGATAAAACTTTGCGATTCATTCGGAGGCCAGATGGTTTGCACTATATTTTTTCGGCGAACGGAAACGCGTAAAAACAGTTTATTAGCTCAAACATTCAAACGAGCAACCTCAAACACGCAAAAACATTAATCCTCTCGAACATGAATTACGCAGTCCGAGGCAGAAAGAAATAACGACGCACGTTCACGTCGTGTCACCTCTGTCGAAATGTCAATGAGGAGGGCTTGTCAAAGCGAGAAGGAGAGGAAGTGTGACCGACCATCTGGTCCAGCGTCCAGTGGTGGTTGAGGAACCCCTCAGCTGCCCAGGGTGGCTCGACAATGGGCACCACAAACAGGAGCAGCAGCGCAGAGAGGGGTGCCTGGTAGAAGAGCAGCTGCATCGAGTTCACCTGGAACTCCTTCTGCTTTTCGCCCACCCACTGCAATGCGAAGGTGGGGTGCAACCATCAACACCTTGTTTCGAATCGGAGCTCGGGTGCAATGGGATGGGGGCACCGAGGAATTCTCTGTCAGGGGCTATACTTGACCCCCAGACATCCCTGGCAATGTACAGCGTCCGACAATATGACAGACCCATTTGCCGAGGCAGTCTATATGGTAGTGCTAAGCAGATCTTGGCCAGAAGCACTTTATTTTTTGACAGAGAATAGAACAAAAGTTTGCGTATGTTCTCACTCCAAGGTACAATGGCCTCCAAGCGAATATTGCACAGCCACCTGAAACGGCCTCGTCGAATGGGTCTTTAATATACTTGGAGAAAGTATGTCATTGCTAGAGTTCTCAAAATAAACTTTTTTTTTTTTTTTCCAAGGATTTTTTAGCAGTGCTGGCAGTGGTGTCTATGAACGTTCCAGAGTACCATACCTGGCTTTGAACTTGCTAACATGACACAAACAGATATATACACACAGATTGGCAACCTTGTGCGAAGTGACCCCCAAGCCACACCTATCAAGGTTATCTGTGTATTGGAACCGTCGTGAATTAGTCGTGCCCGATTGTACTGACGTGTCATTGTATTGAAAGTATTTTGTATCAATCTCGGCGTCTTTGGTGCAGCTTTTCCACCTGCCAGTGTCTTAGAAAGATACCATCCTTTGTGCCTTTTCCTTGAGAGAAGAATTATTTTGCAATCACTGGATAATACTACCAGCCCTTGCCTAGTGTCAGAGCCAAGGGTGACGACATTCAATGCTGTGCGCTTGTTTACCTAGCTCCCTTTAATTTGAGAAAGCGACTTTCTCTATGAAAATGAACGGAAAAGCATATTTCGTTAGTCCTGTTGTTAGAGATTAATAAAAAATGACTGATGCCTGGATAATGTGATCAGTGCAGGCTTAACAAAATGTTTGATGTATGAGAATGTTGTGACACCACTCGGACCTAAAGAGGCCTACGAGAACCTACGTCGGCGCATGGACCAAGATGTAAACGCGTTTCCTGGTGAAACCCATGTAGTCTATGGCATCTAGCATTATACTTCAGCGTCCTTCAGATTGCTGTTGTTCAATTCTGCACCAACTTTGCTGTCCTTGTTGAGATGGCGTCAAAAGCTTAGTATTTCGTTTTAGGCGGGCAAAAACTAAAAAATACAGTTATTTATGTACATTGAAAACTCGTTTTGACTTTTGCCACTAGCAATCTACAAAGCTACCGCTGGCTCAAAAAGGGTCAATTTTACGCTAGAAATGGTCCTCGCTGACAAAGGATGCCTTGGTTGGACCTTCCTCTAGTTTACCACTGTTTTTGAGTTTGCTGTCAACTTGTTCATCGATTACCCCAAGAGAGAGAGCAAATGTTGAACTTGCCACTTGGTAGAGGGATGTGACGAACACACCAATGAGGGCATACACAGTTCCCAGGACGTTGAACCTTATGTCGAAGCATGTGGTCAAGTAGACACCAAGAGTCAGCGGGATCTGTTGCAAAAACACAAGGCATACCGCGTCGGACCAAGCGGACTTCAGTCCATACGGGCCCTTCTAGTGTACAAGTGCAAATATCTTTTCGAATTCACTGACAAAACAAATGCCTCGATGATGGCGCTGCGTAGTGGCTATTTTTACTGCGGTGCAGAAGGGATACAGTACAGATTTGAGAAATCACCAGTATGGCATTGGTGCAAGCTCAGTACGAATTTGTGTTTTGTAGTAAACACCCCGACAAGATGGCTTGTGAGGGGCCTCTTACCAGCGTAAGTTTGATCTTGAAGGAGAAGGTCTTGCTGTACCAGAAGTACTGAATGACCATGATGGTGGGCATGGTGAGTGTCTTGAGGATCTGGTAGGTGCCCACGGTGTTGTGGCCGAGGGAGAGATTGGTGAACACCACGAAGCCACAGAAGGTCACCGCCAGCGGCAACATCTTGGCGATGGGCAACGTCTTCACTTGGAACATGTTGAAGAACCGGCACACCAGAAGTCCGACAAACGTCATCAAGAAGTGGTACATGGTCATGGTGATGTTGGGAAAGTTGACGTACACGTAGACCCATTTGTTCAATATCACGATGAAGATGGCCAGGGACACGTTCGCGACGAGACAGAAACTAATGAACAAGCGGCTCGAGGCCGACGGTTTTTCTGCTTCTTTAGCCATGACTGTTTTTGTTCAAACCGGCAAAGCGATCAGATCGGCGCAGAATGCTTACGCGTCAATTGGCACAATGGGGTAACATCGCTGCGCCACGGCCACCTGGCACTACCGTATCTAGTACAGACGGTACAGGTGTAGTACAGTGGAATGCACGACAACGCTACACGGAGGCGGGGTTGACGCCGGCAGTCTGTACCCGGCGGGTAGCTCGTCAGCCCGCAAAGCCCGCCCGCGACGGCTCTGGCTCTGCCGCTCGCCCGCTACTGTGGCCTACGCCACCTATGCCACCCGAAGACAGACTCACGGCGCTCACCGCAGTTTATCATACGCGCGCGCTCACAGCATGGCTCACAGCTCCCAGTTGCTCACAGCATAGAGTTATGACTCACAGTCACTCAGCACTGGTGCGTTTTCATCCGTTTTTGAGAACGTCCCCTAATAAAGCACCCAACTACGTCAGACTAACGGCGCCTCTGTCCAACGCGCTCTCCTGCGGCATGGTCGGGCTTGCACACTACGCCTAAAACAAAAATAAATTTATTTTATATTTTATTATTCAAATCGTTATTATTTAGTTATGTTCAATGAGAAACACGCTTAGTTAGCCTTGCGACGAGCAGTGCTCAATTCGTGTGACTCAGCTGGTGTTCATAGGTAGGAGTGAAATCGCCATGCCTCGATACTTTTTTGTCGTTTTTTGTTCTTCCTCTTTTCCGGTTCCGGTCTTCTGCTGGAGACTGAAGATGTTCAACATAAACAAACTTCTTAACCGTATTTCGGATCCTAAGGTAGATTGCTACGACCCGCGTTATATGTTTGCGTGTTTCTAGACGGGCGTTCTTGCTTTCTGCCTGGTGCAACAACATTCAACCTTTTAATTTGTTCCAGAACCAAAGCAGCCAAAGTCCGACAAAGCCGCCCACCGAAACTTCACAAGATGAAGAGGCAGAGGTGAATCTTGATCCATCCAACCGATTTTTGTCTTTTTCTTGTGTTGAGCGGAGGCCAGAAAGCCAGCTTGCACTGAAAGCTTGCTCTAAGTTGCAGCTTAGGTTGTCTCATGCTTCTGTAGAGGCACTCTTGAGAGCAGACTCTGTTGCGATGGCCGCGTGTGAATCGCAGGCGCGGCGGTTGGCGTTAGTTGCAGCGTGCTTGTCGTGGTCAAAGTACGTACACGGAAGGTTTTTGGACTGCTCAGCGGTTTGAGTTGCGTTCGGCTCGATTCAGGATGACGCATTAAACCGCCAAGTCCTTGCAAGTGACCACGGGGTGAAGAACGAGGCCATGTCTAGAAACTCGCAGAAGTCGTACGACAATGAAGAAAAAAAAATCTGATCGTTTGATAACTGTATTTAACTTTCAAAAAACGCTATGACATGTATCCGAACGTTTCAGCCGCGTAGATCCTTTGCACAGCGACCATCACCACAAGCAACAAAATATTACTCAACGCTAGATTACATAGGAAATCTCTAAACCAAAAATGCCCTTTTCGTATGTAAGTTTTTTTCTTTTTTTTTTTATAAACTTAGTTTTCTGCTTACCGTGACAAAGTTATAACTGCAAAGTGTGTTCATCTGCTCCAACAGTTCTCTGTTGAGCACCTAGGACGGCATGCGCACAGGTGTCGAAGAGCCCAACTTGCAACATGTCCGTTTGGGGTGCAGGGTTTCCTGTGCCCTTCCTGCTTCCATGCGTTCCCCTCGGCAGAAGCTCTCCAGAACCACTATGAGACAAACCACGGGAACGCCCTGCCCGGTGTTGAGGCCGGTGTCGGACCAAGGACGAGCCTCGTGTGCCCCGCATGCAAGATGCGCCTGGGCTCGGAGCCGGAACTCCAGAGCCACTACACCAGGCACCACACTGCCCAGGAAAACAAGGTCTGCCTTCTGCCCACACCCATGTGCCAGGTCAAACACCTTGTCGTGAAAGCCATGCAACTGTGCGGGGGTAAAGTCAGACTACCCCCGCAAAGGTGCGGGGGTAGTCTGACTGGCTCTGAGTTTGCAAGATCTGAGAAAGGAGGGCCACAAATCAAAGTGGTTTGTTTCCCATTTTGTTTGTTGGAGCGCCGCAGGGCATTAGAACTGTCACTAAACGTCTTTGACGGGCAGACGCCAAAGCTTTGCTGATGGTGCCTGGTGGGACACAGAAATGCACTGGTTGCACATCGGTGGGCCACAGTACTGCTTTCCCAGATACTGTGACTAATTGTTACAAAACTATAAGCGACAGCCCCAATAAGTCTTTTATGCCTTCAAATTTTCTGTTCTTTTGCAAGATTTCGGAGCCGCTCAGTTGACAAGTACTATATTGCATAGAGAGAAAGACCGGATTGGCAGATCGACCAGTTGCTTTCCTTCTGCGAGAGCTTTGACGTGCGCTTTGAATTACAGTAGGCTCGCGATAATTCAAACTCGGATATTTCATACTTCCGGTTAATTCAAACAGATCTGAAAATTTTGCTTGTCTCACTATGTTTTTAATGTATTTATAAGCCACTTAATTCGAACGGCATTTTCGCTTAATTCATGCTTTTTTGTTCTCGCGGCCCCGTTGAGTGCGCCTCTTTCCGAGCACCGGTGCACCGCAGAGAAGCAATACCTGCGGAGCTTGTTTTCGCGAGTGTTGCTTCTCCGCCGTACACCGGTGCTCGGAAAGAAGCGCACTCAACGGGGCTCACGCGGCACACATTAGCGGAAAACAGCGTTCACATTATGTGCTTCAAGACATGCAATGATGACCAAGACGACATCGAGGATGAGGAACAGCTCACTGGCATCATGCTTTCTGGCCTTGAAGCACATAATGTGAACGCCGAGCTGGCGGAATATGCTAGTCTTGACGACGATGTGTGTTTGTCGTGATGACTCATTAGAGGACATAAGGAAGTAATGCCAGCACAGTGCAGCAGTGAGAGTGAAGATGACAATGAAGAAAGGGATGACCCACTACCAACTGTCACAGCCGCAGAGGCCTTTGAGCATATTGCTCAGCTCTGGAAGTTTCTGTCTGCAAAGGAAGAGTCCCGTAAAGAGCTACTTGCATTGGCTGGTATTGAAAATTTTGTTTTAAGATCTCATGTACTGACTAAACAGTCCACAATCGACAACTTTTTTGCTGGATGAATAAGCTTAACATCACAGTTCTTTCACCGATGTGTTATTCCTGTACTTGCTTATAATTAGGCCTATGTAGATGAAACTGGCAAAATCTGCTTTGTATTTGTAGCTATCCATGTAACAAATCATAATGTTGTCTGCTATCATATTTAGATGAATTTCTGATAATTCAAACTTCTGGTAATTCAAACTATAATTTGTGACTTCCTGGAGTTTGAATTAATGAGTCTACTGTACTCTAGCAGTGTGTACAGTATGTCTGAATCACTGCCTCATTTCTTGGTCGATAGCTAGGATAATTGAGTTTGTACGCGCAAGTACATGACAACAATGCCGCCTTCTTTTTTCCATCCTGTCTGAACCTTGCACCTGCTGCGTGGTGGGAAACCTTGGCATAGGATGACCTGAGGTGAGCAAATCATATTACGGTATTTCGTGGCCTTCAGCTTTTCTCAGATACGTTTGTATGGCTGAGAGCCAGCACCTGCCTCCATATAATGCACTCACCTTTCTCTTGTGTGTGCTGTATGAGATAAAGTAGAGCCACCGGATGTTCACATAGTTCCAAAACTCCTATAGTCAGTGACAGGTCAAGTGTGAAGTGAAAGCTCCTCCCACCTCTTTCCACTTTAGCAAGCATTCTCTCCAGCTTTCGCTCCGCTAAAGTATTGAGAGGTGGGAGGAGCTTCCACTTTGCTTTTAACCTGTCATGGACCATAGGCTTAATTTTAAAACGAAGATATCAGCGAAGCAGCCGTGTAGTATCGGTGCTCAAGTGCGCTTTCTGCATGCACTCTTCGTGGTCTGTTTTCATTCCAGTTCTTTTCTTGGTTGTGAGTGATTGCATAATTTGTGTCTCGCTTGCTCACTTGCCTCGGGACTCGCGCAAGCCGAGGCCTACCGTGTTTATTCAAATATAAGTCAACCTTTTTTTTTTTTTTTTTTTTTTGTCGGAAATCGTGTTTAAATAATTTCGACCTACATTCGCGACCAAATTTTACGACCCTACCGGAGGCATGGAGCTATCGAGTCACCGAGCCGGCGTTGCCGTAGAGCTGCGCCGCTTCTTGTTTCAAAAAGCTTTTGGTGCACGAAAACAAGCGAAATGGCCCGCCCGCGGTGGCCGGTGCCGCTATTGCGCGCATCTCTCGGGCATCTGGTTTCGCCATCGCGCCTCTAGCCACTAGCGTTCCCCTTGCTGGGCAACGGGAAAGGAGAGGAACGCGATGCACCATGCACTTTGCCCTCCATCCTCGCAAACGCGCACACAAAAAAAATCTGAGGTTACTTTTGTTTGTTGCATGAGGCGACTCGGCCAACGCTCGGCTCGCGTGTTGCTCATGGCGACACGGCGGCTTTGCTTGCGTCTTTGTAGTGTGTCTTTCGTCGCTTCGCACCTTCTTTCGTTTCTTCTTGTCGTCATTTTACAACGGTGTCAGTGAAGTATTGTTGCGAATTTGCGAGGATGTCTACCAAGCTGACGAATCTTCGGACGACGATGACATGTCCAGAAGTTCTGACGGTGATTAAGTTTTTTGCATCGCCCCGTGATTTAGCTGAGAGTGATGTAAATAAAGGTGTGTTTCTTTTATCCAAAATTTCCCCTGTTCTTAAAAATAAAAAAAGGTCGACCTATATTTAAATTATTTTTTTTATTCTCGGTGGGTCCAGCACATAGTGTTCGACCTATTTTCGAGTAAATACGGTAGGCCCTGCTTTTTAGGCTTAGCACCTGGAAGAGCGTACTTGTGAGTGGGCACACTGGCCGGCACTCTTTCTTTGTGGACTAGTTTACGTTCTACCTGATATACAAATCCCTGCATAGAATCTCCACGCGACTGTTCAGAGTGTCGGAGCATCTGTCCCGTGCATATGCGCTTGCTGTACATTTTTGTTTATTGTTTCTGTTTCTCCTCGCGTCATTATGGCCGACGTCCACCACAGACGTCTGCCAACCAAAAAACTCGATTGGGTCTGTACTTCTTGTCAAACAGATGCTATGGAGTGGCTCTAGGTTAACGTTCATATAAAAGTATAAGTACCAAGTAATTGAGAAGTTGCATATTTGAGTGTTTGAGCACAAAAAATATATGTACCTTGAGTGAAATAAGAAGTGGCTTACATTTAGTTAATATACTTCGAGTGAACTAGAAATTGCATGAAATGAAATGCACTTCAAGGAAAGTATAAAGTAGATACCAGCTGATGTTTCAGTAGAGTTAGTTTTTAACTGCCGTGGTCTTGAACTTAGCTTCGTCTCGTCCCGGTCTTCCTTTCCCCTTGCACCATTAGCAACGGCGGGGACCTGGTGAACCTCAAGCAAGAGCTCTCGGAGCTTCACACGTCACTCAAGGTGAGCCTCGGTCTAGAATGGAAGTAGTGCATCGACCCTTGCGAGTGCTTTAATGGCGGAAGAATTGACACAGCCCGTGTATTGATTTCCACGAAGGAGGAGCGCTGGTACTCGGATGAGCTGAAGCGAGAAGTGTCACGACTTCAGGATGCCATTTCAAGCAAGGGCGATGTCGCTCTTGAACTGGTGAGTGCAGAATAAACGCTATGGTTCTGTCAATAGAAGGAACACTGACACTAAATGTGTTAATAACTTCGCAATTCATGCTAGACATGTTTTAATGCCTCCTCGATTTTTTCTAGTCTAGCTTAGGAAAAAAAGGAACTGAGATTGATTCTTCATTTTTTTGACTAATAGAAATGTTGCTAGTCTGGTGCTACTGGCGATTTCTTTGCTGAATGAGTGATGAAGTGTGCGGGTCTCATGCCATTGTTTGAGTAACAATTTGAGTAAAATCGTTGCACTACTACTAGAAGGCATTGGGGTTAGTGGTTTCTCGGAAATTTAGAGCTTGCATTGCCCTAATGTTCTTTAATGCCTACGTTGATTGGAATGATATCTGCATTTAGTGTAGGTGATTGAACAGTGCAGCAGCACTTTTGGATTGTCTGATTGTGTGTTTGTTTCAACTGGTGTGATGTACCACTGTGGAAGTACTATCTGAGGAGTTCCCTTATCTCAAGGAAAGTAGCAGGAATGTAAATGACAAAAATAAGTATGTAACAAGACAGGAGTTTTGTCCATGAGCAACAGATTTCAGTATTAAATTTCTATGCCCCACTCAATGCACTTGAGTTTTTTTTATTGTTGGTATCTCACCTTTTATGTGAAGTGGATGAAGAATGTATACCCCATATGTATGTTTCAAGGTGCTGTAAACATTTTCTTAAATTTCTGTAGGCATGCAATGTTTATAAAAGTTTTTTTTTTTTTTTTTTTTCATTTCAGGCAGAGTCAGAAATGCTACGCTCTCAAGTGCGAGCACTCGAAGAAGGCAAGGCACTACGTGAGTTCTCTCGAAATACTTTGTCGGGACACTTGATCATCTTTTTATTTACCTAATCCCCTTTCTTCTTTAATTTTTTTTTTTCATTCTGCAAACATAGCATGCAGTATTTCAAACTACTTCTGCCTTCATTTTGTACCCTGTACGTCGAGTGTCATGAAATGAATACTCACTAGAAATGTGCAACTGAAGTCAGTGATGCTTCAGATGTGCAATCTGAAGCATGAGTTCAACCCACTTAGAAGGGCTCTACTTATGGCACATGGACGGAAAACAGGCATTGGAAGGGACTTTTCAAGTTTAGTTCAGTGTCATGCCTGCCCGCGCCAGTACAGGTCAGAAGGGCAGCACTGGGGCAAAGTTTAAAGGGCGTATCAAAAGATGAAGGACCTAACACGTTGCCTACCACATCGAATGACAGTTTTTGAAGGTATCAGCCAGTAAAGCAAATGCAACAAACATGAAAAATAATAAGCCTGTTCCCTGGGTGTTCAATAGGACCATTGTTCACGAGCGCAACACCCGAGAAAATGTTTTAGCCCAGAACGTACGATCAAGGTTCAACCGTATTTTATTCAATAATGGTGCAAGCTAGAAAGCTATATTTGGAAAAGATATTTTTACTTTATATATTATCATAATATCCCAAGTCATTGTCTGCCCCCCTGCCACCTGGAATTCATAAAAATTGCGATGGACCATGCCTGGGTGGGTGAGCACGAAAAGTTGAGAAAAAGCTAGCGTTGATGCACAAGAGATACATTGAACTCGAAACTCGAATTAGTTTCATTGTTTCATACAATAAATGTTTGTGAAAGAATGTTCGACTATCGCGAAGTTCGTTGCTTGTATATACGCTTGATGAACACCGTCGATCCGTAAACAGCGCGAATGCTTGTTTTGTAAAAGAACTGTTCTGAAATCGCTCTGTTCCCTTTGTTAGTAAAAAAAAGAAGAATCAACAAAACAAAAACAAAAAATAGCCAGGCGTAGCGAGCGAGTGGGTGAAAGAAGCGGCGACGAAGAGCATGCTGGTAAAGCGGGAGAGCCGTCGATCGCGTTGGCAAATACTTTGGCGTCAGGCCAAGTCCTTGTCTGACCTTGCCTGACCTTGTTAGGACAAGGCCTGACAAGGTCAGGCCTTGTCAATCACAAGGAGCAGGCTTTTGTGCAACTTTCTTTTTTGGTGCATACATGCATGCATCTGTGCGTGGTGCTATCAACGTGGGTTGAGGCGATGTTGCTGCGTAGCGTGGACAGGACCACAAACGCGGAGCTCGAAATGGGACACTTTACAAACGTCTCTGTGCGGCGTTCCAGCAAATCTTTATTTACCCGTAGGCTTTGTCTCAAACATTGCACAACTTTACCAACCACGGTCAAGATGTTGTGGGAGATTGATTAGGTATTCGCGATGACCTTATTTTAGTGGAGACGGACTTTGACCTTACACATTGCGGTTACATTCCAGGACATGGAGTGTTCGCTGACCTCGCGATCCCTAAATGGGTTACTGGTTGTGTTATCTTTCTAATTTTTTTTTTTAGGGAAATTTTTTTGTAAGGGTTCAGTTTGTTATTTTTATTGTTTTCCTTTCGCGCGAATGTACTCCCTCCTTGGGTACGCGGAAATCAGGGAGGAAGTGCGTAGACAAAGTAAATTGTCTTTCCCTCCTTCATTTCACTTTGTCACGGACCTGCTCCAACCGAAAGGTCCGTGGCCACAACATTGAGTAGTGTGAATGTTTGCGGATCGTCGAATCCGCATCACGGTGTTTGTAGAAGTTGACAATCACTCCATGTTATTTTGGAAATTGATATTTGCCCAAAAAGTGGGATGGGCGACGACTCGGGATATCGTGGTAGTGGTCATATATAAATCTGGTGGCACGTAATCGTCCAATGAATTTTTGTACAACTTGCTGCAGGATGCCTTTCCAGTGAATACCGTGATTTCTGGAAGGGCCGCATTTGCTCGAGTGCATCCCCGACGAACATCGTTTTCTTGTCTGACATGTCGCAGTGACGTCCGAGGTGCTGCTGCTTCGCCAGCAGCTGGGACAAGCGGGAGACACGAGCGCCGCCCTTCAGATCTCCAAGGAGCAGCTCGAGCAGCGGCTGGCCTTGGCGGTAAATCACTACGCTCTCCTCTGCTCTGGTGAAGGAAAAAGCTCCAATTGGAGGACCTGAGCTGAGAAAACATATTCCCGGTTCCTTGCCGTGTCTTGCGAGTGAAGTGTGGTAACGCCGGGGCAATACACGCTGCTGTGCACAGGCACATTGCTAGGTTTAAATTTAGTGGACCGTTAAGTTAAAGGACGGCATTCATGTGCCATTCTGACATGAGGTTTGCTATGACATCCTGTGACATTGTGATGTCGTGATGCCATGACATCTCGTGACTTTAAATAAATTGGGAAAAGAAAGGTTTTTCTTCTAAATTTAGAAAAAAAAGGTTCTGCTTATGTTAGCAGAGAAATACCTCTGCTAGATTACGCCGTTACGTGACATGACGTCACTTGACACCTTGGTGTCACCATGCTAAGACGCTGTTTAGTGGAGAAATGATCTCACTAAATTTAGCAGGCTACGACGTGCACAAAACGCACACTATCCATCGTTACAAAGAAAGTAAGCTCGTTCAAAACCTAGTATGTGTGCCATGAGAGGCAGTTTAAATAAGTTTCATCGAGGTATGTATTTTACTTGAGCATAATTGCGAGGTTCTGGCTCAGTTTTAGGGGAGGACAATTATCGTAAACTGTGAAGTGCTGTATGCTGCAGCATCACTGGTTTGATCTCCGAAGCTTCAATATGTTTCACGTTTTAAAGCGATGGCTTTAAGGAGCTTATGTCGCAGAAAATCCTCCGTCGGCGTCTGTGTCGGTGGAACTGGAACATACTGATGGTTTGATAAGTGATTCATTTGCCTTAAATGAAGGCAATTTTGGAGATCTTTTTGGCGATTGAACTGGGTTCCAGGCACGTCTCAGGCCACGTTGCCCGAATTTCAGCCGAAACCGGCGCTTGTGTGCCGTGCAAATCAATGAAACAGTCGCGGTAATAATCGTATCGGGATCGACTGGGCCGATGCCCCAAGAGTTGCGGGAAAAACCAGGAGAAGCGGAGCTCACGTGACCGATCAGGGCCAAGGAGCGCGACGTCACAAGAGACGCGTCAGCGATTGGTCGAAACGAGAGACGTGCCCTCGGTAACATTTTGGTTCACGATTTCTAGAAATACTGTTCTAATTTCCGCTTGAATAACCATGAAAAGTATAAATCGGACCGGAAATAATTACTAAACCGTAAATAAAGCAGCATCATTGTTTTTTTCTTTCCTACGCTGGACGTGAAACCAACAGCGAGCAACTATGGGCAAATAAAATAAAATTAGAAAAGAACACGGTACTCGAAAGATTTTGCAAAATGGTAGCTGTGGTCGACTGAAGACCAGTATTCGTTCGGGCGACGCTAGTTTTCACGTGTGGGTTTCTGTTCGTGTTCTTTGACGACGAAAAGAGGACGTCCGCGGAGGAACCGGATCCCGGAACGGCGGGATCGCTGCCGCTTTCCCTTCGGCATCTCCCCCGCGTTCGTCCTTCGGCATGCGGGCCGCTCGTTGCCGGCTGGGTGGTCTCCGTCGGGTGATGGCAGTGGCCGCCACACACGTACTCCCGTTCTGTTGGTGTTCGGTCACTGAACGGAAGCTCGAACTCGCTCGCGAGAGCAGCATTCGTCCATGTTGACAGAGTCGGCGCAACGACCGCGCCACCGCGCTGCTATAGCCCACCGCGGTAACCAGAGTCTCGATCTTCTAAATACTACCGATACCGACTATTCACACTTGACGTCACTCTCTACGTCACCTCCGTTTTCGGAGGCCCAGAAACGAGACTGGAGATGGTCCAGTTTCGGTTTCTTTACTTCTTTCGTCGGCACATAAATACGCGTCATAAATGTCTACAAAAAATTGGGCGGCACGCTATGTTCACAAGAAGCATTAAAACACCATTTAAAAAAATTAAATAAAATCGTCTTCATTGTCCCTTTAAAGAAAAAAAATTACAAAGTACTTCAGGCGGAGCAAGATCAATCCCACGGCTCTTTGGTTGCAAGCCAGACACGCTACCCACTAGGCCACGCAGACACGCTTGCATGTCTTGGGAATGAGCGGAGTTTATATTTAGCTATTGCATTCCATTTTTAAAGGCGAAGCTTAAGCGTCCTCTTGTAATTTTTGTTTTTTATTGCATTTCAGCACGTGTTAGGTTATTATTTTATAGGAAGCGGCCACTGTTCTCAAGTCACCGGAAGCAACTTGTGAACCTGTTGGGAATTCTCTACTAAGTTGTGACCAGTTTTCTTTTTTCTTTTTACAATTGAATTTTAACGCTCTGACATTATTGACAGTCTCCCTTTCTGAATGTAGGAGACCCTCTTGTTTGGATCAAATGAGCTTGAGCATTTTTAGAGAGAAAGTTTGTCATAATTGGTTTACCTTGCAGTCGCAAGAGGCAGCTGATTTCAAGTCGCGGCTCGATGAATTGGAAGGCCAGAAAGCGGCTTTGGAGTCTCATCTGCTTCACGTCAAGGTGCGACCCTTCGGCTTAACAGAAATGCCTGTGAAGTGTTTCGTGTTGTCTTGCACCCAGTATTCCTTGAGCAAAGGAACATGTCCAGATTGCCCATCTGTTTTGTTTCAGGAAAAGGCGGAACGCTTGGATTCCGAGCTTTCTCAGAGGTTAGTTTGAATTTTTAATTATAACGAGCTTTTAAGCACTTAGCTCTTCTTGTTTCCTCGACGGAAAGCTTGCTTTTGTCACGCTCACCCTCTGTTAAGCGCCACGTTCCGATTGGGCGGCGATGCAGGTCCGGCGCCGAGGATGCACTGGTACTGAAGCAGGAGCTTGTGAGCGTTCAGCGTGCCATGGACCAGCTGACTCTGGAGCGAGAGGTGGAGAGAGACAAGCTGAAGGCTGAGAATGCCCTCTTGATGGAACACAGTCGCGCGTGAGTGGTCCCTCTCGAACCGTTGTTTCGCCTCGCCAACCGTTGTTGCGTCTTTGTTAGCACTCCTAACTGCCGTCTGCCATGCTCTTTTTGCAGCTACCGAGAAGAGAAGGCATCCCTGGAGGAGGCTCTGCTGAGGGCCCCGCGCCAGGAAGAGATTGACAGGTGAGCGCCGCAATCCTTCACCATTCTCGGCTTCGTTGCCTGGAACGTGGCTTTAATTGGTGTACTCGGTTATTGGTTGATTTAGTGGTGGAATATTTTTTTGTTGCTTTAATTTGAGATTGGTGGGATTCGATAGTTGCGGCTTTTCTTTGTTTTCCCCCGCAGCCTGCGTGCAGCCTTGGACGACCGTTCCTCGAGCAGTGGAGCTCTGCAGCAAGCCCTGCAGCAGCACATGGTTGAGGTGAAGGAGCTCAGGGGCACCCTGAAGCAGGTGCGCTCACTCCGGCCTCTTTCTATTCTCTCGGGGATGGTACGGATTGTGACTGCGCGTGGTCTGCGACGTCTCCCAGTTGCTTTGAGGACTCCCTGGTTGGCTGCTCAAGAGGAAACAGCCAGCTCGGAAAGCGACAATAGGGCTAGAGCGTACAAATGATTTATTGGCAAAAAGGGGGAGGGGGGGGAAGTAGCTCTTAGAGTCAAAGAAAGGAACTAGAAGGTTGCTGTGGCCCTCCTGTTGCAGTGCAGCTTACTGCCACCAAGCTTGTGCCAAACGTTATCAGAAAAAAGGCTTTTCTAAAAATATCTTGCATGTAAGTGCTGGTTTGCCATAACTAGGATGCAGACGGCTTCAATGGGTTCAAATTTATGTAGTACAGCTTTGGATTTAATTGCGTGACTTTGGATGAATTTCTATGCCTCTTACTAACAAAGAGCCCGTTGCTACTCATGCAGGCATAGAAGTCGCAGGGCAATGGTGGTAGTATTTAGAAATGAATAAGACAAATAAAAAGCTGGAAATAATATGCAGATGTTACTACTCGGAACCAAAAAAACTAATAACATACTATAACAAACACAACAAATGGGCCTGGCACGAGAAAGTAAGTTTGTTTATGATGGGTATTGACATTCACAGTTATCCGTGGGACAGAGACCATTGGAGAAGTGACCTGTTTCTGTTACATCGAGACTCATTGAAGTATGTGCACAATATGCTACGAGTTTGAAGGCAGTAGCAAAATTCTACAGGCTCGATGATGCCGACAAAGACCAGCCCACACAAACCTCACCCCATATCTGTCTTATCTTCTTTTCTTTTCTTTTTTTAATATTATGTATTGTTTGATTTTATTATTTTGTTCTTTATTTGCTTATTTTAGTTTGTTTTTATTGTTTTATTTTATTTTATTTATTCAATAGTTTTATTTTGTCATTTTATTTGTTTATTTTTTATTGTTTTAGATTTATTTATTTTATTTTATTATCTTGCTTCATTATTATGTGAACCCTTCCAGACCAGGTGGGCTAGTAAGCTCAGTGGCTCTAGCATCCGACTGCCACTGCACCTACCCAGGTTCGAGCCCCGCGGTGGACTCAAACTTTATATAGTCTTGACGTTTGTAATGCTTCTGCGTGTTGCTGCTACATCGCTTTGTCGATGACGATTTTTTCGTAGAAAATTACTCATAAAGCACATTTTGTGTTAATATAACGGTAAATGGAGCGGCCTTTGCTCGGAAATTTGTAGCAAGAAGAACGCGAGGCCGCCTTGAGGTTGGAGCTGTCCGGCTGCACTCAGCGTCTGGAGGCATCTCAGACTGCCCTGGAGTCCCAGAGGACTGAGCTGGCACAGAGCAGGGACGATCTTGCGGCAGAAAAGCACAGCTCCCAGCAACTAGCCTCCAAGTTGGCACAAGTGAGCCTCAAGTCTTTCGCTTTTCCAGAAAGAGAGGTGTGCCTGTCCAGTTGGTGTAACACTGAAGCACATTGTTTCGCCATCATTTTGCTATTGTCGCAATGCCCGGGGAGGTGGTTATGGAACAGCCCTCAATGCCTTTATGGAGGGAGAGGTTTGGAGAGGAAGAGTAATGCCGTATGAATTCGTGTAAGGGCCGTACTATTTTTTCCCCGATTTGAGGGCAAATGTTTAAGATGTGGCCCATACACGGATTAAAAAAAAAACAATCTGTATCCAGATTCCAAAATGAATGTATATGAGCGTGCTCGGCTGCACTGGTCGGAAACGCCTCCACTCCGGAATCCGGACTCAATCATCAGTCGAATTTAATTAGCTTGCATACTGTGCAATACACCTTTTTTTTTTTTGCCGTACTTGATAGCATGCGCGGCAAAATGTTGATAGCAGCGGGTCACCCGAGAGTTATATATTGGGAGAGTCTGGCCAGTATGCATGGAGACGAAGGCACTGGAGAGAAGAAAAATGAAGGAAAGGAGGGAGAGCACCAAAAGGAGCGAGAGAGGAAAGAGGGAAAAAAGTGGAAACGACCGCCATTTTCACGCAACACGCGTTCGGCGCAGAACACTGTTGAGGCTATCTGTCATTTGCAATGGGCCGACTTCTTTTTCGCTTGGATAAAAGTTTGCGGTCAAACGTCAAGAAAACTTCATTCAATAGCTTTTTAACCCACCGAGGAAGAACACTAAATCATTTTCTTGCCATAGCCTGTGAAATAAAAGGGAAGAAGCAAAATTTACATGTCGATTCCATGCACTGCACTGGGCGAATGAAGAAAAATGATGGCCCTCTCCGGACGGCTGAAGGCAGCTGCATGCGCTAGCGCCTCTCACTCTGCGCCACGGGCTGATTGGCTCACTCAGGAGGAGGGCATTACGGCGGCGAGATCGTAAACTGGCCAGACTCTCCCAACATAGTATACACGGCTCTGGGTTACCCCGATGAGTGCTTTCCTTGCTGAGCACCGGTGCATCGCGGAGAAGCAACACCCGGGGAGCTCGGTTTCACGTGTGTTGCTTCTCCTCGGTGCACCTGTGCTCGGTACGAAGCGCGCTCAACAGGGCTAACCCGCCGCGATCAACACTTAGAAAAAAAAAATGACTATCGCAGTTCATCTGAAAGTAAATATCGAATGTATTATTCGAAGCTACTATTTTAAATTTTGAATATTCGTACTACACTACAGCCAAGTTGGAGTCTGGTTGTTTTGAGGATGCCCTCTCGGTTTTAAGAGACAAATGAGAAAAACCGGCCATTGCTTCTTTGTGCTAACGGCGTAACTCTGTAATTAGCTGAATTTTCATGTGTGTTTTTGACTAAACCCTGTGGTCTTCGCCTTTCAGTTAGAGGGAGCGTTCAAGGACCTGGGAGCTCAGAACTCCGAACTGATCAACGAGTTGTCATCTCTGAAGACCACATCACAAACAGCACTGGAATCAAAAAACGCGGAGGTCGCTGAGCTGAAACAAAAATTGTCCCAGGTAGGTAAAGAATGATTCTAACTACTAGTTTGCATCATTATAGTGTTGTCTTTATTACTTGAATTTTGTCTATGAAAGGTCCTTTTTTCTCTCCTTAACGTAAAACTTTTCAGAAAGAAATATTAAGGTGCCACTTAATTTTTGTGGCTTCCAAGGATGCTCGAGGGAACTGAGCTGTTGTTTATCGAAAACCCCCATAGCATCAAATGGAGACAGTCGTGACTAGGATGAAAGTAGTACAATGTTTTACACGGCACCTTATTTATTAAAGCATGGAACGCTTTATAATAGAAGCTCCTACTCTCAGAAACCTATTCATTCGTGCATTCAAGCGTTGTGACATCACAATGTTACACGACACTGTGTCACACGAGATCCATGACTTGACATCATAATGTCATATGACGATTAATGTCTTCTAAACAAATTGAAACAATGGCTCCTTAAACAGTGTGCTGCGTGCAATATTGAACTTCAAAGATTAAGGCCACCGGCAATTTTACTTTTTGTTTTTACATGCCAGCTGTCCGGTGAACTTGGAAAGAAAAAGTCGAGCCTTTCAGAGCTGAGCTCAAAACTGGAGAAGGAGATTGATTCTCACGAGTCGACGGTAGGTACAACTCTCTCGCAGCTCTGTGTGCAGAAACTTTTCTTTACTTGCAAAGGTAGATTGGCAGCTTGCCAAAAGCTCGCATAGTTCCAAGATGCACTTCGTCCTACAGTCTTTTTTGTGCACATCTCATCTTTACTTCTCCAGCTTCACATAATGTCGAGTTTGAGACACAGTTAAACCAAATATCCGTGAGCTGTTTCTGGAGTATTCCCGCAAGTGACCAAAAAGGCTGCCATCAAGTCTGTTTTTGCAAGTTTGCTGCGCTTTTACTTGGCATAAAATTCGTCTTTGTAGCTCGGTGCTCTGTGCTATTTTTCTACCATGTGCCAATCTAGCACCCTGGCTAGTGACTGCATCACTGGCTTTCAGGTTGTTGAGGCACTAAAAAAAGTGCTCGTAGTGGATATCTTGAACCTTTTCAGAATTTGAGTTTTTGACATGTATTCAATGCACAATTTTGAGACTTTTGTTTGTGGCTGCAGCGTGAGTCGAGAGACGGGTTCAAGACAGAGGCCTGGGAGAAGCAGATGAAAGTGGAAGAACTGACGAGGCAGCTGGAAGCCAGGTACGAAATCCTTTCTGGAGTTGGCATATACGTAGAGCACTTGGCTTGGTTCATGGTGTTTCTGCAGCCCCAACAGAGCTAGAACTGTAGAAGTTACTCTCAGAAAGTAATTAAGTTATGTTTACTTGAGCTGAAGTGTAATTAAGTACTTACATTCTTTCAAATATTACCTATAGTTGCAGTTAATTATGAAGAAACACTAAGTTAAGTTTCACTTACGTTTCAGGCATCCGATGATGTCGAGATATGCTGGAATTGCCAGCCAACGGTTGTTTTCAAAAGAGCAAAGTAGCGGCAGTGCTTGTTGCACTTAAAACTCATCATGCTAACGTTGATCCTGCTTTAATGTCGGTGTGTATACTACAGTTGGACTCGTGTTAATTCGACCTCGGTTAGTTCGACTTTCTGTTCAATTCAACCTTGTTCAAAGGTCCTGGAAAAGGCCTAGGCACTTCTTTCGAAAAAAAACTCTTTATTTTGATCTTGAAATATAAAATATTGGTTAATTCGACCTAGAGAACCAGTGGTAGGCGAATTAAGAGCATGATTGGCCGTGCGTGATGCGCAAGAACAGACTTTTTTTTATGTTTATGAATTACGAGGTGGGATTGGCAGCACCTGGCAACGAAAAAACCCCTTTTCAAGTTTTAAATTGCTCCCCGAATCGCAAAGAGAAAAAAAAAGAGAGCACATGTTGAGACGCCGGACATGGCCAGGTCCCAACACGAAACAACCATTGCAACAACACTGCCGAATAGTGAGCGCTGATTGGCTATTTGTGAGAGAGAGCCGCCGATGACATCAATGTGTGCAACGGTGACGTTTGCCTCATAGCCGCCGACGTGGTTCGTTTGCCGGCCGCTGGTCACCGCTGCCGGCTTTGCACCGAACGCTCAAACGACATACACGGCCGCTGCCACCGCCATTAGGCGGTGTGCGGCGGCTCATTATAAACATGTTAGATCACCTGATCTAAAGCGCTCTATAGTATTTAAAATTCCACACGGATCTTTTAAATCCAACTTTTTAATCATTTGACCCAATTTCATATGTCCTGTCAAAGTCGAATGAACAAAAGTCGACTGTATTTGTCGACATAATTTTGAGAGCCGTAATTGAACTAGGGAAGTTGCAAGTTATGCCAAAACTGTGATTAGGGTGCAGTTGTGGTTACTAAAATGTAAATGTAACTTTGTAGGTACCTAGTTAATGACACTGTCATTTACTTCAGTAGCTGAAGTATTGTACTTTCCTTTTTAGTTATTTTATTCGCTTAAAAGTACTTTTTTATTTAGTTTCTCTACAGCTCTGGCACATAAGAGCCCACGAGGAGAAATGTTTGTGGAGCACACTCTTTGGTCTTACAGGGAAAGCAAGATGAGTGATCAGGAAGAAGAGCTGACCAAGGTCAAAGAGAGTCTAGTTCGCCTGGAAGCCGAACGGGCTGATCTCTATGCCAAGGTGAGGAGGTTGGAGCAAGCATGGTTCATAGTGGGTTCAAGGCACTGTAAAAAATCGTCTCTTTCTGTTGACCAGGTCCAGATTTTTCTCGATTACTTAGTGCTTTCTTTTATAATGTCCCCATCGTTTGATATCTCACGAAGGGCTGATTAAAGTTTTAGGGAGGAAAAAGTGTTGTTTCCAGAACCAATGCCTTTCTTTTTTTATTAAGCTACCGCCGTAAAGTTGCGAAAGAATGCTCACCCATAATGAAGACAAATGGTGAAAAACATGGGGTGGGCTATCTTCGGGGATGCCACAGCAAAACTTTATAAAAAATTAATGATAAACACCGGGCACCTGCTGCAAACCACGTGACGTGGGAACTGATACTCCAGATCGCGGACACTGCCAATTCGCGTTTCACGATGCGATAAACACACAGGACTTTACTACGAACTCCTGTGTCATGGGAAAGGATACCGCAGGTTGCCGACGCAACAGATTTGCATTTTACCATGCAAAGGACCCACGGATACCCGCCGAGAACTTGCCTCTCACAGGAACTAATACCGCGAATCGCGGATGCTGCCGATTCAAGTTTTATGGTGCAATAAACACGCAGGAACGAGTTATGAACTTGCCTGTCACGGGAACTGATATTGCACATGCAGTTCACGGACAAAAGCGAGGGAATCTGCTACAAACTCTCATGTCACGGGAACGGTTACCGCACTGCCGCAATAGTTGTGCTCCCCGGTTTGTGACATCATCCTGAGATATGGCTCCCAGTAATTGAAACCATAACCACTAAGTTCGAGTAATGTGTTAGTAAATTATTTACAGTGTCTTGGCTAAAACCAGGGCACTGTTTCAGGTTCCAGTTTTGTTTTTGGTTTGTGCGTATCAGTTCCGACTTGATTTGGACCATCACTTAATGAATTGGAAACTGCCGCAGATTGAGTCCGGAGAAGGTGCCAGCACCCTCGCGATGCAGCAGCTGACGCAGGAGAACGTAAGTGACGCAGTCTCGAGGCCAAAGTCGACTTTCCAAAGACTAATCTCGAGTCGTTTTTCCTCGGCGTAGGCTTCACTGCAGGACCAGGTCCTTGCGCTGGAAAAGGCCTCGGAGAGGGCTTCTCAGGAACACGACGCCAAAGTGGAGTCCTTGCATCAGCAACTTCAAGAGGTACGCCATGCTGCTTGGCAGCCCAACGATTTCTTTCCTGCTCCAACATCGCTTCAGCCCCAACCACAAGCCAGAGAAATGAGGGAAATGAGAAAAGGCAGAATAGCTGCTAGATTCTAGGTTTTGCATAGAGCTGCAACAGTGAAAAGGACTCGGTGATTTTTATGGGGATCACAAGCCCCCCTTCCTCGTGGCGTCATAAATGAGAAAACAAAATATTGATGGCCATTGCTCATTTTTGCCTGTGACACCATCAGTATGGATTATGATTAGAGTTCTTTCCTCCTTTCTGAGTGATTGCATTTCACTCTCTTTCTCTCTGCTCTGGCTTCGAGGCTCACCTAAGCCAAGGTCAGGCCTAATATTTGGAATGCAGCGCTGCTTTTATTTTAGTTTTTGGCTTTCATGCCTGCTTCTTCATGAATGTCAGTCTTCCAAACGTGGAACTTTGATGATGTCACATGCTTCGGAAAAATGTTAGAAGAACAAAGTTGGGAAGGCAGCCTTAATCTATGTAGTTAATAACCATATACTACCGGTTGGAATGACTGACATCTTTGTTTTGCTCAATGGTTTTTCGCCCTTGAGAAGGTGTGATGAATTTCATTTGGTTTCGTAAAGGGACCTCCTTTTATGTCAGGTTTAATATCAATGGCATGTAGAGATTTCTTTGAATTAGTTACTTGTGCATGAAGACAAGCGGAGGGGTACTACAAGCTTTTTCTGAATCCACATGCTTTTTCTGAATCCATGCTTTCTCGAATCCTGGCCTTCTCGTAACCAAAGATTTCTCTCGGACAATCTTTTCTCTTAATCCATTCTTTGCCATAATTCTTTTTCTGAATCTGCTTTCTCCGAATCCATACTTTGTCTGAATTTATACTACCATACTTTTTTTCTGGATCCTACTATCAGTGAATATACACTCTTAATATATGCTTCCCCTGAATTTATGCTTTTCCTTACTCTCTACTTTATATTTTTTCCTCTGAATTTTCACTATTAATTTAATCTATGGTCTTCCTTAAGGGGGAACACTGATCTTGAAGCTTTTTTCTTATTTTATGACCAAACTCAATGAAACTGCACAAGCTTGTTCAGCTTTTTGTGCTGATTTCATATATCTGGTAATTTCCTCAGTCAGTAGAATTGTCGTGAAGATAATTAAAATTTGCCTGCCTTTGTTTGGAGGAATGATGGAGAAAAAACTGCTCAACAAAATATCCTTTTTAACGCATGACTAGATACTACGAAGTGTAGATAATGCAATGTTGGAAGCACTTTTAAGATGAACCCATTATTAGTGATTTTACAACATATTAAAGTTCAGTGCTCAATGCATGGCTAACAAGTAATAAAACAAAAGATCAAATAGAAAATTTTCTAGACTTACGTTAAAAAATCTGCTCTCAACATTGTATGCTTCACACACTTAGGAACAGATTTTAAGAAAGCTTATATTTCTGACTGCTGTAGATGCTGAAATATCCCTCCTGCAAATTTTCAACGAGTCCAAAAATTGTGTTTTGCAAAAACAATGCTTTAGAGTCAACTTTAATGCACATTCAGCCCACATAGACATTATAAATTGATTTATAGCTCAAACATTCATCCACGAAATTAGAAGCCTGGTAGATTCTGAAGAACAACAGCCATCGCCGTTTTCAAAAGAATGCAGTTTTAGGAAGTTTTTGGCTCCAAAGACCCATGTCTCCCCTTAATTAATCCATAAGGTCTCTCTGAATTCCTGCTTTTTCTGAGTCTACGCTTTCTCTGAATTAATGTTTTTATTTTTTATTTCACGCCATGCGTGTTCAGAGCAAGACACAGCTGCAGGCTGCCATGGGGGAGCAGCAGAAGCTGGAGAAATGCTGCAGGGACCTGGAAGAGAGCCAGACCTCGAGCCGGTCGCGTGAGCACAAACTCGAAGAGGACCTGAAACGCATGGTGATGTACTCCTCGCCATTTGTCGGCTCCTTGTCGAAGCAACGGTCGTCGTGCTTGAGTTGGCATCCCAGAAACATGTGCTGACACTTGTGCTCTTTTTTGTTTGCTAAGGATCCATTTTGCAGAGTCTACCTTACGATAAAAGCTTTTTGCTTCAGTAAGTGAAAAAAGCACCTGCCAAATCCACCGACGTCTTGAATGGCAGCTTCCAGAAGAAGTATAGCAAAGCCTGACGTACGCAATAAAAATGGATATAGCGAAGCAGAGATAAAAGTATTCCTGTAGTACTGCGTAGGCCTTTGATGTACTGACATAGTGAAGATGCTGACATAGTGATAAATTTTCTCTGAAGAAATCTGACTGAGTACACAAACGGTGCACTTCTTGTTGAAAGGGGTTTCTTGTTCCGTAGAACCTCCTGGGAAGTATTTAAGATGAAAGCTTGTCACTTCTGTATTTCTCTGGGATTACAAAAGTGGCTTCAATTGTAGCATTTTCTGTTAATTTCTCCAATTTGTCCTTTTGGTGCTGTGAGCATAGGAATGAATCTATTTGAGTTTAAATGGTGGTCCCTACTTCGTGAGGTGCCATGGACTCCTGTTGAGTTCGATGATGTTGTCAAGGTTTAGTCGGTTGTTGGGGGGAGTTGTAAAAAATGTTTTGTACAGGGAATGGGAATTTACAGCAAGTTTTGCGAATCAACGAGGGAATTTTCTGGATACCCCGCAGACTTCTTTGCAGCTTCTTGGGGCGACCCATCAGCTCTTTTGTGTGCCGTCCGACAGTGAACCGCCCTGGAAACGACCTTAGATGGTGCTATGTGGGTAGAAGATTGGAATCACGGTGTTCTGACAAACATTATTTTCTTCTCGTTTCACTCGTAGAGTGAGTCTCTCTCAGCCGCTGAAGCCACGAGTGCCACCCGGCTGAGCGAGCTGGAAAAGTCGAAAGTCAAGCTGGAAGAATACGCCAAAGAAGCCAGCCAACTTGCTGAGAAGGTGCAATTGGTAAGTTGGAGCGTGACATCAACATTGTATCGTTTCATCACTCGTGATAATTATAATGACACAGTGTGAACTTGATGGCACATTCCCCTTTTGAGGGGAAAACATAAATTGGTTTCTTAATTAATGTATCATGCAATGATTTACCACTGAGGTGACCACAGGTGCTATACTTATTTTTTGGAAGTATAAAAATTGAAGCTCACCTAAGCCAGAAACAAAACACATTTTTTCTATTAACAAATGTTTGGCTAAGTCTTCTTTTCACAAGAATCATCAAATGCTGTTGTGGGCCACTGTGGCAGCACTTAACATATAACAAAAATATAAATGGAAGGAACATAAAATAAATTTGGCTTACATTTTACTTTCTTCAATTTGCCAAAACGAATGCCAGAGTGGCCCATTTGATGGTTTCAGAATATGAGCTAGGCATAGCCCATATACCTATTTTTCATTGTTTACTCATGTAAACTTATCCTTTAATATTTTTACCAAATAATACGCCATCTAATTTTGCACTCAGCATTGGTACCCAACTGCTGCGTGCTCTTGAGTTTGTTGGACCTCAGAGTGCACAGCAGTTGGGTACAGATGCTATTATCATCATCCCACAGGGGTACAATTTCAGTTTTGACCATGAATCGAAAAGTTTGTATTGTAGCATAAATATTGGGCAGGAAAATATTTTTTTTCAACAAACATTTGTTTTGAGACATGCCTGTGCCAATTAGGTGGGAAAAAACATTTTTTTTCCCTAAGTTTAGTGTTTTTTTTAAGTGTCTTTAGATTGACTTGCTTGAGACTGTGTTCACGCATTAGATTGACACTGACTTGACTTTCCTAATGAAAAACGTGCGAGCATAGCTGTCCTGCAGTAAGCTGCACGATGCATGGGTGTGTGCGAGACAAAACGGACAAACGGTATTTGCTTAGTGCATCTGCAAGGTAGAACCCAGTGAGCATTCCATTCAAGGAATGTTGAGAGTACACTCAATATGATGGCGATAAGCAAAAGATTTTGATTCAGTGATGAGCCCCCTGATCGGGGGGTTCCTGATTGCGTAAAGGGCGATGAAGCCTGAAAACTTTGCAGTTTCTTTCACCTTGACGACTCCCATGCACGAGAGCCCTTGTCATATTATTTTAGACTTCCGGTTGTTATTCATACAATACATATTTGAGCAAAAATAAAAACAACAAAACATGATAGAAAGTGAAAGCATCGAGCAACACACTTATTCAGTGGGCTCTATCTGGCCCTTTCTCCCATTTATCTCAACCGAGTGAGGAGGAAAGTGTGGGGAAGTTCTTTCCCTCTTGCCTCTCACCCTCTTTCAGTAAAATGGTTTGTGGGGAGAAAAAGGGACAGAAAAGGCTGTTTTGGACTGTTGAGTCTTTGGTCTTTGACTGTAGGGTCTTTTTTCCTTTCACCTGTCAAACTGCGATCGGATACCTTGGCAGGCAGCCAATTTTTGGCGTTAGTCCAGTCGTGAACTTGCCGATTGAGTGCTCACTCAATTGGCTGGCTAATCGACCAAGTATACAATCAAGTTCTCAAAGTGCAATCAAGTACCTTGGCAGTCAGCCAACCTCTGCTGTCCACACGCAGTAGAGATCATTGAATCATAAACTCAATGATTGAGTACTTGCTCGATTGATTGGCTAATAGACCGGTTGTTTATGGTCAGCTAACGAGCGAGCTGCACTCCAAGCGGGGCGAGTGTTCGGACCTGGAGTCCGGGCTTGCGGAAGAAAAGCAGCGCGTCGCCAGGGCGGAGTCCAAGAGTGCGTCACTGGAAGACAAGCTGGGGGCCAAGTGCCAGGCCTTGGCCACCATGACGGCAGAGAAGCAGACGCTCCAGCTCAAGGTGGAGGAGGCCAACAAGCGACTTGCAGAGGCGCGAACAAGTGCGAACAAGGTGAGCTCGGGAGTGCCTTTGCTTGGGACACGAAGCTGACAGTTTTGAGATTAATCCAAATGATACTAAACATACTAAATATTTCAAGTGCAAAGGACGGATGAGGACATGAAAAAGACGGGACAGCACTGTCCCGTCTCCCTCATGTCCTCATCTGTCCTTGGCGTCTTATATATTTAGTATGTTGAAAACAAGCCTAAACACAAAGACAGTCGAAGTTGGGAGGAAGGACTGGAAAAGGAACCCCCTGTGGAGATTTTTTTCATGGGGGTGGCAGCCGACGTTCTTCGGCAAACATCAACCATCCCTATGTTCCTTTTTAAGTTTGTTGTGGTAGGAAAGTTGATGAAAAGCCTGTGAAGTCTTTTAAAAGTCAGATACTTTCTTATGCCTCAGGTATAGTCTATTAAAAAAATAATTTGATAATCTGGTGAAATTTTTATATTGCAAGACTCAGTCAGTTGGAGCAAGCACTCTCTTTTCACTCGGTAATCTTACAGTGTCACGACCCATATTGTGCCATGACTTGGGTTTACTGTTCTCTTCTCTTTTGAAAATGATGAATAATTATATTAAAGGTTGTCGCGTAACACATTTGTAGGATGCAGCATGCCCGTTCAAACATTTTTTTTAATTTGGCACAAAAAGTCGCAAAATTAGATTCTCAAGTTGGGCCACCAGGCCAAATCCACCAGCACCAATGCCTACTGGAATAGTATTTTAATTTAGTGTTGTGGGGATATTCGAATTTTCTAATAGTCGTTTTGAATAGAACGCTGTTCGATATTCGCCTCGAGAAGAACTGCGATATTTGTATTTTTCGGAGTGTTGATCGCGGCAAATGAGCCCCGTTGAACGCGCTTCTTACCGAGCACCGGAGCACTGCGGAAAAGCAACACCCGCGGAGCTTGCTTTCTTGGTTGTGGCTTTTCCGCAGTGCACCGGTGCTGTGTAAGAAGTGCGATCAACACTTCAAAACATAGAAATATCACAGTTGTGTGCTTAGGACGTAAACTCATTTCCAAAGCGGGATGATGCACATGCGCGTTTGGTGTATTTAAAAAGAAACGCAAACTTTGTGAATGTTGATATCTACGTTCCTGTCAAATTTTCAAAGTTAAACTGATATGCATGAGTGTATGCAGAGATGCCCTGACAACCTGTGTTAGTCATATCTGATTGAATGAAGAAAAGATATTTGCGTATAGCAAGAATATTTAAAAATCCCCTTGATTAGGTATACCTGGGCATTGTACAAGTACAACTTTTATGTCAAATACATCAATTACTTGCCATCCCAATGTAGGCATTGAATGTTCAGAGGCCGCAGTCAATAAATACAGCTTATATAGTCAATAAATTAGCTTAGTTTTAAATGGACAAGTGCAAGCTTGGCTAAATCTTTTGCAAGTTCAGCTGGGTTTTCGTTTAAGCTCGTTGCAGTAGTCAAAGGCTGAAAAGACTATTTTATATTCAATTACAAAATATTTGGCCAACACCACTTTTTGCTTTAAATTGGCTTTGAACTGAAAATCCACTATTCTCACATGACTATCTTATCTATATAGAGTAAGATGTGTCTATTGCAAACACTGATTTTATAAGGATAAGATTTGGATATAGTGAAGCAAAGTTGAAGTATGCTTGTAATGCTAGTATAGGTATTGAAGTACCAATTGTATGTAATAAGTATAGTGAAGATGCTGATGTAGTGACCATTTATCTTTCTGAAAAACTGGCTTTGCTATAGAGCGGTTTGACTACTATTGTTTTGGAAGTCACCTCGAAGTATTCTGTGCCGGGACCAGTCAAATATGGGTGCCTTTTTTGCATTGAATACAATCAAGCAGTAAACAAAGTTACATTCTCTGAAACAGTTGAAAGTGAGTTAGAGCAAAACTGTTTGTCTGTATCAGAGAGAAGAGCAGCAGAAGCAGCTACTGGAGAAGCTGGAAGCCGAGAAGAAACACCTCGAGGAAACTGTGAGTGGACCTTTGTTGCGTCACCTTACGAGAGGGCCGTCCAATTGCAACGGCTGCCTTCCGCCGCCCTTAGCTGCTTGCCGAGACGGAGCGGGGGAAAGCGCTGCAGGCGTCCCTGCAGTTGTCGCAGGCGGAGCTCAAGGCCGCGGAGGAGAACCTGGCGAGCACGCTGGAGAGCCTCACCCGACAGAAGGTGCGGACGCTCTGGTTCTCGTTTGCATGACAAACTACGCATTCAGCATTGTCGACGGCTGTTAACAAGGAGTAGACCCTTTTCAAAAGTGGGCGCCACCTAGTAGCCGCAGCATCAATTATTCTAGTGCGCCATTGCTTGGGCAGTAACTCCCATGGTCCATTGGATACGAGAGCTGTGTCAGCGTTCGGCCCTTTGTGCTCAGAGTGGCAACTGCCATTGTGGTCACGGCAAGCGACTGAGACAAAAAACGGTTTGCCGCACGAAAGATAGCGAGGCTAGCAACGGAGAGAAAATGGTTTTGTTGACTCATGATTGAGAGCGCCACCATAGTTCTAATGACTGTTACATGTAACTGCAGATCAGAAGAAACTGTGTTTTTTCCATCTCGATTATGCAGCGAAATCGCAGTGTGTCCGGGAATGTGGCGCCTTTTCTCTCACTTCTGCCAAGATAAACAATATTAAAAATATGAGCTGCAAATTATTTCAACATTAAAATTGTTGCACCGCTCATTTAAATCTGGTATGACTAGGAGCCACATGGAACGTGAATGAAGTCAAGAAGGGAGAAGAATAGGGAACTGACCGTGGATCCACTTTCAGGCGGAACTGGAGTCGAGCCTCGCCGACTGCAAGAGCCGTGCAGATGCGGAGTCGGCAGATCTGAAGGAGCAGCTCGCGCAACTGCAGCATTCTCTGAGCTCCAGTCAGGCAAGCCGTCTTACCCTGAAACTAGCTGAATTATGACAACTGAATCCTGTCACATTTTACGTGTCTTTCTAAGTTCTACTGTTTGTTCTCTTGCAGGAGAAGTTTGCTTCTTTGCAGCTCCAGGTACTACTTATTCTCTTTTTTAGTTTTCATGGTAATGAAGCCGGCACTCTTCCTGTTTTATTTCCTTTGAGTTTACAGCCTGCTTCTTCTTGGCACAAGGAATGGCATTGTGCTTGATTTGTTCTTGAGGATTATTCATATACTATTGAACTTTGCTATATATAATAACTTTTTTTTTTTTCGGAAAAGTTTTTTTATTAGAGACTTTAGTGGCTTTTTTATTGTACAGGTGGTCGGCAAAAAGAAAGTGTTTTTCTCAACAAAAAAATTAACTGTACATCACTGAATTAAGATTAAAAATGTTTGAATTTGGATAGAACATTGTTAATATTCAGTTCAATATTCCAAGTCAATTTTTTGCATTATTCATATTCAATTCATATTCAGAAACTTTTATATTGGAACACTCCTACCTTTTACTATAAAAAGATGTTACCGTATTAGCTATTTTAGCTGCGTCTTAGTCGACACAATTGGACTTGACGAGTTGCACATAGAAAATTTATTCATCTATTTCAGAATCTCAGAATGCTGTAAATTTCCTTGGGGGATTATGACAGGCAAAGGTACATATAAACATGATTTTGAGGTGTGCAAAAACAATGTAATAGTCAAAATGGTCACTTTCTTAAATATTCAGTTAGCTTATAAATTGACTAAGGAGGTGCTGTTCAAGAGCATTAATGAACGAATCTGCACTTCTAAAGCTAAAGAAATGAGTGTCAAGGCTGTTCCAATCTCTTATGGCAGAAGGAAAAAAAAAGAGTGCCTGAAAGTATTATTATGAAATGAATATTGGATAACTGCATATTTGTGTCTTGTTGTTCTTGACTGAGAAAAGTCCACATGCTACTTGTTTTTGTCCATCTTGAAAGTGTTGTTTAAAAAGAAATACAAGAATTTAAAGCTGCTCATGTAACGTGTGAATAAGTAAGGTATAGTTGGCAGTAACTGCTAATCATGCTTAAAAGTAACTGCAGTTTAGGATGCCATTTGGGCACCCTTAAAGTTGAGTCTGACCTCGGTCACACTTAAATGTGGCTAAGGCCACAACTAGGCAAATGCTTTTTAGTAACTTTGAATTTAGTGCACGATTAGCAGTGGTCAAAACACGGGATCCTTTAAGCAACTCAGTGGGTGAATGAAACCGTACATATTTGCGGTATATAAATCTTATTGCTTTCCTCTGAACATTTTTAAGGATATTGATATTGTTTTGTGCATGAGGGAACCAGGCTATGATTGCATATTCTACTACTGGTTGCACCAGCCAGTGTAGTATATGCTAACAGTTTGGTTTCATGACTTGAGTGTTTTAACATTCTTTTTAAAAACAAAAAAATTTGATAAGAATAATTTGATAAGAGCTTTACATGTCACATATTTTATATGTGCGTTCCAGTTTAGATCTGAAGTTATCACGACACCTACATACTCATATTCAGTGACTCTACACAAGTTTATACCATTTAGCTTGTAAGAATAATCTAGAACATTTTTTTCTTTTTAGTCAGGCACATACAAACAATTTTTTGTGTGTTTAGAGTCATTTGTTAGCCATTGCATCAATTTGCCAGCTTCTTAGAGACCTGTTTGGTAATGTTTGGTCATCTTGGCACGAAATATCACGATAAATAATGCAGTCATCCGCAAAAAAGTTTGTTTCCATCGATGCCATCTATAATGTCGTTAATGAACGGAAGAAATAAAAGCGGAGCATGTTTTCCCACGAGCATTGGGTATGCCAGAGTGGTAGTTGTGTGTAGTAGTGCTGCGCAGTTCCAGCCCCTTTGGCTGCCTCTGTTCCAAGGTCCAACAGCTGGGCACCGAGAAGCAGCGGCTCGAGAGCGACCTGGCGAGGGAGAGGGAGAAGGGGCAGCTGCTGGTGGAGGAGCGGGGCTCTTTGCAGTCGAGCCGGGACGCGCTCGATGCAGAGGCCAGGGAGCTGCGGGACTCCCTCTCGGCCTCCAGGGAGGAGGCAGTGCGCTTCCAGAGCGACCTGGAGCAAACCGCCGCACAGGTTGCGCGGCTCACAGCAGAGCGCAAGGTGAGCTCTTCCAAGCGATGGCGTCATTCGGGCAGACAGTTTTGTAGCGTGAGCTACACTGGCTGAGGTTGAGTAGTTTTGCGTGGCTCCCAAAGAGCCTTGCTGCGCATGCGCGAGGAGCAGTGACGTCGCACGGCGCACAGCTGGCGCACCGGAGTCGCCGCTGCACGTGCCTTGCCGGTCTGCGCATTCCAGAGGAGTGACGTCATAGCCGCGGCAGATGCACTGGCGCTGCCGCGTGCCCAGCTGTGCACCTCCATTGTGCAGTAGCCAAATCTGACGCTGCACCAGAGCCGCTTGATAGCGCCTCTCATTTTGTGCGCATAAGCTCACGCTACGTATATCCTGGCATAGTTGAGCTAAGCCACCGCAATTTTTTTTTTTTCGTTTCGAAATTGAAATTTTTAATTTCTGTTGCAACGACGCAAAGCAGTGTGGGGTGTTTCTCCGTTTAAAAGGCAGAGAATCTGTGCAGCGTGACATGGTTCCTTGTTGTTTACCAATAGTAAAGTCTTAAGGGGGGAGGCTGGTCTTTAAATGCTAAAAAGTTGGCAAAAGTCATTTTTCAGAAAATGCCTTTTCTGATGTTTAGACATACCCACTCAGCTCTGTGCAAAATATTATTGCTCTATCTAATTTTTAAATATGAAAGAAAAATATGAAGTCTTCATTTTCTATTAACATTCAGTAGGAATACACATACTTCAAGGGCTTTTTCTCTCTTCACACTTTTTTCGCAAGTACCGATGCCCTACAGGCGTTTTCTGAAGTTTGTCTTTGGCAAAATTAATATGTTTGGTGCCATTTTAATCAGGAAGAATGGAGCTGTGCGGTGATGCTATTTTTATAGTTTTCCAACTTAAGAGTTCTATCCAATTAATTACTTTCTTAAATAATTCTATAATTACAATCATCTTTTTTTGGTAACATAACCCTCTCAGGTGAGATCTAAAACAGCATCACCGCACAATTTACACCCTTGTGAATGCAGTTGCACTCAAAATTTTGATTAGTTACGAATAGTTTTTCTCTAATGACCTAATCAAATTAAACTGATCTCCCATAACTCGGGTTCTAGTAAAGCTATTCAATATCTGATTGTATATTTGGAATAGGTGCGAGATCTGTTATATCAGTGCATAATATGATAAGTATTTTTTTATAAATAAAAAAATTACTCTAAAGCCCTACGTCCCCCCTTAAGACGATTTAAAAAATTTTCTGCCCGAGTAGTTGCCTCGTTTGAGAATGTTGATCGCTCTAAAAGTTCTGGTGAGCACCATTTATAAATTGTAAAGGAAAATCGCTAAACTCCGGCGATCGTTGTGCTCTGTACCTCTTTAAGCGCTAGTTCAGGCATTTGCCATTGGTTGCTTCCACAGCAATTGAGACGACAGCAACGACAGAGTCAAAGGAATGCAGCATGCAGCTAGAAAAGATGGGCGCACATCTCCGGGGCTCGCTATTGTTTCTCGCGGTTGTTCCTTTTATTGATAGCTGCATGGTGTGAGCTGCGCAGTTTTACCGATGGTTCTCGCACTGCCGTCGTTTTAGTTGCAGGAAATGCACCTTGTGCAAATGAGCCAGGCTTCAGGTGCAAGTTTGTCATTGTGTAACACACTCTAGTATGTATTTCTTGAACAAAACAAACCCCGGTGGACCTGCCACTTGATCGACGTGAGTATTTGTTGACACTGCGAGGCAGTCTTGTCATCTCGTGGAAACGATGGGCGGAGTATAATTTTGTCGATTGACATTGTGCCTGCCCTTGTGTCGTCCGGTGCCGTGCAGGACTTGGAAGCTCAGCTGGCCACGGCGGAGAATCAACTTGGCGACCTCGGGTCACGCATTGCGCGATTGGACGAAGAGGCCAAGTCCCTCAGAGAAGAGCTTGCCTCCAGCCGTGCTACGGAGGCAGAACTGGGGTCCGCACTCGAAAGCCTTAATCAGGTGCTGAACATTGACTCAATGACCGTAACATTTCTTGATAGTTTTCGGATGAAATTAAATTACGAGTATGTGTGGCCTCGCATTTAGCTCATGCTCACTCTTTTAGACCCGTCTGCCACATTGCAGGTCAAGCAGGAACTCTCTGACAAGCTGATGGCCTTCGACCTCGAGGCAACTAGCCTAAGGAACGAGAATAACACCCTCTCCGATGCGAAGGTAAGATTTCAAGAGTGCAGACCTGGCAGCTAGAGCTGCTGCTCAGATCCGGTGCCTAAAACACATCTCCGACCGGGGCGTCTAGGGTCGTAAATCACTCGTGCTTCAGTTTTGGCAAAAAAGGATATGTCACAGGAGCTACGGGATAATGCTACGAGTTATTGTGATCTTGGCGGTTGGTTGTATTCGCCTCAAGATTCGATCGGCACGGCAGATGTGGTGAAAAGCTAAACTATGCTTTGTTTTACACATACTTGGAGCAACTGGAACCGATTGCTAAGCGCTCGTGCTCTGTACTCTTGTGCGTGTTCTTTGCCATTAGTGTGGATGCTTTGTCTCCACCCGCATTGGGGACAGATAGAATCACCATGTGTCTCATAGAGAACGATGGGTAAACAAGAACACGCTTCCCCTAAATTCAGTCTAAGTCTCGAGGCGAATAAACCGTCTTTTCATAGTGGCCGACGTGTTTTGAATTTTGACGTAGCTGAACTGGGCCAAAATAGTAACTCACTTTATTGGCCGACTGGAAGGCGCTAGATTACAAGGGGTTCCTGCCAATAATTCTAATTTTCCCTTGGCTCTACTCTTTTACTGTAGCTAGGCTTCAACTATTTACCTAAGTTTCTGTCGCCCAACTGTACATCATATTTCAACGTGACAACCCCAAGCAGCACGGATTTGGCGATGGTCTTTTTGCCAGTGGCCAGAGAGTGGCCATTCATTGGCCAATGCTTGGCTGATGGCTGATGGCCAGTGGCCAATGGCCAGATAAAGGCCAGTCACCGGCCAGTCTTTGGCCACTGTCTGGCCACTTGGCCAAGGACCATCGCCAGCCATTGGCCGATGACTGGCCAACTCTGTGCTGCTTGGGACTGTCGCACAAAAATGGGAGAACAAGACGAGCCAATGCAGGCATTGTGGCTGTCCTAATGCACGAGAGCTACAGTTTTTGCCGACTGACTAGCTGCAGAGTGAGCTGCATTAGAAAGGGCGTTGGCCACAGCTATCTTCTCTGCCACGACATCTGGCAGGATTGTGGCAAACTGCAGAATTACGCAATTGTGACATCCCCAGGCAGAAATCGAGGGTATGAAGTAAAGACACAATTCACACTGGTCATAGATGCACTTGAACCATTACAATTTAGCGGAAAATCAAGTGGAAAGTAGCTTTCGTATCTGTAGAACTGCACCATTCCTCCGCTCATTGGTTGGGGTGTTTTTGCTTTGTCCCCAAGTCATCCTGAAAACGTCTCTAATTTCAGGCGGCGCTTCAAGATGAGGTCCAAGAGCGGGAGGAGACACTCAGGCTGGAAGAAAAGAAGCGGTCGGAACTCGAAGCCCGGTTCCGCGAGCTCAGGACGCAGCTCGAAGAGGATGCAATAGCTGCCGCCAAGGTACCGCGCGATCGGAAGCTTTTCCAATGTCTGCGCAGCCTTCCTCGCTACACTAAATGACTGGGGAACTTTCATGGCAACACTGGGATTGCAAAGCTTCGTAGCATTCTGGGTATCGAAACAGTCTGGGGTCACTAACAGGTCTCCTCAGGATCAACTCTTTCTGCTACCTCCTGCCAAGATTGGTACCTGACAGTAGGCAGTTGGTTACCGACTGCGAACAAATGCCTAGAGCAAGCCGGCTGCCAGAGCAATTGAATGCGGCAGTGGCGTAGCCAGGAAGATTTTTCTGTATTTGTTTTGGGGGGAGGGGAGGTCTGTAGGCTTTCACGCCACTTCATTACACCAGTGCTGGGACCAGCATGGGTTCCTGGATTTTCAGTCGATCCAGATAGGGGTTCCAGAGCTAGAAAAAGTTTGAGAGCCAGTGGACTCGGGCATTGCATTCAGACAGACACCAAGGTCGTCCGGAGTGTACGCACGCCCTTCAAGCTCCCGGTCCGTCTGTGCTTGTCTCCCGCGGTGAGCAGGAGCTGGTGCGGGTGAAAGGGGAGGCCCAGGAGCAGCTGGCGGCCCAACAGGCCCAGATGGACACCCGGCTGGGCGAGCTTGCCGCCGAGAGGGCGTCCACCCAGGAGGAGCTGAGGGCCACCCGGGAACAGCTACAGGCGCAGCTGAGCACCTCCCAAGACAAGGCCGCCCAGTTCAAGCTCGCGTTGGTAGGTGAAGGGACAGGAGCGTCTCGTTCGTCCCCCGGGCATCACTCTGTTTGTGTCTTTTTTTTATTATACATACCAAAGTTTTACCTAAAAAAAAAAAAAGATGAGGATCAAAAAGGGAGAGGAAACATGTGACGAGGCATGCTTTCAATTAAAATCTGAGGTTTTACGACAAAAAACACGGGGACAAAAAGTGAGAGGCAACGTAAAACAAGGTGTCATTTCAACCGAAACTGAGGTTCTACACCAAAAAAAAACACTGGGACAAAAAGTGAGAGGCAACACGGGACAAGGCATACTTTTTGTGTCCGTGTTTGTTGGTTTATACCCCTGTTACACGGGCACACTTAACCGCGGTTAACTCAACTTAACTGCTGTTTCGCAGCACCACAGATACCGCACTATACTCTCTGACAGCTATATCAGAAGAAGTGAAGAGCGCGAGCGCACTGCTTCGATAGATGCTCAAGATGCTCGAGGGCACGTTCGCCCATAGCTTTGACTGCATAGCCGCAGAATGTTGTCCGCAAGTATTGTGCGCTATCTGTGGCTTAGCGTAACTGCAGTTAATTGTGCCCGTGTAACAAGGGTATTAAAGCCTCAGTATGAATCAGAACCAACTAGCCCAACCTGCAGTTCTCGGTGGGTCCAAGGCAAAGTGCCGGCCTACGGATCCCCGGGTGGCGGGTTCGAATCCCAGCAGAGTTGCCCGCAATCCGATGGAGGCTTATTGCGGAGAAGGCGACGTGAAACCTAGGTTTCTGTTGCACGTCAAAAGATCCCCAGGTGATCCTCAGTCCTTCGTTGGGGTGTGCCAGATGTCCGTCGTTGATTTGGCACGTAAAACCGCCGAGTTTGATTTAAGTACCGGTACTGTGCTTGGAACCGCCGCTCCGACACAGCCAGGATCGGGGCTGGCAACAGCACAACGCATCTATCACGTCGTCGGGCGGAAATCGAGGGACCGCTTTTTAGGGCGCGGTGTTTCAGTGAAGGCTTTCAAGATTTCTAAAATAGAGTGGTTCAGGGAAAAAAAATTGTTTTCTGGAACAAATTGTCAGTTGAGGCAGCCGTTTGCAAAAAAGTAAGCGAAAAACGAGGCGAACGATTGCAAAAAAAATTCTAATTATTAAACTAATTACTAAATGTAATTTTTTTAACTTGCGCAGTTTAGTGGCCAGTACGATTGGCAAGTTTGTAGCTGCGGACAAAACAATCTCAAACTCGTTTGTAGGACGGAAAACAAAAATCTTCCTAAGCTGCAGTCTAAGTGAACCCCACGAGGAGCGCTTTCCTACACCTGTCGTGCGCCACGTTTCGGTGTTCCGCAGAAAACGCTAGAGATTTTCTCGTGCAAACGCGCGGCACCCGCTTTTGTTGTTCCCTCATTTCCAGGACGAGGAGCGTCGAAAGTGCAAGCAGCAGGGCGTGGAATGGGAGAGCGAGAAGGCGCGCTACGAGGCGCGGCTCACCGCACTCTCCGACAACCTGGACACCTTCCGGGGAGACCTGGCCAGCGAGCGCACCAAGCGCGAGGCGGCCGAGGCCAAGCTCGACGGAATCTCCGGGGACAAACTCGGTGAGGGACCCCATCTCCCGCTCGCCCCAATTGGGAAACCGCATTGGACTTAATTGGGCGTAAGAAGAAAGGAAAACGCATCCCCAATATTGCCCAATATTGTTGCGATATTCCTACAGAATTTTATGTACCGCCGTCCTTACGGAAAAAAGAGTACCCGCGATTTTTTCAATCGTTTGTCAGTCTTTAACCCTTCATATGTACTATTCTATTTTGCATATTTTTGATTTGGTGCATAAGCATGTTTCAAAGTGTTCTTTGTTTTTGAGATCTGCGTTTTGGTGTAGGCGGTGCGTGCCTTCTTGGATGTGCTGCGACATCATTTACTCAATTGCTTCTCCCCCACTATAACGGCTTCACGGGCACTGTGGAGTACCCGAAAAAAATAACTAAAATAAATAAATATGGTCATACTACGAATGCCTTCACATGCCAGCAATACGAGCTTGTCACAACTAACGTCCGGAGTGATGCTGTGGGAAGATTCCATTTACTTTACGCGTTTACCTTGCGCAGAATTGGAGGCGAAGCTGGAGAACACGCTGGACGAGAGGCGGGCACTGTTGGACAGGTGAGCCGCGACTGGACTGTACACCTGCACGTTGCGAGCGATCCGAAGCAAAGACATGACACGCTTGTGTTTGTTTTTCCCTTTGTGTTCAGGTGCCTGAGGAGTGAGGCTGAGGTGGACACCTTGCGTGCAACCACGGCCGATCTCCGCAAGAAGCTGGACGACTCTGTGGCCGCCCTCCACGAACTCGGCCGAGAAAACCAGGCCCTGCAGGTCGCAATTCCAATTCTCTTCTCTCTTTGCATCGTGGCTCCAGAGCTAGGTTCTTGCCAGCAATACAAGCCAAATGGCTCGAGCAAAAGCTATCCAGCGGGCTGTCGCGATGCGACCAAGAGTCTGCAGTGCATATGCAAACTACTCCAGTTTGCAGTACACTGCTGGGGCAGCAATTACGCGTACTCCACGAATTCTACGAGCAGGCTCCACTGCTTGCAGGTGTACGCATGTTTTCCAAATAGGTTCCTGGGAGCCCAGAAATTCCCCAGAGTCCCCTCGGTGGTTACCCGAGCTCCCAAATTTCCACGACCGTTCCCTGTAAGGTTTATGCACTTGATGTAATGAATTTTAAGGGAAGCTCCCAAAGTGGAGAAAATTTACGCCCTGCTAACCGGGAGCTAGCCGTCGGCAGAGCGAACAGGTGCCACCAGTCTTGGAGAAGCAAGCTTCTGATAAAATTCAGATTTTTTCAGCTGTAATCTTCCGATAAGGGAAGCCAACCCCAAGGTTCTGTGCAGGTTCCTCAAGTTTGCACATCTAGCAAAACACATGTAGCTTTTAAACAAAGCATATTGTGGAAACGTCGACAATTTTTCCATACTTTATTATTTGAATGGGCATTATTTTTGTCACTGGGGCAACTTTTGAATGTGCATTTCCCAGGATCTAATTACAGGGGTGGAACTCATAAAATGTACTTGGGAGCAGCCACGGGAGCAGCTGAAACAGCTGTTTTGGAGCAGGTTGGGAGCAGCTAAAAACTACGTTCTGGAGCAGGCTAGGAGCAGGTCGGATCAGTTTTCATTGCACTTCAGCTTGTGTCTTAGACACGCACGGGAGCAATTTCAATCGTGCCTAGCAGCACAAATGAACATGAGTGGTTTGGGACCTAGGTAGGATGGGATAACAGTATAACAGATGCGAAAACTTGAAACTGTGAGCCTTAATGAGAATCAAAACGCAAGTATCCTATGTTTCTAGAGATAGCGTCCTTGATAATATCTGAGTGGCTTTCAGCTGCTAAAAGTGCAAACCAGCACTGCTTATCGCACAACCCACACGCGCTCGACATAGTGATTATATGTGCGAACCACGTGGCATCCGTAAGCAACGAACGTGCAGTTGCACGGAGGAACAGAGCAACAAATTTCAAGTTGTGCAACTCGATATCGAAGCAGCAGACTACGATTAACGAAGTTATTGTATTTGAAGTGATAAGCAGGAGCAAGGTTAATGTACGCCGAGTAGATATACCACTCGCGTAAGAGCTGCTGACCGACAAGGTTTCGGATCGGACCGCATTTCAGTTCTATCAAATCATGATTTATCTTGGGAGAATGCGGTTCCAACTTCTAACAATGAAGTAGGTACTAAAAGAAATAATTTGCTCATTTTTTTCAACTAGCTGACGTCAGGGTGCCGGATCCCGGGCCGCAGAACCTCAGGCAATCTCACGCTTAACGACTCGACCTCACCTCAGCCGACTTGCTTAACTGCTTATGGTTGAAGAATAACAATCCAGTCGCAGGTGGTGTAGCGCTTATAATCAGAGTTTTTTCGCGCGCTTCCGACTCGGGATACACAGAGAGAATAAACAAAAGAAAGGATTGTAAAGCCGACCAGGCTAACCACGCTCATTGTTGCCAATCGAGTCAATAAAACCGAAACCAAGTCAAAATAAAGAGATTTTGGCGCACGTTTTGTAATCTGGCGCATAATGGCGTGAGGTATTGGCTCTGGCGCAGTTTCAGCAACATGGCGCACGATGGCGCAGACACATGCGTCTGGCGCAAAATGGCGCAAATGGCGCAGCCGTTCCACCCCTGAATTAAAACTCGAAGGTCACTGCTCTTGATCCCGTCACTGAAAAACTGGAAAGAGTGAACGTTGCGCGATCGTTGGCCGCAGATGGACAATGCCAAGTACCAGGGACGCAAGTGGGCAGACGACTCTCAGGTGGCCCACTGCACCGGCTGCCAGAAGCAGTTCACAGTCACCATCAGAAAGGTCACTTTCTCACCATTTATTCTTAACTTTGGAGCACAGACACTGTTGCTTTTTTTGGGCAGTTTTACAAAACAATCACAGTGCCCAAGTGTAGATGCTTACTTCCAGCTCAAGTTTTTTTAATAACTAAAAAAATAATTAAAAAAATACATTAGCTGCCACTTTAGCTGCACCTGCTACTCCTTTGAACTAGGAATAATTAGTGTTCATTCACTATAGAGTTTTCAGCTGTCACCTAAATAAATCACTGCACTACACTTAAGGGGGAACACTACTCCGGAAGGCTAACTTTTGAACCGTTTGTCTTATTTGCATGAAATTTGCAGGGTGTACTCATAGCACTGGACAAGGATGCCGTGGAAATTTTCAACCCTATAAAAAAAATTGGGTTGTGTGTGTGTTTATACAGCCTAGAACTTGGTCTGCCTCACAGGGGCGACGAGTCTCCCAGCTGTAGATGAGAAATTTAGCCAGTGCGGTACAGCCGCTAGCCTGGGGTCTTTAACGTGCATCACGCAGTAGTGATACACGACCGCACGCCGGTACGATGCTCATCCAGATCAGGGTGTAAGATAGACAGGTGGGGAAACGGCCCATAGAAGTCTACCGCAGCGCCGTGACCGGATTGTGTACTCGTCTGCTTGCGGGTACCCCCGACTTGCGACAGATGGCGCTGCGGCGAGAGGAAAAAAATAGAAATCGGATTTGCATGGAATTCTTTGGGAGAATGCACAAAACAAACCGAGAGCACGACAGTCTTCCATTGAAAATCCATGACAAATTATTTCCGTCAGTTTAGCCGGTCGCCACCGGTCGCCCACCCAGAGTGAGAGTTCGCGGTGCTCCACATAGATGGCGCCACAGAAAAAGAGAAACCCGAGGGGGACACAATTTGGTCGCTCATTTGGCTCTCGTTTCCCCACCTGTCTATCTTACACCCTGATCCAGATCGAAACGGGCAGGGGTGGGGCTCGATCAACCCTATAAATGTATCCCATGATGAGTTACATAAAAGTTCATAATAAAAAAGTGTATCTGCTGAGGAAAGCTATCGTTTAGAAAGGGTAATGAAAATGGCCACTTTTTTTGCTGGAACATACAGCAGAATACTTGCTTTAGACGACTATGAAAAGAAATTTCAAAAATTATAAAATTTATTCACAAAAAAAAAATATGAAAAAAATTTTTTTTGGGTGTACATTTGATTAAAAGTAATATAAACTTTTCATAACAAAAGAGCAGAAAAATGCAGAAAGTAAGTTCACAGTCGTGTTCTCCAGAAAATTTTGATATAGAAAAACCAAAATATATCTGCACGCATAATTTGATTATGAAATGATAGCTTCCCTGAACTGATATTTGACACTAAAAAGTGAAGCTGAGATAAATGCCCTTGAAGTTTCAAGATAACATTTTAAAAATTTCTTTTTGCTTGTTAAATGTCAGAAATTTTTTCCAGCAGTGTACGTGATGTCTTCCTCAAACTTCTTCTGATATACTGATATTGATTTCAGTTATTTTCACTTGTGGATGACGAGTGCTACGCAGTGCAGCACACCTCACCAACATACAAAGGATAATTATTTTTGACATTATTTGTCAATGCACATTGACAAGACTTTGTGAGAGTGTTCCTTGTTATCCATACATGCCAAAACTCTGCAATTCTGGATATGAATATTTTTTAAAAAAAAGTGCAATTCAAGGTAGTGTCTCCCCTTAAAAGTTAAAAAAAGTGCTATTTACACAGAATAATAAAGTCACACGCACATACATTGCATAAGTACCTATGCACAGTATATGCTTAAGGAGTCATATCATGACTTAATTATCCTATAGTCTTAGTTTCTTATAATTGAATTTGGCTGCTACATTGCTGTCTGATTGATGTAAATATAAGTTCTATTGCTGAATTAGAAGAATATTTTCATTTTTGTCTCTATGCAACCTAAAGTTTGTGAAAGTAGTATTTTCTTAATAAAGTACTTCAAACAAATTTGTTTTCTTTCCGAGCATACATGCACTGGAAAGAGTGCATATGCGCCGGAACGCTTGAGAGAGGAGGTTTCCTTCTCTCCCCTCAAGCATTGTTTACTTCCCCCTCCCCAGCCTTCCTTCCCCTCGAAAACTTTTCTTAACCTGTTTCTCTGAATTTATTTTTTTGCGATTTCTCTGAATAGTTGTTCTTCTCTCCTGCAGCACCACTGTCGAAACTGTGGCAACATCTTCTGCAACGAGTGTTCTGCAAGATCTGCCACCATTCCGTCTTCAAAGAAGCCAGTCAGAGTGTGCGACGGCTGTTTCGCCGAAGTGACCCAATGAACTCTGTGCCGCGGGTTTTATTTTTTAACTTGGCCTTCATCGTGGATGTGCACAAAATGGTTCTTTGGTCGTGCTGCTAACGTCATTCTTGTTTTACGGTTACAAACAGTTTACTAGCAATGCGGTGATCATGCGGGTGCGTAGAACTGTGCCATTAAACTAACCGTGGGAGTGAGCACAGCTGTCGGCACGCCGAGCTCGTGGATTTGGTGAATGTATGAGACAACGACGGCCTAATGTTGCGCTATGCCTCTCTAATGATTCAGGTAAACATACTATATGCTCTTCCTGCCTTGGTGCAATTAGTACTATATGTAAGATACATGTAGGTATAAGACTTGATGAATTTTCTTAAGATATTTTCTTGCTTTTTTTCACAAGAGTGACTAATATATATATATATATATATTGAATGTCCCATAAATAATAAACTTTAAAAGATATGTTTTTGTGTGTTCAGTTTTGGGAACTGTAAATAAATGAGCTATTGTAATGAGCCACTGAAATCACAGCAGCTAATTGAAACTTGACCAGCAAACTTTGTGCGGGTATCTTTACTTCGCAGTCAAAGGTAGCAACTGCAGCAAAAAAAAAACAAAAAAAAACGAAAAATGTTGTTGACTGCATTCACTGGTTTGGGATGAAGCAACAAGTTTCTCAAACACGTGAAGTTCAGCCACAGCCCACGAATGAATGGTGACCGACGTCGCGTCCAAAGCATATAATAATGGTGCTCCTAATCATACCCATGTTGTGGCAAGGACTGCACAAAGTAGGGACAGACTTTGAGACCATGAAACAAAAGATACTAAACACAGACTTTCAAAAGGCTTTTGTAGGCAGCATTACGGGCATTTGGGGATAGGAACCGAAACGGTAATGTCTGATGTATGGTTATGAACAAGACGAGACTCGGCAATTTACAGTGAAGGTCTGCAAGTACAGGAGTTACTTGAACAAACCAGTTGCAAAAATTTCAAGAGGCCATGCGCAAATTTAAATGCCTAGGTCCTGCATGCTCCTGCAACGTCCGCAGCATCTGCAGACGCTGAAGAGGACCTAGATAGCAGACCAGAGCCAGGACACAGATATCCGACATCTAGTTGGCATGTTCTCCCAGCCGGATGCCGACCCAGCACTCGTGGTCAGTCTGCGCCACAAGCACTATGGCCGCTATGGCCTCGACGTCCGTTCCACTTTCTCCGACTACAGCCATCTGATGGAGCCAGTTGAGCAGCTCCCATCATCGCTGTGCTCATTTTTCTTGTGCGTTTGCATCACCAACCAAACTAATTGTACACGGTGAAGTCGCCGTGGTCCTCGATATTTTCCTGCGCGCTATGGCTTAGCAGATGATGGCAAACCTACGAGAAAACGAGCGCCCATGACGACTCACTTTAGGCGCCGCTTGTTTGGCTAGCTCCGTCGAATTGTAGCGTTGGCTGCGGTCAGATTTAAAGTGAAACAAAATGTGGGTCTTGAAACAGCGCGGTTGCACACCTGCCCTTGCCTTTTTTTAGAGTGCGTTGTCTCCGAAGCCGCCTCCATCATCTGCTCTTTTCGGCATTGCTTAGGGCATTGCACATTTTGCGACGATCCATCGGGATGGGCAACAAATGAATACGACCCTTCTAGATTATACTTGGGGTTTTGTTGGCACTCCTTGCCTGAAGCTTGCCTGCAATTGTATTTTAATAGAGTTTGCCACGGAGCCATAAACTAAGTTCCTCCACAGTTCGTGGTGATAACTATGGCAATAACTTTGCAAGTTTTAATAAGTAAATATTCTCCACTCAAATTGGTCCTACATCTAAACCATTCCAATGGGTGGAAGCCCACAGGTGGTCTTGCTATCACTCTGTGCTAATATACGTAGCGCACTGCCACCAAGCTAGATATAGCAAAGGCAGGGCCAAACCTGGCCTTTGTGGCTATGTCTCTTACTCACTCTTTCTTGCATCAGTTGACACATGGAGGTGCCAGCGTGGAAATAGCCCCAAACTACTTCCGGTTTTGAACTAGATGGCGGGTTTTGCAGCATTTGCGCAATCAAATATATACGCTATCTTCTGGAAATGGCCTCTTATAGCATTGTCGGACTTGGTTCAGTCTTGTAAAAGAATGGAGTAAAAACTTTGAAAATGTGAACTGGAAGTGTGCCAGGGCTCAATAGATTGCGAAACAAAGTAGGGGGAATAGAGGCATTACCGAAGGACCCCAATTCGGTACATCTAAAGCTCCAGCATATGGAAAAGCAACTTGAACCTCCTCTTCATGGAGGCCAAGACCCTTCTCTATTTTCACTCGCAGCAGACAATGCCACTTTTTTAGCATGGCCATCCCCTCCTAGATAATGAGGTTGAATATTCCACGTCACCTAAAGAGGCAAATGCAGGTATTAGGAGTATGTGCTGCAGCCAACGTTGCTAGAAACTCTGGTGGGAAACTGACCACTTTAGAATGGGCCACTGGCATCCAGCAAGACAGAGCTAAATACGATAACAGCACCACCATTTAGCGACGAGTTGAAACCCGAATTGTTTTATATGGCTACTGCTAGAGTTGCCGAATGTTCCCAGAGTAGAGTACTGCAACTCCCAGGCTCACAATACCAAGATGGCAGCTCAATCTTTTCTTTAGTGTGGTCACCACAAACTTTTAGGAAGCATGTTCTTGCATAAAAACTCTTAGAAACTTTTATTGGAAATTAGTACAAAAGAGGTGTGCGATGTTTTCTAAAATCTTTAGTTTACAAGGATTTGAGGCATGATTAATATTGTTTTTATACAACCTTGTCCGACTAGTGATTTCAGGTAGCGTTTCCTGACCTGGCTGCATCCTAACTTCGGTCGTGAATTGCGGCACGTCCGCTTGGGAGACGGGGGTTGGCATTCCAGAAACCCCTTCCACCGTACATGCTTCGGCGCCGGAATGGCCAATTAAAGCCAAAATAGAACAGTTGCAACAGACGCTATCGAACGCGATATGCCCAAACCAATACAAGCAGCCTTGCAGTTCCCCGAGTGGCCGCTGCGGAAGAAATGGCGGCGTTGCGATCGCCATTAGCTCTGTTCGACTATGGGTTGGTGCTACTTTTTCAGAGCAGGATCTTTGGCAGTTTTCCAACTGAGTTGTTCTAGTAACATTGGCTGCGGCAGCACGGCCGTGAACTGCGGCAGCAAATTTGGTCACGTGGTATGCACCGACCACCTGGTGAGCGGAGGAAAAGAAATATTCGAGGGCGGTGTCGGGGAGGAAACTTAACTTTGCACAACACTTAGCCCAAACTAGATATTTTTTGTATTTTACTTCGAAAGGGTATTGGCTGGTATCAAATTTACCCAGCCTTTCAAGCATTACTAAGGGATTATGCAACGAATTCACAATTTCTCAGCACTTTTCCTGTTCTACCTTTACAAATAACACATGCAAAAACTGTTACATTCAGTGAAGCCTACACAATAAGCGCTTTAACTATGTATAATGATCCGGAACACACAACTGTAATAAGGCAACAAGTTTATTTGGCTTTGCTCCACAAATACATCACAGCAAAGTGCCTAACTTCCTAAACAGCCTTTTCCCGAGAAAGCGTCGGTTTGGACCTTACGCAACGGAATTCAAAGAGCACACTGCTGTCTACGACGGTACACGTGAAACGAAAGAAAAAAGTTAAAGCCAACAACAAATGCCCGTAACGGGGCATACAAAAAATATTCTGCAGTTCTAAATACGAGTGGGGGGGGGTGGCAAAGCCCTCGACTCCCTCGCGGGGAGGCTCAAGATGAGAATACTCTGAAAATGCAGACAAGTGTACAGCAGTGGGACAGCGCGCTTAGAGTTGCACGGGCATTCATGCGGAGGGCAGTAGCCACGGACACTGCCTATTGCGTTATACTGGTTCCTTAAATAGTACGTACACACAATACATTCCGACACATTCCAGCCCCCTTATTGTAAACTACTATGGCCTCTTCAAACACATCCTCTTAATCTCAGAAATCTCCTATAGGACTTTTAGCAAGGGTCTACCAAACATAAAAAAAAAAAGAAAAGAACATTCAACAACATATGGAATGTATTGTATATTTAATATATATATTCATATATACCGGCTGGGGTGGAGGTTGGGGAGGTAAAGCAATGTCTGAACAATAGACAAAAACGTACGCGACTGAAATTTACAGACATAAATCAACCGCGCCTTTGGGCAATCCCGTCGCACGATATGTACACCCACAAACTCCCTCTATACAGCGAATGCAGACGCACGCACGCAAAACTGGAAAAACTGTACACAACAAGTTATTCGAGGGAGTCGTACTACATCGTACCGCGGCGTGTGCTTTCACATGCGCCGCGCATAAATAACTACCTTCGTCCCAGGGAAAGGAAGCACTCTAGAAAACAACACAATACTGTGGGAAAAAAAAAAAAATTGTCACTGTTTCTTAAGAAACAACAAATAAAAAAAAGCCTTTTACGGGAAGCAAAGCACACAACTCTCCACCGAAACTCGCCAAACCACCGCCTCGCCTCTCGACACATTGATTCTTGATGGCCCTTCGCGGTCAATCGTCTCCAAGTTTCTAACAGTGATGTCTCGAAGCTATGTGACTAGCCAATGTGCAAGCCAATCTTTTTTTTTTTTTTTTTTTTTTTGTCTCCGACGATTGCGAGGTGTGGAAAGCAGAGTTGGACTCGAGAAAAAAAAAAAGGTGGCTCCAGATCTGTCGGGGGCACGCCCGGTCTTGGCGGCCCTCCTAACAAACCGGACCAGACGTGCCGCATTTATTTCGCGAGAAATAAAAAAAGACCCTTCCCACCGCAACCGAGTCCAAACTTTGGGATTACAGCCCGCACGTTCTTGGAACCTTCCCGCATCACATACACCTCCTAACATGTACAACGAAGAAAGCGAGTTCCTCTTCTCTCTCTGGGGTTCAGAAACAACAGATAAGACGCACACGCACGGTGAAAAGACGCACGGGAGGAGGCCCCCAGATGAAGAGCACACGCAGAGAGAAAAATGTTGCGCCATGGCGGCAATCGATGGGTGGCGCTCTGCTGGGAAGGGAACTGCACTCCGGGTGGTGGACAGGCACCGCTCCAACCCCAGGCCTCGCTTGACGGAGTTGCTCTTCACCGGGATGCAGACCTAAGAGGGTGGCGCATTAATCCACCAAACTCCCGTAACAATACCAAACGCTGGCATCAACAATGGAGTGATAAGACAACTACTATGCCTTAAAGGGATGCTGGACCAAAGTCTGGATTCCACAAAACACGGCGGCAGAAGCGTGCAACGGGACGCTACAAACACCAAAACATTGTTCGTACAGTGACATCTCGAACGGATGACATATTTTTCTAAAAAAAAGAAAGGGTGCATTGGACGGATATGTTGACGTCTTGTTTCTCCAAAAAAAGCTGAGGAGAGGAAACTGCCTCGTGGCTTCTCCGTCTCGCCGCCTTGAGGTGGCGAAGCGGAGAGGAGGAAATGAGGTATGTCGACGTCACGCGCCTCGGCATCGTTAAATCGCGACCTTTTTTCCCCAAATTACGGCCGTCCATTCGAGATATCACCTTATGGATGGTGTTGTAGGAATTCTAACGTCCCACCTACCAGTCCTGCATTGTTTTTTGAAATCCAAATTTCGGTTCACCATCCCTTTAAAGAGGAATACTTGCAAGCTTTGGGGGAAGGGGTTACGTTCCATATGTGCCAAACCATTAAGAGGTGTCTGGCATGCCCCACCAAAATACCGAAAATTAATTTAGACAACCCGGGGATTTTTCAATCAGCAACCAGAATTTCAGTTCCTTTAACGCAAGAGGCCTCGGTCAAATTACGGGCACCTCGACCAGTATACAAAATTGCCAACTGGAGGTCTGTGGGCTGGTACCTTGACTCGGATCCTCCAAGGAGAAAGGAGCTAGCACTGTGCTACCACTACTAATGTAGCGGCATAAACCTTCCACACTTTTAAACTGCTCGTTGCTTTTACAGGTGTTTCCCTTCTGGTAAGCTGGGTGCCGCCATGTTGATGAACGGTGTCCAGTCACATTCTGCATTAATGCTTAGTTCTTTGTTGCTGGCAAAATGCACAAGCATGGTGAGTGGCTCTGTTGACAACAGAACACTAAGTATGACCGCGGACGTATTCGGGGCTACAAAAACTATTGCCTACTTAATTTTTTTTTTTTCTATACAATTGTAAAAGAAAAGTTCCAGTGACCATGGTAATACGAAATGTTGCGTGGAAATGTGGCTGGCAGCCCTCACCTGAGCCCTTCAGAGGGCCCCAAAGGGGTCATTGACCGCATGGGGCATGCCCCCCGCCTGGGGCGCCATGCCAGCCTGGGGAAAGAGGCCCCCCATGGGCTGACCCATCGCAGGGCCACCCACCAGGGGCTGGCCCATGGGCCGCATAGACCCCATCTGCAAGGCAAGACAACCCCAATTCAGTCAACGAGAACGTGCAGCCGGACAAAGCACGGAACACTTCCGAGTCTACAATTGTCTGTCTGTCGCAAGGAATAAAGCCCCGGATCACTTGCTCTATAATCTGATCCACCGCTGCACCAGTGGAGCAGCTTGGATGGGTGTCGTTACAGCCGCTATGCACTCTGTGTTGGTGCAAAAAATTTCTCGCCCTAATATCGGGAGGGGTCAGACGACGATTATGATGAATGCTAACAACCAAAAAAAATATGAAGGATGGTGGAGAGCATTCTTTGACATCCTCCATAACTGCAACAAAGAAGTAATCCAACGAATCAAGGCTTCTTCCACCCACCTGGTAGGCCTGCTGTGGCATCATCGGGGCCTGGGGCTGGGCAAAGCCCCCCGAGCTGAGCATCATGCCTCCTCCCATGGCACCCCACTGGCCCACGGGGGCCACCGGAGCACCCTGGCCAGGCAGAAAGGAGCACCAAAACCGTCAGTAACGTGGAACTCCCAACGCCTTTGCTCCATTACAAAGGAGCCACTAGCAGAAACAGTTACTTCTCGAGCAGAAAAGACACTTGCGGTAGCCTGACCTGTTACCAAAAGCGCATTAGCGACCAGACTGCCCAGTAGAGTCGACATAAAAACCCAGATGGGGAGTAAATTGTTGGAACCATTGACGAAAGTGCTAAGCAAATATTAGATGGAAGCACTACGTCATCGCCTGCAAACAGCAGCCCTGTGGCATAAGCACACCAGCAGGCGTGCCTATTTTCGTCGCATGCCCGCAAGTTCTAGATCTGGTGACAGATACTAAAAGTAAAAAATCATGGTCACATCAAAAGTTTAATTTTTTCTCTAAGCGAAATTGCGGTCATGGCGAACACCGCCAGGAGCGTTTGTCCGAGTTCAGAACTTCGAGATCCAAGTCTCCACGCCAGAACAGCGTGGTGAGGACAGGACACCCGTCCGAAATAAGGAATATTTCATTTTTAAACCAACCACACCGCAAGGTCGCAATGTCAGCGATGTGATTGGCCTAAGCCGTTTTGGAGCACCTTTTGCAGCAGCGAAAACTGTGTTTTGGAGCAGCAAAAGTGGCCTTTGGAGCAGATATTCTTAAAAAATAAACATATGTTTTAAGTGCTGGACGAACGAAGGACACTTCGCTCGCCGCAATAAACAAATTATGATCAAGTTCGACCACCTGGGAGTGTTTCAACATGTAATTGAAATGCCAATGACATGACACAATTTGCAATGCTTCAGTTAAATCCTTCTATAGATAAATAAGAACCAAACTGCACATATTAAAATTTATTTGAAAATAACCAGCTTATTAGTAAATATCACAGCATTAGGTTGACTACCTCAGTTATATAATATAATAAATGAAAGCTGTCTCCGACTGATGAAACACGTAACTACTGCACTGCAATGCGAAATTGTACACAAGACAAAAGTGCATTAAGACTAGCGGGTGCATTTCTTTTCGAGTTTCGAAACTTTCTACAAGGCTGCTGCAAGCCTCGCTTTGCCTTTGGCTAGTAATGAATTCCCACTCTCAATGTCTCCAAAGAGACATTGAGACATTCCACAAGTGAACAGTGCTGTGGCCATTGCCGAGCATTTCCGAAAAACCGCCTGCCACCGTTTTACTGGTTCCCGACGTGCCAGATTTTTGTCAAAAGTAAGCAAACGTAAAACAATGGGTTGCAAGCGTCTTGGCTCGTGCCTCTGTCATGCAGTCATGTTCGCATGCACATCAGGGCAACTTCGGCAGGCTTGCATTTGCACGAGCTTCGTCGCGCGAGCGGAGATGGCTGTTCGATCGAAACAGACACCATGCCACTCCGCTGCGTCGCCTACTGGTTCCCAAAATTGTATGCAAAATGTAATTGTCCGGCACACGACAAAAAACAGTCCAGCGGCAAGTGCTTGCCAGGCCGGCAGGCGAGGTACAAGCTAAACACACAGAAAAAAAAAAGAACCTGAGCGAGTCAGGTCAAAACAAGACATCGCGAGTCAGGGTCAAAAATGTACTTGGAGCGCTTTGTACAACGACTGAAGCACTGAAGCGTCAACACACGCCCGCGTCTATCATTGAAATTGTTTTTAAAAAGATGCGAGACGAGACACATGAACGACGAGAGCGTGAAACGAGAGGTGGCTGGAAAAACTTGGAAGACCGGATGGACGATTGATACAGGGTACTTTTTGTTGGGCGGCCGCTTGCGCTACCTAGCTCGTGCACGCTCAATCACGGTACTCAGTTTAGTCTCGGTTTTGAAAGACTACAAAAATTGGTGTTTTGGCGCAGGCTTGGCGCAGATTACCCATATTTTGGCAAAATGTAGCAGGACGTAGCAGGGTTCGCTTCTTGGCGCAGTTTGGCGCAATTGGCGCAGCAATCACATCACTGCAATGTTTACACGTAACTGTCCGTCAGAACTAAAAACAGGTACCGACATTTTTTTTCTCAAAGCTCGACCACTTCGACACAAGTCCGGCCATATTGGTGAGAAGGCTTGGCGCGCACTCACCGCCACGGGTTGGAACATGTGCTGCGGAGAGCCCGCCCAGGGCACTTGGGCGGGGGCCGCTACTGCCGCCGGCACAGACCCGGGGGCACTACCCGGCATCCAGTTGTTCCCGCCGGTCTTGGAGGCAGGCTTCGGAGAGCCCCACTGGTGCGCCCCAGACGTCCTGCGGCAACGGGAAGCATGTCATGCTTCAGTCTATCCGGACCACAGTGAGCAAAAAGGGAGAAGACAATTAATACTGCTCCTCAAAGTCTGTGCAAGCGCAAGTTCGTCTGCTTCTTGCACAAGGGTTGCAGTGATGTCAGAACGTTGAGCTCTTATTGGCTCACCGAAAAAAATAGTGGGTACACCTGAAGGCATCTAGCATTAAGGCCTACCCACTATTCTTGAAATGAAAGCCTATTTGACATCGCAACTCTTGCGCAAGAAGCAGACGACTGGCTTTCCGCATAGCCACAGTCACCAGACTGACTGCTTCAGAAACTTCTCTGCATGATATCAAACTTTAATACATGCTATTTTAATGTAATGAAGTAAAACGTAAACTTCACTGACTTTCCGATATGTAGCGTCAACTGTGCACATTTTAGTGCTTACGAAGACATCCATGTCCTTAAAACAACCACATGCCCGAGGCATAAAGTTGCCCTCCCTGTTCTCTATGTACTATACGACGAGTGCAGCCAAAAGTTAGAAGACATACGAGGAGCATTCATAAAGTTGTCTTATCAAGACAAAAAATTGAGGAAAAAAAAAAAAAGGGAACAAAACAGGCAACAACATGAGCACGCGTCCCTCTAGTTTCCGCACAGTATATCGCATGGTATTCGAGACTCCAACTAACTATAGGTGGCGCCACTCATTTTCCAAGATGGCGGGTTTAGTGAGGGTCAGAGATGCGTGCCGCTGTTGAACCTGTCTAGTGTGCTGGCTTCACTGAGCGACAAATTATTTCTGGTAATACGAGGAAGCTAATGTTTTATGAGCGCAGGTAACCTCTAACTTGAAAACAAAAACGGTGTTTAGCATATTACGGAAGGATGCACGTTTTAATTCTGGAGCGAAACCGAAACTTATTTCTATTTTGGATTTAATTTCTCGATAGAAATCTTAATTTTGGATTCTTTCATGACTCAAGATGTGTCTCACATCGTAATTATTTACTTAGAAAAGTTGTTCGCGGAAACTTTATTTTGTGACATACTGTTCGATCCAGGCTGATATTCGTAGTTGTTGAAAAAATCAGTGCTGATATCTGTGCGTTTTCGCTACCTTTTTCTCGCTCAGATAATTGTCATGGGAAATAATGACAATTATCCCAGCCAAAGAATAACAGAAGAATTCCAATTTTTACAATATGTCCATGAAACGCATAAACTAATAAACGCTGCTCTCACTGCAACAACCCAAGACGGAATCTGAGTCAGACAGCTGAAGTGTGTGTGTGTGTTTTTATAGCACCGCGTGACACGTAGGACTTCATATTACATCCAGAGTTTAACTCTTTGCCTATCTTGATAACTATGTCAGAGTTTTTCATATGCTAAACATGAGACAGAATTATACTTTTCTAGAAAGACTATTATGGTTAAATAGAGTATTCTCATGATCTTGGCTTTATTAGAGGCATACATTGCCGCGATTTGTATTAATAATAGTAATATTAAAATTCACATATTTGAATAAGTAATTCTTTAAGCTCTAATATAATTTGTTGCTTATGATCTAATTTTAAACGCGTGAAGAAATGTGACAATGAAAACTGTGCTAATTATCATCACTGCTTCCAATTGCTGCATTTTAATTACAAATAAAATAAAAATAGTCTAAAATCAATGAAAACATTCTAGCTAATGTGAGAAATCCATGTAAAATTACATTAATTGTGGGTAAAGTATATTGCTTTATCAAAGTTCCGACTTTTAGAGCACAATAGTAGGCGAAACGTCCAAAGTCACCGCCAATATACTTCCAAACCAAATGCCTAAAAGTAAAAAAAAAAAAAAGCCATTTTTTTAATTACTAGTTTTTTCATAACATTTATTTACTTTTGTATTTGCTCGCCGTCGTTTTGCCAATCTCAGCCTTTCCAGTTCGAAGGAACGCCTACCTGCTTGCACGTCTGCTCACTGCAGCACGTTTCATTGATGTTAAAAGCCGGTGAAACAGTAGCGAGTTTTAATATTGCGTATACGAGCGAACTCAAGCCCTGTGTGTTTGCGTTAGCTTTGCGCTTTCCACACTGCACGTGCGCGGAGGCCGAAATCGCGGTCTTGGATGGCGCATGGCGATGAGGCGCACGCACAACGTGGGGCACGCAACCCTAACGCAAACGCACACCGCTTGCGTTTGCTTCTATGTGCAATACTAAAACTCTCCAGTAAGGTACAATCCCATATCGGCTGCAGCACTACGTTGGGACAGTGAAGAGTGTTGTTTTCATTCGAAAACGACATTTCGCGAGCCATGATCGCGAGCAGTTCCGCCATGCCCACTGAGCAGGAGAATCGGGGGACCCTCACTAGAGCGCTTCCCGTTTCCGCCGCGGGAGGGCGAGCGTAGAGCTGGAGACTCGAATAGTAGCTCGGAAGGCCGCTAGGGAGTTGAAACAAAAATGGCACTGCCCGCCGGTGCAAGCACAAGCAGTGATCCATTTTTTTTTTTTTTTTTGAAGGGAACTAATGCCAATGATGTTCAGTCCAATCTGGGAGCGTTGTTCGGGGACAATGTCCCAGTTTATGACACTTTGGTTAAATGGCGCAGACACTTCCAGTATGGCCAAACAAGACGAAAGCATTTCAAGGACGGCAACCAAGTGATTGCTGAAGTGGAGTGATTCCTGAACACTCAAAACAAGGAGTTCTATAACAATGGCCTCCGGCATGTGGCGAGTCGCTGGAAAAAGTGGGCAACTTTTGGTGGCAAACATTTAGAGAGAGTCTGAACTCCTACTCGCGTTTGATTACTGAATCTATTCCTTCGTGGCAAAAATACAAACTTTATGAATGCCCCTTGTACAAACACAGATACACAGACTAAGAGCAGAAGTTCACGGCACATGCACCATGCCCGATTGGTTTAGCTGTCGACGGCATGCACGCAGAAAGACTAAGATGCTTTTGGAGTGGCTCGATAGGCCCCATCCACTCCCATCGTTGACCCCGACTTATGAAAGTAAACCACTTCACGTGAAGATGGACGACCAGCGATGCTGTTATCTTTACGACGTCTAGGACAATGCCCATAGGACGACGTCTAGGACAATGCCCAGAGGACGACGTCTACGACCATGCCCAGAGGACGACGTCTACGACCATGCCCAGAGGACGACGTCTACGACCATGCCCATAGGACGACGTCTACGACCATGCCCATAGGACGACGTCTACGACCATGCCCATAGGACGACGTCTACGACCATGCCCATAGGACGACGCCTACGACGACCTCAACGACGGCTCCTACGACGACCTCAACGACGACGCCTATGACGACCTCAAGGACGACGCCTATGACGACCTCAACGACGACGTCTATGACGACATCAACGACGACGTCTATGACGACCTCAACGACGACGTCTATGACGACCTCAACGACGACGTCTATGACGACCTCAACGACGACGTCTATGACGACCCCAACGACGACGTCTAGGACGACCTCAAGGACGATGCCTAGAGAAATTCAGCATTCCCACTCTGGTGAAAACTACATACCTGCCAACCTGTGGACTTTCAAATTCGTAAAAGTCCCGCGGCCGCGGCGGGAAGGAAGGGGGGGAGAGAGAGAGAGGGGAGGGGGGGGTATGCGAAGCGATGTGCAGCTTAATGTCAGCCTGGCGAGCGTGCAAAACGCATACAGTGTAGACCGCATATAACGTATGTCGCGAAAATCCGCACTATAAGCGGTACCGCGTTATAACCAAAACATCAATTTTTCAGGCCAAAATACATGCCATGAGACAACTTACCTTTGTAAAACAATTTATTTTATGTGAGATGAAAAATAAAGCTTAGTTTGAGGAAAGTCTTTATTTCACCAGACTAGTACACTTCTCTCTCAAGTGTGTCACACATTTTGAAAGAAATGAGCGGCTTTTGCCTGGCGCAGCCTTTTAACGGCGTCGCGGGTTGCGGACGGACGTTGCGAGCGTTCAGGATTGCTAACCCTAATCCCTTTTCTCCGGAGATGAAAACGCGTGAAAATTCGCATCCTTCATACGGTACGCGCCAGTAATACCTTGAACTTGAGCACACGCATGAAGTGCGCCAAATAAGAAATCCGGGCGATGTTTGAGCACACAAATGCTTAGAAATAATCACCACTGTAGTCGAAGTAAACAAACACGACGACACGGGCGTTTCTGCAGTCTTGAGAGCGCCGCCACGACATCGCCGCTCGAGTAGGTGGATCTTCCCTTCTAGTACGTGCTGGGTTATCATAGCGACACACAGCGAAAATTCACAGTAAAGGATAGCGCTTTTACGCCGAACGATGAGATGAACGCCGTCTAAGACGACGATCACAACGTTGATCACAACTGATGCCATATTTACGGACAAGCAGCCGGCCCGCGACCGGCATGCGACGCGCGCGAACACTTCTCGACCTGCGATTGGTCTGTCATTGCGGTTGTTTCGGATGTTTTCAAGGAAGCGGAGGGACGCACGCACGTCAACGACACGTGCGTGCGTCCCTCCGTCGCTAGGGCAACTGAAGCCTCTCTCTTCGCTTCTCCCGCTTCTTCGAGCAACCTCCTTGCCCCGCGAGTGCCGCTTGCGCAACGCTTGCGGCTCGCGCCACTCGCGCCGTCAGCGCCGTTATCTAGTGTCGCACAGGGAAGCGTGCTCGCTGCTCCGGTCGTCGGCGCGGTCGGCGGGCTGTGCCAGAAACCGCACTATAACTGGTATTTCCCTTCGCGCGCGCCTGCGTTTTAAGCGGTATGTAATTACATGGAGTTCTATGGGAGGCGAACCGGTGGTTTAAAAAAACCGCGTTATACCCGGTCCTGCACTATAAGCGGTTACGTTGTAAGTGGTCTATACTGTACATCACACGTTCACGTGCTGCAGAATCCAAACTTCTCTCGCTTTTTGGGTGGCACGAAGCACGGAAAGTTTGACGTGTAGGACTTCTGGAAAACCTGAAAGTACTTCTTTTGAGGTTTGGAGTTCGGCATTGCACTGCGAAGCCACAGTGACCAGGGGAATGCTACAGTTACACGTGCAACAAACACAGACGCCATACTTCTCGCCTCGAAACTGGCCGAAACAACGAGGCCCAACGTCTGAACACGCCGAACCAACGTGCACCCGTTCACTGCCGAACACACAAATACTTCGAGCTTTGGATTGTTTTCCGATCCGTGGCCACCGGATAGACGGATAGTAAAAACCATGACGCTGCTGTGGACGGTACCTATTGCCCTCTTGTGACGGTGCAAGATACCGCCAACAACGAAGTTAAAAAAAAAAAATAATAATAATAATAAAATAAAATAAAACAAATAAAAAAATATACTTTTCGTAAGATTTGATGCAAGATACGTAAAATCGTAAAATTAGTCCCAATTCATACATTTTACGAAAAATTCGGAAGAGTTGGCAGGTATGAAACTAGAGTGGAAAGGCTGAAAAGGTTGCCGCCATCTATTAGCGACTGCGGCAACCAGACAACCAACAAGCCGGTTGCCACCGTCGCTTATAGATGGCGGTAGCTGACGGAGTTTTGTGTCGACATTTGTTTGCCCGCAGACAATACTGGGGTAACTAGCACCTAACAGCCCCGCTGTACAAGGCAGACAACCCTCCGAGATCAAAGGCAGGTCACCCACTTGCGGACGGCTGCCTGCTTGGGTCCGTTGAAGTCCAGGTTCTGTGCCAGGCTGGCCAGGGTAGAGTCCAGGTCTCCCTTGAGCAATCCCCCAGAACCAGCTGCCGCCGTTGCCGGGGCTGCAGCGGGCCTTTCGGGGGCCCTCTGGGTTCCCACGGGTGCGGCGGTCTGCTTTGGCTGCAGCACATCTCCAAAGGAGTCCATGCCTGGGGAGGAAGAAGTGGTCACCATTCCTGACCCACACACAAACGCACAAGCATGCAAACGAGGTGCACAAAACATTCATACTGTAAACCAAACATCATGAAGGGAATTTCCGCACCATGCACTGGGTACAAATTTTGCCACATTGTTTTTCCAGGCCGTTTTAGTGCAGAGCCAGGACAAATTTGCTCGAAGATACATATCTAGTGCTACAAACTGTCAAACTTTGGGAGTAGAAAATTAAAGTCTCTTCGCTGGAGGGGTGGTTTGCTAGTGATGCGGCTATTTCTACCGGCAGGTGCGAGGAATTTTTCTGCCACGTGACTGGTTCCGTGGACGCAAGGAGGTACCTGTAAGTACCCGGCAGCACGCAAGCTTGTGTTACAGCTCGTGCTACCAACTGCTACAAGTAGCTGCCATAGTAACTTGCAAGGAGAACGCAGTTTCATGGTTGCTGCATCCAAAATGCCCGTGCACCAAGGCTGGCTAATCATCAGCTGAAAATGAATCTCGAATATCTACCTTTCAAAACATCCTTTAAATATGCAAATAAAAATGGGAAAAGTGGTTTTACAGTTTGGAACGGCTTTTTGTGTCATGCAAAAGAAATTGCATAAATAAGTACCGTATTTATTCGAATATAGGTCGACCTTTTTTTCTCGGAAATGTTGTCAAAAATTAAGGGTCGACCTATAATCGTGACCAAAGAATTTCGACCTAATTCGCAACCAAAATTTGAAACCCTACCGAGGGTATGGGGCTATCAATCACCTAGCCCGCGTCGCGGTAGAGCCGCGCGGCTTCTTGTTTCAAAAAGCTTTTGATGCACAAAAACAACCGAACAGCAGCAGCCGACAGCCCGTGTCCGCTACGGCTCTCGCGCACATTTCTCGGGCGTCGAGTTTCGCCATCACGCCTGTAGCGTTCCCCTCGCTGGGCAAGGGGGAAAGGGAGGGAGAGGAACGCGATGCGCCATGCACTTTGCCCTCCTATGCGCTCCATTCCTCTCTCCCTCGCAGACGCGCAAACAAAACCAAAAAAAAACCAAAAAAACGGAGCTACTTTAGTTTGTTTTCGGCGGGTCGCGTGTTACTCACGGGGCTCGCAGCGTTGCTCGTGTCTTTGCGTTTGATCTTTCGTCACTCGCCCGTCTCCACCTTCTTTCGTTTCTTCTTGTCGTCATCCATTTTACAACCGTGTCAGTGAGGTATTGTTGCCGATTTGCGAGGATGTCTACCAAGCTGACGAAGCTTTTTTGACATCGCCCTGTGATTTAGCTGAGAGTTCTGTAAATAAAAGTTTGTTTCTTTTGCCCTAACTTTCCCCTGTTCCTTAAAAAAAAAAAAAGAGGTCGACCTATATTTGAATTATTTTTTTTTTATTCTCGGTGGGCTCAATAAATAGGGGTAGACCTATTTTCGTGGTCGACCTATTTTCGGGTAAATACGGTATATCCATTAGATTGCTGTTTAGAGAAAAGTGCCAGTTTTCCGTGTTCTATTTTCAGCAACCCTGTTCATTGATTTGTTTCATTAAAGCAATCTGTTTGCTAATGTACTTCACTAGCTTCAGTTACTGCACGATTACATGCTTCCCCTTCGGGGTTTTACACCGCCAACACAACTTGAAAACCGCTAAAAATGCTGCCTAACGCGAAATGGCAATTTATCCTGCTAGACAAACCAAAAAATCGTTAAATTTTGTGGGAAAACTGCTAAATTGACAGAACTGGTTCAGAGATCCACAAATACGACGGCCAAATGTTTCGTCAGTTTTACAAGGTGTACTAAGCTTTTGAGGATTTTCTTTGCCTCTCAAAAAAACATTCAACTCAAAAAAAAAAAGTGCTGGCAGGGATTGATGATGCAAACCTATAAACACAAGAGGCCACTCAAAATGGAACTAAATGAAAAAAAAAATAGAAGCAGACCCAGCATGTCATACTGGCAGGGAGATGGGTGCGTAACTCATGCTGGTAATAAAGCTCAATTCCAGCATTCTTCCATGCAGCAGTGCATTTCATGCAACGGTGAACTGCAAATGCAGAGAAAACCATAAAGACGTCGCCAGAAAAACAATACTGTTGCCAAGAAAGCCACGAGAACCAAAACAGAATGCAACCAAAAGGACGAAATTAACACCACGGGCTAAGTGGCCACAGCTGCCAAGAGAACCTGCAACTCCCGATCCGGTCGAGGTGATGCTGCGGGCCGGAGACGATGCGCCGGACGCAGATGCCACACCGAATGGAGGCACCACTTGCTCCAAACCAGGTTGAGCACTTGAGGCAGCCGGCGCAGCCTTCTTGCCGCCTCCCATCGCTTGCTGGATGGCGAAGTTCAGATCGTCCAGAGCAGACGCCGGTCGAGGGGCAGTCTTCGGGACCGGCTTGAAAGCAGACGCCTGCGGTGGCTCCGGCTGCGCCCGTACCGGAGACGCTGGTGCGCCAAAGGGTCCCCCGGTGGCGGCCACTTCGAGGAACGGGGCCGGGGCCGAAGCCTGATTAGCGGCACCGAACGGGCTCGCGAAGTCGCCGTGGTCGAAGCCGAACAGGTCTGCGGGCGGCGCCGCCGCGAGTTCGGGGGCGCCGCTCCCAAAGGGCGGGCCCCCGAAAGGACTGGCTGCGGCCGGTGGGTGCTGCGGATGGGGCCGCGCATATGCCACCGGCGCGGCCTTCCAGGGAGACGAGTCTTCGCCTGCGGGAGCTGTCTCTGCCGCTTCCGCCGCGTCCAGATCCCCAAAGCCGGGCTCGGGCACGTGCGACAGGATTGGGGTGGTGCCGGCGCCGCGCATCAGCTCGGCCGTGGGCGAAGGCGAGGAGGAACGCATCCCAGGAGGGGGCTCCAGGGTTGGCAAGGCCAGGCCCCCCGTCCGGACCCCGGAGGGCCGCTCCAGTGGGGCCTCCTTGTCCGGCGACACTGGCGCGGGAGGTGCAACGCGTCGCAACGGCGGTGTCGGCACGGGCGGACACCGGGGATAATTCGTCTCAATGCCCGTCCCTCGTGGCCAAATGGCGCCGCGACACGCTGCCCCCACTCCATTAAAGAGTAAGGAAACCGGCCTTTGTTCAGATATTTACTGCAGTGCCCAAAGGCGCTGTAGCAGAGCTGTTCGGCTGTCTACAAATGTGTAACAATGAACAACCCTGGGATGGCTGGTCCTTGAAGAGTCGAATGAAAAGCACCGGTTCGAAAGGCGGGAGAAATGGGTGCCTGCAACCGAAACCGGCTGAATGGGGATGTCCGACATCGGAAAAAACTGACTGAAGTGGAGTTACCATTGATGCGCAGAAGCCACAAGTACGCAACAATGTGGCAGAAACGCCGATGAAAAAAAGGTTAGACGAGCTTAGTACAGACGGGAAAGAGAAAATGAGCAAAACAACACCGAAAGGAAAATCCCACCAACCTGGTTGTCCAGTGTCAGCTTGCAAGAACAAGGACAAGAATGTTAGAAATGCCCAGAGGGCAGATGGGTATCTGTGTTCCAAAAACAGCAAAAGGTCAAAGTGAGCGAGAGGACAACGTGTCAAGCCGTCAGCGGCGGGTAGGCGAGGTCTCGTGCGCCGTGCCGGTGGACGTCTCGTCGCAGTGGAGAGGAGACAAGCGGAGAGGAGGCAGAAAGTAAAGCGAACCAACCAACGAGGACTCTCCCAACTCCAAACAAACCGGAAAATCTGGCATTGCGGCGGAAAAGCACGCCCAAAACCTCGCAAAACAAAATATGCAGGCCAACAAAAAAAACAAAACAAATGCAGCCAGCAAAAGAAAAGGCTAGGCAAGCAATCACCGGCGTGAAAAAAAAAAATTCGGATGGCGTTGGAGTTCAAGCCAAAGGTGGCACAGTGTGCGGGACACCAGACACAAGCGGGTGTACCTGTGGAAGGGGAACCTCCGAAGGCAGCGGCGAACGACGCATCCGACGCAAAGACCCCCGGACCAGATGGCGTTGTGACCGGCTTCGACATGAACCCTGCGAAACAGAGCCAACCGTGCCATCATTAGACACACCGGGCCAAAAAAGAAGGGACAAGCGTGATGGGAAGAAGGAATGCATAAAGCGTGTTGAGTTTTCCCGGACCTGTTACGTCGCAGAAATGAAGTGCGTGCAACTGTACCGTGCACAATGTTTTACAGTAACTCTAAAAGGGTAGAGATGGGTTGCAGCATTTTCAGTCTTTACTGTTCTTTAAATTATCACTAGTTTCACTGTATCTAAAAGGGACATTAAGTGTTTTCAGGTGTCTACATATTAGTTAAAAAGTTTTTTTATCTGACATGGCATCATGTACGATGAGTACAATACTGACAGATGAGGTAGGTATTGACAGGTGCTACCAAACTAACAAGGAACCTTGAATTTGACTGGTTATCTAGATTGGAATTATTTATATCACCATAATAAGAACATGTGTATTCCCAGGATTTCCAGATTAGTATGTGCCTGTTCCATTTTGTTTATAACCGTCAGTTTCATGATGCCTTCTCACCATTTAGATAGTCGCTTAATGCTCCCCATCTGTACTGTTGTGTACACACTCGAAACTGGCAAGCTGTTGAGGTGAAGTAATGTAGTGGCTAAAGCTGGACAATCGAACAAATGTGGGCACCAAAAGACAACAAGTACCACCTTCCCAACCACCGCATACACAACTACTCTCATCACTCTGGTTGCTGTGTTTGAATCTCGTTATTCAACGATAAAAACAAATCCATACCCTATCTCAAAAGGACAGTGATCTTTGTACAGAAAGCTCGATTTCAAATAAGAGCAAAATGAGCAAAGAGATAAACAGTCCTAATGAGCCCTCCCCCAGCATAACGTAGGGTGAACCAAAAGATGGCTGAAACTCTACAAGGAAATGTGTCGTAAGTAGTGATGGGCCGAACTTTTGCCGAATCGAAAGTTCGGCGCCGAATCTTCGGATTCGGCAAAGCCGAACTTTTCTAAAGATTCGGCAAAAATACATTGTTACCAGACTCGATATTTCATTTTTTTTCTGGCGAAAAAAAAAAAGGTTTTATGTTTCTTTTTTTCTTAACTTAAATGCTACATGTAATGCATAGTGACATAGTTATTACTAAATAAGGTGATGTTCTACAAGATAATTGTATCGGTGTTGTTTTTGTGTATTTACTGGCAATTTAAGTGACTCCTTGCAGAAGTGGCGTGACAACAAGGTTGGGTAGAAGCGAGCGTGGCGCAGTCACGAATCACGCTACGAGAGTTTCTGTTTTGAGGCATCATCAGCGCAAGCCTGCATGTGTGTGTACATTGCTACAATGAAGGCAACAACGCTGCGTTCTTGCTTTCTCTGGGAGTCGCCGTTTAGTGCACGAAAATGAATGCAACGGTTGCTGAGCCTTCACCAGAAGAGAGAATAATAATATTGTAAATATTCATGTACTTGGATTTGAGTCACATGACGTTAGCTTTGCATGAAAGTGTGCGTCCCATATTCGCAACGTCTCGTTTTTAACCTTTAAAATGCCTGTTTCTGGTGTTAGCACACACACAAACGTTTTGGAAGATAGGGACAGTGAATGTCGGATGTGCAACGTCGAGCATTATAGTTCTGTGTTTAGTTTTATGCAGATACATGAAAATCGCGAAATAACACTAATTGAAAAAAGCAATATTATTTTGTTTTGGAACACACTACTCCCGAGCCAAACAGAATTGTTATAATTGCGAGAAGTGCTTTAAATAAATTCTCGGCCAATGTCTCAATGTTTCAGAATGCATCGCATCTTTTGTCACTTGCGCAGTGGACTGCATAAATTACTTAGTCAATCTTCTATTCTTGAGGCAGAAAATATTGAAGAGAACCACACTCGCTCACAAACGCACTGTTACCGTGTTGCCTAACCCACACCGCGCCGTAACCGCTGGTTGTACTACACTGCACGATGGTAACCGCAATACTGAACGGCGTCCATTTGCAATTCAAGGCTCCGTCGCGTTCTCGCGTGTGCGCAAACATTTGCCGAATTTTTGCCGAATCTTTGCAGAACTTTCCTGCAAAAGTTCGGGTTTTACCGAACTTTGCCGAATCTGAAGTTCGACAGATTCGGTCCATCACTAGTCGTAAGGTCACGACCTTGTCCACAAGGCTTCCGATTCCCCCAGAACATTAGTAAACCAACTTCAGCGGAAACATGGGTTTAAAATTTTAGAACACTCATTCCTTTTCTTTCCTTTCACGCCTTTTCTGCGAGCGAACCTTATTCCCACACGGGGAGATTTATAATATGCGTAGGCACGTTCCTTATTCCGTTGGCAACAGTACGACATGCCCGTAAATGAAGCAGCGCTTGCATTCCCGCGGAAAAAGAACCTCCGTGCGAGTCCACCTTTGGAAATAAACTGTACTAATCGATCGAGGCGGTCTTATGCACAACAGCTTTTTTATGCATTTTTCTTTCCTAGACACTCCGATTGCGCCTCAAGGACGCAGCAACAGTCGCCTCGGTAACGAAATGGCCGCGTCGGCATCTTAAAAGTTTCGGTTGGGTGCCCGGACTGAGTCTCCGACTAGCGCATTTACCGCGTTTTAAGAAAGAGGTCCCTAGATTTCTGCCCGACGTCGTGAATGTGTCGGTGCCATTGCTGACCAAGATCCTGGCGGTGTCGCAACGGCAGTGGTAACCGACAAACACCCGTTCTGTTCCAGTTTGCTCTCCAGCCCGACACTCCACTAAAGCTTTGGCAGGAAGGAAACGAAACTCCACAATGACGGCGACACGCGCATCTGCTCGTACTTTGTTTGCCGTAACTTTTAGCACAGACTGCTGGGATTGCGATATTGGACGACACGGCACGCCTGCTTCGGTAACATTTGCTGCCACTTGGAAACCACTTGCGATGCAAGGCTAAGGACAAGACGCTAAACACTTGGGTCCAAGGCACATTCTAGTCACTATATCTTCGCTTTCCTACATAGCCCTTCGACACATGCAAACGCAGAATTAGAGGCATGCAGAAGCAGCCGCTGCACCACCCACCGTTGGCAGTGAACTGGGCAAAGGCCTGCTGCGACTGCAGGGGCGGAGACTGGATGCGGTCGGCGGCAAATGGGGAGGCGCTTGCGGCGGCCCCACCGGCCTCCGCAAATGGGTTGCCCAAGCAGAGCAGGTCGTCGCTCGCCTTTCCTGATGCCCCCGACAGTTCCGCCGCCCCCGACGAAAACAGATCCAAGATGGCCTCTCCCGAGGCGGCCGGCGGCACGTCGCACGGAGACGACAGGAACGGGTTGGTGCTCGTGCCGCCGTCGCCCGCGTGTCCTCCTGATTCCTTCAGGTGGCGCTCCTGCGAACAACAGAGACGGCAGACGCGTGCTCGAGAGAAAATACACCGATGTGGGAATGCCATTGCGGCGAAACGAAGACTGGAAGGAGCCATGCAGGTGCGGGAAGAGTGACACGCGAGGCGGAAGCCAAGGCTCGGGTAAAAACTGGGCAACGCAAACGCGGCCAGTGTTTGTCTCGCCTAATCCACCGACTTCCGAGACGCGCTGGCGCAGAAACTGCGGCACACGTACACAGATACAAAATGTCTGAGATTAGAAGGGACGCACACTCAGGTACGACTGCTTTTGGGACGTGTACTTAGAAGTTCAGTAGAGCACAAGCCACAGGTGCGCTAAAGGGTGACGAAGCAATATGCGCACCACAGCCAGTCTAATTCTGCTTCATTTCGAGGTCTGGGATATGAAGGACTTCCAGGAAGACGGTGGATTAAGCATACTTCCAAACCTATGCGGAGGGCAAGTCGTCCGCTTCTTGTGCAGGAGTTGCAGTGACGTCATAACAACGCCGAACTCCGATTGAAAGCAACCTCAATGCTGGATGCCTCGAGGTCTACCCACCATTTTTTTTCAATAGGCCAATAAGACCTCGGCATTCTGACATCATCGGAACTCCAGAGTAAGAAGCAAACGAACTCGCGCTTCGCATAGTTCTAGACAAAGTAGGAGCCAACGCACATGCAAGCAGTATGGGCCCAGGGCAAAGAAAAGGCCGTGCAACGGACGGCACCACCTCAACATCATGCATGCGCGCGCTAGGCACGCGAGCCAAACAAGTTGGATGGGGCACGGGCGGAAAGCGGTACGGCACCAACGTCTCACCTCGGCACTGCCAGAGGCTGGCTGTAAAGAGGGGCTAAGGTTAGTGGGCAACAAAGCCAAACACACACACACACACACTCCCCCTCCCCTGCGGCACAAAGCACAGAGCGTAGCGGGCGGCAACATCTCCGGCTACGAAGCAGCGAGGCACGGATGTCGCACCCTTCAAGTACCCAGGAGCCAACGACCGCAGTCTCCGAGGAAAGCGCTCGGGCGAGACTCCGCAGCCCCACGGCCGTGGAGTCGTTTGCCACGACGGAGCACCGCAAACGCTCGAGCGTCAAAGGGCCGCCCCCGTTGCACCCGGGGAACACCCGAGAAACCCGCACCAGCCGTTCACCCACTGCGAAGGAGTCCCGCAAGACGACGGGAGAGACGGCACGCAGAGAACAGAGATGCCCGCCACAGCCACCGCGACAGACAGGACACACTGATTCGAGACAGCCCATAGACGCCACGGGGGAAGGGTACTAACCAACTCGTCCCACTTGAAGTCACTCGAGGAGAGGTCCTGCGATGCTGCGGCAACCTCCGACTACACGGGAAGACAAGGCAGTCATCGGCAAGGGCGCTACGCTACGTCTGCCGCCATGGGCCAGTCGCTACACATCGTGCACCTCGCACCGTCGCGAAAACTACGTAGGAAATGCCTTCGCATCCCTGGCTTCAGCAATTAACATTATTGCGAGATATTTGGTAAAAGATAAGAGAGCTCCCGAAGCTTACTGTTACATGTGCTGAATGGGTTTGAGAGGATGTTGCTCTATACTGTCACCACTGACTGCAAGAGGCCCAGGCAATGAAAGCTGCCTTGAAATATGCTTCAAAGGGGGCAGGCTGTGAGAGGATGGCGAGTCTTGCCCTTGTTAGCCACACCTACATATTTTATTATTAGAATCTATTTTACAGCTCGGAGTAAGAGTTAAACTTGAGGAAACCTCTCCACACACTTTAACGCAGAATGTGTTTTATGAGCCGATTTTCATAGAGCTATGTAACGTTTGTAACAGCTGCAACAAAAAATTGAGACCGAAAAACCGTACGCCCATAGGGAACCATATAAAATGATTGGTGATCAACGTGATTTAAACTCACCACCTCGAGATAGTGAGCTAGCACCCACAGAAAGCGAGGTAGCCGTCAAGCACTATACCATTTCCTTCCTTGGAAGGCCTCTTGCACATTCTGTGCCTACCAGTCTTGTCAACATGATCGAGCTTGTACAATTTTACGGTTATTCGTGATATCTCTGTTCAACGTACACCATGCACAAATGGCAAAAACTAAAGTGAGAAAAACATCCAGGACCCCTAGACGGCTAAGCAAATGCCCGTTAATTCCTTCGAAGACATTGCGACTGCAAGCCGTATCCAAAGTGGGGACTGAGGAATCATTTGAACATTTTAACCTCGCGCAGATGGTTCCTGGTCAAACTCGCTCCTACAACTAGCCCTCCCTGAAAAGCCGATTGACCAATCATCCCACTTGACCGCCAGAGCAGCGCAGAACGTCTCGCCCCCCACGATGGTGCATGGCAAGGGTCGGCGTGTTCCGTAGGAAGCCCAGGTGCAAAAGCGCGGGAGAACTGCTGGTTAGCGACCTATGTTCTCCCGCAGCAAGCCAGCACTAAAGGGTTTTCAAAGCAGAACACGAAGCAGTGAGAGTACAGGCCATGCCCCACATCTCGGGTTAACGCGATGTCCGAAGAGGGGGGAGGGAGGGAGGAAGACGAAATTAAGAATGAAACCATTTGGGTGGGGTAACTTTCCCTCTTTCTTCAAAAGCAGGAAATGGGAGGATATACTCCATAGGCGCCGTGAAAAGTACAAGTAGATGGAAATCTCTGCACCTGGTGAATACCTCACTTACCATAAAAAAAAAAAGTAAATCGAGCAGAAGGGGGGTTTATTTATCCTACCAGAACAGTGAAATGTGCGCTCAATGCCATTAAAACAAGCCTCGAGGCATTGGCATTTAATCCTATCGCTGAATTGCTATACTCCGTTTCCCCTTAGGATGGACCGTGGTAGATGCTACGAGCCATCCCAGCCATTCAGCGCCGCTAATGCATCCTGACTACGCACGTCGCAGCTCTACTGCTGAAGGTCACACGACACTTGAATGGCCTTAAATTGGCTCCGACAGCTCGCAGTGCGTCCGCGGTCTATCCTAAAGGAGAAATGGAGCACAAACAAATTAGTACAAAATGAAGGCCTAACAGTTTCAAAATCGACTCCGTCGCCAGCTTCGCTCCGAAGGAACGAGCGGGCACATAGCTCACATTAGGACCGATCGTCCTCCCCGCTTTTTCTAACTTGCCGACCATAGCCTTAAAAAAATTTGTCTCTCCGACGGAACACTCCTGCCGCCATTCCGGAGGCATCTCCACATGCTTCAGAAGCTCGCTCGCGGTTGCCTCAAAAATCTTCCCACGCAGGAGACATGTTTACTCCGCTCAAACCATTTCGACCAGAAAAGGGAAATACGACCATCCGTTTCGGCCGAGTTGTTAAAACCGGTGACAGCCGGCAACGACCGATCATACGCGACTGGAAGAGTGGGCTTTAGTAACGCCACTCTACAGAGCACTTGCAGCGGCTCTACCTCGGCGTTACTATGGTGCCCAGCTCACCGCCTAGAGCGCATCTCCAACCAGCACATTTCCAGAGTCCTCAAAAGTGGTCCCTCGATTTCTGCCCGACGATATATAAAAAAAAAAAAAAAGTCATCATCCGCTCGGGGACCACTTTCGACGCACAGGTGGGCCGGGACGCCCAATGCGGAGTTCGGAGAAGCATTCCGGGAGCGGCACCGGAACGGCGAGCCCTCGCAGAGAGTAGACGCGGTTCGAGGACCGCTCGCCCACCTTGAGCTGGTTCATGATGGCGGCCTCCTCCTCGAGGGCCTTGCGCACGCTGGCCTCGTCCAGCCGCACCCCATTCGGCTCGTTGCCCGTCCCGCCGGCCGAGCCAAAGGCGCTGCTGGTGGACGACAGGGCCGTCACCGCACTCTGCAGGTTGCTCGCCCTGGGGCCCCATCGCGCCACCCCACACGCGGTGGGAAGGGTCGGGAAGGGGGGAGGGGGGGAAAGGGGAAAACAAAGCAAAACGAGGGTCAAACTGCGTGGCAGGCAAAACCAAGGGCAAAACTCAAAAGGAAAGAAAACAAAGCTAAGAGCAAACAAAAACAAAAGAAGCAGGCGACGGGACTAAAGGCCCATTTGCACACTTGCGGCTGCTTAAGCCCGAGTGGCTTAAAATTTTCAATCTCTTACGGGAGAACACTGTGCTACCATCTACTGAGTAGCCGTAGAACTCTCGGTATTTCAGTACATTTCCCCTTTTTTCCTCCCATCATTCTTTCTTGGCTCGAAAAACTTGACGTCATTAGCAATGATTTCTTATTGAAAATACCAAAAAACCTTCGCTGTAGTGAAATGCAGTTCCAGGCTCGACTCTGAGGGCGCTGGCGCGTTTTCTCGACGCAAGGGATCGCAAAAAGTCAATCCTGAGCAAATACAAGCGCATGAATGGTCCTTAGCTCAAGCACAGTAAAGGGGTGAAAACGGCCGGGGAAAAACTCGCGTAGGCACGCTTGTGGCCAGCGTTGCCAGACCTTAATCCGTTTAAACCGTAGCGGGTATAGCTTTTTCTATTCTTTTCCAAAGCGGGTTTATGTGTGGGTAAAGCTGCCAAAAAAAATGCCCCAAAACCCAGAACAGTCGCAGAGAACGATGCCAATCGTGCCAACAAGCGTGGAGCTTGAACAAAAATGGTAGAATGCCCATAAAAAAGGAGTAAATTTTTTAAACCTTGCCAAAACATGCTATACTAGTTTTTGGAAACTGCTAACCTCTATAGTGAACAAAAGCGACGCATCTGACAAAATAAAAATCTCTTACAGAGCTCTAGCATAACATTAGGCGGAGGTGGTTGGTAGCAAAGCATAGCCACAGTCGTGCAATGCGATTCAGCAACATGCAAAAAGTGCACCAACCCATGTATGAAATGAAGGCATTGCCAAGAATCAGCTGCTTCGACTACTAGGGAATAATGTAAAAAAAGGGGGGGCTGGAGCAGAAGGAAGGGGCAGGGTTCCCAGAGCCCAAAGGACTTTCAGCCAGTAAAGGCTAAGAAAACTGACCGATTTGGTGCAGTTTAATGGGTAGAGATGCAGTATCACTACCTTCAACTCCCGTCACAACCCTGGCTGAGAACAGATGACTTTCACTCGAGCTCAGAGCACAATATCAAAGGAATGAGAACAGACAGGTTCAAGTAAAGCCCTTTGACGTGTCTACACTTGTCTTAACAAGTAACGACAAACGCTCCAATACTCGTGCCCTTGCAGCTCTCGAAAGTAAATGGCAGCGCAGCACTGAAATAAGCTATCAAGAGACCATGTTATTTTTGCAGCACTCGCTGGTGACATTTCTTACGAAACAGTGGTTTAAACACTCGTAAGAAGCACAATGCATAAGGCAATGGTTCAAGGTGATTGCAGTGTCCAATACGCCCGTCCATAAACACATTCTGGCAACTTGGCAAAAATTTTGACAAAAGTGAGAACAGTTTGAGTCTGAAACAAGTATGATTTCAAATTTATTCTAGCTCCTGGGAGCCCAAATAATTCTGGATTTCTAGTGACGTCTATCAAACTTCTGAAAGACCTCCTGGTAAAAGAAAGTTGTGCATAAATTCAACCCCCCCCTTAAAAAAAAAAGAAAAGCCTTTTTTTGTTTTAATTAACATTCCCCTAACTCTAACTCCTCGAGACTAAACCCAATCACTTTGAGACTGCTTGAAAAGTTGGTTGTAGGGTTGCCCCACCTCGAGGAGGCAGTGCTGGTTGTGGCCCCTTTCCTGCCTTCCAGCGCAGCCAGATGCTGTTCCAGGGCATCCAACAGACTGCTGGGTGCCTGCAAGAAGCAACCAGAGACAGAGCCCCAATGTTTGTTACGACCTACAGGCATTACATCTGTCCGCAATTAGTCTATGCATCCGGCTTTGAGCATGATAATTAAGCCCCGTTTCTCGGCCCACATTTCAAGCAATAACACATTGGGGTGCCAAGCAAAAAAAACTGGAGTCAAATTAACTGTATTGAGAGACAAAGCATTTTTAGGGAAGAAATGCTTAGAAGTAGATTGCTGCAACCACCAGGCAAGTATAGATACATCTAATTATTTTATGTGAGAAATCTAATTGTATTTCTAAAGAACACATAAGAAATGAGGCCACTGCAAGACACTTCTGGCATCAACCTACCGTGAAGCAAACCTGGAAGCGGAAAAACAAGATGCTATATTCAGCTCTGTGTGGGCAGTATAGGATCACAAAGGAGAATATAAATCAGCAGAAAACAGAGTCAAGCCATAGGCATTAAAGGGAAGATGGGGCACTTCTACATTTGAGAAAAAACGCATGAATTGCGTTCATTTGGCCTATAGAATAACATATATCAAAATTATATTTCAATGCGACGTGCCGGAGAGCCGCAAGAGCAATTTCAAAATAGGGCTGAAGCCCCGCCCCCCTAGCCTTGGGCAGCCAAAAGAGCCGTCGATGACGTCACGGACAGCGACTGTCTTTCGCATTTTTCTCGCGTTTAACAATACTTACGCAGCAAATGGTTTGGGTATTCGGGTTCACGGGGTAAAAATACACTAGAATTCACTTCTAACTCATTTTTTCCATGAAGCACCGTAGCTTCCCTTTAAAGCGGGCACATCATTAGTTGGCCAATTTCTTCCTTCTTTCGTTTGAAATGTTTCATTGTCAAAGCACGAATGACAAAATTTCGAGCCAACAAAATGCCACTCCGCTTTGATCCCACCATCATTCTTACCTCCACCGTCCTATTTTCAAAGTCTGAAAGGAATGTTTCGAAGTACTGAAAAAGAGCAGATAACCGCAGAAAGATGTGAATCCCTCATGATTTACGAAGCGAATTCACTCTGCCCTCCAGAGGTAGCACTGTTTATGAAGGAACACCTAACACAGAGGGTGTGAGTTGTTGCACATGCAGAAGGGAAACCTACCTTGGTCAGATCTGGAATGTCTCCTTTGTCGATGCCTACATTCTGCGGAAAAAAAGAAAGTGAAATATTAGCACAGATTGACTCTTAAAGCCTCAATGCATCTCGATTAGCCCGAATAGTTTGTATTCCCACCAATACAGGAACTACCATAACCAGGACAGGAGCTTCTTAACCTTCAAATAAACCAGAAGGAACTGGATGTCCAGTAAAACAAACGCCCAATATCTGACGAGACATCCCCTGAAGGGACTGTCGCATCGCTAAAATTGCCAATCTTTCCATTCAAACAAGGACCAAAATGACCTGAGCAAGTTTTTCCTTGAGACCGTCCCATCTGGACCGACGCCCGAGACCGTCCCATCTGGACCGACGCCCGAGACCGTCCCATCCGGACCGACGCCCGAGACCGTCCCATCCGGACCGACGCCCGAGACCGTCCCATCCGGACCGACGCCCGAGACCGTCCCATCCGGACCGACGCCCGAGACCGTCCCATCCGGACCGACGCCCGAGACCGTCCCATCCGGACCGACGCCCGAGACCGTCCCATCCGGACCGACGCCCGAGACCGTCCCATCCGGACCGACGCCCGAGACCGTCCCATCCGGACCGACGCCCGAGACCGTCCCATCCGGACCGACGCCCGAGACCGTCCCATCCGGACCGACGCCCGAGACCGTCCCATCCGGACCGACGCCCGAGACCGTCCCATCCGGACCGACGCCCGAGACCGTCCCATCCGGACCGACGCCCGAGACCGTCCCATCCGGACCGACGCCCGAGACCGTCCCATCCGGACCGACGCCCGAGACCGTCCCATCCGGACCGACGCCCGAGACCGTCCCATCCGGACCGACGCCCGAGACCGTCCCATCCGGACCGACGCCCGAGACCGTCCCATCCGGACTGACGCCCAAGACTCAACTGGACTGCAAGACTGTCTCATGTGGACCGACACTCGAAACCGTCTCCATGTGGATTGACACTCGAAACCGTCTCATGTGGACCGACACTCGAAACCGTCTCATGTGGACCGACACTCGAAACCGTCTCATGTGGACCGACACTCGAAACCGTCTCATGTGGACCGACACTCGAAACCGTCTCATGTGGACCGACACTCGAAACCGTCTCATGTGGACCGACACTCGAAACCGTCTCATGTGGACCGACACTCAAAACCGTCTCATGTGGACCGACACTCAAAACCGTCTCATGTGGACCGACACTCAAAACCGTCTCATGTGGACCGACACTCAAAACTGTCTCATGTGGACCGACACTCAAAACCGTCTCATGTGGACCGACACTCAAAACCGTCTCATGTGGACCGACACTCAAAACAGTCTCATGTGGACCGACACTCAAAACAGTCTCATGTGGACCGACACTCAAAACCGTCTCATGTGGACCGACACTCAAAACCGTCTCATGTGGACCGACACTCAAAATCGTCTCATGTGGACCGACACTCAAAACAGTCTCATGTGGACCGACACTCAAAACCGTCTCATGTGGACCGACACTCAAAACAGTCTCATGTGGACCGACACTCAAAACCGTCTCATGTGGACAGACACTCAAAACCGTCTCATGTGGACCGACACTCAAAACCGTCTCATGTGGACCGACACTCAAAACCGTCTCATGTGGACCGACACTCAAAACCGTCTCATGTGGACTGACACTCAAAACCGTCTCATGTGGACTGACAGAGCCTCGCACGTTTGGCATATGACACTGCATTGTTGAGCCCAGAGCTTGCCGAATGCCTAGTAAGTTGCAGTAATTGCAGCATTAAGCACGGGACAAAACAGTTAACCTGTTACTATACTGGACAAATCTACTTAAGGGAGGACGCGGGCTTTGAAAACCGAAAAATCGCGAAAAAGTCGATTTTTAGAAAACCTTATTTTTCGGTTGTATATCTCATAAACAACCTATGTAATTATCAGCACCAAATACAACGGGGAAATATTTAAAAACAATTATTTACGAGGCCTGGGTAGCATCCAAGCGACGGTCAAACGTCAAAATCAACCCCAACTTCGCGCGCTCGCCATTTCCGACGCGTTCGGTCGACAGCCGCCATCTCAGTCTTGTTTTGAACGTGAATTCTTTCTCTTTTTTTTGCCAGCTCCCAAAATGGCGTCGCCCGCGTGGTTACGGCGTGGTCGCCGTTCTTCCATGTCGCAATCGCAAGAACGCGATTGGACAGAGCGCGCGCTGGAGGAGCGTGCGGGGGAGCGCGCGACTGCTATTGGCTGGGACGCGATTTCTCCGCGCGCGGAGCGCTCTCCTCCTCTTCCATTTCTCCTGCTGTTGCCGCTCGCGTCGTCTGCTTTTGGTAGTGGTCTGCTTGCACGCGCTCTTGCTTTGTCAGCTCCGCTTCGTTTTTCGCCAACTTTACGATCGTTTTCCGAACTTTCTTTGAGTAGTTTCGTGTAGCGTGCCCGTCTGTTTCGTGGTCGCACACAATGCGGGGTTTGAAGTACAAGACGGTGCGCGCGTTTGGCGCGCGGAAGCGGTCCATGAAGTTAGTGCGGATGGCGAAGTTGGAAGTTTCTGCACGGCGTGCCGTCAATGATGATCGTGTCAACACTTCCAGTGATGGATTTTCTGTGCCATCGGCTGTCGTCGAGGAAGAACGCATCGCCCCGCTCACGCCTGGAGTACCGAGCATACCGACCGTTGTGGTTCCTCCCGAGATCGTGGGTCCCAGCGCCCGTCTTCCGCGACAAGTGGGAGCGCGTCTTCCAGCACCCATCTACCCATCTGCGGACACATTTCCTGACACGTGAGGAGATCGAAGCAGAAGCTAGACATCGTGATACCGTTCAAGCCGAACTTGGAGCTAAGCCAGCAACCCAGAGGAAGTTTGAAGCCATGCTGCCCGATCCCACGCCTGCCTCTGCTACAAGCCAAGGTGAGAAGTTCTGCCTTGTTCAGATCGACGTTTTGAGCAACCTGCTCTGCTGCACAGTGTGCAAGCATTGCTCGGGGACTGGACTGACTGTCCAAGAAGGCACCAAACTTGGACTGGCAGCAAAACTCGAGGTTGTATGCCCCCATTGCGGCATTATTGCAAGTTCCTGGACTTCGCCACGCCAGCAAGACTCGAGGGCCTTCGAAGTCAACATCCGCTCCATCATGGCAATCAAGCAGATAGGAAAGGGGCAGACAGCTCTCAATGACTTTTGGGCAGCTATGAACGTCTCCCACAGAGGTCTCCACCACAAAACGTTCCAAGAGCACCTGAAGAAGACCTTCAGAGAGCCAGAGGCCCTGTGCATGGAAAAGTTTTATGCCGAGTCAGCTGTCGCGGTGAAGACAGCCTGTAAGAAGATGGACCCGGGGTTCTGCAAGGATGTCACCGTGGTGTATGACGGCACATGGCACAAGAGAGGGCACACATCTCACATCGGAGTCGGGTCAGTCATAGAATACCACACAGGCCTCATCTTGGACGCCGTGGTTTTATCCAACCTGTGCCTTGGGTGCCAGACAGGACCCAAGCCTGGAGATCAAGGGTACGACAGCTGGCACATGCATCATGTCTGCCAGAAAAACACGGACGCCAAATCTGGGAGGATGGAGGTCGAGGCAGCCCTGACCCTCTTCAAGCGCTCTGTCTCCAAGCACGACCTGCGGTATACAGCACTTGTCTCCGACGGGGACAGCAGGACCTTCTCTGCCCTTACCGAAGAGAACGTCTACGGGCTAGTCCCCATCGTGAAGGAAGAGTGTTTGAACCATGTTCAGAAGAGAATGGGAACGGCACTGCGCAACCTTGTCCAGAAGAGCGACAAGCCGTTGAGCGGCAAGGGCAGGTTGACGAAGGCCCTTATCGACAAGCTTACCGACTACTATGGCTGGGCCCTCCGAAACAACTCCAAGGACGTGGCAGCGATGCAGCGTGCTGTTATGGCCACCTACCATCATGTCACGTCGACTGACCAGGAGCCTCACCATGAACTCTGTCCGGAGGGAGCTCAATCGTGGTGCCGTCATAGAGTTGCCGAGGCAAAAGGTGAGCCACAGCCCCAGCACAAGCACAAACTCCCAGCCTACGTCGCTGCAGCTATGCTGCCCGTCTACCAACGCCTTTCGCAGGTTTCTCTGCTTCAACGCTGCTTGGGAGCAAAGACTCAGAATGCATCCGAGTCTTTCCACTCTGTCCTGTGGTCTTTGATGCCTAAGGAACAGCATGCATCGCTGATCGCTGTCGAAACTGCACTGCATGAAGCGGTGTTGAGGTTCAACGCCGGCTGCTACAAGGCAACTGCAGAAATATCGGTTGCAGTGGGACTTCAGCCGGCCCATCTAGCCCTCCAACGAGCTGCCGAGAAAGATGCCCTACGTCTGCACAAGGCCAGCAAACGACATCAAGACAAGTTGGAAACGCGGAACAAGAAGAAAGTGCGCAAGAACACTTCTGACTATTCTGCAGGGTCATTCTAAAGCTGAAAATCTGTGTGCAACTTTCAAGTGCTGTTTTCTCAGAATGGATTTTTTCACTGCCGTGGCTGCTCGTCCCAGCGATATCTCAGGAACTAATGAATGGATTTTTGTACTGTCTTTTTTATTCTGTTCTCTAATAACTTTGTGAGGGCATAACAGAGCCCTTTTTTTAGAAAACTATGCTAAAAATTTATAATAAAAAAATTAAATTTGATGAATGTGGGTTTCATTGATTACACAAAATTCAAAGTTGCGTTAAAATCTTTCAACAAAGAAATTTAAAAAAGGGCTCTGTTATGCCCTGGGGAACCTATCCAGGGGTCATCATAACAAATTTTATGTCGCTACTACCTTTTTCAAATTCTCCAGACCTGGGATAAGGAATGCATATGGACAATTTTGATAAATATTTTTTAACTTGAGAAATAATATGCACAGCTCCATGAAACTTTGCAGTTACTCTTATGTCTGTGCTATAAATACACCCTGTAAATTTCGTTCAGATATCTCTAGAAATAAGAAAATTCATATTTATTCCCCACCTCCTCCCTTAAGAGTAGATATGAGTGCCCAACAGAAGAAAATGAAAGCAACCAGAAAGTCTTATCGCAAAGGGACTCACCTCGGCGACCTTGAGGAACTCTGCTACCCTGTCCATGCGGATGAGGAATTTCTTGTAGATGTCCAGAGCTTCCCTACAGTTTTTCTTGTTCATGTCGAAGTACTTCTCTGCAGTGGACATAAAAATAAAAGGCAAAATGAAGAGCTCGGCCGAGACAACAGAGGGTGACAGCGACAAACCCACCAAGTAGATTGATGATGCCGTCGTTGTAGCAGGCAAACAACCGAATCAGGTCTCGGAACAGAAGCATGAAGCAAGAGTTGATCACCCCATTGACGAGGTCATTTGCTGTGCACTGCGAGCGTGAAAGACAACCATGAGCATAGCACGAGACCTCATCTGCCCGGAGGCCACAGAAGAAACAACATACAACCGAGGTTACGGCAATGTATTTTGCACTTTCAAATCCGGGCAAATGCTGTCAATGATGAAAAGGGTATGCATGTATCATATGAATGTGCTCAAAGCTGAAGCAGTCAAACAACGCAGACTCTTACGAGGGGTCATATTGAAAGGAAAACCTCCCAAGTGTGCCACATGTGGCAATGCACATAATATACATTTGCAAGCAACTGCATTTCAGAAACAAGTCCCACCACCAAGTAAAACGCTTGGTAGGAACCTAAGTTTGGTAACCATCAAGCACTCCCAACAAGTCCTGAAGACTGGGCAATGTATGGGCACCAACTGCAGAGTGGCAGTGCCCAGAGGCTGTGCTTGCCAATGTGTATAGCCCCAACCAATCTTAGCAGTGAAGAAGTATAGCAGGAGCACGCTTAAAACCAATGAACCAAAACAGGCAGACACTCGAACAAACACAAAGGAATGAAACGAGAAATTCTTAGCTTCTCGTGTACCTGGCCTTGTCTTCAAGAGAAGTTGCTTTATCTGGAGAATGTTATAGTGCTACCAGGTTTCTCAAACAGATACAACCCCATCGTCTAAACCTGGTCAGTGCAAAGGCCAAAGAACACTGATGCGCAACAACAAAACTGACGGAAGACTCACGTCAAACTCTAGGAGAGCATCCAGTTGACTCTGTAGTGCAGGCACAGTCTTGAGAAGCTGAGTTGAGAAATGCGGGAAAATTACGTCAGAGCTCCTCCCCCGACCAAACATAAAGGGACCCGTAGTGAACGCCCACCCACCTTGTCTGTCGGCATGGTGCGCAGGGTGCCGTCTTCCTTCCTGAAAGACGTCGGGAGAGAGTCGCATTCCTACCATCAAACCAGCATGCATCAGCCTCAAACAAGTTTCTTGTCAAACAAAACTGCCGAGCCACTTAGCTTAGAGGATATGACAAGATGATAATACACAGAAAGTTATTACATTTCGGTTGTTCGTCACCATGCTTGCAAACAATCATAAATTTGTTAAATAAAACAGGAATGTTAGAAGAAAATTGTAGCACTCCGATAAAATGCAGAAGCTGCACTGTTCTTTCATTGATATTAAGGATGTTTTAATTCTTCCAAACGTTTTTGCTTATGGTGCATACAAGTATGCTGACAGACGCCCGCATAAGCTCACAACCTGTACAAGATAGAGCACTAGGATGCCACTTTACGTCAGCATTAAATGTGCACATCTTGCAGATGCCAGCAGAGGCTAGGGCACCTCTCACGTGGTCGCGCCTTGCAGACCACCATAGCACCCCTCGGCCAGGAGGCCCATTGAGTAAACTATGGAAGTACAGAGTGCCAACTCACCCCCTCTTCACCTTGCAGAAGTCAAATGCGACCGTGCGGTAGGAGACCGCCTTCTCAGTCAGGTACTTGGCGTACCGCCGAATGAAGGTCGACATGTCGAAGCCCGCTGAAGGAAAAAAAAGAATGCACGAGGCACAAAAAAGAAATAATAAAACCAAACGAAAATTCTCCTACTACAATGTTCTCCGACATCGCAGGCAAGTAGAGCTATAAAAGCTGCACTTTAGTAACTAGGTTAGTTACTGGAGCTGAAACTGAATTAGATTAATACAATTACACTCACACAAGCATAGTCATTTGTTATCTGTCAAGGTAATTTTCAGAAATAGAAACTGGAGTAACGTAAATGAACAAAAGTACAAGTAACTAATTCAATCAAGCTGTTAGTAACTGTTCAATTAAGTAGTCAATGACTAGTCAGTTACAGAAACTAGCAGCTACAAGTCAAGAACTGATTCAGTTAGTACTAACATTTAATTATAACTGATAGTAATTTATAGCAACCTCAATACTTTGCATCTCTGCTGGTATATACCAGGAATCACTAATGTATGTGCAGCTGTTTGTAGATTTTAAAGGGACTGTATGAAGCAGTCGTTAAATTCAAAACATTAAGTTCACTTGGATGAAAATCAATTCAGAGCTCAGGCCATTGTAATACTGCCTCAAATGCAGCGCATTATTTTCCGACAAATAAATAGAAAACCAAGGCAATGCATGTCAGAAGCACCCCATTATACTTTCCTATACTGTGAGCGAAATATCTTGCTACAACTTTTCATCACCAACAGTGAATGGTGCACTATAAAATTCAATGCAGCCATGTGCCTTCTGGTTTATCAAGCTCAGAGAACACATAGTATAGTTCAAGAATAAAAAGACAAATCATATGCATCAATTAGATATTAAAATAAAGGAAATGAACAAAAGACAAGACACCAGGGTCAAATGAAGCCCATAACTGCTTGGCTCGGTTTGATTGACTTATCCACTGCATGAACTTAGTGTTCCAATACTCCTAAACATGAATGACTTCCTAAAAAAACTTTGATCGTTCCCACTTTAAAAACAAAAAACACTCCCACGATATAAGTAAAAGAATCTTATACACGCACAAAACGAAACATGCAATGCTCTGCAAAAAACAAAACAAAAAGGAGCAGGCAAGAGAAACTAGTTGCAAAAGAATGAGAAAAAGGTATTCCGACAACAAACCCATGTCACAGGATGCTGCAGGAAATCAAGGAAAGGACAGTTACCACGTGCCCAGCAAAGCAGAGAAGAAATCAACTAGCAATTCAAAGCACAGCAGACACCATTAACCAACAAACACCGTTAGTTCCAGGATAGAAGAAAAAGAGCTAAGAGGGAGGGGGGGCTGCTTTGCAGGCTTTGCATCTTTATACCTCCATTTCAAAGACCCAATGAAGGCTCTAAACTTGTTTTAGGATTCACGAGACAATAATTTCTGGAACCAATTAATGTAACTTTTTTTTCTACCGGTCCTATGAATGCAACCTTGACAAACTGTGTTACACAACTCGAAACAACAAATCTAAAAAAAGCTATGCTCTGGATCCACTTGCTCTCGCATTTTAGAAGAGTGCACGTGCACAGCTTTCATTAGCGTCAAGGCCCACTAGCGTAGGGCACCCATAGTTTTGGCTTCCTTTTTCCCAGCGGTCCTAGAAATGCCATTCTTGCTTGGTTGCCTGCCTTGAGCATTTTGATTCCTAAGCAGCATGTGGTTAGGTTGTTAGCATGAATGAAATGTCTTTAAAGCTACTTTCAAGTTTGCATATGGTATCAATTACCGTAAACTCCAGAGATGCCCCACCTCCGAAAGATAGCCCACCCCTATTTTCGGCTTGATTTGCTATATTTTTTTTAAACACCAAAAGACAGCCCACTTTTAGTAATAGTAGTGTTGCGGTCAATGATGGCCTGAACTTAAATGCGACTAGTTGGCTATGGCGGGATATAAGCGAACATTGCTGACTGGGAAGTACAGTCCCCTTTGTTGACAGTCGCCTCCGTAACAAGCTTGGAAGGGACACACCTAAAAATAGCAATCTTTTTAACACTTCTTGATTGTGTATCGAAAGCTAGCCCAACCCATATTTTCACCCGATTTGCTCTTGATGGTAAGTGGCCTCTCTCTGGATTTTAAAGTAGCGTTAGAATTCTGAAGGCCAGACTAGATATTGCACATTTCAAACATGTTCACTGGGCTTCATCGGTCCTTGTGAAGCAAGCTTAAAATAAATGCTCAGCGAATTCCACCCCTGCAGTGCAGGTAAGAAAGCCATCCTCCTATGGACTTCCAGCCTCCTCTACAGCAAAAGGCTTCCCAAAGCAAAGAAGTGACCCGACCCAGGCTCTACATCCAATGATCATCCTTGACCAACAGATCAAAATTGCTGAAGGCGGGCCACTAGTTCACAAGCCCTCATTAAATTAAACACAACATAGAGAAGTCCACGAGCCGTTATGCATTCCAGACATCCTGCCAAGTATTGTGCTTACGACAACTGCAAGTTACGGCAAAGTCTGCTCACCTTGTACGCCGGTCTTGTCGACAAATGTGCCGAGCTGAAACGTGCAGTTACTGGAGGCCAAGTATTGTGTGAACCTCTGTAACAGAAGTACTCAACTGTAACCAACTACCTTGACAACCTGATAAAATCCTGTTCAGTAAACCCGAGGGCATTTAAAAAGAATAGAATCCAAGCAATATTGGTGCAGATGATCTTGAACCAGTCGTTTCTGCAAGAGTTCAGCAATACGACGAGCATGCCACAGCATTTTTTCAGGTACAGCGCTCAACAAAACAAAATGAACCAGCGAAGCACGTGGTCTCGCGTACCTGTGGCGCCATCAGCCAGGAGAAGCGGTCTATCTTGTGTGGCGAGTCGCACATGCGCACAGCTCACCCAAGCACTCAGCGGCTGTTCATGCTCGGTCCACAACCCCCAATAGCTGATCGACGTTGGCCAGTTTGCAACATGACAGCATTTTTTTTTCTTTGCAGCAGCGTAAAAAGATTTGTTTCCAAAGGTTTAAGTTGTAAAAAGTGACCACCACTTGCAACGATTTCAATGTACATACTAAATAAATGTGCAGTGTCATGGCACATGCGTCCTTTTGTAGACTGAATAAATAAAATGTCTTCATTTTTTTTTTCTTTTTATATATTTGGGGCAATATAACTTCAGATCTTGAAGGACAGACAAAAATTGTGAGTCACGCGATTAGAAAAACTGTTAGGCCTCAGATTTATGCTTTGTAGTAATCACCTCTGGGGGTCGCGATCGAGTGGAAGCAGCCGCCGACTGCTTGGCTCACCTAGGCACATGTGCAACTCGCGACACCAGACTGCACGGCTTCTCCCGGTAGATGCCGCAGTAGGTATGCAGGCCACATGCTACGTTGGTCCTTTTTTTTTTCGTAAAGCACTGTACCTTTCCTGATTGTACCACTTGAATGCTTATGTCCTAACACCAAAAGATGCTTGCTACTGCGGGCCCAAGCCTTATCGGAATGTAACCTATCAACTAAACGGAAAAACCAATGGACACGCCGATACACCACAAAAAAAGTGTACATTCCGAATGCTCCAACCGCTCCTACAAAGAAGTAATTTCAAGTAACGTATCAATAGCTTGCAAGACATTATCTTCAGCAAGCATTCCTTCCACTTTCCATTTTGAAACATACAAGTGTCACTTTAAAGCTGTAGGAATAACCCCACATCTCATAAAATGATGTCCTGTGCAAGTCACGTACACATGTTCACCCCATGTCTCTTGCACGAACGAGAAGCAGTTAAAATTTCAAAACTTTCCAGCAGTTCACAATGACAGTACATCATCTTGGGCAAGCATGAAGACCCACCTCATTGCCATAACACATGAGATGATGCACTGTGACCAGGGACTTGAAGACCACCACCCAGTTGGTGTTCTGGGCACGCTCAATGAGCAGGTTGGCCAGTTGCGGGATCGACACATTCGGCTCGTTGGTGCAGTGCAGTAGGTCTGCAGGGGGAAAGAAAAAACCAAGGGCCGTTTTTTAAAGCTGAAACTCCCACAGCCCCACAAAAACACTGCATGACACAGCTAGCGCAACCACGACATTAGCAGCGTCTTTTCATGTTCCCCACATTGTGTCTAATACCAGATTCTGCCACCAACTAGACAAAGATTTTGATGGAAAACATTCAACTATGAGGAAAAGAAAAATAACCTCTCCGCATGTTTATGCTGTGCTGCACTCTGTATGTACAACAAGAACCAAAATAAATCATCAAAAAAAGAAACGACTTTTACAAATCTAATGCAAAACTAGAGTGTAGCTCTTGAGGAGGAGGAGAGGATGGTATGCCCCTCCTCCTCCTCTTCCCATTTAATTTGTTCATGGGTGACGTGACACGAAGTCATGGGACGTCCTTTTCCGCGCTAAACTTTGCGGGGAAACTGAATTGGTGTTTAGGTCAAGCGACGCCAATATCCCCGCTAAATTTAGCGGGAAACTTAACCCGCTAAATTTAGCGGGGAAACTGAATTGGTGTTGAGGTCACATGGCGTCAATTTTTCTGCTAAATCTAGCAGAGAAACTGAATTTGTTCATGGGTGACGTGACAAAGTCATGCGATGTCATTTCCCCCTAAATTTAGTGGGAAAATTGACGTCACCATCAATTCAATTTGCCGCTAAATTTAGTGAGGCGGTTACGCCGACAGCAACGCCGTGAAACCCGGAAACGGGTGCCTAACAAATGCGCTCTAAAATTCTGAAATCAAGCTTTGCCATACACTCAACGGGTTAAAGAGCAAGGTCTACAAACACGGAAAACTCCTTTTCACACCACCTTTCGGTATTTCAAACGGCAAGACCTATGACTCAGGAAGCCAATCTGAGCATTAGCTATGCGACAATGTACCACCAGAGTGCACTTCTATAAGAGCTGCCTTCTTTCACTCCATTGCTCCGACTGGCTTAGGGGGCCGTAGCAATCACCCTTTACCAAGTTACCCTGAACAATGAAGTATAACCATTTAACATACTTCCAAAACACTCTTGGCTTTTAACCATTTAAATTTCTGCAAACTGTTAAAATATGGCACACGAGAGTGTAGAAAAAGCAAAGGAACCAGTTGCATACCCGTTCCTGAACTCTGAATAAAATACCTTGTTCCAAATCACTCAATATTGAATAAAGCACTTCCACTGTTCAAGGATCTTACGATTATTGCTCCACACCATCTCATAAAATTCATTACACAACAAATTTTGGGAATTTCAATGACACCAATATGCACTTATCTTTCATCTTCCAAGCATTAAATATTGAGATCCAAGATGGTAAAAAAAAATATTTTTTCTTACTCATCAACAATTTAAGATTATTTTTTTACATATCTGCACTTGAAGCGACACAACCCCGCCGCGCGGCCGTTACGGAAGGCGAGCTGCGAGTACCCTAGGAAAGCCAAACTATACTGCTTACATTGGTATGCATTGAGGTCGGAGCGATGTGGTTGCACCAGGTTGACAACATAAACTGCTGCTTCATTAAGCGCTCCATTAGTTCTGCGCTGTCTATCATGGGGACCAAGTTTTGTAGTCTTTCAACTCGCCGTTGTTTTGCAAGGTAGCAACAATGGTGGACCCACGCCGTACAATGCAAAACCTTGGTCTCCCGATAAGCTCTGCCCCTGTATCGTCGCGGCGGACATATTCTACTCTGCCGTCCTGCGTGCTGCGTTCGTCTTTGTTTCAGTCACGTCTACATATCTTAGCACAGATGGAACGGACAGGAATCCCATCCCACACTCGCAGATATGCCGTACCCATTTCGCTGGAGGGAAGCCCTCCAAAGACATTTTGTCCCCACGGTACGTGTTGATATTATTTCCAGACCAGTGTCGCACGCGGTCTGTACTTTTTGAAGAAAAATTCGGACGGTACAAAAGGTGAGAAATGTGAATCTAAGAAAACTTACGATGAAACTTGGAATCGCTAAACAATCGACATCCGAATTTGGCAGTTTATGTGTGCTTTCTTAACTAGCCTCCTTTCAGGCATTGCAATCACCTTTCACATTTGGAGTGGCTGGTAGGCAGTAGGTGACAGCAAAACAAACCACCAGAACCGTGTTTAATCAAATTAAACCAAGATTGCGGATGCAGCTCAGTCTAAGACAAAAGTCATAAATAAAAAAGATAAATCAAATCAACCTTTTTAAATGATCTAACAATTTAAATTTCAGAACTTCCTCCCATACTAGGACATAGGACGTTAATTTTTTTGGTTATTCAGAAAACTACTATAATAGCTATAATACTTAAGCTATAATACTGATTTGATTTGCTATAATACTTAAGCAAATCAAAATAGACATCACTCCAATGTAAAGTTTGAGATTTGTTAACGACAGTGACATTTCTTCTGGTTTTGAACTGCATAAAATGGTAGTATAATCTTTTGAAAGAAATGGAAAGCTCATACAAGACATAATGGATGTAGTGGCCAATGCAAGATCAACCTTACATACAACTGTCTCCGTTGGTCTGCATGTGTGTGAGCACATGTTTACTTCATATTGTAGTTTGCTTGGACAAGATACCACGAAGATAGAAACAAAGCTCACCACTCCGATCAGCAGAAGAGCACCTCGTTTTGCTTGTGTTCAGCGTGCTATAAATTTTTGTTAGTTTGACTATTTTTTATTTATTTCTGAAAACCAAATAAAGGCTTCTGAACAGAATCAAATTAGACAATAACAATCAACTATTTCCGAGATTAGTTTTGTGAGAAAGGCGTTCTTGTGAGAAAATCGGTGAAATTGAAAAGATGATTTAAATCATGAATAAAATCATGTAGATTTTTATTCTCCACCTTGCATTCAAGGTACTAATGGTAGAATATAAGAATACTGTTGCCTCAATAGATTTTGCAAAACAATGTAGTGGTTGCACTTTCTAGAAGCCGGAAAAGTTTCTTGTCAGAAGCCAGCCTGCACTGTGATTTATTGAAGATGTCAAATGCATATCCTGAGATGAATAAGCGGAGAACAGCAACATTGCACTCAGAGTATCGACTCGAGGAGCTAAAGTTTTGTCTGTGCACGCTGGCACTGCCACAGCTTCGCTTGCGAAAAGCCTCCGCAAGCTGCCGAACACATCACACGGTCGAATGCCACCACTAGTGGCACTACGCGCAAATTTCGAAGCGCCCCCATAGTTCCTGCACGGAGCATTATACAGGTTTTTAAATATTAATTTCTTTGAGTATAACTACTTCTTGATGGCAACCTGTTTTTATTTATAGCCAAGGCAGTAAACAGCAAAATGTGAAAATAGTGTGCAGTGTGCTGACACTGCACAGACAGTGCCAATGTCTCCATATTAAAGACAATGGCATTCATGGTTGAGTTCAGAGACAGCATCAAATTAATATAGCAACCTCGTATAGTTACACATGCCAATTTGTTATTGAAGATAGGAAGGCTACGCTAGAGGTGGGGCAAATGAAAAGCCTCCCTGCTCTTTTTATCCTGTTAGTCAATCTAGTATCTGAATATGAATTTCCTTTCAAATTATCAACTGCTGACGCAGCCTACAAAAACTCTGTACTAAAAAAATAATTACTACAAAAATGTAACTACACAAACATAAACGTAAAAAAGTTTTAGTACAATGTATTGCTCAATTGGCTTTTACTATTTATTCTACAGCAAGAAAAATAATGGTTTCCTTCCTTTAATGGCAGTAGCTGTGTATGACCCACAATACCAGCCGCAGGTCGTCATTCGGGCTGAACGGCTAAGTTTAGCGGTGAAATTTTCCCAACAAATTTAGCGGGGAAACATTTCTCCACCAAATATAGCAAATACATTTACCGCTAAATTTCCTCTTACTGCAACCTCTCATGTTTGTTGTGCAGTAACTTCCCCAGATTCTGAAAGAATGGTCAATCTGTAAACTTTGATGAATGTTACTGGACACATAGGCCAGCAATGTGTGTGTACACTGCTGTTGGAAACCTTGAGATATTTAACCAGGAAATAAGTGCTTCGTGCTTCAAACTCAACGGTACGAGTTCTCCTTGCACGATACTCATGTACAGCATGAAAACATTGTGGCTTACCATGCCACTTCACTTGTAGGAAACGGCCATGAGCCCATTAATTCTTTAGTTTGCAACCCCCCCCCCCCCCCTGGGAACAGTGTACTATCTATGCTTGCATGCCTTGAACAAGCAAGTCCCCTAATTTAGCGAAGCTTTAGATAAATGCGCATTAATTAAAACTCCACTATCAAGCAGGCTAAGTCTAAACAACTTAGTTGCTCACTTCCTTGTCATGTAAAAATTTCAGTCAGTCAACCAACTAAAAAAAAAACTGCTTGTCGACAGCAACGTGAAATTTTTTTCTAAGTAGCTCGCGACACAACAGAACTCGAACGCTGTTCAGCATGCATCCAATTCCTCCTCTCAAACAGACAAACAAAAGTGTGATTGAAAACAAATCTGGTGGAAAACACACACTTCCCACCGCTTCCTGCTCGAGCGCCTATCTATCCACCCCGGCCTGCCGTCCCCATTTACAGAGACCACGAGGAAACCGAGAGTGCCTGCCACAAAAAGTGATACAGCTGACCACGTTTCCTACAGAGGAGGGGGGAGGGACCAGGGAGAGAAAGCCCATGAAGATTCCAGGACCAGCTCGCCAGAAAAGAAATCTAGGCCACCCCCTCCCGAGAGGCTCCCCTCGCCCGATCCTCATCTAGTCAAACCACTTTCCAAACGGCCTTCCATCGGTCATCCTCGCAAGAGGATCGACACAGAGACCCACTGCCTCTACGACAGGTCCCTCCCGGTATGGACAAGTGTCCACGCATCCCAGGCACCATTCATAAAACTGGAGACTGAACTCCGCAAACCAGAGAAGCCTCTGAGCAATCTTGGAGCGGGAAGGAAAGGCCAGGTTTCATGGCGGTCTGGGAAGCACAACAACTTTTTCCAAGGAGTTTGAAGCGGCCCGTGCCGCTTTAGGAAGCAAGTACGGAACCGGACTGCAAATAATCTTTTTCTCGGTCAGTGAATTGGTCGACTTTTTTGTGCTCGGCCCTGCTGCCGCTCTTCGTACCAATGCTGCCTGGATATGTAATCTACTGCAAAGGAAAGTGGCCTTGTCCATACTACAGAGTTTTCAGAAATCCTTAAGAATTTTGAACACTTATATTCACCATTCTAATGGTTTAGCATAATTGTCACCCAACCTGTTTTTATTGCCAGAAAGCCATTAGAGGTTGCACGTTACACCTTGCAGGGGTACATGTGCAGAACTAGGAGCACATCTTAGATCGACAAATTCAACCGAGAAAAAGCCAGCATCCAGCATAGACCACGAGAAGAGATGTGGAGAGCCCAGGGGTGAGGAGTGTACCTCCTTGCCCCTTTCCTTATACAGAAACAGACAGATCCAATTTCCAGACTCCTTGCTGGCAGATAGAGCGCTGGGCAAGTGCACGCGTGCAAAGATAAAAGCAAACAAGACCTTCCACAGCTGGAAAGCTTTACCTCCAGTCTCCTTTTCAGAACATCAGATGGAAAAGGTCGATCCACCCATTCTTTTAAGAACATGCAATGCCTCTGGCAAGCCGATTATGTTCACGATTAGAAGGGGAATACATTCGGTATTTAAATACATACCCTTTTAGAGAGGCATTTGTGTCTGGCTACATCCAGTGTGTGGCTTACATGCTACTAAAAAGATGGGGGGTAGCGAAAACGTGCAAAAATTAACACGTGCAAAATATAAAGACCCAGTCAAAACATGAACATGAAAAAAAAAATTGGGTTACAACACACATTGACAGCTTTTGGGGCCGATTTGAACCCTGGAACAGCCTCTGCGGCAAATTCATCCAGCTACTGGCGACAATAAGTAAACAAAAAAAAAACCTGTGCAGCTGACAGTTGAGTCATTCTGCTCTTACAATGCTTCTGTTTACAGATTGCATGTTGGGAGTTTTGCCCGCCGCTGGTTAACACCCGATACAGCTGTTTTCCAACAGCCTCCTGTTATTGCATCATTGTATAAGGTGAGAGGCAAAGCTTTTAAAGTCCAGATTTGAGCATTTTGTAAACTTCCGATCTATTCATTTACCCTCTATGTGCCTTCGTGTGTCTGTTGGCAATACCAGTGGTTCTATAGCGCGAAGGAACGGTGCCATCATGTAGTAAGAGTTTCTTTTGGCGCAGAACTTGCGAATGTTTTCAACTGTGAAATTTAGGAACCAAGGATGGCACAAGAGAATGGTTTGGTGCAGAAGCAGGGAAAATAGACAACTGCTAAAAAAACAAAAACGATGGGAATTGTATGATATATAAATGACGACTAGTATTCGAGACGATGCGAGGAAGCGAGCAAGCGGCCAGAAACGTTGAGAATCGAAGGCGACTGGATGCTACCCGACGCAACGACCTCCAAAATCAGCAGCGTTTACGCCGACGTTTGCTTTGCATGGATTCCAAACCGCACTCTAGCACGCTTCCCGAAGTCGTTAACTGCGCTGGTCAAACGACCTCCAACCTTCCACAACCAAGCACTCTTTCTGCGGAAAGTGGAGACGGGGTACAGTAATTTCCCCACCCCAGCAGGTATATAAAACAAACGAAAAAAGGCCAGCTCGCGGAAGCTCCCAAGACGAGCGAAAGAAAAGCGACGATGGCAAAACATCCGGCGAGACCCACGACAAAAATGAGCGACCCAAAATAACCTCGGCGCTCGTTTTTATTTTCTGCGAACAAGCGTATAAATGCGATACTTAGTCATCCCCGATTGATTGGTGAGGCAGAGGGAAACACAGATACGACCACGTTCCAAAACCGCAATAACTTAACCTCCGATGCGAAAGGAGAAAAAAAAAAGTACCTTCGCGGACATTGTAAATGCGCCATAGGCAAGCGATAATGCACCGAGTTGCAGAACACTACGGTAATGCAGATAGTAGACTGTGCTGGTTTCGGCGGATAAAACTGCTCGAAGATGTCCACCCCCTTACCACGTCTCCTCCCACCCCTTTTTTTTCCTGCAAGCATATGCGGTGCTGCCGTGCAGTTCGCCGTGTCGCGTCAGCGGTGAATTCCAAAGCGGTTGCGACAAACAGCGCTGTCGATAGTTGGACGTGAAGTGAAATAACCCGCGGGTGCAGCGTACTGTCGTGCGTGCCTGCACGATCTGCGAAGCAGCTTCGAAAAAAAAAAAAAAAATTAATCGCAGAATAGGCGACGAGGGGGAAAAGGACCAAACAGAACCGAGGTCTTCCTTCGTTCATCGGAGAAAAGAAAAAATACCCTGACGAATTTTCCGATAACGCTTCGCGTCATTTTCGCCACGTTTGAGCGTGGATATTTGCTGCCAACTCGCACGTTTTCGTCCCGGTTGAGCCGGGCGCAGCGAAAGACCAACGCTGCACTAGCATTGCAATAACTAAATAGATAAAAAGGCTAAGGGGGAGGAGATCTATCGACGAGCAGGCGAAAAAGACCTTTGTGTTAGGCTTACAAGTGGGTCAACTTTCTTTTCGGCTTTCAGAGTCGCGTGCCGTGCTCGCAAGTATGCGTCGAGCAAGCGGCGTTCGGCGGCCCGAGCGACGGGCGGAGCGAGGCGACTTGTCGAGAGACTCACAGTCCAAATGCTTCTTCTTGGGGCCGATGACTTCTTCGGTGGTCGCCTTGCAAACCACCCTGGCGAGGCCTTGGCCAGCGATGGTGTGCCTCGCTGCCATGAGCCGGTCATTGAGGCTCTGTCCCGACGTTTTGGACATGATTCACGCTGGGCTGCTGCTGCCGGACAGACTGACAACAGGCTGGCACGACCCCCACCACCGCACGAGCTTCCCCGACGCGACTCCAGATATCGGGGGCCCCCTGACTGTGCGCCGCCGCCGGTGTCGTGAGTACGTGCGCGCAGCTTTTCCCACAACACCCCTCTTTCCGAAAAATCTGGTAATCATCAAATGCCAAGATGGCGAAGGAAAACAGTGACGTCAGCGGTGACGCCACGTTGCCGCCCGCCAATCTGCTTTCTCTTCGCTTCGGGGGAGCCTGCGGGGGTTCTGCAGCGCGTCGCCAGGTGGCTGCCACCGACTTCACGCCGACCAGCGGATTCTTATCTATTTAATCGAATGACGCCGTGTTAAAGATAACGTAATCTTTTACCTTTTTTGACACAGGCTCGTTTCCTCCCCCCATCTCCTTTTATCTCGTTCTTGAACTTGACATTTAAATGCCTGCTCCTTCCAAAATTAGGTAGTTTCATCGTGATTAAATGAGAATGCAATATCTATTTCTCTATTTTAAAACATTTGTTGGGTTTTACATTCTTTACCCGCGGGTCTAATTATTTCGTCTACTTGTCCTGGGCATCTAAACTCGACAAAGTTATGATCGAAGTTGACGGAGCGCACCAAAGACATAGAGATCAGTGAGCGCACCGATTGGCCCAGATTGGCCTATCACGACGATGACTTCGCGCTTTTTTCACCGGCGTCCAATCGGCGCGCTCAGCGAACTTTCGGCTCAAATTTTGTGTCTAACAAGTTTAGGGACCCTGGTGTATTTTTTTTTTTTTTGCACTCTTTTCTTTTGTTACTCCTGTCACAAGATACAACAATGCCCAATGTATCGGCAACAAAATGAGAATGCAGTATTTATTTCTCTTTATTACTAACACACAAATATTCTACATCTTGTTCAGCGGAGGAATTCCAAGCAGTTTCAATCCTTGGCTTAATGTTAGTCTTGCAGCGTGAAAAAGTAGCAGCCTTGCCTGCAATGCACGAATCAATGAAACAATTATTAAATGTCTGCAAAATTTAAAAAAAAAAAAAAAAAATATTACTGCAAATTTAAATTATGCATCGCCGAACACCCAATCACCCAATTTCCAATCTAAGTGTAGCACTACCAGTCCGGTCTAGATGCCAAAGCTCTTTAATAAGAAATAACGGCAAGCTAAAAAAAAAAAAAAACTCTACATGTTTTTCATAGACACAAGTTGTCATCAACTCTTGGAAAGAACAAAACTGCTCTGCCAGACAAAAATCGAACGGAACACAGACTCACACTTGACACAGTTGTGTCATGGTTCTTGACAATCAAGGTCTTGTTTGCTCTGCCTATTGCATGACTGAAATGAGACAAGAATTTACTAATGCAAGATACACACAAGTGAGCTGTCAGTATGGATAATCCATAGCACCCTAAAGCAACCAACCTCAGCGAATAAAGGTACTGGACTACAATGCAGGGTTCCAGTTCTACAAGGGCTCCAAACACAGCATCTTCAAACCTGCAGAAAAGAATAACGGGGTTCGTAAAGATGTTGCAAATGCCTGTGTTCATTACGCCAATACTCTGTCTCAGAGGCTATGAGCGTGGCCACTTTGCACTGGAAAGCCTCCTGCTTGCTCGGGCAGTGGAAGCCCCTATCGAAGTCACTACCTTTGCTGTGTTCCATATTAGGAGGACAAGGTACAGAGTTACCTTGTCCTCCTACCGGGGCCAGATGTTGCAGACTCACTTGACAAGTTCCACCGACAGGGCAATGGCAGAGGGCTCGTAGAGGACGCTGGTGTCACACTTTAAATCCAAGGGGCAGTCTGCTTTCTCTTCGAGGCTGGAGCAGAGCCAAAATTTTGCGAGTGACCGCAAAACCTCTCAGATAAAAAGATTTGCACTGTGCTTAAGGAGACACTGAATGCCCAAAAAATATTGTTTTCTAAAAATGCCTAGATGGGGCATGTAAATTCCAAAATAAACTTTCCAGAAAAAAAAAGTTAGTGCACTATTTACATTGCAATACTTATTTTGATTAATAATGCAATTAAATGCAAACGTGCAAGCGAGCTGTACAAGAATGACGAAAAGAAACACTGGAGAAGGGGAGGAAGAGGGACAATTAGTACAAACACAAATCTCCAAACACAGCTAAGTGACTGGTGCGCAACAGAAAAAAATCTACCTGGTTTGGGTATCGAACCCGGGACCTCTATATGGAGAGGTCCCGGGTTCGATACCCGGACCAGGCGGATTTTTTCGGTCGCGCACCAGTCACTTAGTTGTGTTTTATAGATTTGTGTTTGTCCTTCGCCCCTCTTGTTACCCTTCTCCAGGGATTATTTTTCGTGACTTATTTTGAGTAGAGAGCAACTCTGAAAAATGCTTCTATTCAGGCATTTGATGCCGACAAAGGCAGCAAAAATCCAACGCGTTTTCTTTCCTCGACTTAGTCCATTTGCTGCGCCTATTGCGAGATGCTCACACAAGCACAACTCTCAACTTACTCGCTCGTCGATGTCTGCCTTTTACTGTGGCCATTAAGTTTGTCAGCCTCAATTTTTGCAGGAACAGAGCTATGCCTCGATATTTCACAGGGTAAAATGCACCACTAAATACACCTGTGACCAAAATTTGAGACCCCCACATTCGAGCATCGATTGCGATAGTCAGCTTTAAAGCAAGCTCCGGGAGGGATTCGTAGCATGCTGTACACTGTGTTCCCCCTAAAAAAAATGTAAAGTTTTTTTTATCAGAAAAATGAATCATGCATTGCCGAATCCTCAGCCTCCGCCCAAATATACCGCTAGCCGTACGCACCAGACGCCAAAGTTTCTGAACCAACTGTTATCTTATTACAAAGTTACGAGTGATTTTCTGTAAATTTCAGTGGGAAAATGAGGCCTGTTCTTGGTGACTAGAACCCTTCAGCTGCACGTATATTTGAGAGTTTTGTCAGCTGCTATTTTTCTATCGAATATTTCAGAAAATCACCCGTAACTTTTGAATAAGCAGACGCTTAGTTCTGAAACTTCGTCATCTGGTACGAACTGCTAGTGCTACATTTGAGCACAGATTGAGTGTTCGGCAATGTGCAGTTCAGTTTTGTGGCAAAAAAAGCCCCGCAAATGTTTTGGGGGCGACACCCTGTACAGCGGCTAGCGATATGAGCTGGAATGCACAAACAGCGATTAGGCAGTACAAGCCACACCATAGCAACACGGTGCGCCAGTCGAGCGTCGCTCGCCACGCCCGTACCTGCAGAGTCTGGCGTGGGCGTACTGCAGCGTGAGCCCGGAGTCTCCCCGTGCATGGAGTGCCTGGTCCCAGTCGAAGACAACGTCCCGGCCGCGCCTCGAGCGCAAGGCGTTGGCCACCACCCCCGCAAGGCCCAGTGCCTCGGCTGCAGCCTCCGTCTCTTCCTCGCCGGAGACGCGCGTGGCTGCACAAAGAAGCGGGCACCAACCACTCGGACCACACACCACAGAAAACAGAAGGGGGCACGATTCGTCGGATTAATGCGAAAAGGACTGCACCACCAACTAACGTATGATTTTCGGACCTTTGTAAGCACCCCACTAAAGTCCTGAATGGAACTGGTAATTTTATTAAATAAAAACTGTCAGCCTCTCCACTCTGGTGAAGAAGGAAGAGCAGCGGAGTTGTAGCTTCTGTTCTCGGCAATGGCCTTCCAAGCGAGCGATCTGCTCTCCTTTTGCAAGGGAATCTGAAGCACTCGACGCAGTGTAACTTTAGGTGATAGCGGCCTCGCGGCGGTTGCGGAACCATTCGCGCTGCTACGCACATCACCGCTCGTTCCGTTCAAGCTCTTCTTCCTCTGAAGAAAGGTTGCCGCCATCTATGAGTGACGGCGGCAAGCAGACAATCGGCAAACACTAGGGAGGCTCTAGTAGCAAACACTCTGGACAGCTACCGCCATCTATGAGTGACAGCGGCAACTAGAGTGTTGTGTTGACATTTGTTTGGTGCTGGACCAATCCTGGGGAAACTAGCCCTTAACAGCTCCTCTATAATAATTAAATAAAGCTATACTTTGTTTCACCCAAACTTGGCAAATGCCGAAGACTACAACCCCCGAGGTTAAAACGAGCGGAGTGACGACGTGTCGGCGGAGTGTGCTCCTCCTGCAGACAGCCGTCACAAGCTTTGGTCCGTCACTCCGATTGGCTCGAGGGAGCCGTAATGTTCGCTCTTTGCCTAGTTATGCTGGAACGAAGTAAAGAAGACTTTACGTCATTCAACAGCCCAATATCGAGTGGAGCGAAAGCTTGCAGTGAGAGGAAATAATCCTCGTTGAAGGTTGGCGACCCAAAGGTTGACAACCTGGGCTGTGTTCCAAATCTTGCTCGAGCAGATAAGAGTTGCTCCCGCAGGTCACATCCCATAATGACACAGACGGAGTGACGCCGGATGCAAGTGTGTTTTCAAACGCTGGTGTACAACATTTTTACCCCAGAGTGAAATGTAGTGGATTTGGGAATATGGCACCAGTGAGACCCGAAGGTTATGCATTAGATTCCCCACACCTGCAAGTTTAGACGGCATAGTGTTGGTCACGGTGTGATGAGGCACATAGCACTGGCCATGAAATGGCCTGATGCAAGTCCGAAGATTTGGTCTGTTCCACAAAGCTCGTGCATGGTTGTGGCCAATTTCAAGGTTGGTAAGTTCATCCCAACGGGCAAACTATCTAATTACGCCAGAGAAAACACACTCTGCCATCGGGAGAGCTGACATATGACTTTTCTCAACTTGCGAAAATACATTTATATACGGCACATTTAGAATAGTTTAACAGTAGGGAATTCATTGTATCGGGCAAACCAATTCATTCGAGACAACATACATTAGAACAGCTTGTATATGGCTCTTTCAACTTGTGTAAATGCACATTTACAGCACACTTCAAAGAAGCACGACAGGTGATGTATCAGTTCTTAATACCCCAATGTTCTGATATCGCAACATCAGGACATTCTGCTGACATAAAAACTGCACTGAAAATTTAGCAAAAGGCATATGTATGAACATATAAAAATCTTTTTAATTAAGTTTTAAGTTTGCCTAGGAATAAAGGCACAAGCAAACAAAATCACACCTGTGCTTCCTTGCATTGGCTGGTTTCTCTTCTCTGTACTGCACGAGTGCAATGTAGGAAAGCATGCTTCACACAACCTCTCGAAAGATTGGCGGGGTAATGGGCAGGGAGGGCTGCTAGAGACGTTCAACACCACCGTCAAAGACAGTTTCACCAGCTCACATTCTGATTGTAAGTGTATGGAATGGTAGCCTATAAGATTGGTCCATGGAGATGCTGATCATTTTAATACTTACTCTTTAATATAAGCCAGGTCTGTGCAAGAGAACATACCATCAGACAATTCAATGTATCATTCTTTTTCTTTTTCATGGTTTCAAGGAGGGAACACTACCCAGAAATGGTTCATCAGTACAAGAGGCAAAACAAGCTGCCCGATGACGTACCAATGGCTCTCATTCAAAAACTGACATGAATTCAAATGAACGGTTGCTTCGACTTAAACGTTATAAAGCAGAATAGATCCACTCCACCAGAAGCGCAGCTGTGCCGCACAAGATCAAAAAGAATGTAACAACAGCTTATATGGGTCGCCAGAGTCAAAACAACAGACAATCTGGCTGTGCAAAGCTGAGAGGGAAACCAAGCAAAAGCCACCTACCAAGAATGGGCCACAGCAGACAAGGAAACAACTACAACACTGCAAAATAAGTAAAGGCTGTTTCACACACTTGCATTTGCTTACGATTGAGTTCCCGCGAGCTCTTACGACGAGAAAACATGCTGGTGCCACCTATGAGGCGGCCCTGGAACCGCATTCTTCACGAGAGCGAAGGCTTTGCAGTATTTGCGAGATCAAATGCAGATAACTATTTATAAGAAATCGCCGTTTAGAGGACTGTGAGAAATTTTTTGAGCCAATAAAAAGACAATGATGCGTGAAAAAAGTAGGAAAAATACGGAAATCCCAAGCGTTTTACAATAATGTCATGAATCCAAGCGTTTTACGGCAACTCAATAGATGGTGCCAGTCTGTTCTCTCGTCGTAAGAGATCACGAGAGCTCTTAAGACACTCAGTCGCGAGCAGTAGCAGGAGTGTGAACCAGCCTTAAAAACACTGCTTATACATCATACAAGACACAGTTTGCATAGGGATTCGAACGCGAGTCACCGCGAGATCGGTGCTTCGAATGCAGCGTGGCAATGAGTTCAAGAAGAAACTTGGCACGCGGCATTCGAACCACGGATATTCCGCTGACTCGTGTTTGCAGACTGTCTTTTCTATGATGTATGAGCAATGTGACCCCAGCTTTAGACCGTTCCACCGAAATCAGGTGGCAGTTGCCGCTTCCTGCATTCTCCGATCTCGTTGAGATACGGCCCGGCATTAGGGCTTCGAGGGACGTCTCCGAGGCTTCGGCGGAGGGAAAGAAAAAGGAGAGGAGAGGGAAAGGGCGCTGCTCACTGTTGGTGGCCTCCATGGCGCGTGCGGCCCTCGCCCTGGCTTCGTCCAGGAGCTCCTCGAGAAGCACCATCTCCCCGCGGCGGCTGCTCATGCCCCGTATGCGACCGAACGGGACATGCTGAAGGGAGCTTGTTGCCGGGACCAGAAACCAAAAGGAAGGAGACCATGGGAAACAAACTCCATTGCAAAGTCCCCAGTTTTGTTTTGTTACGAGGACTCGCTCAAAAATTTGCATACAGTTTAATGACAATCTCGGAGATTTCTGGCAAGGGTTCCGTTAAATCGGGTTTGGTAAAAAGGAGTACAATGAAAAGGTATACTAATTTTGTACTTGTACGAACCAAAAAATTACACTTAGATTATACATGGTAACTCTAGAGCGAGGAAACAAAAAGGGACGGACAGGGTTACCATGTCGATCCTCTAAAAGACCCATGCAAAGGAAAAAACATGTTTTTAAAGGAGTACAGAAACGAAAATTGAAATATTCAAATTTCGTTTGGAGATGAGTCAAGCATGACGGATGGTAACCATAAATAATCGCACGTTTGTGTTTTGAACGAATGGCTATATTTTTGTTCCAAACGGTGCACTCAAGCAAGCGCTCGAAGAGAAGCGAACAGAGAGTGCGATGCGTCATGGGATATCCAGCGCAAACAAAAACAGAAAGAAAAGATTCCCCACATTCGTGACGTTGCAAGGCTGGTATGGTTATGAGCTTTGCCGTTGGTGGTGTTGTCAGCGTTGTGGTGGTGTCAATAGCGTCAACGCGTTACAACCAAGCCATTCGAAGTACCTGTGAAGTGACGAACCTGTGGCTGGCCCAGGGAGCACGTAGCTTCCACAGCACTGTCAGCTTAGGGGTGAACGTGAGAAAAAAAATTTTTTTTAAAGGAGTACGGAAACAAAAATTGAAATATTCAAATTTCGTTTAGAAATGAGTCAAGCATGACGGATAGTAAGCGTAAATAATCGCACGTAAATAATCGCCACGCTCAGCATGTGGCGGCGGCGTGACTTTGCGATGACGCACAGGTCTACTACGTGACCTCTGGCAGCCACCGCGGGCGCCAACTACTAACTCATCTCGCGCCGTAAATATAGCTCTAAGAATTTGTTTGTTTTTTTAGTTGTAAATTTGTTTGACTCTTTTCATCTAGGCTGTTTAAAAAAAAATTTTTTCCCCTTTGCATGTGTCCTTTAAAAAGAAACTGAAGCGGTTCTTTATCTGAGGAAAAACACCTAAATCGTCTTCATATGGCCTCCAGGATCACAAATATCAAAAATATTCTTTAATTTGGTGCACGGAAGCTGCAGAAAATAATTTTCGAAGTACCGCTGAAGCCCCTTCTTCCCGAAGCATGACATCACATTAGGAATTTTTGCATCTCTGCTCTCGCACATCTTCAGCACCTATCAAGGCTATGCATGCTCACTCTTGCTATTTTCATAAAGGTCAGAAAACAATATCACGACTAGGGTCAGTGCGGGGGACATATTTGGCAAGCTTGCAATTCCACACGCTGCCCGCAATGGCAACACGCACTTGGTGGCCGAAAGATCCTGGTATGATGTCACGACTGGTCGGAGGTTTTTCGTGTTTTCTTGTGTTTCGTTGTATCTTCGGAAAAAACAAACGAGATACAGTAGACTCTCATTATTTCAGACTCCAGGTTGCCACAAATTTAGTTTCAATTATAAGAAATTCATCTAAATATGATGCAAGGTAAAAGTATAATTTGCCATATGAAGGGCTACACATACAAAGCAGATATTTTATAATTTCCTCTACATAGGCCTACTGATCATAAGCAGGTATGCCACACAAGAAGCCTTTTTGAAATGAATGACAACTTTATTGATCCCTCAAAAATGTTGTTTATCGTGGACTGTTCAGACAGCACGACAGCTCAAAACAAAATTAAGTTTGTTCATCAGGTCAAGAAACTGTCTAATGTAAACTTAGTGCGCGGCAGTTTTCATAGCAACTTACATGGACGCTGTGACGTGGACCGATGCCATGCCGCCACGTCACAGCGTCCGCGCAAGCTGCTGCAAAAATTTCCGCGTGGTATCTGTTTTCGAGCTGTGTGCCCTGCCTGTGCCCCGTTGAGTGCGCTACTCGCCAAGCACCGGTGCACTGCGGAAAAGAAACACCCGCGGAAACGAGCTCTGCGAATGTTGCTTCTCTGCAGTGCACTGGTGCTCAGAAAGAAGCGCACTCAACTGGGCCGCGGGAACAAAAAGTATTAATTTTACGAAAACGCCGTTCGAATTAAGCGGCTTATGAATGCATTAAAAACATAGCTGGACAACCTAAATTTTGAAATTAGTTTGAATTAAGAAGTACAAAATATCCGACTTTGAATTATTGCCAGCCTACGGTATTCAGATTCGCCTGACTACTTGCTTCAACTAAGATTATGTTTAGCATATTTTCAATATAGATCGAGGGCATTTACGAAAAAAACAACAACGGTGTTTTGCAATCTGGGTAGATAAACTATGCATCGCAGAAAGCTCGACCTTCGTAAGAATGTGAAGCCAGAGGTTGGGGTAAAACGCGAAAGTTTGAGAGCATGACATTACATTTATCAGAACATAATTGAGAAAGGCGAAATTTCTCTATGGGCCAACGTTTCCCTTAGCCTAATATTATCAAAATAAATGACATTGTGGGCACCTGTAGCATTTATTTCAATAGAAAACTTGTCAGCAAAGAAAAACAACATTCCTCTTCTTGCTGACAAGTGTTTTTCACCGATATAGATCCCACATGCATCCACAACGTCAGTTTTTGTTTTGACAATGTCAGGCTTAGGTAGACAATGGCTCATAGGAAAATTTTGTCTTTCTCAATTATCTTCCGATTTTCGTAACATCATGTTCTCAAACTTTTGTGTTTTATCCTAACCGCTAGCATCACATTCACAGAAAGTTTTAGCTTTCGGCGATACACAGTTTAGTTACCCATGCCGAAAAGCACGGATTCTTTTTTCTCTGGAGTGCCCTGTACTTTAGTGTACTTTATATTTTAGCAGTGCACTACATGCACTGACCCAATCTAGCAACCAAGATGTGCATATTGAAAGTACTTAATGTAGACACTTTTCAGTGGCTATGCATGCCTGCAGCCATAATTGACCCTCACAATTTGTTTCCTTCGATTCAGTTCGCTTCATTACATTATAGTTGTCACACGAACTTACTGAACTTTCAAAAAGCATCCTGTTCTTGTCCCCAGTGCAGTCTTTGTGTGAATTCATCAGTACCAATTTCAGTGGCTGGGCATCTCAATAAAACAACAAAACAGTTTTCGTTTTTTTTTTTTTTTTAAGGTGGAGTTATAGGATGAGGGAAGGAGATAAGAAAAGACAACCAATCGCTGGTCTCACCCAAAATAAGTAACCAACTAGCTTAGCTCATTCCCTTTGTAGGTCAGTTATAGCGGCTGTATTCTGGCGCGCGGAAAAAAGGTTCTAGATTATTCGTAAACTAAAAATATACTTCGAGTATACTTTGAAAAGTGTTTCATGAAAGTGCAAAATTAGTATACCTTTAGTGTGTTACTTTTTACCATGGGTACATCATTTAAGTATTCATTATATCACTTATAAAGGCCCTTTTTCGAGGGGGTACATCCCATTTTTCTTGCTGACTGCCAACCACTCAGTTGACAATGTTTTGCGGTGACGGTTGCCGTGAAGAAAATCATAGTTGCATTAATCGGCTATGCGCACTCTACTTTTTGCTGAGACTAGACTAGTGAGAGCAGACCTCCACAGGTTCTAAAGGGACTGCAATGTAGTACTAAACACTTTTGTTTTACACAACCGGAAACTGCCCTGCTCTTTCTGCTTTCCCTCTTCCGATTATTCGGAGCATAATGGAGCACAAAAATGTCCATTAGATTGGAACGTCACTGGAGACTACAAAATTAGCCCCTACCATAGGATAGCGACAACTGCAGCATACCAATTTTAATGCTGATAAGAACATACATGACATGACAGAATGGATGGCAGTGTTAACAGCACACTTCAGCTTATAAGCAGTCAACGAACCAAAAAGTTTAATTGATTTTAAAAGAACATGTCACAGATCATTTATGTGCAAAAAAATCCTCGATTCCCAGTACCAGCCATCAGTGTAAGACATAAATAATCACTGATTCATCTATTGTACAACCTTAAAAATATGGTTTCAATATGTATCTATTCGGATGATATGGGAACAGCTGCTGCAACCAAAAACAAAAACTTTATTCCAAATCAATATTTTTTTTTATTACTTCTGTAAAGGGCTGTGCAATCCTTCATGCAGTAATGCTGAGAGACGCCATTCCTGTCTGGGCTAAAACTTCCCTGGACTGACAGACAAAATTCCATGCGTCACCATTGCACATATACCCAGTTATCTGTTACTGAGATCATCTCCTTTCTGATGCTCCCCTTTGTGTCACCAGATAAGTGTGGAGTTCTAGGAAAAACAAGATAAGCTGCAGAGTTAAGCAACTCTCTCTCCAGATAACGAGAGGGGGCAGGGTTGGCTATCTCTGACACAGTCCCCAGTCTGTTCATATCTTAGCTAGCAACAAAGGCACTCAGTTAGCACAAATTATTTGCGCTTTTCTATTTCCCTTGGTCTCTCTTTAGTGTTGTGGCGGAAACCTGCCCTATCTCCGTAGGACTCTGATAGCCAAAAAAAAGCCAAACATGCAACAACTGGCCAGAGCAAGAGTGACAAGAGCAAGAGTGATGTGCCTAGGAGAAGTGTACGGCTGGCACAAGACTTCCAATATAAAAAGCGTTCACGGGCAAACAATGTTATCCAAGTACAAGTGTGTCGATAAGTAAATAAGCTCCGGGAAGACAACTGTGGAGTATGCCCGATATCTCGGACCCCTGACTGCGGTGGCACTTTCTACTCGGGCTAATTCCCAGACCAGACACAGACCTTGCCCAGGAGTGACCGAGCTCGCCCAGCACACGACGCAGAGACTGGAAGTGTCCAGCCTGCGACCGGTCAACCTAGGAAAAATGGCAAGAGCAGTGATGCACAACAAAGTGACAAACCAAAACAAGCCAGCAGCTAACTGTTCGAAGTGCAGCACAACCAACATAAAAAACAACAACAATAGTTTGCCATATTGAAGTGGAAAAAACAGTCCAAAAGACGGTTGATAAGTAGAAGTTTACACACACAGCGCTGTGTGAATGTACTACGTCTACTTGTCCACTGTCCTTTGCACTGTTTCTTCCACTTTAATATGTCAAACCAACTAGCCGAACTCCACGCTTTATTAAAGGGGCCCTGCAATCATATTTAAGCGTCTACCTTTTTCGCGGTTTCCACGTCTCTTGGGGTTCGGGCAAGCCAGTGGGCACAGAGAGAGTAACTAAATATCAGTGAGTCATATTTTAACTGGACAACGCGGAAACTTCCTCCACTTACGACGGCGACCCACGTTGCCGAAAGCGCACAATATGTGACGTCTTTGGTCCTGGGCTTACTATTGGTCAAAGCCGCTAAAAGCTTTTTTTTAGTTGAGATACAAAATCTAAGTGTCGCAAACCGTTTCAATTATGTGTGAAAGTAGATTTTGTTCACTATTTTAGATCAGAAAAGAAACAAATGCAGTTTATAAAGTACGAAAACAAGAAAAGACCCGTCGACAAACCCGCCACCAAGCGGCGGAAGAAATGGCGCATACCAGAAAGGGCTAGTGGGATGGGGCTCCGACAAACGGCGAGCGCAGAAAGGTCCCGGATGAATGCGGCGGCGCTGCGGTCGTATACCGGCTCGAGGACCCCACCGGTTCCGAGCGTTCCGAAGGTTTTCGGCGCGGGCTTGGCTGGCAGATTGGCCATTTGGCGGTATGGCAGCGCGAAGTGGCTCCCCTTCTAAACTGATCTTTACCCAGTGTTTGCTGTCGTTTGTGGCCAATGAAGTGTCATGCCGAATTAGTCTTTAATCGCGCAGCAAATGCAATGCAAGCCGCCCTGGCCGCCCGCTTCATACAGCCTATCCAGAACGTGCTTTAGTGGCACCCTCTCAAGCCGTTGACACGGAGTGCGGCAGCCATAAGCACTCGATGAGCTCACTACCCCTCCCCTACTTCACGGCCACTCAAGCCAGGACCTACAACGTCATGAAGGAGGTTATTATTTGCTTGTTTTTGTAATTCTAATTTGCCTATAACTTTTAAAATAAAGCAAAATTTGAGAAAAGAAAAGTTTTTTTAAGTTACTACGTTCAGTGCGCTCAGGTTCAGTGCAAATTAAAAACCACTCAAAAAGTTGTTGCAGGGCCCCTTTAAGAGCTTGTCCTGAAAATGGTGACAATGTTTAGTGAGACAGAGTGCCAATGAGAAACTTGGCCCGCCAAGCAGGTCGCCGTGATGTCACAGAGAGAGCTCGCTTACGATACTAACAATGTAACCCTGAGACAAGGGTAAATTAAGAAGGGACCAGTACAACACCATCTCATTGGAGATGGTATTGCTGTCCCATTTATAAGTAATTAAAACAATCTGATCACCTCGAGCACATGCAGGAAACGCGAGACTATCAAGCTGTGATAACCAAGAAGTATAATCGATAAGATTAGAACAAGATTTTCGTGTCATCCAGTCGGACAAAATTAAGCAAAAAATTGTCGAGGACTTCAGAGTAAGTAGTTTAATTTAATTAATGAAATTTTTTTGTTTCATCCTACGTTTTTGTCACAATTCAGCACTTAGTGCACTCACCACATAGTAGGCCACGTCGAAGTTATACCGGTTTTTCCGATCCACAGCGGCGACCACGTCCCTGATGAAAGAAAAACACCGCAGACATTTTTACATTTCCCCAACATTCTCTAGACATACTATTTTACAGTGGTAGTTGTTAGTACCCCTTTCGGCGAAAAAAATGCTCATGTATGAACGCAAATCCCCAATCTACAGCAGGGGCTTTGTTCTCTCTCCCTCCATTGTCCCTCGCACATACACACCAACTGGGGCAAGGTTCTCTCTTGCTCTCCCCCCTTCCCCCCTGTAGGCCCCCGCTGTTTTGGAAAATTCACGTGATCATGGCAAGAGCGCTCTCTGCTTTCAGATCGTTCCTGCTACACCCACATACCCTCTGGCGACGCTGTACCTTCCTTCGCCCCCACCCCTCTGGCAGCCGCTGTTGCGAAATGGTCATGTGGTCGCGCTGTGCAGACATGCACCCCTACAGAACAGCTTGCGTAGATACTTTCGCTTCTTCCACAGTAGGTGCGGTCACGGGGGGAGCAAGAGAGAGCCTTGATCCCTCAGTGACTTTTCTGGGCTTTCTGAAAGAGCATTTCAGCCCCCCTAAAAAGCATATTTTATATGCAAAAAGCATATAAAAAGCACATAAGCAGTTGATGCAGGAGATGTGTGCTTTGGTGGAACAATTGTGCGGGATTTTGGTCGTGTATCCTTCTCTAACACGACCAAAATCCCGCACAATTGTTCCACCAAAGCACATATCTCCTGCATCAACTCCACTGAAAGCAAAGAACCGATTGCAAACATTGCACAGCATACTGGCTGAAGGCAAATCTCCTTCAACATGCCTTTTCACAATGCAGCCGCTACTGCTGTCAATCGCAGCACGCTTTATGTGGTCGTTTTCTTATTCATTAATACTCTAGAACACTCGTCGCAAAAGAGCAGTGAAGTTTACATATGTACTAAAGACGCAAAATATGACATACGCTCCAGAGATGCCCAACGTGGGCTAATACCCAGAGCATAAAGGGTGAGTAAACCCTCGGAAAACACAACTAAGCAGCACCATCATTTAATTCGTATCACAAACTACTAGGACTCGCCTCAACCTCAACGGCAATAACGGAAAATATGGGTGGCATCGTTCTGCACTGTTGTTGGCAAACTACCGTAGAATACCGTGCATCCTCCCATTCCACACTAAGTGTTCATTCCCAAATTTGTAAGATCTGAGAAAATATGCAGAGTACACTTATATGTAAAATTGATGATTGGACAAGCGCCCATCCCCCATTTTTTTGCGATTATCTCCAAATTTTGAGAGGCCCGGTATTTTATTCAAGTTCCCTTAAAGGCCCTCGTTGAGGGCATTACATAAGCGGGGGTACATAACACGAGAGTATAAAACAGTAACAACGACATATGCGAATACACGGGGTGCTGCAAAAACAATATGGCATCGCCACGAGCTACGGCAATACACAAATTAGTCTGGGTACATGGGGAGCGTAAGGGGATGAAAACATTGATACATGGCAACCAGCAAAGCACAAGACAAACCAATAGAAAGGCACAGTGGGACTAACAGAAATGAGCACAAAGAGCGTTGCGAAATGCGGTGGGATTCGTCTGGGTCACAATAAGTGAGGGGAGGTCGTTCCAGTCTACAATAGTACGAGGGAAGAAGGAGGAGTTAAAATAGGATGTGCTGCCTGAGATGCGGGAAACGTGACACGGGTGATTTAGCCGCGATGAAGATCGCCTGGGGGGCAGGAGGAGCGGGTCTCGCAGCGCAGGGAGGTAGTAGTAAATTTTGTGAAAGAGACAGAGTCGCGCTATCTTACGGCGGACGTTTAGTAAAGGAAGGTTCAGTTCGCTTTTTAGGGCGGATACACTAACCGACCAATCGTATTTCTTCAAAATAAACCTGGCAGCGCGGTTCTGGACTGCCTCGAGATGATTTAATAAGTATATTTGGTGAGGGCTCCAAATGGCCGCAGCATATTCCAATTTGGGTCGAATGTATGTCTCATAAGCCAATTTTCGCACGAATGGGGGAGCCGATTTCAGGTTTCGTCTTATGTAACCGAGGCAGCGAGACGCCTCGGCGCATATAAGTTCGATGTGAGCGTTCCAGGTAAGATCGTTAGTTAGAGTCAGACCGAGGTATTTATAGGACGGGACGTCTTCTACTAAGTTATTTTCTAACTTGTACGAGAACTGAGATCCTTGCCGTTTTCGGGAAAACTGGACTAACTTGCATTTAGATTTGTTTAGCGTCATTAACCACCTGGTGCACCATGCCTGGATTTCGTCCAGGTCTCTTTGAAGTAAAAGATGGTCTTCAAAAGAAGCTATCCTTCGGTATAGGACGCAGTTGTCAGCGAAAAGGTGGATGTTAGAGGAAATTTTGCCTGGAATGTCATTAATAAAGATCAGAAAAAGTAGGGGACTAAGGACCGAGCCCTGGGGAACTCCCGAAGTAACCTCAGCGCGTGTGGATGAGGAACTATTAATTGTGGTGAATTGAGTGCGAGAGGAGAGGAAATCCTGGATCCAGGAGAGAATGAGAGGGTCAATTCCGAGGCACGAAAGTTTGGCAAGCAGGCGACAATGAGCAACGCGGTCGAAAGCCTTTGAAAAGTCTAAAAATAGGGCATCAGTTTGGTGGTTGAATTCAAAATTAGTGTATAACTCGTGGGTGAATTCTATGAGTTGCGTCTCACAAGACAGTCCCTTACGAAAACCGTGTTGCTTGTTGTAAAAGAAGTTATTGCTCTCAAGATGAGATACAACGTTTGAGTAGATAATATGCTCTAGGAGTTTTGAGGCTACGCAGGTTAGAGATATAGGGTGGTAATTCGAAGCCGAAGAACGATCCCCATTTTTAAAGACCGGAACGACCTTACCCAGTTTCCAGTCGGATGGTAGGCATCCCTGCGATAAGGACTGCGAGAATATTAAGTAGAGAAATTCACTGGATATTGCTTTGGTGTAATGAAGAATTTTGGGGGTGATGTCGTCAGGTCCTCCAAAGAATGTCAATTTCAAGTTGTCAAGGAGTTTCGCTATTCCAGCGCATGAGATGTCAATAGGTTCCATTGACTCGTACGGTAATGCTGCCAATATAGGGACGTCGGCGTCTTCTAATGCGAACACAGACGAAAAATAGTCATTTAATACTGTGGCACAGTCCGCTTCAGATATCGGGAACCCGTCCTCGTCGGTTAGCTGGATAGAGGAGGAGCGAGAGTTGGGGGATATTATCTTCCAGAATTTTTTAGGGTTGTTACGCAGGATACCAAAAAGAACCTCAAAAAAGAACTTGTGTTTAGCCAGCCAAAGGTTCTGAGTGTAGGTCTTAGGGCACAAAAAGTATGCATCCCAGGCAGCGTCGCAGTCTAGATGCCTTGCTCTTCTAAACAATCGCTTTTTTTTATTGTTGAGGGACCTTAATGCTTTGTTATACCATGGGTTGCAATCATCGCTCCGTATATGTACAGAGGGTACGAACAGGTCAACGAGATTATTTAACTTGTTCTTAAAAAGTAACCAGTTCTGTTCTACGGTCCTAGAGTAAAAACTGGTGGTATACAAAGGAAGATATGCAGAAAGATTGCTGTTCATTGCGTCGAAATTGGCTTTGGAGTAGTCCTTGATCATTTTTGAGGATGGGTTTCTATAATGGATGGGTAAGAATAACTCCACGGTCAGCAGATTGTGGTCGCTAAAACCTTTCCTTTGGCAAATAGATGTCACCAGGTCTGGGGACGTCGTTAGAATAAGATCAAGGATGTTGTCTTCACGTGTAGGTTTGTCGACGACTTGGGTGAGATTATGGTTTAAGCATAGATCGAGAAAATCCCTGGCTTCACTGGACCCACTAGTTGTTAGATGTTAGACTAAACCAATCTATGTTAGGGAAGTTAAAGTCGCCAAAGACTAAGACATTTGATCTTAGGTACCGCTCATTGATTTCAAGCAGCAGAGAATGAAGCTCGTGGCAAAACATGCCGCTATTATTCGGAGGTCGGTAGCAGACACCGATAATAGTTTTTGTGCAGGACGATGTAACACAAACAAAAGTAGCCTCGATATTGGAGCTGGTAGTAATATGAAAGGAAGAAATGCATTTTTTTACCGCTATTAGCACACCACCTCCTCTCTGTGCGGACCGATCACATCGGTAAATATTAAACATTAAGTTAGGGGGGAAATGTGTTAGTTTGCACTGCAGCATAATTTCTCCGCGTAAGTGAAAACTTGCTTTTCACTTCAAATGCGCTGTTTGGAAAAAGCCAAGTGCAAATAGACATGATTTCTTTTCCCCCACACGAAAGCAAAACCTGAATTGGAAAAGTTTAGTCAAACTTTAAAAAAAAAGTTACATCATGAAAAGAAAAAAGGGATACAAGACTGATGTGGTTTTTTTCTCTCTCTTTCTCCTATGATCTGGCTCCTCGCAAAAAGACCGAATGTTTTCAAATCAAATATTGCATAGCCTCTCCAAGTCTTTCACTACCGCGTGCCATGCTAATACAAAAAACAGCTGAACTTGTGCAGGTAATTGTCTACTTCTACGCTCAATTTTTTTATTTATTTATTTCTGAATACTGTTCACCCCAAGTACGGGCCTTTAGCAGGTGTGGGGGATAGGAGAACATTGAAACATACATCAGGAATACAATCCAGTAAACATTCAGCGACGTCTACTTAAAATAAAGCGGCTGAAATAGAACAAACATTCAATATATTATCTAGCACTGAACAAGATTAATTCTCAGCACTCAACATCCACTACTTAGCAAAAATATTAGAACTACTATGTATCAGTCCATCTTACACATATTCAGAAGGGCGCTCTCAAATTCATCTAAACAATCCGATGACAAAATATTTTGTGGGAGATTATTCCAATCTTTTACAGTTCTAGGAAAAAGAGAAAACTTGTAAGCATGAATATTCCATTTGGGCACTTCAAACAGTTAATTTTAATATAGCTATATTTATGAACTATGACATTTGAACAACAAAATTGCCACAGTTATCTTAATCGGATAATTTATGAATCTGCTTGTCATATGCAAATATTCTTTCTTTGATTTTAGATCTGACAAAAAAAAAGAAGGAAGACCAGCGGAGCTGTACTCGATACACTGTGTGCTTCTTCTTCGTTGTTGTCTGTTTTTCACGATGTTTCCTATGATGAATTCCCGCCAACACGCCCAACTATCCATTCTTCTACTATAGCTGGCAAGGTTGCCGCCATCTACGAGCGACGGCGGAAACCATACCCGTTGTGTGCTTGCCGCCGTCGCTCATAGATGGCGGTAGCTGTCCAGGTAGGTTCGTGTCGACATACACGGACACGATACTGGGGAACCTAGCCCTTAACAGCTCCACTGTAAAAAAGTGTGAATCATGAGTGTGGGTTGTGAAGACATCGCAGCCTAAAGGCCCGTTCACACTCTTGCGACCGAGTACGACTGAGAGAGACGAGATCTCTTACAACTTCTTAAATGTTTCTAGAATGAGGGAACACACTGACATTGTGGCGCCATCTATGCGGTGACCCTAGAACTGCATTTCACAAAAGCGAAGGTTTTGCGGGATTTCCGAGGTCAAATGTGCATAATACCCATAGAAAGACTCGTTTATAACATTGACAAAAGCTTTTCGAGCCAAAAAAGAAAGGATATTGCGCGAGAAATAAAAAAAAAATAGGCCGGACCGCCGAGTTTACACTGCTTCCCAATAGATGGCGCCAGTGTGTTCCCTGGTTTAAGAAGTTTTAAGGAACCCAGGTTTAAGAGGTCGCAAGCAGTCGCAAGAGTGTGAACGGGCCTTAACACATGCTCTTGCATAATTGCGGCGGGTTAACCCTGTTGAGAGCGCACCTCACCGAGCACCTGTGCACTGCGGGGAAGCAAGACTCAAGGAACCCACAGGCTCCTGGGGTGTTGCTTCCCCGCAGTGCACCGGTGCTTGTTAAAGAGCACACTTAACAGAGCTAACTTTCCGCGATCAATACTTTAAAAAGTATGGATATTTCAGTTCATCTCGAAGCGAATATTGAATAGCCTATTATTATGAAATACCAATATTTGCACAACACCAGCTTAAGAGAGAAAACTCTGACAACAGCTTATCATTTTTAGCAAAAGCCTGCCCCTGAGGTGAACAGGTGTTATCCTCGGGTGTTATGCTCAATCTTAGACTGTTGTTCAGTTTGAGTAAGGCGCACATCTTGTAGGCACGTGGCTTTTAACCCTTTGAGTGCCACACCCAAGTATACTCAGGCGGATTTCAGGGTGGTTTCAGTTTTTGTTTGCTCTTCGCCCCTCCCAACTAAGCTGTAAACTTCTTTTTTTTTAATGTGTTGCGGCATGTATGAGCAAGTCATGAAAGCAATGTTTTATCTTGTAGCATCACTTTTTGATGGCATGGAATTTTCTTTTTTGTTTAGGTGACTTCTGTTATGCTACACTCCTTCGTTGCTATAGAATGGTGAATTTATGTTGTTCAACCTTGCGCTTCAAGGCGAACAGAGATCTAGAAATTACTAATGAACTCGGTATTCTATGACTGTGAAAACAAGGAAGTTATAATCCAGAATAACCAAAGAACAGTCAAGGCCGTTTAAAAGAGTGACCTCAGGGTGCAAAGTAGAGGTACCACTGAGTGGCATTGTGTCCGGAAAAAGTGTAATAGAAGATATACGTAGATTGGAGCCATGCAGACATCAATTAAATTTTGCCCATAAAAGAGTGTATTTTATTAATAAATGTTCTTGGCAGAGCATGCTGCAGTGTTATTGAGACCAAAATATGCATTCAACATTTGAAAAAAAAAAAGACATTCAAAGGGTTAAAAAGGACCATAAGAAATGCTCCTTCTTATTCCTCCGTCATATTTTAGGATGAAACCTTCTGCAAAGTCAGCGTACTAAACAAGTTCAGGTCTAGCAGCGCACAATGAGAGTCACCTGGTCAGGTAGAGGCTGGACCCATCACTCTTGGCCAGTGGCACAAAGCAGTCCTCCTCTCCCTCCTCGCCTGGAACGTGGATTCCCAGTACCCCGTCCCTGTGCAGACACCAGATCAGAAGCAAGTCAATCATCAAGGAAGTCCTACACATGCATGTGGGCATGTGCAAATAACAACCTTCTCAGGATTGCATTGAATATGAATTTAACGGTGATACCATTCAGAGAATTTCATATCAAGTTTTGGATTCAGCCAGTGCAGACATTCAGGTTAAACTTTTAAGAGAGTACAGAAGATATGTGATGTGCCTGTAAGCGCAGCAAGCAGAAAAAAGAATGCGTCATCTGCTCGTTGCGCTTACTGGGAGATGGAGCTACAGGTTACAACCATCGCTAACTCGGTCACCTGCAAACATGTTTGCCGTTGACCTGGGAGTGTTTGTTGATCTCATTTTCCTTAGAAAGGAGGCTACACCTTGAAATTTCACCAGGTAAAATGCAGCACCTAAGTGCACATTCGGTGAAAGCTTGAGCTTCCTCTGTGATAGCGCCGATTTATTTGGCTCACTTTACAGTGTCAAGATTTACTGTAAAATTCATAGTTTTAGTTGAAACCTTGGTTGTGCCATCAAACAGTTGAGGTCCATATACAACCAGTAACTAAATAGGAGGTTTGACATTAAAATTAAATCTGTAGTGCAGCTCAGCCCCACCTAATCAAGGTTATTTAGAAATCTTCTTGTTATATCCAAGTATGTACAACGACAATGATAATAATACCTGGAGAAAGGGAACAAGGGGGACAAAGGACAAACACAAATCTCCAAATAAAACTAGGTGACTGGTACATGACTGAAAAAATTGGCCTTTTCCTTGTATCGAACCAGGAACCTCTCCATTTCCAGTGGAGCGCTCTACCAACTGAGTTAACCGGGAGTTAGACGTCAGCAGAGCAAACGGGTTTTAATAGCTGCCACCAGTCTAACACCAACTAAAGTGAACAGCCTGCATTTTAAGGTTATGATGATAATGCAATTAATGCAAAGGTGCAAGCTAGCTGGACAAGAATAACAATAATAATCCCTGGAGAAGGGGAACAAAAAACAAACACAAATTTTCAAACACAGCTAGGTGACTGGTGGCAGCTGTTAAAACCCATCTGCTCTACTCACGTCTAACTCCTGGTTAGTTCAGTTGGTAGAGATGCTGTGGTGCTGTGGTGAAGCGATATGCAGGGTTGCAATGTCCACTCAACAATGTCACTTTTTTTTGCAGTGCACAACAGCGTGCTGTGTAGTGTACTCAACGGAGCTAATGAGCCCACTTGAAAACATCACAAACAATGCAGAATATTATGTAACTTTCAAGTTCTGTCAGTGATTGATATTAAAGGGCAACTCCGCTCAATTCCGAAAAATTTAGGCTTACATGTGATTCCAATTCACAAAGCACTACTAAACAACTCTACGTCTTCGGATTCGCGAAATGTGAAATATTATTTGTGTAATCCTAATTTAAACACCAGCTGATACCGAAACCGAAACTTCGGTTGCGTCAGGCAACATTGGTCTCGTGTGGTCAGAGTCATGGGCACGTCACGCCGAACCACGTGGTCTTGTGACGTTCGGGAGGGGGGCGAGGGACAGGACACGCGACGCGCGCAGGTCGCTTCGCATGGCGTGGACGATGACGGCCCGGGTGAGAGGGAGAAGGGGAGAAGACGAAAGAGAAAGGGAGCGGAGAAACAGACCGATAAGCGCGCAGGGCAGCGCAAACTAGCGCATCCGCGTTGCGGTGACCACGTGAACGCCCGGTCAGCCAACACCGGGAGGGGAAACTCATGACATCATTGTTCAATTTCGCTCTGAGAAGTAAAAACAAACAAAACGTGAGAATGACGTACACATGCCTCTGACGTAGTGGCTCAACGTTTGCCGCTCCAACTCCGTCGCATTGACTGCGCTGACGATTGCGCCTCGCGTCGCACGCTAGAGTTGGCAGATTTCGGCGACTTGGCTCACTTGAAGGTTTGCTGGCCAGTTTATTAAATATATAGACGGAATTAGATCGTAGTATTTGACATGGGGTCTTCCTATATGATACTGAAGAGGGCTACATAGTTTTCTAAATATCAAAAATGAAGCGGAGTTGCCCTTTAAGATTGAATTGAATAGCACATTATTTTAAACTATAATCTGAATCTTCGAAAATTCGCACAAGCATACCGTAGCCGTCCTGCAGCATAGAAGGCGTGAGTTATTAGTTTTAGTATTGAGAAAGTAAAATTAGATTCTGGCATAATTTTTATGCAAATTGGTCTGTTTGGTGAAATGTAGCAGAATGTGGAAGAGTACTTTAATGCGGTTTGACGTAAATGACACAGCAATAACATCACTATAAAGACAACTACAGCCGAACTAAGCACACACACACGCTTGGTGGCACGCAGAAAGCAGCCTAGAGAAAAGAATGCAGCAGGACACCAGTGGTCCCGGACGCCGAGTAATGCTCCGGACGAATGCCTGAATGCCCGTGGGCGTATCGTCCAAGCTGCCCAAACATTCACCTCCTGTACCCCTTGCCGACTAGAAAAGATCTTGAAAGCTGCAAGGCTACTGTATCGACACAAAAAGTGTGGAACTGTGTAAGCGATCTTTTCCGACTGGACTTCATTTGTGTTTGTAATGTGATGGTTCCTCCCAAGCTCACATTTTTCTCTGTATTATAAATAAGGTATTTTCAAGTACGGCCACTGTTTCAGAATCCCGAGTCTCTTTTCTTTCTTAACACACCAGATCTCAATAGTTGTAAAAGTGTAGTTTTCAAAGTTCGGCATTTAGAGCTTTAATCAATTCGGCCCCTTCACTTCTACACAAGTGAATTGCTGCACATGCAAGGTGTTTGGCAGATGGTCCTCCCTAAGGTTGACCTAACTCACTCTCTTGACTGGAGTCTTGACTCCGTGCGCAGACGATCCAAGAGTTCGAGGGCCGCCTTGCTGTAGTTTGACTCACCATCAATAACGTCGAACGTCACTCCTAGCCTCTGGTGTGAAAAAGGTAAATTGCCTGCATTCCATTAGCCAGCAAGCACTCGGCTCACAAGCTTGCAATCTCCACAAAGGGTACCTTATCTGCTATGGCTATCAATGTTCACTTTATTGTTAATAACTTAAGAGATGGCCCACCTAAACTCGAAGGCAAATTAGGTGACACTAAGGAGTAAGCTAACTTTTTGGTGCGTGATAGAAGAAGTTTAAAGAATGCTTGTGTGACCTGCAAAGGCTTATGATCGCAGGCAGGGGCAACGAACCAAAGACGACCGTCCTACCTAGTCAGCAATGTTCGCTTATCTCCCGTTGTAGCTAAAGAACACCGTTTCTGCCGAGGTCACCACCGGCCAGGGCCCTGCAATTACTAGAAATGGACCATCTTTCGGTGTTCTTGAAAAAATAGCAAATCTTGCCAAAAATAGGAGTGGGTTACCTTTCGGGGGTGGGGCATCTTTTAAGATATTACAGTTTTACCATTTTTTTTTTCTTTTTCAAAACAAACGTTTTAGCAAACATTATGAATGCATGCTGCAGTTCTACATTTTCAATTGACTAATATTGGTCTTGAGTGATTGATTGATTGGTTTGTGTTTTGCTTTGATTGATTTGGTTGAGAATTTATTGTTTTATGTTCTTTCTTCAGGGACTCTCCTGTTCTTGTTTTTTCGCCTCAAAATATTGTTGCTGTTTTGTTTTTTTTTTCACTTCTGGGGCTCTAAACTTGTCAAACACAAAGTTGGGGCCGAAGCTCATGGAGCGCACTGATTGGACTATCACGGCGATGACTTCGCACTTTAGCCGCCGGCGTTCAGACGGCATTCAAACGCCATTCAAACGGCACGCTACACAAACTTTCGGCTCCGAATTTGTGTTTGGCAGGTTAAGACCCCTGTAAAGATTTTTTTTTTTTTTTTAAATGATTTTTAAGGTAATAAATTAATAAATAAATATTGCATAACCGAGTTTTGTAAGGAGAAAATTAGACCAACATAAATACAACCTTTGAACTGCTGTTGCAAAAGAAAAGTAAAAAAAAATGCTGTCTGCTCAACAGACAAGTCTGTATGTGAACATTTTAAGTTTATACAGGTGCTTACAAAATCTAACCAACTGTCTATTACTCCATTGCTTGAATGTTAACTGTAATCTAATGCAACCACAACGAGGGCCACCAGTAGGAAACAACAAATCAGTCAGCTGTGGAAATTGTTATAGTAGCAAGTTAGTAGGAGTAGTGGTACCTTGTAGAGCTCTGTGTAGTTGACAATGCTGAGCTCTCTGAAAAGTTTCCACTGAGAAACAACAACCTTGTTGCCTGAAACACAAAACAAAAAAGGCTCCAATATTTATTATGCAGTCCATTTAGTAAATGGAACACAACAGGCAAAAACTATCCACGTTCAAATGAACGGATGTTAGAGAAGAAATAAGTGTCACCTGATTCCAAGTCGGAGAACTGTCTCAGTGCTTCGGCACGAAACGCAGGATTTTGTTCTGCCTCGGCGTTTGATTCAACATAAATCTGGGTAAAAAAGAAAATCGTAAGTGCTTGTGCATAACATTTGCCATGCATCCAAGCACAGGTGCCTAAGATTGCTAACCTTCAAGAGATGTTTCAGAGGATTTTTTTCAAGTTCCGCCTGGTTTCCAAATTTTCTAAAGCCACAACTTAGGATGCCTGGTTGGGGGAAAGGAGGAAAATAATGTTGTGATCTGGTTGTAAGCAATTACTGCTTGTTCCAAGAACGTAGTATTTTATTAGGAGAACAAGTTAGTGCAAAGAGACATACTCAATAAAAAGCATCAAAATGTGCTTCTTAGTTACAAACAAACCCAGGAAATTTTAACCATATAACAAACTGTACCCGGTTAAGTATCAGCCTCACATTATGCTTGTCAACCGCAACTGACTACACAGTAAAACTGTTGACACACGACAGAAGCTGGATTTACCATGCCACCAATGGCTCACAACATTTCTTGCACATTAGGACTTAGTCAATGAGAATACTCTGTGATAGCCAGCAGGTTTGATTCAAATCACAAAGACATGTCTCCAGGTTCCATTATTTCAAGGAAGGGTTTTGAACTGAAGTAATGACCCCAGCTTGTTACAGGGTAGGAAAAAGTACCGAATTAAAACAAGAGACCATTGGGTGTACAACATACCAAACTGTGTTCCCCAGTCACCGAGGTAATTTATCCTTGTCACGTCATCCCCCACAAATTGGTGCAAGTTGCAGAGAACGTTGCCGATGATGGTCGACCTTAGGTGTCCCACATGGAAGGGTTTGGCAATGTTGGGTGAGCTGCAGGCATGGACAAAAATATTAGACGACAGTCATGAAACAGAACCTTTAAAGACATGATTCAATATCAGTTAGGCATGCACATATTCAGTGTTACCACGCTAAAAGCTACCATTATAATAGGACAAAAGTCATCTAGAACCTCGCCCGGTCCAATTATATGTGGAATTAATATTTACAATTAACACCCTGACAGTTTCAGGTATTTAGAAGTGCTGCAACATATTTGTAAAGCAAAGCTTGTCAGCACTGTAAAGCTATGTATACCAAAGTTGTTGGTAAGTTTACGAGTACCTAAAGTCAGCTATCACTCGACGGCGAGGTAGGTTCGAGAGCAGGCCGCTCCGTTTCACAAAGTCACCTTCGATTGCCACTGCTGATCGCAGTGTATCCTGGAACCAAAAAAAAAACAGCCCACAAAAAACAATTAGCCGTAACTTTAACAGATATAAAATGCACAAAATAGCAGGAAGAGAGTTTTGTGCGTTCCATACCTTTACAAAATCTTTAACCTCCAAATTGACGGCGATAGTGTCTCCCCCCGATCCGAGCTCGATGGGGAACTAAAGGGCACAGGGGACCGTGAAAGAGAAACTGATGGTCGAGAACCGTATGATCCTTATCTTCCGCGCGCGATTATGACGTCACGAGTTTCCTGGTATGACGGCACAGGGTTCCCAGACGGCTATTGGCTCAACAGAAGATCTACATTAGGGGTGTCGCGAACCGGCCGAGGTTCGAGTTCGACCAGGTTAGACTTTTTCGAACCTTTTGCGGAAATTTCGACGAACCTTGTATTGAGGTTCAACTCGTGTGCGCATGCGCGACAACCTGGACAGTTGGCTTCAGATTGGATGGTAATGGCTAAAGGATGAATTAAGGGCACCGCTGATTGGTTATTTCAGTTAATACAGTACAAAACAATTAAGTTATTAACGTCTTCAGTGACTAAAATTGGTTTCTTTTAATTGCAACTGTTCATAAAATAAAATAACCCTTTGCATAAAAATAAATTCTCCAAACCTAGACATACGTGTATCAAGGTCTGGCCACACTGTCCGCAAAGTCGAACCGGTCGAATCTGGTGAAAAGGTCGAAGGTTCGTCGAACCGGTTCGAGTCGAACCGGTTCGACCCAGTCGAACCCCGAAAGTTCGACCTAAAAATCCGGTTCGACAAAAGTTCGCGACACCCCTGATCTACATACGCTTCATAAGCGTAAAGTGTCTTTTCTGAGCGCTAGATAGCCAAAGCGAAAAATGAATCCTTTCATCGTCTTTTTGAAAGAATAGGACGGAGGCACTTACGTCCGAGTTCAGGTCGGACTTGAGTCGCTTCCAAAGTGCGTCGCTCTCAATGCCGGTTGCCGACGAGATCGCTTGCAAAGGGACGACGATCTGCGGCACGAATCTTAAACAGCGCAACAAACAAACAAAAAGCCGCCAAGTGTAAACACAAACAAACGAGCGCACGCGTGTCGATCGACAACGGTAAACCGAAACCAACTTACCGGGAATCAAGTTTTAATTTCAATAAAGGAAGTATTTTTTGTATAGAGCCATCGCTGCATCCAATACGATCAGCTGTCTGGGTAATCTGAGAGGTTGAAATAATAAATAAAATAAACATGTCGCGCATTAACATAGGGGAACAGCGCGCCGCACCCGAGACACGAGCTCGAGGGCTCACCTTTTCTGCGAGTAACCGCCGCACCGCCAGAGCCATGATATTCACTGAGGGCAAGCACGCAACACCGAAAACAAGCAGTTAAAAGTTAAAGGACAACAGTGTGTTACATATTTCTCGATTATAGCACAGAAACATGCCGCACTCCGTGAACCACGCTGGTTCAAAATGTTTACAAGCTGACATCGGATTTGGATCCGGATTGGCTACTGTCGATTATCTGCTACTTTTGGTTGCCAAGATTACTTTTGATTCCATAAACTTTTTACCCCGTAACACGTCACATCGCATACTTTTGACCACCATGTAAGTGGTAGAGAGGGAAGCTGCTTTTGTAAGAATTTTGAGTGACGGGTTAATCTTCCATAATCTTCTGGGAGGAGAATAGCGACGCCTGTGCAAATCCGGGAGGCAAAGAAGAGGGTCCCGATAAGAGGGGAGCTCCTTGCCCTCGTCTCTGGTGGTCATCGAGCGCTCTTTTAATGACGTCACGTGCAACCCATGTATTGTCCAGAACTCTGATCTTGTCAGAATACATCTATTCAAAAGTTATCAAAATGACTCGCGGGCCTGGCGACAGGTTCATCATTGTGGCCTATCCAGGAATTTTACAGCAGAGCTGTTAAGGGCTAGTTTCCCCAGTATCATGTCCGTGGACAAACAAATGTTGACACAAAACTCCAGACAGCTATTGCCATCTATGAACAATGGCGGCAACCAGACAACCGGCTTGCCGGTTGTCTGGTTACCGTTGCTGTTCATAGATGGCGGCAACCTTTCCAGCCTTTCCATTCTGGTTTTCACCGGTGTGGAAAGGCTGAATTTCTCTTGGAGTCATCCTAGAAGTTGTCCTTGAGGTCTTCCTACATGTCGTCTTTGAGGTCGTCCTAGACGTCGTCCTTGAGGTCGTCCTCGAGGTCATCCTAGAAGTCATCCTTGAGGTTGTTCTCAAGGTCGCCCTCGAGGTCATTTTAGACATCGTCCCTGAGGTGGTCCCAGGCATCGTCCTCGAAGTCGTCCTTGAGGTCGTCCTAGACGTCGCCCTCTATACGTCGTCATCTAAGCATCGTCTTAGACATTGTGAATGCAACAGCGTCGCTGGTCCTCCATCTTTACGTGAAGTGGAAGGGCTTTACATTTTTTTGGGGGGAGGGGCTGAGGTGGCTTTGGTGTCCATGACTTGGGGTGCTGAGGGGAAAGGGAAGGGTTAAAAAATGCAAATGTATATTATAGGGTCAGCTGGGAGAGGGGGGGGGGGGGGGGGGGGCTGAAGCCCCGTAAGATTCCCCCTGGCTACACCACTGCTTGCCAGAGCCGACGTGCACTGGACCACAGTGAAAGGAGAGAGAATGGCGCCGCCCCGCCACGGAACGAGTGTCGAATTGGTTCACTCCCATTTCTGACAAACGCCATAAAATGGCACCGCGTAATAGGGGCTCGAGGAACCGTCCTCATTTGCGTACACTTTCTCAAGGCCGCGAGGCGCATCCGCGTGAAGGCTGCGTGGCATGCGCCGTGCCTATGCACCGAGTTCCAAACCGACTGTGCCTACGCTCAAAGCCCGGGTGGAATAACGACCCCATTTTCTGTCCTTGTCCGATACCTCATTTCCACCTTGGCCTGGACCAAGCTTGCGATATAAATACGTGCCTATGCGGAGCGCAAACTCATCTGCTTCCTGCACAGGGGTTGCGACGATATCCAAACGCCAAACTCTTATTGGCTGATAGAAAAAATTGTAGAGCCCTTCCACTTCACGTGAAGATGGAGGACCAGCAAAGCTGTTATCTTTACGACGTCTAGGACGACCTCAGGGACGACTTCTAGGACGACCTCGAGGACGTCTAGGACGACCTCAAGGACCACTTCTAAAACAACCTTGAGGATGACGTTTAGGACAACTTCTAGGACGACCTCGAGGACAGCGTCTAGGATTACCTTAGGGACAACTTCTAAAACACCTAGGACAACCTCTCGGATAACCTCAAGGACGACTTCTAGAACGGCCTCGAGGACGACGTCTACGACGACCTCAAGGACGACGCCTAGAGTACAACCTCTCAGAGGACCTTTGGGACGACTTCTAGAATGCCCTCAAGGACGACTTCTAGGATGACATCTAGGACAACCTCAAGGACAACGCCTAGAGGACAACCTTTTGGATGAACTCAAGGACAACTTCTAGGACGACCTCAAGGACGTCTAGGATGACCTCAAAGACCACCTCGAGGATAACACCTCGGACGACCTCGAGGACGATGCTTAGAGATGATAACAAGAAATCAGGACCTATCTAATAATGCCGAGGAAAGCTGACTCACGTTGGTTACTCCCTCTTTTCGTTTTTATTTATTCATACTTGACCCCACTCTGTTTTTATATATTCACACTTGCCACAACCAATGGGGAGTTTTCTGTCAACATGTGAGGACACATTCTTCCCAGACCTTAGTGTATAACAACTTTGCTGTAAAAAATAGTGGGTAAACCTCAAGGTCTCTAGCATTCAGTTCTACCCATTATATTTTCAGTCAAAGCCAATCAGAGCTCAGCGTCGTTCTGACTTCACCGCAACTCCTGCACAAGAAGCATACGACTTGCCCTCCGCATAGCTTACAGGATAACTAATCTTGCATAGCAGACGTTATTAATTCACTCGCAGTTTGTTCAGAGGCGCAGCTTTATTAACATTATCTACAAACATCCGTATGTACAAAGCAGAGACCAGCTGTGCAGATCTGCTAGCCGCCCAGAAGAGTCTCCTGCACAATCCTCTCTGCGTGGTAGATCCTCTCCATGACAAAGTACTGTCGTGCCAGCTTGAACAGAGTCACTGAGTTGAGCATCACAAACAGGGTGATGGTGAGCAGCCGGTGCCACTCGGAGGACTTCAGCAGGAGGTAGAGCTCAAACACAATCTGCATGACCTGAGTAGTCAACAGGCCACCCATGATCACCAAGGGGCTGTGGAATATTGTCTGCAAACATGAGAATAAAAAGAAACAGTGATAAGCTTAAGCTATAAGCGGCAAAGGCTATGGCTTTTAATGTAGGCCCTTAACAAGTCAAGCTCTGGTTGATTATTTTCTCCCGGTACATGCTTCATTAACACTTGTTTCATAGAAAACAGCTTGAGTGACGTTCTGGTGATGTTGGGAAATCTGCCAGAGCACTACTGAAGGCGGCAAGCTTGCACTGGGCACAGAGACAACTAGGAGACTACCCTGTCATCCACAAGCTGCCGGTAACCATGGGGTCGTTGATCGGCAGACTCATGCAGCACTCACGTAAAAGCGAGACTGAGCCATGTTGCCAGGTTCCGCGGCGTTGCTGATGCCCTCCGCCTTGAAGTACTCCTTGCTATGCTTCACGAGGTTGTTTTGTGGCCACAGCACGTTCTCCGACCAGCTGAAGAAAAAAAAAAAGGGTCGAGCTGACTGTATTTCACAACTGCCACGCAGATTTAACTGAAATACAGACATGACAGACCTATCCATCAACTGTTGTAGCAGGTTAAACTTGGCTGCAGAAATCTGGATGTGGATTCCCACGTTTTGAGGAGTGAAGGCAAATTAAAAGAAGGCCAACATACCTTAATATCTGGCACACCCCTGTTTTCTGTCTATTGTCACAGGATAGCTCAACCTTAGAAATTGTGTTAGATGGGTTCAAGCAATTTCTATATGGAGAAGGCCCAACCTACCTCAATATTCGGCCTACTCGTTTTCTGTCTATTGTCTACGGGTGGGCCATCCCAGGATAGCCCACCCTTCAAAATTGCATTAGATGGGTTCAAGCGATTTCTGCAGTGGGCAAGCGATACGAGCTTTAACAACTGGATCTACTCAGACAAAATTTTGTAAGGCAGTTCAATAAAAAAATTTCCTTTCCGTTCGTTTTTCAAGTAATAGTATGCTCGTGGTGGGATCTAGGCAGCTGATTTAGGCATGAGTTTGTCTCGTGCCTGAAGAAATTTTTATCGGCCATCTTGCAGCCATATGTCGAAAGTTAGCACGCCAACCTTTTCCATCTGATCTAACCTTCACAAGGGGATGGGCCATTTTTCGGGGACATGCATCGTGCGTTAGCATGTTTCCCTTCCTACAGGGACAGATGCCAGTCCTCACATGTGGTGCGGTGCGTGCACGTTGCGTGGCTCCAGGCGCCTCCAGCGGCCGAGGTGCAGCGCCGAGCGGTGCAGCGCATCCAGGTATTGCGGCGGGAAGCAGTAGGCTGCGTGAAGGGTCAGCGCCCCGAGCCAGGACAGCACCCCGTGCTGCACCACCCACCACAGCTCCAGTTGAAGCTGGCTCTGCAAATGACCGCAAGTTCCAGACTTGGGGCTGCTTCACTCGCATTCAATTGCGACTGACTACGTTACAACCGAATTTTAAACCTCTTGCGACTGCTTACAGCCAGCTGCACTGCTGCACAGTGGGTCGTAAGGTTTATAAATAGTTTTCAAGCTTTCAGGTCATAAGCAGTTGCGAGTGTGTGAACCAGAATTTAAGCACACTCTGTGAAATCAGATGGGGTGCCTATTTTCAGTTAGGTTTCTCCAACGACGCAACACTGGCAATTAGCTCTACTTGCTGCTGGTTATCATCGACAGGGGTGTCATCCGAGCGATGCAGGGGAGAACAGACACATTTTGTCGACTTCTGCTGCCAGACGACATTCTATCTTAAGTGAGATCAGTATTTTTGGTTCTAATCTTTAAGTCTGATGTAGTGGAACTCCGCAAAATGTTCGCTCGATTGTGCACGTCTTCAAAGTGATCTTCTTGCCTTTCGCTAAAACCTGGTTTGCACAGCACCGTTTTCTTATGTCACGAAGCTTACCTACGCCTACAGTGAGATATGACCGCAAGTCACCGGCACCTCGTACGAAGAGTGCCAAGGTACTCCTTTAACTGGTTGCAACGCCTTGTACAAAGCATGGACGTGCCGGTGACCTGTGGTCATATCTTGACGTAAGCATGCGTAAGCTTTGTAAAGAAAATGGTGCCGGGTTGGATTGATAGTACCGCATCCCAGCATGGGATCAACGTCTCACACAGTTTGCAAGCATACGTCTTTTCAATCCTACAGCCGGTGCGGACAGATTATGAAACAAAGTCTCCACCGCCTCATCATTAGAAAACTAACAGCGTGCCACAAACAACACCCCAACCAGCATTTCTCTCTGCTGCCAACCACTGCCCGCGACACCTGCCCACCTGGACGAAGCAGCATGGCTGGAAGGAGGTGTAGTAGGCCACCACGAGGGTGTTGAAGAGCACCCGCTTGAGCCGCTCGTTGAGGTCGCGCTTGTGCAGCTCCACCTCGGCGCGCACGTCGCCGGGGCTCGGGGAGCACACGTGCACCAGGGCCGTGGGGGAGCCTGGCACAGGACCGGCCGCCGCCACTTTCCTCGGTGGTGTGGGCACCAGCTCTGTCAGCGGGCCGGCCTTGGGCCCGAACAGGATGGCGTAGATGACCGCCCTGCACGGCCAACGACGATAAAAGGTGGCCCAGTTAGAGTTGTGCTATCAAGAAAATAATCTGTAGTGACAGGGCTTGTCAAGTTGGTAAATCTGACTAAATTGCACTTAATAAAGTTGAGAGTCATCTTCCACGTTTGACACCACAATGAGGTAAAGTTAAGATCATTTTTAAAAAGTTCACAATCCGCCTAGCGGGAGATATTGTGATATACGCAACATTCATCAGCATATAATCACACGTGGCTAGAAATATTCAGAGTTAGATTATAAACATATAGTAAAAAGAGAAGGGCGGCCCAAAACAGACCCTTCAAAACACCCAATAACATGGTAACATTTAACCAAATTGCACCATCGAAGGCAACTTTTTTCTTTCTTCCTAGGAGTCAAGCTTCAATCCATAAAAAAAAGTGTATCTGGAATATGAAGTGTGCTTAACATTTGCAATAACAGAGTATGTTATACAGAATCAAATGCCCTGCGGAAGTTAAAAAAAACATGATCAACCTGACTACCACAGTTTATCAAAGCAGGAAGGTCATGGGTGCACTCTACTAATTGTGTATCACAAGAAGCCTTTCTTAGACCCATGTTACATAGGGTGGAAAAAGTGATTATCATTGAGATGACCGACTAAGTTAGCGTAAATTATGTGCTCTACCATTTCACAGGAAACACTCGTTAAAGAGATGAGCCTATAGTTACAAGTTCTTGTTTTGTCTTTACTTTTGTGTATAGGTCCTATATTTGCATTTTCCCAGTCAAGAGGTAACTCGCTTTGTTCAAAAGATTTTTCTAAACAACTCGATTAGGTGGACAGCAGCAGAAACGGCACAGTTTCAAGATGTGCAGCGTGTCCCCCCCAAAAGAATTTACAGTATTTTTTTCAACTCAAAAATAAACTACCGTAATATTTTCCGAAATATATCCCACACCCAAAAAATAACCCGCCCCCTATTTTTAGCTAGATTTGCAATATTTTTTCTAACACTAAAAAAGATGAAAATAATCCCTGTTCCTTGTTTCCTTGTTCCCCTTCTCCAGGGATTATTTTCATCATTCTTGTCCAGCTCGCTTGCACCTTTGCAATTAATTGCATTCTAACTAAAAAAGAGCCCACTTAGTAGTGTTCAGATCAATGATGACCTCAGCGTAAATGCGGCTAGTAGGTAGCTATGGCGGGATATAAGCAAACATTGTTGACTGAGAAGTACAGTCATCTTTGCTTCATTGTCCCTCTCTGTGATAGCAAGTTTGGCAAGAAAACATGATTTAAAAATAGCGCTTTTTCAACTTTTATTGGTTGTACAGAGACAGTTAACCCACTCCTCATTTTCACAAGATTTGCTCATGATTTTAGCTGGGTTATCCGTCAGGATATAATGGTATGCATTGCCGAATGCTCGTTGTCCGCCCAAATGTAGTTCATACGGTCTGAAGCAGATACCAAAGTTTCATCATTATCAATATTCAAAAATTTAAAGTGATTTTCTGAAAATTTCTACTGGAAAGTTTGGCTCCTTTTCGCTTGTTTTCGGTAACTGGCGTTATGGAGCTCCATGTATTCGAGAGCTCTGCCGGCCACCATCATATTCCCCCTGAAAATTTTAGAAAATCATGTCTTATGAATAAAATAATGGTTAGTTCTGAAAATTTGGCGTCCAATTCGGACACCAAGCGTGCGGCGCATGCGTAAAGCCACCATAACTTTAGTTCACAGGAGGCAATCGGCAGCGCACGAGACTGTTTGTGCACTCCTTGCGCAGAGCTCCAGCGAGGTTGTGGCACATGCAGAAAGACTAAAGTTCCCTGGATGAGTTGCGGCAGCAGTGGCGTACCAAAACTGGCAGGTGAAATCGGTCTATTAGCGTTTGGCGACGCAGTTTATTTTTGTAGTAAAGAAAACCTTGCAATTTCTTTTTTTTTTGGGGGGGGGGGGGGGGGGGGGGGCGAGGGACACTCTGTAGTTTGAGATACAGTTTGGGCCAGGGGCAGAGTTTATCTTGATTTTCTTTAAGAGAAAAATAATGCCATGTTTGGAAAAATCTGTCATTCATTATTTGCGAGAACCCATTGTAATCTTGTAGACCACTAGACTGGAAATGCCGTATTTTCCAGTGTATAGTCCGCGGACTACATATATTTAAAAGTTGAAATTTTTCCCAATACAGACTATCTACAGGAGTGGATCGTCTGTATTTACAAATCTAGAAAAATACAAGGTTTTGTATTTTTCTAGATTGTTCACAGTGACAAGACATTAAGAATTTTATGGATAATAGAGTATATTAATGGTGATTTATGTATGATACAAGCTCCTTTGTGAGCTAATACAGCAGGCATTTGTCAAGATGTGCTGTGTATGATCTTTTTTACGCTCTGATTAGGCACTAAGTGCGGACTATGCACCACGTGCAAACTATGCAAAGCGCGTGGACTATGCATTTGGTGCAAATAATCTAAGGAAAATCTTTTTTTTTTTAGCTGAAATTAGTTTTTGCGGATTATACACTTGGAAAATATGTCACAAATAAAAGCTTTCAGCTTTGCCTTCTAGATCAATACCATAGCATATAGCATCTATTACATGAGGGGCGGCGGCAGTAAAGATTTTTTTTTATTTTTAACAGATTAAGGTTCCTTAGGATTTCTTTTTAGCTTATCTTTTTAACATATCTCCACACTTTATTAGAATTCCCTCGTACACGTTTTTCGCCTTGCACATTTTTTGATTATGTTTTTACTTACATCTTATATATTGAAATACAGTGCGGGTTCTTTGCATTAACAATTAATACCAGAAAAACAAGCTATTCTTTTTGTTTACCAAGGTTCAAAGTATGCTATTCCTCCAAGGCTCACTTGCTTCTGGTCTTGGTTGGGGGCATGCAGACATCAATTTACTTTTTGCCCTCAAAACAACACATCTCATAAATAAATATGAATTAAAGAACACACTACAGAAAATAACTAGCTACTACTACCTTGGTCAAAACTAAACTACAATTCGCTTCCTCCATATGGTCACCAAGGCAGGTATACCTAACTAACAGTCTTGAATCTGTTCAAAGCAGAGCCCTCAGTTTTATTTATTCTGACTACTCCCCATATGCTTGCACACCAGGATTTCGCCAATCAGCTAACCTTGACACACTTTCTCACCGCAGCAGGGTGTCTCGTCTCTCTCTCCTCCATCAGACCTTCTATCGCAACAATCATCTCGGACAATGTTTGTTATCGCCTCCTCACCATAATTTCCAGCAAAGCTGTTTATGGCTAGGGTTCCATGGATTTTTTTGTGTGTGACCAAAAACTCTACGCTCGCACCACACCCATGCGCCGCACATGTCGCGTGTGCAGCAGTTAACTGTTCTAAAGCAAAAGCCTAAAACAAATGGCATCTTGCATGCACATTCGTCAACAGTTTATTTTGGTTATTTACTTTGAATCTTTTATACGGGAGAAGTTGTGTGCATGCGGCACGTGGAACACCATTCTCTGCGTTCTCCTTGAAGCTTGGGTTGCCGTTCTCCATCTTCAATTTCACTTCTCTTCTCTCGCTGTAGTGGGAGGGCCACATATAGTCCAGACTCCCGAAGAGCAACGTGCCTACGAAGAGCGACGGCGGGAATGGCAACGAGAATGTCAGCGGTGGTGGTGGGCGGCACGTGTGTGTACATTTTGTATGCCACGATGACCACTGATCAAGACAATAAATGTGTTCATACCTTCGTTAAAAAATCATGAGCCATTCCACTCTGTGAAGGTGGATGATGAGCGAAGCTGTTTAGCATACGACACAGAGTTTAGCGTATCCTCCATTAAAGTTGTCTAATTTAGAAGCATGATATCTGCGTCTTCTTGATGTGTTCTCTGCCCCGCAACGTTCATAGTCTTGTCTGGTTTGCCACATGAGCTTAGCGTTTTGTGCCCGATCTTCATCGGTGGTGTTTGCCGCCCGCCGCCGCCGCTGACATTCTCGGTGCCATTCCCATTGTTGCTCTTTGCAGACGCGTTGCTCTTCGGGAGAACGGACTGTATGCGGCCTCCCCAATACAACAAGAGAAGTGAAATAGACCGTATTGTTGAATTACCCAAGCACCAAGGAGGATGCAGAGAATGGTGTTCCACGTGTCACACATGCCGGCGACTGCAGCAGTAACTGTTCTAAAGCAAAAGCCTCAAACAAATGGCATCTTGCACGCACGCTCATCAACGCTTCATTTTGGTTATTTACTTCTAATCTTTTATACGGGGAAGGCGTGCGCATGCGGCGGTGCGAGCGTAGAGCTTTTGGACACGCATACGAAAAATCCACCAAACCCTGGCCATAAACAGCTTCGCTGTAAAATTCTATGACACGTCTGTATCGTGTGCTAAACAGCTTCACTGGTCACCGACCTTCACAAAGTGGAATGGCTCCCAATTTGTTTTCTTGTTTCGACCTTTCTTGTAAGGTACGTCCAATTTCATTGTCAACCGTCACTCATCAAATGTCAACCTTACCATTGGCCATTGATGACTGAAATGCACTACCTGACCCAACCCAATTGTTTCCATAACTGACACTAATGAATTTGCTGCAGCCATTACCCTATTTCCTCCTTCTAACCTATAACTAAATTACAGCGCATTTTTGTTATTAAATAATAGTTTTTTTTAAGTGTTCACAAAAATACATAACGATGATGATGATGATTGCTGAAAGAAACATTTGAGCTCGGCATACGGGGGAGGCTTAAGGTGAATGACCATCCCGCCTCTCGGGGGTCGTCCGTGGATGAGGCCCGTCACTCACGGATAGGCGAGGCAGAGGAGGCTGAGGAGGCCGTGGCCCAGGCAGATGTGGTAGGAGCACCAGAGCAGCATGGCCGCAGCCGCTGCAAGGACCACGGACCGGCACGCCTCCGATGCCCGCGGATACCAGGCGCCCGGCAGGACCAGCCACAGCAGCTGCTCATGTGAAAGAGCGGGCCAAGACCCGTCAGCACAATGACAAGGAATCTGGTGCAACTGCGCATCACTGGTCCGATTTTCGTTACCGCAAGAGCGAGATTTAATTTACCTCTCGCTGAGCCAGTGAAGATAGCGTTCATAGGTGGTTTGTCTGCTAACGCGAGAAAAAAAGGCGCCTCGTCAGCTACGAAGCATCATTCGCAGTCTGAAATAAAACAACAAAGCACAGAATGTCATCTGCTAACAGACGGGAAAAAATGTTTATCGTCTGCAAGGAACTGGGCACCACGGCGTAGTAAGATCGGATGCATGCTGAAATTCTGAATGTCTATTACACGTTGGAAGCCACTGACAACTCGCGCTTTGTTGGCAAATCTCGAGTCGTTTTTCCAATGCACACAGCCAGACATTGCCCTGTGGACGAGAGAGCACTGAGGACAATCACATCAGAGGCTGCGAGACTCCTCTTGCCATTTGTATGTTAGTGGGATGTTCTCACTAAAACGTTGCCCAATGGTAAAGAATGTCTTATTCGTGGCACCCCCTCTAACCAGCTGCTTAGAAGGTTCTTGCTCTCATCTTGACCAAGATCGGACACCAGAGTAGACAACAGTGGCAGTGCAAGATTGCTTTGGCAGGGATACGCACAGAAAGCATCTTCTGACGCTATGCAGCTGAATGCATTTCATTTCCTTTTGTCGACACCAATTTCGCGGACGCCCATTCATTAAAAATATTTTAAGTGTGGATGGTGAAAACTCCCTTAAGTAAACTGATAGAGATTAAAATATTCAAGTCACAGACGTTTATGTCTCAAGTGCACTGATGCACTTGCAAATAAAGAAATGTTGGCTGACGATCATCAGCCAACACTTCTTCCTTTAGCAAACTGTGGTTTTCGAATAATCAAGTTTCATGATTGCCGGTAGTTTTTGTGACTATAGCAACTAATTACCGACATAGAATTCAATAGTTTTCCTGCATTTATCTTTTTTTTTCTGCAGTTATGCATTTACAAATTAAAACACAAACCCAATGATTACCTAGCTCAACGAAACCTAGGGTATGGCATGGCAAGCGTAACAAACATACAATGTTACTCAAGAAACATGTAAGCGCAAACAGCAACGAACACAAAGAAGGGGGACATGGACAAGCACTTTGTATCCATCGCTGTTTGCGCTTATGAGTTTGCTGAGCAATGTGCACCAACCAGCCCAACAACGAGCCTCGTTAAACATACAACTAGATTTGCAGTCAGTGCCAGCTGTGCTGCGCTGACTCCTCATCTGATCTGATTTCTCCTTTGCACTGAGACTCGGACTTCTACAGCACCCAAAAAGCGTTGTACGCTTACCGACTTGAGGATGGCCAGAGGAAAGCGGCGACAGGCGATCACTACGCTGAAGGTTGCCACGTGGACATCGATGAGGTAGTAGTTCTGCAAGATATACAGCGGCCACAGGGCCAACACGAGTCCACAAACAGAACATGGCTCCTAAAATTGATTTCAAAAGAAAGTTTTATTGACAGCTCAACCATCTTCAAAACGAAGAAACGGAGACTCTTTCTAGTTCTCCTCATGCCTGTGGCGAGGAGAGTTTCTTTCCCGAAGACATGCTGTACATTGATGGTTAACGAACCCGGCGAAGCTGTGGACGAAACTGTCCATCCTCTAGTCCCGTAAGGCTATCCATGTCCCTTGTTCACCTCCATAGACTGCCTCTAGTTTACAAATGCATATACTTGCACACCAGCATATTCTTTTCATGTACACTTCGACATGTCGGCGAAATGCTCTCTCTTACTGTCGACATCTAGATGAGTTCAAGTCAGTATACTACAGCTAGTGGAATTCTGTACGGGTTACTCACGAGGGCTTGGTTGTTATACGAGTGCGGCAACCACCAGACGGTCCTGTACAGGTTGATGTACTGGCAGCAGAGCACGGCTGCCACGAACACGACGGAGATGGCCTCAAAGACCAGCTCCCCGTCAACGGGCACGTCCGGCATCTGAACGTGCTTTAGCACGCTTGCTGTTGACAGCGGGTCGTGGCCTCCCAGAGGACCCGACCTGAAGCAGAAGGGGCCGCCTTGGTCAGTGCGATGAACGCAACAGGACGACCTGGAAGTGTCCTTGCAAACCGCATAAAGTTTTGTCAACAAAAAGTAAACGAACAAAGCCGTAACGATCACCTGCTTTGTCGTCCACCGATTCAAGGGGGCAAGGTTCGACATATGCTGCGTTCTCATCAAAGTCGGAGTTTGACCGATTTAAAGTCTTCGCTAACAAACTAACCTGCACGCACACCGGTTTCTAAAACAAATATGTAAGTTACGATGTCGTGCGCACGGTAAATCGCCAACCGAGTATGGAAAATATACTAACCTGTCATCTGTGGGCATGACGGCTTTGCTGCCACCAGACTTCGCAAAATTTCGTCGAGCGTTTGAGACGCGCGTCATGCTTGCTACTCGCAGAATCCGGACCGCGTTGTCAGTTAACGACCAGAGTTTTATCCCAGCAGCGGTGATCAAGGATCTTCTCGCTGGTGCTCTTGTTAGAAGTAAATTTGGCGGAGTCGTCGCTTGACGAAAACGCAGGCGGGAGAGATGTCTGCTTCTGCTTGTTTAAAGTGATGATGATGATGAAAAAGAAATGTTGGCGAACTAAAACTTACCCTCGTAATACCGCTTACCGTAATATTTACTAATATTAACAACTTTCAAATACTGCATTGTCCAAAATTCGTACTGTTTCAAAAGTGAAAGGCACGTTGTTTGTGTTTCATTACGATGATGATGATGATGATGATGTCTTCCACCATCTAGCAGAGGAAAGACTTGCGGTGCGAGCTTTCTGCTACTGTTTTTACTGTCCTTTGGTACTTCTGCCACTTCTGCTTCAAATGCTGCGACAATTTTTTCGCAGAGATCTGAGCTCACAGCTCAGGTTGTGCTCGTTGCTTCCCCGTCGATACAAAAGTGACGACAATGCAACACCGACAAGAAAAAAGTACACACCAAGACGAGCAGTGCTTTACGTCCCGGGAAACGATGAGAAGAAAATTGTGAAAACCACCAACTTGGATGTGGACTGTGTCGTACTTGACTGTGAAGATGGAGTGGCCGTAAATAAGAAGGTCTGGTCCTCCTTGGGTCTGACATGCATCTTGTTTTCTTAATCTTTTTTTTTTTTTTTAACCAACCCCAACTTTGTAAGCAATCGTACAAGAAACTTTTTATTCTCGAAGGCCCCAAAATGGCTGCCTCGCCGCCATTTTGGGGCATTCTAGTGTAATGCAGTACTTCAATGCCACCACAATGTAAAACAATACATTTTTTTTTTTTTCTTAATCGTGCAGAAAGAAGCCAGGGAGACGATTGGCAAAGTTCTGGGCAGTCTCCAATTTGGAGCCAGGACGGATGTGGCAGTACGCGTCAACTCGGTGGGAAGTGGTCTGGCAGAGGAAGACCTGGAGTGCATCCTGGAAGCCAAGACGCTGCCCAGCACCATCTTCCTGCCCAAGGTGGAGAGCAAGGACGACGTCACCTGGGTACAGTTGCGAAAGCCCGCTTCTCTTCCTTACGTGATGTGATGAGGATCTTTCCAAAGTTACACAGTTTGAAACACCAGGAGAGGATATTTGTCATACCCTTGAGGTCATATGCTTGAGAGACATGGAATTATGGCGCATATAATTGTTTCGGCAGAGCTGAGACAGCTGAAAAATTGTTGTCGTGGGTTGTTATTGGGAAACTCATTTTGCTTTTGCCTTCTATGGGTGGTATTCACTTGCAGCCATAATCGAGTCCGCTGTTGCAAAGCGTGTGCTCACCGTGAGCTTAAGCAACACTTCGGTAACAGGCAGTTCGCACCACCAGGATTGCAAGTCCTCTTGGAAGGCAAGTGGGATATTTTTCCGAGCATGCGCTCAAGCATGGCACCCAGTGAATACCACCTATACTGCTCTATGGTAGTTAATTCTTCAAGCTGATATCTTCAAGCATTGTGGTTTGTGCATTTTCCCATCGCGGGCAGCTCATGAACCATGTGCAGTCGGAGTTGAAGGACCGCAAGAGGGACAAGCACAAGTTTGACTTGGTGTTGTACGTCGAAACCGCGCTGGGACTCCTCAACTGCCGAGAGTTCCTGGAGCACACCAGAGAAATGTCGGAGTTCACCCGTTTCCGACTGGCCGGACTTGTCTTCGGCTCGGACGACTTTACAGCCAACATCGGTACGCACTGGCTTGCTTTCTTGCTGTGTGTGCGAGTTCGCTGAGGCAGGATGCCAGTCTGGTGTGCATGAGCTGCACATGCCCATACTCAGCTGTAATCCAGTTGTGATCCTCAGCTGCAACCCAGTTGTGATTTAGGACAGGCTCTAAATGCTCACTTTAATCTTTGATTACCAAAAGTGTAATGCACTTTGGAACAAACTCCATTTGTCCTGTCTGTTGCAGTCAGTTATAGCGAGTTCGTTTCACACGCACTGGCACCGTTCGAGTTCTCTCCCAGAATGCATCGCACTCACAGAGTGTTGCACGGAAAACTGGACTCAAACGAACACGCCAAATGCACCGAGTGCAGAAGACTGATGCTGCCGCCATCTATACTCCGCGACAACTTTTCTTGGCAATGCAGTGGAAGGTACGTCACGCGTCCCCTCTCCCATTTCTATACTTCGTTTCAGCTTCTGTCCGAGCGCGGCCAATGTTATGAGCCGAAGGGCCAATCAAACAGCGCAAAAAGGGCAGCGTCATGGCGTGCTCTCTGCGCTTGATAGGACCAGCCGGCGGAGGAGCGCGCACAGAGAGACGGCGAATAGCGGCTGCTCCTATCAACTGCAGAAAGCACGCCATGACGTTGTGCCTTTTTCGCTGTTTGATTAGCCCTTCGGCTCATAACATCCGCCGCGCTCGGACCGAAGCTGAAACGAAGTATAGTGTACGCAGGCTTTCCTCCTCCCCCATTTCTGGGGAGAGGAGGAGAGCCTGCGTACAAAAATGGGAGAGGGGACGCGGGACGTACCTTCCACTGCATTGCCAAGAAAAGTTGTCGCGGAGTATAGGTTGTAGAAAAGGTACCGACTTCAAACCGAAACTAGCGCCTTTCTGTTCAGAGTGATGCATGGGAATGCGAGAATGCAGTCGCTACCAACGTTTATCTACAAACGTTGGTCGCTGCAACCTGTAGTTTATAGTTGCGATGACTTCAAGCAGCTAGGCTGCCGTAGAGATAATTACAGACGGCTTAAATTTTCGCAACCAGCTGTCTACAAAGCAGCTGGTTGCGATCTTTCAATTCTTATAACCGTTTACACTGAAGAAAACTGATGATGCTGTCCGAGCAGAAGCTTGATTCATTTGAACATGGTATTATGCGTGGACCACTGAAAGGGTACGGTTTAAAACTAGCCTGTTGGAATATCCAGCAAAACTGGGACTTTCGATCTGGATCGTCATTATAGGTGGATTCGATATTAGTCTTGGTGAGGGCGTCGAGAACGAGAGCTTTCTCGAACAAAATACGACGGGGCAAGTTAGCTGACGTAGGTAAATGTTAAACATGATGATGTTGCCCAAGCCTCGGGTAAAGTCTCCATCTTTAGCTTTCTCTGATGCTTATTGGGCAGTCAGAGGTTTCTGCTGGGGGAGTTTTGTCGACAAATGTTAAATTTTTCACCCGCACACGGACGGTGATAGACATCTCGGGGGCCGCTGTTGCGTTTGTTCTGAGTATTTCTTTACACTTTATTTCAGCATTTGTACGGCAACAGAGCGATTTAAAACCTGCAAATAAATCGGGTTGTCGACTGCTTCCTTTGTGAAATAGCAGATGCTCACAATTCAAGCTCGCGTTTGATTTCGTTGCCCGCGGAACGCGATTTCTATCAGAAAATCTACTTTTTTTTCCGTTCGGTTCCGCGACACATCGTAGCAGACGAACCATCGTCGTCTGCTCCCGCTCCTCGCCGGCCCCACCGGAGCGAGGCATGACGGGATTGCATTTTGGTGCACTCCCGATTTTCTCGGTACAGCGAGTGCATGCACGCATGGGGTGTCAGCGCTGAAACGAACTCGGAGAGTGCAACCACTCGTGGAGTGCCGGCCAAAACGAACCCGTTCCACGCTGCGAGTAGGCACGCGTGGGCACGAAGGCCGTGAAACAAACTCGCTATTAGATCAAAGAGGTTTTGCATCCTCTTGTGTTATTTTTACTGCCATCAACATCAGTAGTTTATGCTAGCAGTGCGAATGTGAGAATAATCATTTTCTCATTTTTGCTAGCAAACTTTAGAAGCCTTCTGCCAAAACAGGATGACCTCGCAAGCAGCATTATTTCATGCTCAGCAGATGTTATTGTTGCAACCGAAACGTGGCTTACCGATACTATTTCAAATTCCAGTTTACTTTTAAGCGACAATTTTAACATATTTCGTAAGGACCGAATTTCCAAACGAGGCGGTGGCGTAATCATCGCAGTTCGAAAGGACATATCTTGCACTCTGATTTCAATCGACTCTCCTCTTGAAACCCTTTGGGTTTCCATTGGTACCGTATCCTTTCAGAATATTATTGTTGGAATTTGTTACCGACCACCTGATTCAACATGTGAATTTGTCAACAGACTAACAGATATTCTAGAATTTATTCATTTCAAGTATCCACATTTACCACTTATATTGGCAGGTGATTTTAATTATCCTGGGATCGATTGGTCCAACCTCCAAGTATGTAATACTTGCTCACGTGTAGAAGAGTGTTTAAGTTTTATAAATCTCTTAGATTCATTTTCAATGAAACAATTGGTAAAGGATCCCACACGCGGAGATGCAGTACTGGACCTTGTTTGTGCCACTCACCCCGAAAACATGTCTGTACGCGTGCTGGATGAAATTAGCGACCATAGAATTGTTTATTTCTGCTATAAGATATCGGATGCTACGAGAGTGAACCTAAAAAAAGTGATATATGACTACTCTAAGGCAAATTATAGTGATATTGCGGTAACACTGTCAGACTTTTTGATTCAGTATGAAAGCACCTTCCATACACGCTCTGTTGAAGAAAACTGGGTTTCAATAAAAAACAAACTAATCTCTATACGTGAAGCTTTTGTTCCTAAGTTAATCATTAACCCGAGTGAGGGTTGTCCCTGGTTTTCACGAAGCGTAAAACGCTTGATCTCCAAAAAGAAGAGACTTTTCAGAAAGGCCAGTTCTTCAAATTCAGACCGTGACTGGCAGTCGTACGAAGATTGTGCGCGCTTATGCAAAAATGAGATAAGAAAGGCAAAGAATAGTTTTTTCAACGACGATTTATCTAGCATACTAAAAACAAATCCAAAGAAGTTCTGGCATGTCGTAAACCCCAAAGAAAAAAATACATTTCCTTTACTTCAAGAAGGTGACGTAAAGCTTTCTGCATCCGAGTCCGCTTTTAAACTTAACACATTTTTTGGCGAAGTGTTTACCGACGAGCTCCCTTTATCTGACCGCCATGTTACACCTACAATCGTCATTCCAGAAATGGACGATGTGCAAATCAATATTGATGGTGTTATCAGTGCCATTAACCGCTTGCCGACAAAATCCAGCCCGGGTCCTGATGGTGTATGCTCGAAGCTACTTAAACTAACAAAGGATGCATCAGGTGCCGTGCTTGCCGGCTTATTCCAGCAATCGCTTAATACTGGCCACATTCCGAAGGAATGGAAATCAGCAAATGTCGTGCCGATTTATAAATCTGGTAATCGGAATTGCCCAACAAATTATAGACCAATTTCATTGACCTCTGTTCCTTGTAAACTTTTAGAACATATAATATATTCATCTGTCATGAAACACTTAGTCTCAAACAACCTGCTATTTCCCAATCAGCACGGCTTTCAACGTGGTCTTTCGTGTGAAACCCAACTGTTTGAACTGGTAACGGATTTGCATACCTGTATTCACTCATCCTCACAAATCGACGCTATTTTTATAGACTTTTCGAAGGCCTTTGATCGTGTACCACACAGTCGTCTGATAAAAAAACTACAATATCTCAAAATTAATGATAAGGTAATTACATGGATTCGTGAGTTTTTGCACGATAGAAAACAATCAGTACTTGCAAATGACATCACCTCACCACCTATACATGTCAAATCTGGTGTCCCTCAAGGATCCGTTATTGGACCACTTTTGTTTTTAATTTATATAAATGACCTCCCCAACAACATTTCTTCAAAGATTCGCCTATTTGCAGACGACTGTGTGGTATACCGTCAAATATCTAGTCAAAGCGACTGCCTGGCCCTTCAAAGTGATTTGGATATCATACTTTCATGGTGTGACACGTGGCAAATGCAGATAAATATAGATAAAACAAAAATAATGACATTTACCAATCGTCGCTCATCTTTTCAATACGACTACAAAGTTATAGATTCAAAATTGGATAAAGTATCCACATATAAATATTTAGGAGTCCACTTAACTTCCAACCTCTCCTGGAACACTCATCTAGATTATATCCTTAGGAGGGCTAACCAGTCACTTGGTTTCTTAAGAAGGCATTTATATATGGCAACTGCAGAAACGAAACTACTTGCATACTCTACCCTCATTAGGCCCAAGTTGGAATATGCAGCTATAATTTGGAACCCGCATCAAAAATATTTAATTAATAATTTAGAATCATTACAAAACAGGGCCACTAGGTTTATACTAAAAACGTATTCACCTATAAGCGTCAGTCAACTTAAGGGTTCACTTGGTTTATTGACTCTCCACCAGCGAAGATACCTCGCAAGGTTATCCCATTTTCATAAACTCTATCATAGTTCCTCAGATTTCCGTCAAAACAACATTCTCCCACCGGCTCGCATTTCCCCTCGTCATGATCATTGTTACAAAGTTCATATTCCATTTGCAAGAACTAATCTGTTCAAATACTCCCCGTTCGTACAAGCGGCGACTGAATGGAATGAGTTGGCAAGCGAAATTGCGACGGTCACTGATCATGATACATTTATGTTGTTATTGCGTGAATCTTTAAAGTGAATGAATCATATATTGCCCTGTATGTTTGTTACTCGCTCGCTGGGTCTATTGCTTTTTTTCTAGCACATCGACTGCCTCCAATGATGTGAGTGCGTGTGTGGCTTTTTTGTTATGTAATGTCTTCCCTTCATGGTTCTGTTTAGCGTGACACGATGTCTTCTATTTTTTCTTGTAAAATATTGTATGATTATGTAAAAGTTTATACGACACCCCCCTCTATGTAATGCTCCTTTGGAGCCTTTAGAGGTATGTAAATAAATAAATAAATAAATAAAATAAATGTCAAACTATAATAGATAATATGTGAAGCTTCACTGTATATTCCTCCACATCATTGCTGGCAAGTAATCAACAAAACATACTCTTTCAGAAAATTCATTACCATCTCCAAAGAAAACAAAAACAGCCGGTTTCTTTTGTAAATGCTTTTTGTCACAGAGTTTGCATGCAGCGAGACATTAGAATGGTGGGCAAAGAGGGGAAGTTTTACAGCACCTAAACTGCACTCTTAATGCCTCCTTAGGTAAACAGAATTTTAGCCTCACCAGTGGGACAGGATTTGCGAGTTTTATTACAAAACATCCGACGACCTTGTTGCAGGTGCCACCCGTACAAAGGACGCAAAGGAAGTGCTCTTTGCCAGGCAACAAGTGGTGGTCCTGGCTAAGGCATACGGCATCCAGGCGATCGACATGGTTCACATTGACTACAAAGGTGATAGCAATCCAAGAGTAGCTTCGTTGTAATCATGCAAGCCACTGCCCAAGAGCTCTTTGAGCTGCTAGCTGTTCTTCAGTGTAGCAAGGTTGGACACATGGGCAGTGGAAAGATTTTCTAGAATATTTTCAGGCTCGAGCTGGCGAGCCCCTTTTCGGGCCCAGGCTGGGCTTAGACAAAAGGGTGTGAGCTGCGTAATTAAAGCTATACAAGTTACTGTAATTAATTAATCTTTCAATAATTAAATATACTTTCTAAGTGGCAATAGAATTTCTGTAGCTGTAACTGATGAGAAACCACATTTCGGAGTACTAAATGACCAAGTTCAGATACAGCTCACTTCTCGAAATTAGGCTGACAAATTATTCTCATTCATAGGCTCTCAACCTTAGCAATATGTGCTACCTCGAGCACTGCTACAAACGGGATCCAAATGACGCTGTGCCCATTTCCACGTTAGAGTTGAACCGTTAGTGTCACAATCACGAAAAGCATTGAAATACATTTAGTTACTTTTAACGTGTGGCACCTAACCATATCCAGTTAGGTGCAGCAGAAATCGTCTGGCCGACTGCCAGCCGTCTTCTCGCTGATTGGACACCAGCCAAACCTCTACCTCGAGTGCCAGCATAGAACTCCCAGTGGGGGGAAAACATCATGTGTTCAAACATACAGCGGCGCTCTGCTCCATGAAACTCCACACAGAGAAAGAGTGCAAGAGAGACTGGCAGAAAAGAAAGCGGACACTCACTTTGTCGCAGCGTTTTTTCTTCCGCTGGAAGCTAACACCAGGGCTCTGCTCAGCACTGCTGTGTTCCAATTGTTCTGTTTTTCGCGCATTCCTTCTACCACGTCTCACACTCCAACAGGCTCTGTGGAAGTCGCGTTTACGATGGAAGCGCAGAACGCGGCACTCGCAAGTACATAACACATCCATTAAGCGCTCGCACGCTTACCCTGCACAACTCGGGGGCACCATCCAGTCTCCACAGGTGTACATAGTATCTCCCCACTAACACATCACATTTTGCGTTACCACTGCTTTTGCCACGCAAATATGGCAAAGGTGCTATTTTTCTGACTGAAGTCACTGAATGAGAACGGTACAGCGTGTCTTTTTAACTCCAGACCTCTGGTATGTGCTCCATGCGTTCTGCCATGTTTTGGCTGCACGCACATGTGCATGGGACGCATCAGATGTAGAAGCATTGTCGAAGGCAGGAGCTTGCGCCTGAGGCGGGACAACTGAAGCTCTTCGCCGCTTTTACCTAGTCAGCGACTATAGGTACATCTGTTAACATATCGTTACTGTGTTTATAGAATAACTACATTCCACCTGAAGTGACTATTGTTATATACCGTAATATCCCGAGTCATCGCCCACCCCCCTACCGCCTGAAATTCATTAAAAAAGTGGGGTGGGCCATGTCTCGGTGGGTGAGCACAAACACTTGAAAAAAAGCGGAAAAAACCGCCTATTTTTCTCTGCGTATCTAGCGCTGATGCACAAGAGATACATCAAACTCAAAACTCGATTTAGTTTCATTGTTTTATAGAAAAAAATGCTCACGAAAGAACATTTTACTGTAGCGAAGTCCGTTGCTTGCATATGCGCTATAAACACCGCCGATCTGCATATAGCGCGAACGTTTGTTCCGTTAAAGAATGTCACCACTATGTTCTCCTAGTTAGTAAGAAAAAAAAGAAAGAAAAGTCTACAAGAAAATAGAAAAACCGACCAGGCGCAACGAGCGAGCGAGCGGACCAAAGAAGCGACCAAGCGCAATCCTGGGAAAGCGGGAAAGCCGGCGGTCGCGTTGGCAAATACTTTGGCGTCGGGCCAAGTCGGGCGCCTTGTCAATCGCAAGCTCTTGCGCAACTTTCTTGTTTGGTGCGTACATACGTGCGTCCGTGCACGGCGGGCTATCAATGGACGGTTGGGACGCTCTGCAAACGTCTGTGTAGGGCGTTCCAGCAAAGCTTTATTTACGCGTTGGCTTTGCCTAAAATATTGCACAGCCGCGGTCGCGACGGGCGGGAAGAAGGAGCGGGTTCGCGGTGTCCTTACTTCGGCGGAGACAGACTTTGACTTAACACTCCGCGGTTATATTAACAAACTCTTATTTTGTTATCTCCATCGTTTTCTTTTCGCACGGATACACGACCACTTTGGGGTCGCTCACGGAGGAAATGCGTAAACAAAAAGAAATGTCTTTCCCTCCTTCGTTTTACTTTGTCACGGACGTCCTCCAACTGTAAGGTCCGCGGCCTCGTCATTCGGGTAGGATGAGTGTTCGAGGATCACAGAGTCCGCGCTGGGGTATTTGAAGGGGTGGGCGATGACTCGGTGTTTTTTCGGAAATCGATATTGGCCCAAAAATTGGGGTGGGCGATGGCTCGGGGATGGGCGATGACTCGGGATATTACGGTATGTAACAGAAGCTGGTGCCACCTGTGTTGTTTGTACTTGCAACACTAGAGATTTTCTGTTGTGCCGAGCCTACTAATCCCAGGACCCGCCAGCCGCCATGGTAACAATAGAGAGCATGTAATGTTTTAATACAATCTATCTCCGTCCTGGTTCATTCAACTCTCAAAAGAACCCATGCATAACAACTATAACCGAGTTACATTTTAAGAACGCACTTAGCACCTCGGTTTCTGCCCGATGACGTCACGGAAGTGTCCCATTTTTACCGGCTGCGATCCTGGCGGTGTCTTAGCAGCGGCGGTGTATATGGCAGTCGCCTATTTCGCTGGAATTCGCTCTCCAGCTTGACAGCCCGCAGAAGCTTCAGCAGCCAGGAGTTTGGACTCTGCGACGACAGCGACACTCGCATTCGCCCTTACTTTTTGCCGGGACTTTTGCACCAATTGCCAGAATCGTGACATCTGACAACGTGACGCGTCGGCTTCTGCGACGTCACTTGCTGCCACTTCGGGATCACTTTTGACGTGTGGGTGGGATGGGACGGCAAACGCACCGGCTAGAGACGCTTTGCAGTCACCGTAGTATAGCGTGGCGCGGCTTTTTCCCAGACCTGGAGGGGCTCCGGGCGCAGTCCCTGGAGGGTGCCTCGATGGGCTTCACGGGCAAGCAGGTGATCCACCCGGGCCAGGTGGCGGTGGTGCAGGAGGCTTTCTCCCCCTCGCCCGAGCAGCTCGACAGGGCCCGCAGGATGGTGGCACAGTTCGAGAAGCACCAGAAGGAGGGCAAGGTGGGAGGCAGCCACGTGCGCTTCCAAGGACATCCTCGTCGTGCACCGTCACGGACGATACAAACTTAAGCGGCCTTTGGCCCTTTTTTGGCACACCTGCCAGTTTCTTGAGGGAGAGAATGTTTCTTTGCTACGCCCCAGGTTCACTTCTCTGTTGTTTTGGTCTACCCCTTTTTTGCCGAGCGGGCTCATTGCGGAAAGAACGCTCGTGACATTTTGTGCGTCCTTTCTAAAACTTTTGAATCCATTCAAACACACTTGTTTGCGACAAAACACTTATTTTATACTGCGCACAAAGTCTCGGATAAAATGTCGGCGCCAGACGCACTTTCGGACCACAAAAACGACGGCTCCCCCACATGTGCAAATCCAAGTAAGGCAGCCGTTCTTCGTCGCACCTCAGTCGCAACTTAACACGTTCAAACCCGCACGGCAGCAACTGGAGAGGCAGCAACCGTGTGCCAGAAGCGCCGACAGTGCGGCCAAGTTGGAAAATATCCTGAGTGCAGATAGACTCACTCTCGTAGAAGCACGTTCTAGAATTGCTCAAATGAGTCGCCATGAAAATATTGGACTAACTTTTTTTGGCGGGGAAAGCTTTGTTTTGTGACATACATGTTCTATCCCTAAAGGGGCACTCAAGTGCATTCTGAGATTGTCTATTTATTATCATAACTCAATCTATGGGCTCTAAGCATTTTCAAAAACCCGAAATCACATTCAAGAGTGGCCGATTTTCCTATTAAAGGTCCAATCAAAGATAGTGCCGCGACCTTCTTTCTGCGCCGTGGTGCAGAACACCAGGGGGTGTTATTGGACAGGAAGGCAACAGGGGAGGGCATGTGACAGGCAATCACGAGTGACGGCTTCCCGGTGGACTGACTTTTCATAGATGCGCATATTAAAATATTTAGTCCGCTGGGAAGCCATCTTGCGTGATTGGCTATCATGTCTGCTGCCTTCTTGTCTGGTGGCGCCCCCTAGTGTTCTCCGCCACGGCGCAAAAAGGAGGACGCGGCTGCTTCTGAATGTAATTTCGGGTTTTTTAGGATGCTTAGAGTCCATAGATCGAATTATGATAATAAATAGACCATCTCGGATTCCACTTGAGTGCCGCTTTAACGAAAGATGTGTTCCAAGGGTTGCCCCTCGAGGGGACGGGATTGTCCGGCTTAGGACCGAATGGGGAGTTCATGAAGAACTGCGATCCTCTGGAATACTTTTTTTTTTTTGTAAAATCCAAATACAAAACAAAAAAGTATTCCTATATTGTGCGCCTTACGAATGTGAAGTGTTCAGTCTGAGCACTAGATTTAGAGTTGGGGTAATTGGAAAAAAGACTAAAAAATAAAGTAACTTCTGTCCGTTCCCACATGAGCACTGCAGACTTAAAACCAAATCATTAAATGGAATCTTTTTTTTAAAAAGAAGAAAAATATATTGAAAAATACCGGGGAAGCATTTGCCCCACTTTCACCGAAAAGATGGCTTAATCTAGAGACAGGTGCTGGTCCGGTCAAATTGGGTGCCCGACGTATAATTTGCAGACTTCCCAAGTTTGGGAAACGTTAATAGTGGGTGCTTTCGCTTACCAATCACACGCAAAAAGAAGTGCAGGACCAGGGCTCACTCACTGTATGCGATTGATTTTCTCAGTGATGTCCGACACACAAAGGCACCGTGATGAGGCGCTCATGATTAGCTCAGTCAGATCGCAGCTGTACAGCCCGGGAACAGGCCTGGTCTGCAGTAACTTACCTTGCCTTTTTTTTTTTTTTTTTTTGTCTGTGTTTTGGTTGTTTCGCCAGTAAGGTGGAGAATAAAAATCAAGATGATTTAAACCTATTTAAATCGGACCAGTTTCACTAATGATTTAAATCACTTTTCCCACAAAAAATAACCCCGGAAATATATTTTTACTTTACTGTTTGTTTGTCATTTTGTACTTTCTGTGAGCCTTTATTCCGTACATAAATCAAGAAATCGCAAAGATTTCTATTGGACTGTACACGAGCAAAAAGCAGTTGCTCTTCCCAGCAAACTGGAGCATGTTGAGCTTTCTACCTTGCTCTTCTTTGGTCGGTTACATAACATCCTATTGCAAGCAAATCAGGATCTGAAATAGAGAGTAAACTTTTGACTAGCTAGAAAATCAAGCTGCTGCTGTTTTAGTGTGGCTGGGTTTCCATCAGTAAGAAGTTGGTAATTATACAGTTTCGTAGGTTGCAGTATTTCTTCCGCATTGTTTTGAGAGATTGGATGGATTTATCGATCATTCTGCCATAATCACCATTTTTTAACTACAGCGATTTAAATCAAATTTATCCGATTTTAATCGGATAAGTTTGAGGGACGAACGTGAAAAAAGGCAGGCAAGCTAATAAAGTAACCAATTTATTTTACTTTAAAAAACAAACCATGTTTTTTTTTTTTTTTTTCTTTTTGTTTGCCAGTTTGTTGAAGTGAATTATTTTGTCCTCACCAAGTATTGTCCTCCCCGTGGTTCGACCTCCAATGCGTGGCTGGCACTCGCAGGGTGCCTTCACCTTCGAAGGCAGCATGATCGACATGCCGACGGTGCTACAGGCAACCAACCTGGTGGAAGCGGACAGGGCCATCCATGCCTCGCGGGAAAACAAGGTCGAGGAGAAGAACTCTTCGGACGACGAAAAGCACGAAAAGAAGGCAAAGAAGGAGAGCTAGGGGGGCACCTATGGCCCACTTAGGAGTGATCAAATAAATGTGTCTAGAAGCGACTGATTCGCTTTTTTTATTTGACAATACTGCAAGTGTGGACATAAAGCGGATGAAAAGACATAATAAAATAAAAAGTGGCAGATCTTTGGTACAAAACGTCGGCGATAACAAATAAAAAAAAATTCAAACGAGCAAGGCTGTAAATAAATTAAACTTTGAGAAAGAGATTTCTTGCCGGTGGGCTTTCAACAGTTCTCTTTTGGCAGGCACATTCTGGCTTTCAGTCACATTCGCGACCAACACGGGCGGATCCAGAACTCTGTTTTGGGAGGGAGGGGGGGGGCGCAGAAAATTTGTAAGGATACTATTCTCCCATTCTTTCATGTGCACCGGGGGGGGGTCCACCCATGTTAAATTGCCCTCCGAGAAGGGGGGAGGGGGGGTCGACTTAGTTTGGGGGGGGGGATGGCCGCCCCCGTCGCCCCTCACTTGGATCTGCCCCTGGACCAGGGTGTAAGATAGACAGGTGGGGAAACGAGAGCCAAATGAGCGACCGGATTGTGTCCCCCTCGGGTTTCTCTTTTTCTGTGGCGCCATCTATGTGGAGCACCGCGAACTCTCACTCCGGGTGGGTGACCGGTGGCGACCGGATAAACTGATGGAGATGATTTCTCATGGATTTTCAATGAAGGAATGTCGTGCTCTCGGTTTATTTTGCGCACTCTCCCATAAAGTTCCATGCGAATTCGATTCCAATTTTTTTCCTCTCGCCGCAGCGCCATCTGTCGCAAATCGGGGGTACCCGCAAGCAGACGAGTACACAATACGGTCACGGCGCTGCGGTAGGTTTCTATGGGCCGTTTCCCCACCTGTCTATCTTACACCCTGCCCTGGACAAACACGACTGAACGGCAACTCGGGGAAGCACCACTGGCTGGGGAAACGTTTTGGGCAGCACGCATGTTAGCAGACGCCACTTTTTGCGCGGTGTGTGCAAAGAAAAGTACCGTTTCCAGGCTTGTTTGTGGAGGAATGCATACGGTGGTACTATTTTGAAGCAAAAAGAAATTTTGGCATGCTTTTTTGTTTTCTGTAAAGGATAGAATTTGATGAAATTATATGATGGATGTACACCCCGACACACTGTGAATGTCACAACCTACATGAAATGGATTTTCTACTCGTGTTCTCGTAGAGGGTTCAGCGTTCTATGAAACACAGAGGTGGGCATTTAGGGTTATGTATTCTATTAAACACAGGGAAAACACTTTTTTTTTACCCTACTAAAAAATTTAATTTTTTATTTCTAACGAAGTTTTGAACATTTTGTGTATAGTACAATATACAATTTGTTGACTGAAGTTATTCAAATGATGCAACCATTTAATCTGCATTCAATTTAATCCCAAGTTAATATATTTGCCTGTATCAGTACTAGAGATCAAACAGGGACAAACACGACACAAAGGAAATAAGCTTGAGGGACCAACTGATTTAATTTTTGAGACAAGACTTGGATGGTGCACCATTCGCATGTCTTTTTGCTCGGCTTTCAAAAGCCCATTTTGGATATAAAACTCCCGACCAAACGGCATACATCTTCAAACTGGTCAGGCAACTCGAGCAGCTGCCCTATCGGAAGCCTTCAGTCACATCCATGCAATTTCTATGGTGCCGGCGGCTTCTTGAAGACGCCGTGGATATGTAACATCTTCCAGCAGGAGTTTCCAAGACTAAGCCCTCAAATATTGAAGTGTTTTAAGAGGTGTCTGGCTCGGAAAGTGAAAATTGGGCTAAAGCTACGTAGATGCTCGTAATTGACAACTGGAAAAATGGCTCGCATCTGTAGTATGTGGTTACGAGACCTGTTGGAAGTTTTTTCGCTTCAATACGTGAAGAACACCTTCATGGCTAATCAAATGCAGAGGAATGCACTCGCTCAAACAAATCATGAAGGAGTTGAAAAGAAACTTTACAGACACCTCAAAGTGGCAGCCGACATTTGGCCAAGACTTGGCACCCCGAAGAAGCCAAGCCTCTTGTTAAATTGTTGTCTGCTAGTCCGAGGCTTCCCAAAGGTTCCTCTCCCAAGGCGTTCACAGAGGCATCTCTCACAGTGTCGGTCGTATCGTGACATAGACCCCAGAAATGCCCTTTTTCAAATCAAATCAAATCAAATCAAAGTTTATTTAGATAACCGTCGAGGAATACAGCTGTCTGGGGGGCCGTCACAAAAGGTATCGACATGCCTGACAAGGCGACAGCCCCCCGCCCTCTCCACGGCCAGACATTTAGACCAATCGACTCAATAGCCACAAAAGGGGGGGAGGGTTCTGGACGAAGACCCGTTGCAAGGAACCACGTCAGCCACTGAACCGATCGAGATCAGTCAAACGATCACCTGGGTGGTCCGTGTATTTCTTCGTTGGCAACTTCACAAACCGGTGCGGTATTTCTTCGTTGGCTTTCCACACGCCAGGCACGACCACGGTGAAGGGAGCACCAGTCCACAGCTGAAGGCGAGGCCATAAAAGAATCCCGGAACAGGCCATGTCCGTCTGCCTATTACCTAGTACACAAGGCCCGTGCATTACACGCCCCAAGAGGCAAATATACGTGGAAGTTCAACGAGAGATGCAGAAAAGCAGGAGACACGTTCGTCGTCGCGTGCTAGTGACGCTCCGGTGACGATGCTGATGCAAAGTGGGTGGCGCTGTGTGGATTCACTATAAAAAAAAAAGACGTTTGGGGGGGGGGGGGGAAGGCCTTGTGTTGTAGGCCTTATTGGTCCACTATGGCTGGCGGGGCCTTCCCCTGCCCAGCAGGCTCCCCTCCTTCCGCCTGAGGATCTTCTCGCGCAGCTGGCGGGTCTTGAGCAGCAGCATTCCTGAGGGCTTGCTGTCGCTTTGGCCCCGGCTGCCCTGTAGCTCCTCCAGTTTCTGCTTCAGGGCGGCCATCATGTCCACGTCGTCTGGGACGTGAACGTACCGCACCTGGCGGCCCTGAATGTGGAACTGCTCGAAGCGGCCGACGGGCGACGCTGCATCGCTAGAGGTGGGCACGGTCAGCATGACGTTCGCCATGTCCACGTTCATGCAGCTGCGGGAGAGGCATGGCACTGTGACGCGTCGACAGTAGTTATGACCGTTACTCCACTAAGGCCTCTCTGGACGGTGCCATTTAACAGTACACCTTGAACCAACATCTAGGGTGACGGCTAGCAATTCAGCACCAGAATGCTGGTTGACATATTACTTCTACAAGTAAACTCGCTGCACTACTACTGCTACTAAGCCAGGATCATTACTTTCCGGTAAGCTTGTTTATGGAGGTGGCAGCGATCGGTTGGGGGATAGCCCAGTTCTCACCAGTCACGTGCCCATGGTCTCCCTCCCTTCCCCTTTAATCCAATCCTAGCAGTCTCCCGCTCAATCTCATCCCAATAAGCTGCCGTCGCAACCACGTGGCCATGTTTAGAAGAGGGCAGCCGCTTGCCTGTCGACTTTTTCGACAGTCCCGTGTACGACTATCTCATTGCGGAGTTCCACCGTCGTGGTTCGTCCTTCCAAGGCCTGAAGCAGCAGGATGAGCGACTTGGAAGTCACCGCTCGTTCTTTCGGGGTTGCCATTGGTTACGCGCGGGCGCCAACCTGAAAGAAATAAAACCAGAACTCGCAGGAATGAACTGATGCAGTCTCATCACTGTCCAAGCACGAAGCGACGGTCAGTTACACGTACGGCTAGCACGCCACCACAATTCGTAAGTCAACCCGCGATTTTTTAAGTGAGGTTGATTATGCGTAGTCACCAGTTAGCAACATGCCTGGAACCGTCGGAGACGCGTTCCATGCACCGTAGCAACACCTCACTTGACCCTACCTGTCAGAGATGACTTCGGTGCAAGTGGGCAGCTGGTAAACAAGTTAACTTCGAACAATGTTTGGTTCAACAAGTTTCTCTTGCCCTTGCCGCCAACCGGCCCGCCATTTTTAAACGTTTATTCAGCCAATCAACGAGGACCAGAAGCTGTGACCAGAAGTACCGAGTCCGAAGCCAGTGTCCGAAGCACGGTCCGAAGCCCAAATGGTCCAAGATGGAAAAGTTTTAAAGTGGTTAAAGTCACGTCAAAAGAAAGCGAAAGCAATGCATATTTTAACAAGGGACGTCACAACGATTTAAAAAAAAAAAAAAATATTTTCACTTTATGGAACTTTATGGAAGGTCGGAAGGTGGCGTTGTGGCGTTGCGGACATCAAAATAACTGTTGCGATTATATTGACGGTGGTCGCTGTTTTTGAAATTATGGACGAGAGTTCACTGCAAGGAGTTATCGAATCTTTCAAGTACTTGAGGTTCAAAGAAGCGGGTCGCCTCTTGGATGTACAAGAGGCCCCGAGCGACGCCTTGCACCACTTGGTGTGGAAACACAACAGACTCGTGTGCCGGGCAGAGGTAATGCGGTGCAGCCCGAAGCCCCGAAGCCTTGGAAATCACTGGGGCCTTCAGAAAGCATTTCTTTGGTTCCTAATCCATAGGTTGCAACGTTGGACGGCGTTTCGGAGCGGACGCTCGTGCACGAGTTCTACACACTGTTCGATCTCCTGCGAGGTAAAGAAAATAGAAATTTCCTCGTAGAGAAAAAAGCGCGCCAACAGTGTCATTGAAGGTAGAAACCACTCGGTACAAACGCTTTCTAACGATCGAAGTCCCTGTAATGAGCTAAGCTTGGACTACCGAACATCGTATTAATCATACACCGTTTGTCATATCTTGTTCATGATATCCAGGCAAGTGCTACTCCAGAATTAATATCACTGTAAAAACTATGGTCATGATGACTCCACCTTTTTGAGGATGGGTGGCCGCGCCGCGCTGAGCCCGGCCGTGCAACCTCTTCGGAGTTTGCCTGTGCCGGCTCTGCTCACTTTTACCGGCGGCCGGGCCGCCGCGTGCGCTGCGCCGCCATGGAGAGGGCTTCTCTCTGGTGCCGTTCCTTGGAACTATGCCGCGCGAGAGCCAATGGGAACCTTCCTCCTTGAAACAGTAACGGCACCAGCCAATGGGAGCCTATCTATCAGATCTCTGCTAAATACGGCAGGCTTCGCTCCATTGGGACAGGGGAAGGTGCCGTTTGATATGGCTTCAAAAGCTGATGACGTCGGTTTGCTCCATGATACATTTAATGCCTTCGCATTAATAAGTGGACATTTCATTGAACGCCTATTCATCAAATGTTCTTTCATCGAATCGCTTGACACCTTTTCTTTGAATTTCTTTTCACCAAATTTCAGAGGATTATAATGCTTTTTATATACTATTTTACTCTTACTTCTGAGTTGTGTTCACGTTGCTGTCGAATCACATTCACCAGAAATAAGATGAATACCATGGTAATTTTTTCACCAAACATTTGGCTATTGAATCATAGAACATAACAAAACTTGAGGGGGTATGCAACTTACTATTTTCAGTCAATATAAGCAGCTGTGCTCCACCCCATACTTTGTTCCCTATTTGTTTGCACATAAAAGGTACGTCCAGAAAGGAATATAACTATTCTTCTCTCTGCCTTTTTTATTCTTTTATTTATTTAGTTACTTGTGTTTTCATTTCTTCTAGGAAAACAGCTTCTGAAATGTAGGTTGAAAAGCCGGCAAGTCCATGTTTCTGCCGAGGATAAAAAATAAACAGTGGAGATACCATTCTTTTTCTGTTTCACTTGACATGGAGACATGTCATTGCTTCAAGGATGGCTTTGTGCTTGAAACATTACGTCCCGTCAAGGACGAGGATATACTTTGAAGGGATGTACTTTTGTCACTGCACCCGATCCCAGGTTTCATAAAATGTCAAGGTGGCGTTCCCAGTTATTATTGGCCACATTAGCAGCACAAGGGCTAAAGGACTTCGTCAAAAGACAAACAGCCCTTTTCGACGAACAGTCCTGCAAAGGTCCTTCAATAGTCTGACAAACTCAATGCGACAAATTGCCCTATCTGACGAACTGCCCTGCTACAAATTGTCTTTTGACAAATGGCCTGTAGCCCCAGCACACCTCATCATTTACTATAAAAAAAAATAGAAATGCTTAGAAATATGAAGTTTCCTATTAATAGTTCACCTCTCTGGAGGAAAAGAAAGGTCTGCTATTCTGTTGTTAAAAGAAAATTATTAGATCAAAAGTTCCAAGTCCTCATCTCGGCATAGTTCAATGAAACAGCGTTCGACAAAATGACGTTCGGTGAAACAGTTTTTTTTATGAAACTGCGTTCTATGAAATGTCCAGACCCACTCGAGGATATGCGTGCATTCAGAAAGGCTCAAGTAGCCATAGAAATATTTCTTGTATTTATGACAGTCTTCATCATTTATCTGCTGGGGATGCATCTCTTTAGAATAAATACAGGTGAATGTTGATTTTGTTGGCCATAACTAGGGTGTGTACTTTCCGGTGTTTATTTGTGAGAAAGATCGGCGGACGTTTTTCGGTGTTTACTTATTTTCGAAACACCGGTGTATTTCGGTGGAACGTCTCACAACGAGGATAAAATCGGTGATTATCGGTGGAAAAAAACGCGATTGATCACAGAGAGAGAGTTCCAGTTTTATTCACATATTTCATACACTTCTCGAGGAAGCATCTATTTCTCACACTTTGTTATTATAGTAGATGCAAGCATACTTCGAGAGGCTTGCATCCGTCATGGCAGCACGTTCCTTGCGGTTCACAACCCGCAATTTTGAAAACGCACGCTCCACATTTGCGTTGGACACAGGAAATCCCAAAATGTCCAGCGAGGCTCGGGACAGTAGTGGCTAGTCAGGTAAATGAAGTTTCCAAAATAACACTGGATGAACGGTGCTAGTCACAGCATACTGGCGGTAACAAAGAAACTCTGATTCTAGGTCACTCAGCTAGCTCTCGCCTCGGAGGACCAGCTGATAGATACTTTCATAAGGCACAAATCCCTCAGGCTGCAGCTCCACGTTTATGCACGGATTAACAATTGGCACGCGGAACCAGAACGACGATTCATCCATGAAATCTGTAGCGTAGTCATCCTGAGCTTTCCGCTTACTTCCCATCCTGGTGGCCTTCTACTCCGCGTGACGACGAAGAGAAGCAAGTCTCACGTTGAGCAAACCCGCAGACGCGGGACGGACGCGCCTTCTCAAACACGTCTGCAAATTGTTTTACAGAACGGTCCTTTTATACACAGTGAAAAACTTTCCCGCCAACAAAACCCCTTTTCTGTTTCCCCAAAAGCCCATGGAAACTAACAAGATAACAAGGAACGCATCTCAGTCTTAGTTCTGAAAGGTCAGTAGCCTGCACGACACGGATGTTGGCAGAGTCTTGCAGGAACCACAGCAACCTCTGAATACATGGCTTGTACCAACATTACTTGGCCAAACACAATGGGGAAAGGGCACGTGAGAGCGTACCCTCCACTGCGTTAATTTTTCCACAAAAGGGGGCAATGGGCGACACAATGGGGGAAAGGCGTGTGAGACCTTAGCTTCCACTGCGTTAACTAGACGCTTTTGACCCCCAGAAAGGAGGGCGGACTGACACCACGTGCAAGCCATGTATAGACACTGGAAGAATGCAGGATCGACGAGATAACACGTTTGACGAACCTCTACGGGGAAAGGGTTTCGCTAGGTCTGAAACGTGCAACGACCGGTGTTTTTCGGTTTTAACCGGGGCGAAAATATCCAACCACCGGTGTTTTTCGGTTTTAACCGATTTTGTATTTTTGTCACCGACGGATGTTTATCGGTGTTTTTCGGTTAAAACCGGAAAATACACACCCTAGCCATAACGCTTCAGAATATTAATTCATTTTACGTGCCCATGCAGACGCTACCGTGAAAAGTGGGACATTGGCCCTGGCATGTGCCATATTGCACAACGAATCCAAATGCATTCAGATTGGCTTGCAAGATTTGACCCGCCACTACGGTGTGCTTCTTGAGAAAGGTGCGTATAGTGAACATGGTCGAAGCACCACCAGGTCACTGGCGAATTCCTGGTACCTGATTGGTCAGTGCCTGAGCTGCTGGCAAGCGTTGGCCTGTGATTAAATAAGACACAATGCAAGACGCCGACAGCTGAGACAGAAATGCTCTTTTATCGCCTATTTCAAGCATCCATCTTGCTGAATGCATCTTACGCCTCAAGCACGACCTCTGTGGTGGAAGATGTCGGAGATCTCATCAAGTCGTTTCGGCAGGTCGGAAAGAGACTGAAAAGTGAGTACGCCGTGCAAACGGTTTTTGTCGGGTGCCTTCTACAAGCAACATGTAGACATAACCAACTGCTAGGCTTGAGCAACTCGTAATTTCATATTGCAGTGCAAGATCCAGCGTCCTTTGAACTTTTGGTCCTTGCAAGTTGCAGCCTGGCTGAGAGGCTGTTGAGCGAAAACGACTTTGTGAACAGCTTTCAACTGCTGTCCTACATCTCTGCTCTGGGTCTTCCAGAAGTGACAAAAGATGTGAGTGCCCGTAACTGTTCCTTTGATGGTGCTCAACAAAGTTATCTCAGCCTGAACTTCTTCGTCGATGATGCATCCGTCATTTTTTTCTTTCTCGGTGTAGCCGAGTTCGTTAGCACATTGCAGCTCGAAACAGGTGAAGCGAAAGCTCACTGCAGAACAACAGGGATCATTCGAGTTTGGTTCCCACCCCTGCCCATTCCAATAGGAATGAGTGCCACTGCACTGGCATGCAGTCATGTAACCACTGTCTTGTGGTGCATGCTAGCAGCCATACTGCCCTGGCTAAGTTTTAGCCTTTACAGCATTGCGCATTTACAGTCTTCTTCATTGAGTTATTGGTTTTCCTTCTCTTCATTCTGTGCTTTAGGTATTTTAAAAGTTTATTTCTACAATTCCCTTTAACTATTTTTTTATTTATTTATTTACCCCCTAAACGAAGGGTCGGGACGCTTGATTTGTTTCATGATTAATTTCTCGTGTTCTTGTGTGTGAGTGTACATTGCAGCTAATAATAGATAGATAAATTTTATTTGGTCCACGTGTCTTTTTTTTTCTGCAGATAAATAGAACAGTTTACGTCACTTCTGATGTGCTTGGAATTACTCGCAACGAACATAGCCGTACCCTTCGTCAGCCCCAGTGCTTCAAGGACTGTTTTTATATATTCCTTTTTCCCGTTGACTATCAGCGACTGGAACTCATTTCCTGAAGATGATGTCTCGTGTCATTCGCATGAATTGTTTTGTTCATTCCTTGCGTCTCATGACACATCTTGTGACTTGTGAAATAAAAAAAAAATAAACATCCTTTTTTTTTAAGTTCTGTGCTCTTTGCTTTTGTGTTTTTCCTATTCTAGCTTGTCTTTCGGTAAAATATTGGGTGATTCTTTGTATTTGTTCCTGCAGTTTTGCCAACCCATCAGAAAATCTGTTAACACATTTTCTTGTTTTTCTTGTTCTAGTGTGTGTTTCTTTTCTATCTTTTCTTTTGTGTGTATTTTGCTAGAAAGTGTTTATGCCCTTTTAAATGAATAAATCAAATTAAATTCTTTATGTGATGTTCTGTAACGAGGTCAAAGCCAAAAGTGAAGAGTTCAACGCTTTGCCATAGGTGCACATTTTAAGGGGAAAATACAAGTTACCTAGTGCATGAATGGATCCGGAGATGCACCGCATGTATTCAAAGTTAATCAGTCTATGAATGCAGCACCCTAACCGTAAGATAACGGTGGTATGTTTTATAAAAAAGGCAGCCTTTCGTCATCAGGCATCGACTGAAATGCGGTGACTGCAGCGCTAATTGGGAGACGTGAATGACAGCAAGGTAGTGAGGTTGTTCTCTCAGCGTTGGTCTTTGCTTCACCAGCAGGAACAGGAACGAGACTGGCTGCGGGTAACACAGTACAGGGACCATGCCTCACTCCGGTCCCTGTGCAGTGTGCTCCGCGCGGTGTGCGGTTACATCTCCACCGGCGCCTCGCCCGATGTCCGGCGATGCCTCACCGAAGTCCGCTGCCAGGCTCTGGACCCTTTTGTGACATATTTCCAAGGTGATGCTTGGCATTGATGTTCTAAACTCTGGGTTGATGTTAATTTGGTAGAGCTTGCTTGTTTTTGTAAAGGTGGTCAGGTAGCCTGAACTTGCGGTGGCTGTTGCACTGGCATAGAGGCTTCTAGTCGGCTTTACATGAACACAACCATGGCTATACCCTTCCCTTTTATCTTTTTTTAAATTCTTTTTGGTGCGGTCAACTCGAGCACTCATTGGCTTTCTCGTAGCATGCGCTTGTTTTGTCGCCAGTGCAGTTACTCCTGGTTCTCGGGACTTTTTTCGGCTTTTAGCTGCTTGTTTAAATGGCTCTACGTCTTGGTAAGAGATGGGTGGGGCAGTGATGGTGGCTCTAATCTCAAGCACGCTCTAAGCATGCATGGTGCATGGGCATTTGGGCACGGGAGGACCAAGTAATCGTCTCATCTCGGGTAGTTGCAAAGTTATAGGCTGTTTGCATCTGTAAGACAAAGACAAAACCTTTTCGGAACAATGCACTAATCTAAAAGGTGTCATCACTGTTGTTATGTGCTTTTTTTGGTTCTTATGCAACCTTCATCTTCTTTGCCCAAACTTGATAATGCCGATGGACACTGCCAGGCACTGCTGACGAGAGCCTCCCTCGCTGGCTTAAATTGAATGGAGAATGAAAAGAATTGGCCACACACCACGTTGAATTTATTTTTTGTGTCGGTGTACCCACAGCCCTTGTCTGCTTTGAAAGCATGGCTGACGCCGGAGCTGACATTTGGAAAGCTCTGCAGAAGCTTCAAGCTTCGAGCAGTAACAGCGTCCGCTCAGCACTGCTGAACCTCGTTGGCTGTCACCTGGCCAAGAAGGTGAGAGAGCCGCAGCAAGCAGGTCAGGGTGCCACGCGACAAGCCAAAATTGTATTGTGGCATCAACTTTTTTTGCTGCGCAAATGGAGTTTCTCGCCAAACATGTGGAATCTTTTGCAAAGATGCAACTGGACAGTGGCGAGTTAGAATGAGGACTGTTATTTTAGGACAGAAAAACAAAAAAAGGCACTGTGGCGGTTATTTTAGGGAAATGGCGGCGGTGGAGAGGAAAGCCCTTAATGCACGCTGCTGCTGCTATCTTGTCAGAAAGAAGTGGGTCACTGGTCAGTGCCCTCAGAAAAGGCTGCTTTTTGGTCTTGCATGAAATAAGTGTCAAGTTTCCACTTGGCTGTCGAAAATTCTTTGTTCCTCAATTCTTTACCTACTATGTTTTGTAATTCTTGACACGGTGCTGTTACTGTGGTCTTTCTTTTTTGACTCCCTTAAGGCGCATTCACACTGGCGATGCAAAGCAGTTGTGCGATGCGACTAGCTCGCATCGCAAAATAATTAGATGGTCACACTGGCGTGTGCGATGAGCGAGTCCAACACCTTCGTTTGCAAGTCGCTTTTCGAAAACGCTTGCGTTGATCGCCGCTGGTTGGCTCAGCTGCTCCGCGATTAGATCGCATCGCAGAAAGTCGGATCAGGTAGCGACTGCTCAAATCGTGTCGCTTTCCTTCCGCTATGGTCGCTTTTGCGATGAAAGTTATCGTGCGACTACCGCATTGCCGGTGTGAATGCGCCTTTACATCGATGCCAAAAACAGCAACCCACAATCACTCAACAAAGTTGATCGCTATGTATTGCTGTTGTTAAGAGGTCAGTTGGGAGTGTGTTCAGAAAGTTTTTAATGCAAAAGCATTAACTGTCCCGTGGAGCGGAGCCAGCATTGTCTGTAACCGTCTGTAGCTGCGAAACGGCAGTTAAATTCCCATTGGCCAAAAGCACAGCAACGCAGATGCTTCGTCACGGAAGTCGGCGGGGCACTCAAGGTCAAAGTGGACCTGCTTCAGAAATAAGACACAAAGAAAAGCACAGCAACGCAGATGCATCGACACGGAAGGCGTGGAGCCGGCGTGGTGCGCCGCGCCTGCGCAGTGGGGAGGCGTGATGTCACCGCTGGAGCTCCGTGTGCGATAGGCAGACATGGCGCACTGCTTGTAGGAATGCTTTCGCATTCCTTCACATAAACAGTCTTAAGTGTCCTCCTGTAATTTTTTGGGGGGCATTCTTCATACGCAATGTCACCTGTGTGCGAGCACTTCGTAAGATCTATGGAGGGCCATATTAAGGTACTACACACACCACATTTTTTTTTTCAGATTTAAAATGGAAAAAGCGACTACTATGGAGAAGTTCTAGTGTAACCGCACATTTGATTCGTCCTGATGTCACTGTGAGTGAGAACGGCAGGGAGGAGCTTCAGTTGTCCCACCTCCAGCATAATCTTCCTACTTTCAATAACGCTTCGGCGCCTTGTGAGCCGCGGGCGTGCACTTGCAGCCAAAGCATAGCAAAAGGCAACGAGCACATGCCGGAGGCTGGGCGTTCGACAGAGACGCCCTGCTCTTCTCACTTTGTCGCCGACTATTGCTGCTACTGTGCGCCAAACCCGCGCAACTTATTTTTTCTTTTATTTTTTCTTTTTTTTTGTTTTAGTCAATCGTTTATTACTTTTCACTTTTCCTTTCCGCTCTTGCACTTTTAACCTAGCTTTTGAGTACATGCACCAGACCTGCAGAATAATTTTTTCATTTTAACGCAAAACATTTTTGGTTATTTGTTCGGCATTTCGTGAAGCCCAGATAAAAGCATGGCCGCGAGGCTCGACACTGATTGGTTGAGGGGTGGGAGAGGAGGAGCAAGGTGTTCGACGCTGGATGGTTAGCGGGGAGGTAACGTGACCAGAGGGGTAGGTGAAAAGGAGTCAATTAGGTGAGGAAGAGCGGTAGTATCGCTTCATTCTAAGAACAACTGTCAAGTGTACATGTGGTCATTCATTAAACTAACCAATGAAGGGTGCTGTGAACATAGGCATCTGGCGTCTGGAAACTCAGTACCGCTAAACGTCTGTGATGCTAGAACATTTCACAAACGCAACACAATTTCCTAGCAATTTGGCATACATTTTTTTTCCAAGATGGGCGAAAGAACGACCCAAGTCCCGTTCGTGCGCAAGCCAGATGCAAGTTTGTCGCAGACACGTGACCGCCTCTCGGTGCGTGCAGGGGAAGTGGCACTCGTCGGTGGAGCTCTTCCTCGCCTCCCTGGAGCAGGATCCATGCAACCTGCTCGCCCTGTGGAACATGGCCCAGTGCTACGACTGCCTCGGGATGCACGACGCCCAGTTCCAGGCGCTCGTCCTCCTGTTTGAGGCACGTGGAAGGAGAAGTGGCGGTAACTGTCTTGAAAGGGCAACCGTCTTCAAAGGTGGCTTGCCCGATACCACCTAGAAGACGAGGCCTGCGCGTAACGTCGTTGTCGGTGGATCTCCGACTTGTCCCGAGCGGCAAATGCGCCAAAGCTTGACGAGAGACTGTCCAGTGGCAGACACGTCTGTCTTGGCGTCCCCGCGTTCCAGTGTCGCGCTCGTTTTGAGACGCCGCAAGACGTGCTGGCGGCGATGCTGATGTGAGCTAGACGGCGCTGCCTGGATCCACTGGTGACGGCGGTTGGGGGGGGAAAGGTGCAGGCCTCGTCTTCAAGACAGTGTTGTCTCAGCCCAGCTTTTTGTCATTTTTTTTTTGTTGTATTATAAATGACGAAACCACCTCTCGAACCAGCGTTACTCAGATATGAACGATTTGTGAAGCAGGGAGGGCGGCCTAAGTTTTTATTTCCCCACAATATCCAGTTGTGGACAGAAGAAACTGGACAGGAGCAATGGGTGCATCCACCTAATTGGAGTGCAACTTGCGCCTTCTAGGCGACTGGCATGTGGCTGAAAATAATCCACTCGGTCGGGTCTGCGGTCCTCGGAGCTTCTCATAACCGGCAGAGTGCTCCACGAGCTGCATTAACCGGACATTAAGCGTCAGTAGAGCAAAATAATGTTATATTAGGTGCCACCGGCCTCAAATTGAGTGCATCACGGGGGTGGGTGGCCAGCATTAATTTTAAGTGCAATGACATGGGATGCTCTCACTACAGCCATCGGCTGGCCATATTCTCTTCATTTAATTAAAAAAAGACAGATTCTGTAAACATTAGCATATCATTTGTTGAAATTTGTCAAAATATCTGAAAGACAATTGTCAGCTCGATTTATTTTAGCGAGTAACTGTACAAAATAAAACCATTTAGCGACGTCACATCTGAGGGATGTATTGGCCAAGAAACGGCAGATAATGTTTTTACAAGAATAGATTGCTAGAGTCACTTTCATCTCAGGAGCACGAATGGAATGTCCGTAAAATCTGAAGCAGGAGCGGCTTCTGTCAGAGTTACGGAACAAATGTGAGATGGCTCCGGCGGATCTGACGCAGTAAAACGAGCCGGAAAAATTGGTGCCAACACATATAAAGTTTCAACTACCCATAGGTGCAGGGAGCGGACAACAGTGTGCGTCGTCTACCTGCTGCGCCTACCGGTAGGTGGTGCCACAAGTCGATTGTGTCGCTGACCCTGTCGTCTGCAAATGCGCCCGATGTTCACTTTGGCAAATTTGTTGCTCTTATTTTTCCCAGAAGGAGAACTACGCCTTGAAATTTCACAAGGTAAAACTGACCCGCTCAATGCACATTCGGTGAAAGTTTGAGTTTTCCATGTGGAGGCACCAATGTTTCCTGCTTGTTTTACCACGTCGGATTCGCTGGAGCTACCCTATATTTGTCGAAGTATGAAAATTTTTGTGTACGGCGCATTCGTTTACCCGTCGACACACTGTGGTCATTCAACTTCTTCGGGAATGCAGGAAGCGCTGCAGACGCGTGTGTCCGGCCGCAGCACTGTCTTGGATGGCCCTGATGGGAGACGCTGCTTTCTGTCGGAGGTGGCACCGGCACCGAGCCTGTCCCTAGCGTACCACTCGGCCCGCCGCCTGATGGCCCTGGGGCGCTACGAGAAAGCGGCCGACTGTTATGACCATCTCCAGGAACTCTGGGAAGACTGCACCGTGGCCAAGGTGAGCTCGGAGCTTTCACGCTCGAGTATGGTGCCTAGAACGCATCTACTACTCGTCAGTTTAGCGTCCTGTCCCGCCCATGCATCGAAAGGGGTCCACAAGTGGCAATGAATGACATCACAAAAGCCAAAATGTCATGCTGTAGGATGTTGCGATCCCAGTGATTGGTCGTTGGAGTTCTAAAAAAAACTTTCAGCCTTTCCATTCTGGTGAAGAACTAAGAGAAGCGGAGCTGTAGCTTCTGTTCTCTGTGGTGGCTTTCCAGGCGAGCGATCTGCTCTTCTTTCGCAAGAGAATCTGAAGTGCTTGACGCTGTGGAACTTTAGGCGATAGTGGCCTTGCGGCAGTTGCGGAACCATTTGCGCTGCTGCGCACATCGCCGCTCGTTCTGTTCCCGCTCTTCTTCCTTCGAAGAAATGTTGCCACCATCTATGTGCGACGGTGGCAACCAGAGTGGTGCGTCGACCACGGGTGTCGAGATTTGTTTGGTACGGGACACGATCCTAAGGAAGCTAGCCCTTAACAGCTCCGCTGTAAAAACACGAAATAATGCGTGTGTCGCTGCCATTGCGGCGTCCCAACCCTTGGCTGCCTAAGTTTCCATGGGCTGTCGAGCTGGAGAGTGAGCTGCAGTGAAACAGACGTGTGCCACATTCACCACTGCCACTGTGACACTGCAAGGATCACGGCCGGCGACAAGGTGACGTTTCTACGACGTCGTTTTGTGGAAATCGAAGGGCCAATTTTTAAGTTGCAATAAACGCACCAGTTGAAGATGCGTTCCATGCACCACGTTTGAAGGGCCTCTGGCCGAACGTTTGCACATTTCTGGATTTTCGTAGAAATGTGGCGTACAAGGACTACCACAGAGAAACTTTCTGCAGCTAGAAATTTGGCTTTGGCCAGAACGAACAACCTGCTGCATGCTGCTCCGGGGGGTGTATTTGTGCACAATTTGCCCCATGCCTGTGCCAAAAGCCAAAAGGGAGCTGTTCTCAGAAAGGCAACTGAAAGCGTCTCTCACGTGGCATTGCGGGCGATGTCACTGAAAATTAAGAAAGCACAGTTGTTTTTTTGGATGCCTAAGTACTATGTGCAAAGAGTAGCGTTGTGCAAATATTGAAATTAAAAAAAAAATGTAGTTCTAAATTATACTCTATTTGATATTATCTTTAAAATGAGCTGCGATAGTCATACTTTTCGAAGTGTTGATTGCGGTGGGTTAGCCCTTTTGAGTGCACTTCTCCTCAAGCGCCGGTGCACTGCAGAGAAGCAATACCCGCGGAGCGAACACAGCGATCTTGCCACCCGCTTCGCCACAGCACTTAGGCGAAAAACACACCTTCAAAGTGTTCTGGTATACGTGCGCTTCTAATGTATAAAAAAAAAGAAAGAAAACTTGATTGTTGATATTTACATTGCAGTAAAATTTTCAAAATGTAACTGTGGCTATTATGCTATGTGGTAGGCAGCGATGATCTAACAACCTGCGTTCATTATTTGTGCTTGTTTTTCTAAATTCAGAATTGAAGAAAATATTTGCTTGTAGCAAGAGGATTTTATAAAACCCCTCAATTACGTATGGCTGGGCTCCTTTATAGGTTTAATTTTATGTAAAATCTGTCGTTTACTTCCCATCCCGATGTAGGTATTGGACTTTCTGAGGCCACACTCTATAAATATAGCTAGATTAAATTTAACAGAGCTCATAAGTGGGCAGTTAGAAGCTTGGGAACAACCTTTGCGAGCTTAGCTAAATTCTTGTCTAAGCATGGTGTAACCGTAGTGAAAGGCATGGAGAAAGGTGAAGCAACAATTCAATATTCAATTCAGAAATATTTGGCCAAAATCACTATTATTCATTGTGATCAGTTAGAGTGGCTATGTGCTCTGCTTAGCTGCTCTATGAACAGTAGCAGGTGAAATATGAGCGAGAGTAGCGTGATACAAACCCTACAAATTAGCCAAAATAATTTTTTATGTCACACACAATCGAAGATGCCTTCGGTACTCCTAATACCGTAAAATACCGGGCAAGCACCCACTCAAAATTTAGAGATAATCGCGAAAAAATGGGGGATGGGCACTTGTCCGGTTATCAGTTTTACATATCAATGTACTGTGCATATTTTCTCAGATCTTACAAATTTGGGTATGGGCGCTTAGTGTGGTATGGGAGAATGCGCGGTATCCTACGGTAGGTTATTTAAGGTGTCTGCAAAATTACCAGCGTATGATTATTCAATAAAAAATGAAAACCGTTTACAACTCCCTGTAACGCCGAATTGGAGCGCAGCCCTTGAGGACGAGCAGAGGAAGGTACAGAGAGGAGGCTATGCCTCTCCTCTCCTGCTAGCCTCCCTTTTAGGGGAAAATTTTCCGCTAGGTTTAGCGGGGAAATTTACCCATAATGCACCGTGTGGTTACGCCAACGGCGATGCCGACGCTGCTCAAGCCGCAAACGGGCGCCTAAGAGCTGCGCTCTAACAAATAAATATCTGTAGCGGCCAGATCCCCTGTAGTTATGACACTTTAAATAGTCTTCTTCCAACACTCCAACAACTGCAGTTTTTTCCAGAGGCTAGCTTTTAAAGAGATTGTATAAAATTCTCTGAGATGAAAGCTTAAAAATTGTCTACACCAAAACCCGTTTTTCCCTGCCACAAGAGCTGCTCCAAATCACCACTTGTCAGTTCCACCACTGTTGACGATGAGGCATTTAGAAGGCCTGAACAATGCCGTAAAGTCCCGCAGATAGGCTAAGCTATCCTTTGCAGCCACTTTTACGAGGGCATGTGGAGTCCTATTAATATAATTTACGAAAAGAGATGAGCGAATGACAATGCACTGATAGCCTTTTGGTTTAGAAATGCAATTTATTCTGGGATTGACCATAATTTCTGGCATATAAATCTAGGTTTTTTTTTCTAAATTTGCATTTCTGTGCTTTATACGACGGTGCAGCTTATATGACTTTTTTCTTCTAAGTGTGTACCTTAATTGTGTATGACGTTGGCCGTATTGACATTTACGACAAAGGACGAACATTGGAACACCTTCCGATGGTCTTCTGTTTTGGCAGTTTAAAGATAGGCTGAAGCGGGGCGGCGTAAATGCAGCACCATGGCAACCACACGAGAAAGCGTGACTTTACGTGAGGGTGCGACTTATATATCATCTTTTTTGTAAAAGAAGTGTTTATAAGGCTGTGCGACTTACAGACTTAGATATATGACTCTTGCTACCATCACCTCACCATTCCCTGAACCCTTTTCGTAAATGTCAGTGATTGGCTATTATTCTCATTCTCTGCATCAAAGCAGGTGTGCGGGCTTTGTTCATAAAAAAAAGCTCATATGCTATCTAGCAGTATAAGGCGCGATGATCGTAACATTCATAATTTGTTCATTTCGGGGCAACTTTTTATTGCGCTCGTTTTCATGGCCGGAGTGGCCAACGCTTTACCCGATACTAAAACTTGCGCAGGAAATCCACGCGTTTGACGGCCGGCTCCCCGTTCCGGACTGTCGTGACGTGCAGCTGGAACGCGTCCACTGCCTGCTCAACTGCGGCCGTTTCGAAGACTGCGTCCAGCTCTGCGGCCAGCTGCTGGGTGCTGCGTCAGTGGAGGAGACTTCCACGGACTGTCCCTCGGCTTTTCCGGATGACGGGGACGGCGTGGTCTTCGGCCGTCTTTCGTCGACGGAGCCCTCCTCTCCCGCGAGTCACGCCGTAAAGTTGCAGCTGCGGACGATTGCGTTCCACTTCTACAGGGGCTCCTCTCTCGCTTCTCTCGAGAGATATGAAAACGCCCTGGAAGATATCCGCTGGTTGGTCGTCGTTCTTGTCTCATTTGCGGAGGGCGTAGGTCTGTTTGTTGCTTTAAGGGTCCGTTCACACATTCACGTTTGCTTACAACTAGGTAAGCTCTCGCTATCTCTTACGGCGAGAGAACGCACTGGTACGTTGGCGCCATCTATGAGGTGACCCTGGAACTGCATTTTAAACTATTTGCGAGATTGAATGTTTGTACTACTATATATGAACAATAGTAATTTATAAAATAATGTGAATTTAAATGCTAATAAGTTCAGTAATTCTTATTTTTTTAGGCTGATCAGTGAGATGAACAGCTGTCACATAATAAATGACTCCTGTTTTTCCTTCCAATTCGATTCGTGCTCCACCGCAGCTCAAACGAGGCCTGTTTTCTCCACTAAACAAGGTGGGATTGATGGTCACATATTTGCCGTTTGTGCAGTTCCTTGAGGGCCTCCTCCTCTGGTGGTGGATCAGATGGATGGCTGGGGTTCTCACTGTCCAGTGACTAGTTCTCGCCAAGGAGCTCAATTGCTCTGGTTCGCTTGTAATGGCCCTGTCCGCTGGTAGGGGCAGATCATTCGTCGCAAAGGTCCAGCAAAGCTCCCTATAAGGTTGAGAGGCACTCTATATGGCTCGACCGAAAAGTAAGCGGGGGCCGAAATTCAAAGTTGGTGATACTGTGAGATTGTGAAATTATAAAGGGGCTTTTGAAAAGGGTTACAAACGGAATTATACGACCAAATTTTTTCGAATGAAGAAATTCTTCAGTGATCTGTATTACCATTTAGTTGACATGAAGGGAAAAGATATACTGGGAGAAATTTATGAACAGGAAATGGTGGAACATGTTCCCACAGGGTGATCTTTGTATATTGTTTTTACTTCTTGAAGGTCATTTTTCAAGGTCAGGGGAATGGGGGATGGTCTAGAACTCCCATTTTCTGTACTACAGTCGCGCCGTGCGGACGCGCTCTCTCGTCAGCCCCACTGCTGCTGCTCAAAGTATGTATGGCTCACGAAAATACTTTTGCTTCCGCCACAGGCACAATCACCGGCACCTCCGTTCTTAAAAAGTGTTTCAGCAAAAAAAAAGAAAGTGTGTCTCTGTCTTTTTTTAACGCGTGCAACATCTTGCCCAATCGTTCCACCAAAGCACATGTCTCCTCACGCACGTCTCTTACATCAATTGTACCGAAAGCAAAGAACCCATTGCAAACATTGTATAGCATACTGGCTGAAAATAAATCTCCTTCAACGTGCCTTTCCACAATGCAGCAGCTACCGCCGTCAGTCGCAGCACGCTTTGTGTAATCGTTTCTGCGAGAAAAAAAAAAAAAAGATTCACAAAAACAATTTGTGGAGATGCTCCACCGCCCCCAGATAGATGGCGCCGGCATGCTCTCATAAGGGATCACAAGAGGTCGTAACGCACTCTGTCTTAAGCGTGTTTTTAGCAGAGTTCTCAATTTCGAAGTGTTTCGTTTTTTAAAGTGAACTTTGAAGTAAATACAGCCACTGTTTGTAAGGCTCAGTTAGTCATCTCTCATCGGCCTGTGTCTCGAGGGGATGCCGTGGTCGACGAACCTGTTTATTCTTGCTTACAAAATTTCATCCCTCTGAAATGTTCCGAAAAGCGGCACTTTAGACAATCTGTTGTGCATACAACCCCCACTTCGGAAGTTCTTTATAAAAAAATATTTTCGGTTGGCCTTGGCATTTCAGTTTTCTTTTTTTTTGGGGGGGGGGGGGGGGAGGAGGGTCAGAAACAGTTTGTTGTTTCTCAGCGGCAGTAACATTTGTCCGGCGCATCTTTTCAGTGCCCTCCGGATGACGCACGCACTGAAGCAGTGTCGGTGCGGACGGTCTCGGCCAGTCGTGAGTGGACGGGATGAGAGCACAGGCGAAAGTGCGGAGACCCCCGCCAAGAGACCCAAACTGGACGGCGGTACGGGCAACGTCGTGGAAGGAGGTTGGTGTCGCCATGTTCTGCTTGGACCCAAACACTTTCAGGGAGGCTTTGCTTCTAGAAAAAGCTGGTGGGATTATTTTCTTATGTCCTAGCTGAGGTTGCCACAGTCTGATTGATGCTCTTGATGGTTTGGGTGCCCAGAATAACCAACTTCATTTACTGATTGAAGACTTCCAGGTGGTCTTGGTAAGTATTCCCGAGTTCTTTGTAGAGGCACCCCTTGGGCCACTGTCTTCACTGGGCCGGGATGTAAAGGCTTTATAATTGTTTTTAGTTTGTGGTGCCATTTCTTGGCCTTGGGGACAAGCAAGCTGGATGCGTACACTAGAACCTCTCTTAACGTCATTTTTTTCAGGATAAATCTTTCTATAGCAAGATATTTGCTGTATCAGTTCCCCAAATGCCCGTAGCAGCTTTACAATTGTCTACTTTTGACTTTGCTTCACTGCATCTATATTATGCTGCAGCATTAGTCTTTACTATAAAGAGCTTCTGCCACAGATTCATCCAAAGTGAAGCCTTTTTGCAGTTGTTTGCTGGGACAAATTTGAAATGCTAGGCTGACTTAGCTGTGCTGCTTAGTGAACATGCTTTAGTATTCTCTGTACTCTGTATTTCGCAGAAGTCGGTGTAGTGGACCCGCATTCCACGGCGGCATCCAACTCGGGCTCGAGCAATGCCTGCGACGCCTGCCACCTCAAGTCCAAGTTGCTGGTGAACTTGGGCGTGATTCGCGTCCGCCAGGACCTGCTTCGGGATGCCTACAACCACCTGCAGGCTGCAATCGTCACGTGGCCAGGTGCTCACCCGATTTGTTTTGTCGTGGCAATTTGCCAGCCCAGGTTACTTGCATGCTAATGTCCTTTGGAGTGTGTTTAAAGGTCGGGTTTCGCGTGAAAAGCATTAGGTACGCTCAAAAGTAACAAAAAACCATTACAATCAGGCTAGGGCAACATAAAGCATACAAAGCATGTAGAAGTCGGAATTAGTCATAATTAAGCATTATCAATCAATAATTAGTGTGATTTACCGAGTGGTGCAGCAGGAAGCGAACCATTTCCAACCGTCATTTTGAGGCAGTGGTCTAAGTCTGCGCTGGGACCCTTTGTGCTTCCAGATTGACCAATGGAAGATAACCTCTACGCCGAAAGAGGTTGAAGGAAAGGCGAACGCCTCTCCCAAAAAGCACGCGCTCTTAGCACATGTTTGATTTGGACTGCTAAAAATTAAATGTATTTATAAAAAAAAAATGAGTGGCGCAAGATGACGTTTAATGACACGGATGTCAACATTAAACGCTGCCGGTCACATTTTTTACTCTCGTAGCGATAAAAGGATTGCCGCCGACATCTAGAAAATGTTTTAAAACCTCACACGCATTCGAAAAATGAAGCAATCAGAAAGCAGGCAAAGGAAGCAAATGGACCGTGTCCAATAATATTTTTTGGGGTCTGGAGTGACTTGTATCCGATGCATTTCTTGTAAACAGTGAGCCGCCTTCTTATTTGGAGTTTCCAGGTTCATCAATTGTTTCACGTCATGTTCTGTATCAAGACTCGTACGTCCTTCAGTGTTGCTCACCTTATGTGAATGTGAGAGTCAACCATTTCAGTAGGTCTTAAAGGGACCATGAAACGAAAGCGGGTGCTCAGGAATCGGACAACACTGGCTTCCTTTTGGGATGTCTCGGGGCGCCGTAGCAACCTTTGGCTTAGCATGTTTCTTTTCTTTTCCCTGTTTCGCTTCTTCGAAGGCTCATGGCCTCTTTGGCGCTAAACCCTGGCAAGCTCAACCGAGCAGGTTAAAGAGGAAAAGAAATGCGAGGCTCATAAATGCACTCTTTACAAAAACGAGCACATGTGACCAAAAACTCTGTATAATAGTAACTTGCTTCACCTTACAATGGCCCATGAGCCACACAGGCCAGTCAAGAGCTCGAGGTACATTACGCCACCATCCGGTTGGGTGGAGCGGAGCATGAAGTATGAAATAGTATGGCATGTGCCAAGCACTCGACTGACTGAGATGGCATTTAGCTGCGCTAGTACATCTTAAGGTGGAACAGACTATGATGCCCATGTCATGCTTTATGAATGAGAAGCGTTTATTTTGAGCACCAGTCAGCCAATGCAAAGAAAAGCAATTTCATAGTCCCTTTAATGCTTGTAAAGCATGCTGCAAGGGCACCGCTCGGTGTAGGATTTCTCGCAAATGTAAGTGCTGCAGTCTTCTCCCTGGCAGATTAGGGTGTCTCGTAACGGATCCTTTTTTATATATATCCTTGTTTATTTTTCGTACAATAGGGAAACCTTGGTGCTAGCTGGCTTCCATAATTTGTTTGCAGGCAACATCGACGCCGCCTACAATCTGAGCGTGCTCTTGATTGCTACGGGAAAGCTCGAAGCTGCACGCATTGTCTGGCAGCAGTTCAAGGCAGGGGCCAGACGGAACGGAGCCGAGCTGAACGGGGCTCTTGTCCACAGTTCAAGCGTGGGAGCGCCCCAAGTGCAGTACCTCGACGAAAAGCTTGCATCCAACAGCTGATTCATGTGGTGCGTGCAAAAGAAAGATTTTTAAAGTCCTTTGTACTAGAGAAGAAATTTTCCATGTTCAGTTTCTTGTGTTAGGTATGTAAATAGGCATCACAAAAAAGTAAATAAAGCATGTGTACGGTACTTTTATTATGATGAATATGTGCAGGTTGGCAACTTGGTGCGCTTTGGCAATGCGGTATTATATGCATGAAATCTGAGGTCCAGTTGAGCTTAGAGATTCATCAGAGGAGCGAGGGCAGACTGGCACTGGGGGTGCATGGGAATTTACACTAAATGAAGAAGTGCAGGGGGACATGGGCTGGGCATCTTTCGAGGCGACCAGTGAGTTGATATTTGAACAAAAGCTAGACAAAATTGATGATGCACGATGGGCGAGAAAGGCATATAAGCACTTATACATGGAAAGTCAGGACAGCAAAATGGACAAGCCGAACCCGAAAACTGAAATTCAAATGCCAACAGTCAAGTGCTGGGACAGAGTATAGACTACCTCTGTGGAAAAGAAATTAAGAGAAACCGAGAGAAAAATCTGGGAGGAAAGAATGCAGGGAAAATCAGCTTCAACAGGGGACAAAAACAGGAAATATGGAAGGAACATTGGCATGATAATTCACGGGGGAGTTCATTGTTATTCGAAGCTAGAACAGGAGTATTGAGGACTAGGACATTTAGGACAAAGTGTGAGGAAATGGATACGCAGTGTGCTGTGTGCCATGGGGAAGACAAGACAATAGAACATGTGGTGCTGAGGTGCATTGGACTTGCTCCCGCCCTCCCGGAGGGGGCAATGGATTTAGCTGGAGCACTGGGGTTTGCGGACGAGAATGGATGATACACTTTGATAACAGAGAAGATTTGAAGACTGGTGGAAATTATCTAGAGGAAATGGAATGACGTACAACTAACTAGGAACAGCTGGAGACAGGTGGGACAGAGGGAGATTGGCTACTCCCTCGCCGGGGGAGGAGGCGAGGGGTTATGTTCTTAGTTTTCTTTCTCCATTCCCCAAAAGTTATCTTGGTGATAGTTATAAAATTGCAGGGAAGCAAATGAACCTAGAAGGGCGAGGGGCCAAATCACTTGTTTTTAATTTCTAGGCTAGGTTGCTCATGCCAGTGCCCGTTATGAAGGGTACAGCCGTTAGCATCCGTTGATCCATCCAGCTTAGCGCAAGTATTCAGGAAATAAAGCAAAAAATGCTGTTTTTAGCTGATGATTGTTGAGGTGTTTTCACCACACCTGCTGCTTGCCCTGTTGCTAACAAAGTGGTTCAGAGACCTTTAAAGGTTAGGAAACCCCTAGATTCGGAAATGCTGTTTGAAGCGTCAACCTTTTTGCCCGCTGCAGCTGTGTTTTGAACTGCTGTTGCAAGACGTGCCACAGCGAGCAAGAAGGTTTACGCTTCGAACAGTGTTAGCCCAAGTGAGGGGTACGATAAAGGATTACGCTCTCCGTGGGAGTTTGCCAACTGAATTGATCGAGTAACGTTGGTCCGACCTGTCCGAGTTGGAGGACGAAGATGTGCACGCATACAATGGCGCCTCGGATGGGGCCTCCTAACTCGAAGAATTAGAAGGGTCTTTTGCTTTTTCAGATGAAGGACCTCTTTGTTGAGGAATGAGGTGTGCTGCACACACGTTGCAGCTCGCTGTACATGGCACTCGCTGTTCATGTGCAGAAGGCCCGAAAAGTTGTGAAAAAAATGAGGTGGCAGACCGTGCTTCCCCGCTTCGGAAGCTCAGTCTAAGAAGCCCATCCTGGATTGCGTAACGAGGTGGATGTCCCCTGGGGCCATAATGCGATGACTGCTGGAGCCGTGATACTTCCGAGATGAGTTTATCATGGATGATGAACACCGTCTTAATCAAGAAGACTGGCAGTCAATAAACAACGTAGTTGCGCCCCTGGGGCTGGCCGAGGAAGCAACAGTGCAGCTTCAAAGGGAGCAACTAACTTTGGGAGACTTCCACGGAGCAGGGCTCTCGTGTCGAATTGAGATGTCAAGAATAGACCATTCGCAGTATTCCCAAGCGCCCCAGCCCACACTCAAGGAATCATGGGAACGGTGTTCCTTCAGCTCCCTAGTGATCGCTAATTTTGGACCAACTCCATGGTTACACATTTTTTGAGCGTAATTCGAGGTCACCCTGAACAAGCACCTGATATACCCCAAGGACCTGTCGTATCACTTTTAAAATTGCTTGTCAACGTCAGCATTTTTGATACTGCGCTTACGATCCACCTTTCAACCTGGCTGAGCTGCAGAAATCTCTTACAATATTATCATTTTTGTAATTGTTGTTTGAGCAGGAATTGCTTAAAAAGCCGATAATTCACAACAAAAACCAGGATTTAGCACGGAGTCCGCGGGGCTGTTTATAGCATTTTTAGCGTTTCTAACTTAACATCGGCAGGATAATAATGTAAGAGATTTCTGCAGCCCAACCAGGTTGAAGGGTGGACAGCATGCACAGTAGAGCACTGCACGGGCCGGAATTTCTAGGCCCGGCCCGACCCGGCCCGGTAGAGACACGGCCCGGGCCCTGCCCGAGCCCGACAGAATTTTTAATTTCTAGGCTCGGCCCAACCCGGCCCGGAAGAGAGACGGCCCGGGCCCGGCCCGAGCCCGACAAAATTTTCAATTTCTAGGCCCCGCCCGACCCGGCCCGATGGCTGTAGCCCGAAACAACCCATTCCCGTTTGAACCCGTCCCGTTTCGACCCGTTCCCGAAACCAGCTCCCCATTTGAACCCGTCCTGTTTCGACCCATTCTTTAAACGCCCTTCCCATTTGAACCCATCCCGTTTCGACCAGTTCCCTAAACGCCCTTCTCGTTTGAATTTGTCCTGCTTCAACCTATTCCCTAAACGCTCTTCTTACTTGAACCAGTTTCCGAAACACCCTTTGCGTTTGAACGCGTCCGGTTTCAACCCACTTTTATAAGGCCCTGCCCATCGCAACCTCTCGCAAAAAGTCTCCATCGTTCTAAGCCTGGTCTGCACACCTTTTCTGTTTAAGAATACGTTCTGAAGTAGCTTTACATGTCAACGCGTTCTTAAAATATACAACCCTTTCAGGCAAGCTTAAGTTTAATATATTCCTACTTAACCCCTTAAAACTTTTTTTTTTCAAGATGGTTCCCAAAACGTGCAAGCGCGGAACGGATTATGTACACTGCGCGACACTGATACCGCGAACACGACGTTGGCTCTTTTTTCGAATTTTACTTCGAAATGGTGTTAGTAGGCACCAAAGTATACCGCCTAGGTCTGTGGCCCAGATGAGCACTTCTAAAGACACTAATAGTTTTGAAAACAGCATTTTGGTTCTATGAGATAAACATAAAAACACGACGATCGCTTGTTCGCGCTAATATGGTGTCGCGCTCTGTGCAATAAGGGAGTCTTAGAATAACGTACTCAAGCACTTTGGGCAAGCTAAACTTAGCATCGCCATAGGTTTTATATCGCAACGCTATTTTTACGGTACCCAAAGCGCTTGCGTAGGTTTTTCTAAATCTTCCTTATAGTGAACTAGATATTTTTGAGAGCGATGAATCAGACAGGTTGACAAGCATATGACTGAGACTTTACTTTGTTTACAATTTATAACACTGAACCCTCGCTCACACGGAAAAAACTTGAAGGCTTTCTAGCTTCAAAGACGTCTTTTAGTTATTATTTTTAACGACGCTGTACTGAATTTGCACTTCGCTTTTTTTTTTGTATTCAATGAACCTAAAAGATTAATAAGGAAACTTGCTATCAACAACAATTTATGACTTACGGCACAAGATTGCCCAGGCACGGCCCGGGCCGGCCCGGGCCGGCGCGGCCCGAGAGCTTTTTTGTTCAAGCCCGAGCCCGGCCCGGGCCCGAGAAAATACGTGCTACCCGGCCCGAGCCCGGCCCGCGGACCGGGCCGGGCTCGGGCTTTCGGGCTGGCCCGGGCCCGTGCAGTGCTCTAATGCACAGTATCAAAAACGCTGACATTGAGGAGAAATTTTAAAAGCGATACGACAAATCACTGAGGTATATCAGGCGCTTGTTCAGGGCAACTCTGAATTACGCTCAGAACCTGTGTAACCAGAAATAGGGGCGAAGTTACCGATCACTAAGGGGCTGAAGGAACGCCGCTCCCACGATTCTTTTAGCGCGGGCCGGGCACTTGGGGGATATAGCAAATGGTCTATTGACAGCCACAACCTAGCCGGCCACTGCCATGAAAAGGCAAGACAAAGTGTTGCTCAGAAGAGACATATTCTGTGCGGCTATATTTTTGGATCCTCGATGCCGTGTCCCACTAACAAGCAAGGAGAGGTCTAGAGCAAAACAGCATCTTCTACTGGCGTGCAAGACGCCGTACGCACTTAAAAAGCATGCCCAGCCACAACACCCTCAAGCACTGTGAACAGTGGGGTCCACTTGTCCTGATGATGACCTTGAAGCTTTCCTCGTGGAGAAAGGAAGTGGCTGCCTGAAAGCATGTAGCGACCATTCTTCGGCGTCTGGGGAAACTCCGTCCCTACTGGACGGCTCTGAAAAGGTCCCCCGCTATGGCAAGGGTAGAAATGTCTCGTAATTTTGGCGCCCCAAATTATATTCACTTGCGCTTGTGACTCTTGCAGCCATGCTGGTCAGCGTGGAAAGGTCCTTCTCGAGGTTAAAATACTTCTTATCGTACCAGCGAATGCAACTGGTCCGTTTTACGCTGCCAACAGAGAGCATACACATCAGTAAAATTAATATTGTCTGTGCCTGTAACAATTGAATAAATTGAATAAAAAGTTGATAAAGTCACGTCTTCAATTTTTGCAGATCATTCAATAGACAGATGGATTACACAAAAGCAATAAATGAGCGCTTATTTTATACTGTAGTAATCCACTTCATGGCAGTAGAGGTGTGAATATCCCAATACTTTTTTCACTCTTCCTTGAACTGCTGTATGAACCAGTTCAAACAGTGTTTTTTTTCCACTCCAGAGCTGAACCGAACCAAAATATTTGAACAGTAACCTGAACGGAACCGGAAAGATTCGGCTGGACACTGGTTGAAACACAATTCATGGATAAACTTAATAGCATATACTTTTGATAGGTTTCACTTGGCTTGCTAACAATAATTTGGACTACACCTAAACTGGATTACTGGCTTCATTAGGCAAGCCATGCTTCCAACATGTTCGAACTTCTAGCTTTGGCCAGAAATAAAGTGAAACAAACTCCAGTCGACTATAAAGATCAAGATTTACAAAGGAAACCAGAGGAAGCACATAAACATTTTAATGTGGACATGTCAAAGGACACAAAGAATGTACATTGTGAGAACAGTAAGATTAAGTACTAATCAAAGAAAGCGCAGAAGGCAATATGCTGAATAAAGTTGCGCAACAAAAGTCTGCTATATACAATGGAAGGCCGAGGAAGCCATCATCAATGGGAAGAAAGATTTCTTTTGACAAATTATCGCAAAAGTCACTTCCTCTTTGTTAGGCGGTCCATGGAATGCTGCATAAAATTAAAACTGACAGCTATTAAAACAAATGCTACAATAAATGTTTCTTTAACTTTTTTAGGTAGTTTGCCAATGTAAAATGTAAAAAAACTCGAAACCTAAAATTTTTTTTTTCTCTACTTGGTTAGGACAGGCATGTCTCAAAATACATGTTAATTGAAAAAAGAGTTTGTATTGTTTATGGTACAATGCAAATTTTTCAATTTGCAGGCCAAACCGAAGTTGCACCCCTGCAAGATGATAGCGTTTGTTCCAACAAGGTAGAGGGGCTTAGAATGATAAACTGGTACCTTCTTCACCAGACAAAAAGCGAGCCCCACTTGGCTGCTGCCATCTTGTACAATTTTGACCATTAGACACGTGACCGTACCAAATCCCGAGGCTTTTAAGCAAAACTGAGTCGAGATTTGTATTGAGATTGCTGTAAAAAAACACGATAAACTATTTTTCAATACTGTTAGCCTCGGAGATCAGTGTGTAGCTCCGATAAAAACCCAAAAAAAACAGCACCGTAGCCGACGGGCTCTAGCAGAGGCATTGTGAAGCTGCCAGAGTTTGTCGTAAAAGCACATTGTGGACTTAAAACAAACAAAACATAACTTGCCTCGTCGTTACTGTTACTAAAGATCAATAAGAATTATTTGTGCGCAGTGCTTCGTTAAAATCTAAACATAATACTATAAGGTCACGTGTCTAGTGGGTCAAACATGAGCAACATGGCGGCAGCCGGGTAAGGGACACTTTCAGCTGCCAGTTTATCGCTCCAGGGCGTTCTAACTTATTGGTTTGTCCCCATCCAGTGTGCGCTCAGAGGTCTAGCAAACTAAGCCTGTCCTAACAACATAGAAAAAATAACTTTCCCTAGGTTTAGTGTCCCTTCAAGGATGTTCATAGCCAGCCCAAGCAAGTATCGAAGGGCATCTATACGTAGTCCAGGATAAAAAGATAAGTACAAATTGTGAAAATGCTGTCAATTTACAAAGACGTGACACAGTATAGGGCGACTGAAATACCCAGGCTCGAATCTAAAATGGGCCGTAAAAATCGGCGCCTGTATGTAGCAATCTGGACTTTTCATTAAAGGTGTATTTCACAGGTCGGTCTTAAGGTTTCAAAATAAACGAGTAAAACTTGCCGCTGACCTTGGCAAGATTTGTGGCCCCACGTTTGCTTTGTAATATTGCACGTTAAGACAGACTTGTGAAATACACCTATGACGAAAAGTTTAGATTGCTTCGTGCAGGCGCCGATTTTTACGGCCCATGGTAGATCGAGCTTGGCTATTTCAGACACCCTATATACGAATCCAATAAAAGCCAACTTAAAATGCTCGGTTAAACAATACGAAAATGTTCTAAAAAGTGGTGCTGCAATTTTTTTTTGTTTTGTTGACAAAAAGTTTGCCAATGTATATAGGGAAAGGAAGCAAAAAAAAAAAACTTGCAGCACAATCAGAGGATGTGCATTGTAATAATAATAATAAAAAAAAAACACTTAATATGCCGGCACAGTCAATTTAAAAGATGCAATTAAACGTGAATCATGATCAGTGCTGAGGTCCTCAGCTAAAATGTCGTCAAGAGTTTAAAAAGCCTCCTAACGGACGTTCCTGGCTGCAAGGCATTTCTTCGAAGGATGTTTGGTCATTTTCTTGGCCTTGCGAGACGGTTGCTTTGCCTTGTTCTCCTTTTCGTCGCTCTGCGCGAGGCAAGAAACAAAAAAATTAACACAACAATTTATAAGATTTCAAAGCTCTTCTTGGAATACAATGCCTCCACAGGATAGTAAGAAATATGCCTCGGATACCAAGCCTCTACCTAGAACGAAGAGAATTTTGAAAAGCTGGCCAGGAGGGCCTAAGAGCAAAAATGCAGAAAAGGGACACGACAGGATTGGCTTCGCCGCTTTGCACTGGAGGGAGCAAGCATCGAGATTGCGGTCTCTGCTGCCTACCACATTTATTCAAACATAGTGCGACCCTTTTATGAACAGACCCGTGTGTCTCCTTTCGCACAGGACCCACGGACTTGGGAAAGGAGAATAAGACTTGGGAAAGGAGCTGGCAAATGAAACTGAGATGTTTGAAATAAAATAAAATGCAATCCACACAGATCTCATTTTTGCGTTCAGACGTTGTCGGTGGCTCGTCATTTGCCAGGCATCTTCCGTAAATTGCAATAATTGGCTCGTCTCGAGTGTCGAAGAGAAATACACAGTAGGTCCAGTAAAAGGCGCACCGCAAACCATTCAAACTAAAAAAGAAAAGAGGAAAAGTGCATACATAGGGAGCAAGAAGTGCCCTTAACCATAATGCACCCCATCCCATTACTCCCATTGCACATTTTCTTGCATTCCACAAAGGCAAGAACACATGGTAGGCAAACAGGAACGTAAAAGTGCTACATTGGAGCTCCGTCTGCTCATCTATTTCCACGGAGGGGCGAGCTATAACAGAGATCCACACTCGAGCGAATCAAGGATCATTTGCTGACAACCAATATTGGCAAGACTTACGTTATTGGAAGAACATGAGGTCAGAGACTCTGTGGAGGAGGACTTGGCGGAGGCAAGTGTTTCCCAGCTGGAAGCCTGCAATGAGAAAAGACGGACACTGTTTGAACATGCTCTCCATAAAGAAGCTATACCTTTGCCCAAGTTTGGTCAAATGGGGACACAACGTAAGGCGAACAAAACAGATGCAACTTGAAGAAGCAATTTGTTAAGCAAGAATGTCACAAAGTTTGTAATGAAACCCCAAATATAAACAAACAAAACGAAAAAAAAAATTTAATTGGTTGCTAAGACTTTGCGTGGTTTTTCTCCATGAGAAAAACAGGATGTAAAAACACACTGCTCCAAAAAACTGTATTTGAAGTCGCATTTCACTAGCTGAGTGAGTGTAGTTATTAACAGCACTTAGAAATAGGCTTCAGCATAAAGAAATTGGAGATCACAAAGAGAACCACCCTAAAAGAGAAATTTTTGTATTTCTGTAAAAACATCCTCTACATTTTCTCAAAGTTGGTCCCTACATCCCCCTTAAAGCAACAAGCAAGGAAAGTATTATCACTTTGAGACCAATAATCCTTTTGTTGCACTTGCCAAGGGTTTAATGCATGGGAGACAAAAGAACACTGCCTTTTATGAAAACAAAAGGCGGCGAGATTCTTTTTTGACTGAATATGTCCGGTAAGGTCTCAAGATAGACTCAGCGGGTGGCAGAGAGCCTACCTCAATGTCTCCCCCGTCTGGCAGGGGCAGACGCATGGCCGCCTCCATGTCCAACGCAGCAGACCGCAGGCGCCGCAGGATGACGTCGTGGGGAGAGGTATGGGGCAGGTCCGTCGGGAAGGGGTACTCCTTGCGCTGGGGGGTGCAGCCTGCACGCAGGGACGGCAAAGATCAACAACAAGTACCATATTTACTCGCATAATGACAACAGGCGTCTATTTCGACCTTCTTCCCCCTCGCGTAATTTACAGCTATGCAAGTCTCGAACTGCGTCCAATTCGGCTTGGCTAGCCACCAAGCCAATAATTCTCTTTTGCCGCGAAGCAGTCGTGCCAAGACAAGTGAAGCAGTTGGGCAAAAGTGATCAACAGTGAAACCGAGCAGCGCGCACACCCAACAAATCTGGGGTCGAAGAATTGCCCAGCCCCAGACATGTTTCGCTCATCGGTTGCATCAATGTCAATAAACACGCCGTCATTTGTGTTCCTCTTTTGGAAAGGAAAATCACGAAAGTGGTTAAATCTAAGAACGGTCGCGTTGCTCCTCGTGCTCGGCAAACTTCGCTGGGCGCTTCTTTTGGCAAAAGCCAGGCTGAGAGTGCGCTAAGAAAGGGTTGCAATTTATATTATTAGGCCTACAAGCTGTTTAGGGGCACCGGAAAAGTACAATAAGTAAATAGAGCATGGTTACTGTGGCACTCCCATGACTAGCCGTGAGTGCGCCTCTGTCGGTGGAGACGTGCCACGGTACCAGGGTGTAAGATAGACAGGTGGGGAAACGAGAGCCAAATGAGTGACCGCATTGTGTCCCCCTTGGTTTTCTCTTTTTCTGTGGCGCCATCGATGTGGAGCACCGCAGATTCTCACTCCGGGTAGGCGACTGGTGGCGACCAACTAAACTGATGGAGATGATTTCTCGTGGATTTTCAGTGGAGGACTATCGTGCTCTCTGTTTATTTTGCGCACTCTACCATAGAGTTTTATGCAAATCCGATTCCGATTTTTTTTCCTCTCGCCGCAGCGCCATCTGTCGCAAATCGGGGGTACCCGCAAGCAGACGAGTACACAATCCGGTCACGGCGCTGCGATAGGCTTCTATGAGCCGTTTCCCCACCTGTCTATCTTACACCCTGCACAGTACCCGGCCGTGTCATATTGGCAGCTAAAACAAGATTTGCACAAAGTGTGTAAACACAAAAATTTTACCCCCATAATGAACACACCCCATAAATATGTGTAGATTTTTTGGGAAAAAGTGTTCATTATGCGAGTAAATACATTACACTTTCAAAAAGCAAACAAAAAGAAAAAAAAGAAAAAAAAAAGAGGGGTTTTCTAAAATTGTGGCAATGCATACGCAAGGCTTGCCACTGGAACACTGGTTCTTGTTACAACAGACGTCTGTAGAAGAAACGGTAAAATATTCTAATCTGCCCGCTTTACAAAAGCCACATGGCAAAATCCGATTGTGCAAAATTGTCAAAAATCGCAAGAAAAAATGCTCGCAGAGCATTACTGATTTAGTACTCCTTAATGTGGTGAATTAAGATACAAGGTGTGGCAGAAAAGTAGCAAGAGTGGCAACACTGCGCACAAACAGTCAATGCTGCTGCTTCCCCTTCACATTGCAGTTAGGTAACCCCTGCCATACACTCAGTACAAGTACACTCTAATCTCATTAATCCAAACTCTTAATTCAAACTAACATGTAGGTCCCATGCTATGAGTCGCTTTATTCAAGTGTATTTTCAGTCCCCCTCGAGTTTGAATAAAGAGATTCCACTGTATGAACTTGCTACAGTTGGTAGGCTCTGGCGAAAAACCGACACCAAAAGGACCTATAGGTTTAACAGTTTTTTCCAAACGAAAAACTAGTGGTTCCCTCCATTCATCGAATGGTAGTGGCATGGTTTAGAGCAGCTTACATAGGGGCAAGCCATTTTCCCCCATTTTTTGGGGTTGCCCACCCGCAGTTCGCCGACCCCCTGTCCACCTCGTTTAGCCCCTGTAAAGGGGAGAGGGCGAACAACTTTGGGACAATAGGGAAAATCAACTTCCCCATTATCCCGACCAATCTGCGCGGAAGGCGTCCACTATTTGATTGCGAATGCTCTCCACATCTTAAATCTAGGCTCTAGTCCGACCCTGCCGCCACGGCGCCACCTGGTGAGGATGCGTGCGCTTGCTGCCTGCGTCCACCCGACGTGCTAAAATGGGGCAGGAATGTGCATACCCGTCGGCCGATACTCCTGGAGGTCGCTCTCGAAGAAGCGTGTCACGGCGCCTCGGAACTCTGCGACGTTGCCCCTTGTCTCCACGTCCAGGCTGGCCGCAGTGGCCCGCGCTTCGTCGGCCTGGGCACCACCCTCCCGGCACAGGGCTTCCGCGCGGTCGGCGTGGTCGCACACCCGCTCCCAGAGGTCGTCCACGACGGCGTCCGCTTCGTGGAGGAGCGAGTCCGCGGCGGCTGCTCCTTGCGACGCTCGTTCTGCCACCTCGTCCACTAGGGCCTGTCGCATCGCCTCCTGGTCGCTGTGTTGTTGCGACAAAGACTGCCGAGGCAAAAACGCGACCGTTTTAACTCTTGAGAAAAAGGTGGGCTGTATGCGTCAGCTGCTGGCTCCCAGCAATATCTCCCGAAGAAGGTGTCCAGGCGACTCTAGATCAATTTTGCCGACTCTCGTAACACCCCAACAGCTTCCGAAATTATGACTATTCTTTTCAGCTGCCTTCTTTTGGGAACTGAAGATTGTGGTGGAGAGGTAAGCCCTACTTTTTCGGCTAATCCTGAATCACACACCTGCTAAATTTAGCGGCCGTGTGATAAAAAAGAATGTGCCTGTCCTTCCACTGCACATTCGAGCTTATCCGCGAGATTAAATATACATTTAATTTCATGATGAAAAGGAAGACCTGAATTGTTCAATATTGGTTTCCCCGCAACACTCGTTTTTCTCCACCTCGATTAAACGAATCTGAGAGCTGCGCATTTCACGAGTCTACGAAAATCGCTTGTCCGATATTATACACATCCTCTCAAGTAGACTCAAGTGCGCACTGGGTTTGTGCGGAAAACTTCTCCGAGCCAGATTTCGGAAGATGTGCGAAGCTTGAGAAAAAGAGTAAGCACCTGGGTCAAAGATGAAACTCCGTCGGAGACGTCTTGGTGAACACGCTGCTGGATACTCGACAGCTCCTTGTTCGAGGCGGCAACCTGGGCAGGACATGTGGAGTGGTTACCAAACAGTTAGCCAAAGTATAAACATGTCCCTGGAAAGATTAGGCAAATGCGACAGTTCACTTAAGGGGGCACTGGCTAGAGATTTAACTTCGGAACTACTGAAGTGATCGGAGTGAAATTTTGCAGAGGAGATTTAACGTCCGATGTAGGTGTACTGTGCAAACTCTCTAAAACAACTTTGCCTACCTGCATAAGAAGATGTGTCACACTTTGTTATGAAATCTATGATATGCAAATGAAGCCATTAAGGACCGTTTTGACCGCCAGAATATAAAGTGGAAGATGTGGAACTTCGGACTATCTAGTTTTTGTAACTCCAATGTGAATAATTCAGGAAGAGAGATTAACTCAAAATATGAGATGCATAGCTGTCCCATGTAAATCTCTGAAAACTTAGTTCTTTCTCAATGAGGACTTACACGAGATAGAAACCGTAAAAGCCTTAAAAACAAAAAAGAAGTAAATTTCACTTCAGAAACATCTTGATTGTGGTATCAAAATACTTTTATGTACCTCTAAATGAAAGATACCTTCGTATAAAATTTGCTGCAAAAAGCGGAACAGAGAAAAATGCATTTAAACATTGAACTCCTTACTTTGTTACTGCCTCACAATATGTTGAAGCTATTTTATATCAATATAACTATTTCGCATATAGTTACCATATTTAGTGTCAGGGCGGATAATTAGTTTCTAAAACCCAAAACCACAAAATTTAAAGAATTAAATTTTTTTGAAAATAAAAATTATATTTTTATAATAAAAATAAAAATTAGCGCATACAATAGTTCATTGCAATTTAAATAGGGAGAGGGAAAGGAAGGCCGAGGAGGAGAAAGCAGAAGGAACGCTGAAGAGGAGGTTTCTTCCTCTCTTCTCCAGCGTTCTGTCTGCCTCCTCTTCCCCAGCCTGCCTCACCTTCACCCTACCATCTTGAGTTGCAACGGACTATAGAGGCACAGTCCTTTTTGATGTAGCAAGACTCGCCTCTGACAGGCTGCTGGTGGTACTGATCAGGGCACCCTCTTCAATGGCCGTCCAATCCGACAGCAAGCTCTGGACATTTGAGGCCGAGTCGTCTTTGACGCTGCAAACAAGGCAAATTTTTGTGAACAATATAACAGACATCAATTAAATTTACGATGTAATGAACTTTCTTTTTTTGTGTGTATTACTCGCCTAGAGGACTTCAAATGTGTATGACATATCGAAGTAGTCGTACTAAGGAAGTCTTCACATGAGTGCTCATCTACAGGCAGCCTCTAGAGAAAACAAATAGTCGACCAGAAAGTGTTGTAAACTATCCTCTCTAACAACACGAAGATAGCATTTTTTTTGGCAGTTTTCCAATCATTAATATTTTTTGTTGTCCACAAAAGAGCTGTAATCGCCGATGACCGGAGACAGGCCTTGCAGCCAGAAAACATGGGCAGCAACTATTATCTCCAGAATGCGTTGATTGCAGTATTTAGATAGAACATTTAAATTTGTTTAGAAGACATTAAGCAGTCATTCTGGAGATTGAAAGAGAACATGCTGTCCATAGAATGTTCAGTCCCGTGGCTTCAGCCAGGGTGTGCCACCGGGGACGAAAGACAATCAGGTGCAAGAGTTGGCAGGCGCCATCTTTGTTCTTGCAATAAACACTAGGCTCTTTCAATTTACCTACACCTCCTGCACCGGTGCAGAAAAGTGTAGGGTGGCGTACATCCGAGCTTAATCTGTTCTGCAAGTACAACCATGTCACCTTTTGCACGGCTTGAGGGCTAGAGATTTAACTTCTGAACTAGTCAAGGGACCTGAATGAAATTTGCAGGGGGCATATAACATTAGGTGCATGCGTACTGTGCAAACTTTCAGCTCTCTAGGACAATACCTGCATAAGATGTGCCACTTTTCATTAAAAAATATTACTCTATCTGCAAACAAAGATAGTAAGCACCATTTTGGGCTGCTTGAATATGAAGTGGAGGTTTTGGAACCTCAGGCTATCTTGTTTTTATAACTCCAATGTAAATATTTCAGGAAGTGCGATTACCTCTAAATATGAGGTGCATATCTGTCATATGGCAATTTTTGAAAATAGTTTTTCCTGAATGAGAACTCAACTTAAACAAAATAAAGTAGATAGCCCGATTCCTTACTAAATCCGAGTTAAGAAACATCTTGATTGTTGCATCAGAATACTTTCACTTTTGAACAAAAGATTCCTTCGTATGAAAATTGCAGTAAAAGTGGAACTGAGAAAAATGCACTCAACCATTGAACTCTGTTTTTGCCTCGCAATGTGTTGAAAATATCTTATATCGATGCAACTACTGTAAACAAATTATTTTTTGCGGGCTTAATATTTCGCAATTCAGGTCAAAGTTGAATTTTTGGAATAATTCACGGGTTCTAATTTTCGTAGTGCTTACATATTACCGCAATTGTTTGCGGGGCGTATTTTTCGCAAATCGTAAGAGATTCACAGATTTGCGAAAATTAAGTTGTTTACAGTATTTGGTGCATGGTTATCAGATTTAGTGTAAGGGTGTAAAATTGGTTTTAAAACCAAAAACCTCAAATTTGAAAAATGAATTTTATCAAAACATTTTAAATTTAGGCTTATGCCCTTTTTTAATACAAGAGGCGGGACGGGGATGGAATTCGAGCACACGCCTGCTTCCCACGCGACCTAGAATGTGCGCTGGGATCTGAATTGGCATATAATCATTGACCAATTCAATTTCCCCACTACATTTAGTGGGGCAATTCATCATTGGTCAGACAGATGGACAAATTTCTGGGGGTGAAGGTCCAGTTTCCGATACAAATTTCTGGGAGCAAAAATTCATGCTCTGGTGCAGCAGTAAGGGATCAGCATCCCTACTACACAACTGCTAGAAGAAACTGACATATGCCACTCAATGCTGAAGCATGCAAGCTTGGCGGGTGGTCTTCAGGTTTTCCTTAGTTGCTGCCTTAGGGCCGAAATACGCCAGAATGTGTGCAGGAAGGCATTACTTTTTTCATCCGGAACTAAACATACCGCAACGTGGTGTGCTAGCTACGGTGGAGCCATAACAGCCATCATAAAGAGACCGGCGACATTACAATTCTGTTGGATGCCTCAAGGAAATTTTTTATTCTTTACTCCTTATATTTCTACTCAATTTCAGCACGATATTTAAATTCCAGGGAACAAAAACCAGCAGAAAAGGCAACTCCTAACCCCGTTTCTAACCATTGCACAGAAAGATTCTTTGGTTTTTTCTTGTGGTAAATAGAAGTTTATTTTTTCTTATTTTTTTATTTATTGGATTGGATTATCTATTGAATTGGATTTTTTTATGGGATTATGAAGAGAGCAATCCAGATGGAAGCTTACCGGGAGGTGACCGAAAGCAGCGACGCCTCAATGCCATCGCACTCTGTGGCTTTCTCGACCATCTGAAAAACCAAGGATGCAAACAATGCATTGTCGAAGTACAAGGATTACTAAAGGAATCCCCCCTTTCCCCCAACAACAGTGCACCATCTTCACACTAGAGTAAAAGTGAGCCCCACCTGCAAGTTCCTGGCTTCAGAGTCCACCGAGCAGGACCTCACAGACTCCAGATATTCCTGCAGCATTTTTTGCATGCTGGCGACGTGCGCCTCTGCATTCTGCAAAGGTAAGAAACAAACCAGAAGCAAAGCAATTTTTCAGGGGGAAAGAAAAGGAAAAAAAATATACAGGCTCGATTATGCAAAGTGTGCGCATCCGCATTAAAACTAGCGCGCCGTCCAGCATCTTTCCCGGTCTAAACTCACCGCGGAGCTCCTGTGCACGTCCTGCTGCAGGGATGCAGTGAGCTGACGCGCCTCTTGAGATGCCTGCTGCCACCGCTTGTGCAGGGCAGCGCTGTCCTCCCAGCAGGCATTCATCAGAGCAGCCTGGTCTTTCTCAAACTGGGACAGGCGGGCACTCGCATCCCTGCACTGAAAGAGGCAAAGACACCCGTCAGAGGACCGCTGACCGCCTCCAGGAAGGCGCACTGTTCTTTCCTTGCCTGCAGTTCAAGCCGGTCATTGCTCTTAACGCACCTAGACTTTTACAGAAACGAGGTGCCTGCTGGTTAAAGCTTTTGCAGTCAACGAGCCAGTCCAGCAGGAAAAAGGAAATGACAAGTTTGCCGTCTTAAGGTGTGTGTTACGACAGCCCCCAGGATTACTTTTCTCGAAATCCTCCAGATGGCAACAACTTTGCTGAAGAGTGACGACACTGGGAACTAATCACTGCTCCATGTTCCAGAACACAACTACTGTACAGTGCCTAAAACAATGGAGGACGCGGGAAACACTGGCGCGTTTTCCAAGTCCTCAATTGTGGTCCCTCAGTTTCCTATGGGGACGTAAAATGTGCCACTACACATTTTACGTCATTACGCTGCAGGTTGCTCTGCAGTAAGACGCGAGGCTTTCGTGCGCATTCCTACGACCAACCGCCAGAATTGCAACGTCCGACACTAATTGCTGCCGCTTCGGGACCAGTTTCGATGCACGGATGCCACGAAGGCGCGCTTACCCAGCCTCGGACCTTGTCGCCCAGGGAGAGGCACTGGTCGCCCATCTCCTGCAGGCTGCGCTGGGCACCATCCACGAGCGGTGACACGGACGCCTGGAACAGCTGCACCAGGAAACCGGTGTTGCTCGCCTGCAAGGAGACGGCCACAAATCACGGTCGTAAAGGGTCGCTTGTGAGAGCCGAGTCGTAGACAGATCAGTTTCGGGACTGCCACCCACATACCAGACTGCTCCGTGCGTGCGTTCCGAGCTGCTCTTCTGCCGCCCGCACGCCGTCCAAGATGGAAGCCAGGGCACTGCTCTGGGCAGCGGCGGCATTCTGGTGGGACTGCTTGGCCCTGGCCGTCAGCAGTGCCATCGCCTCTTGCTCACTCTTGGCCAGTTCGTCAAGCTGGGCTGCACCGTGCGTGCAGAATGGTGAAATCTTTAGTCTTTGGCATTCATAACCTACTAAACGGGCATTAGGTTTTCTCTCCCCACAACAGGCACACAGAAAAAAAGAACAGCATTCGCCTCCTCAGCTCTCAGCCAGTACAAGTGACCACGTGACAGTGTGCCAATTATATACTGCACATGTGTTAACAACAGCCATGTGCTGGGGCTGGCAAAGCATAGGGCAAGTAGAAAGCTTCAGACACTGCTAAAGTTTTGCTTTTCCCATCATTGCAGAACATAGAAACCAGCATGCTCGCTGGATTGCGAGATGGTTTGCTTTGCTGAGGCAGCGATGGTCGCAGTCCCAAGACGAGTGCTCCCGCGGTGTTTGTGTCCAACCCAATAGCGACATTCCACTATCGTCGCCAAGCGGTAATGCAACGTATACGTCAGTATTGAGATTCACACAACTATGCGTTAAAGCATTGCAGAGGTAATATTAGAGCTCAAAACTAGAATTGTTTCCAAGGTATTAGACCACCGGATGCATCATTTTTTTTTCTAAATTTACATCAGCAAAACTATACATCGTATTTACTCGCATAATGAACGCTCCCCCCACAACAAGTATGAAGATTCTGACTTTTTTCCCCTCATATATTGAGCGCACTTCCCAAGGTATGTAGTTGTGGAAGTGATCAACCACGGAAACCGAGCGGCACACACACCTAACAAAGCTGGGGTTGAGAAAGAGCCGAGCCCCAGACATGCTTTGCCCATTGGATGCATTGATGTCAACGGACACGCCGTCGTCTGTGGTCCACTTTCGGACAGTGAAATCGCGAGAGTGGTTAGGCCCAAGACCGGCCGCGTCGCTCTTCGTGCTGAGTGAGCTTTGTGGGTCGCTTGCTGAAAGCGTCCTACAAAAGGTTTGCAATTTATAGGGGATGGGGACTGTGGCGCGTCCACGATCAGTTGCAGGTGCACCTTTGTCAGTGGAGACGTGCCATAGTACACTGCCCTGTCATAATAGCACCTACGATGACATTTGCGCAAAGTGTGTAAATGCATGCCTGCCGACCTAGCAACATAAAAATACGAAAGACCGCCGTGCAAGCGTGCGCAACAACGGGGGGAGGGGGTCGAAACTTTTTTTTTAGTTTGACAAGAAACCTTGTAAAGAGGCACTATTAGCGGATCACACTGCCTTCACAGTTGTTTTGGAGTAAACTTCCGATGGTGCCCTGCCCTTCTACGCACGAACATGGTTCTGATGCTTTCGTGAAGCGATGTGCATCTTGATGTCAAGCTTGCCGCCGTGCAAAACACTCGCACATCATTGGCGCACATGGTACAGAATCCATACTTGTCAGCTTTCCGCGAAGCAACGAAGCACGGAAACTCAGTCGCAAATGATCTTGGAAATGGTTGCAAGTACTTCTTGGCTTTTGAAAGCGCCATCGAAAGTCAAATTTGAGGGTTTTACGTGCCAAATCAACGACGGGCATCTGGCACGCTTCAGCGGAGGACTGAGGATAAACTTCGACCACCTGGGGATCTTTTGACGTGCAACCGAAAGCTCAGTTACATGGCGAAAGCGCCATTGATTGTTCCAACTAAACTCGAGGAATCACAAAGAGTAGTTCGGCCTAGCGTGATCATATAAGCTGTGTTCCAAAATGCGCTCGAACTCCAGGAGTAGACGTTTCATACCTTAGCGTCTGGAAACCTACCCTCATTTTATGCTGTTGCTAAGAATTGCCACGTGGTAACCCGCCGGAGCAACCTAAACCTACAATCGAGAGATGTGATCAAAATTTGGTTGAGTTGGCGGGCATGCAAATGCAAAAATTTTGCCCCACGTAATGAAAGTTCATTATGCGAGTAAATAAGGTAAATAAATAAATGCAGCAACCAAGTTATACTTACCGAATGAGCCTCGGATGCTCTCTATGGTCTGCTCCTGGCTCTCAAACCGGCTTCGCGAGTTCCCCTCGATGGTGGCAAACAGGGCGTCGGCACCCTCCCGGAACTCCCGCTGCTTCGTCCGATTGGCGGTCTCGATGCTAGATTTGCACTGCAGCTTCCTCTGCAGGAGGTCGATGTCCCCCGTTGCAGTCTTGGCCACGTCCACCAGCTACGAGAGAAGGCCGCGTGAATGACTCCCGCAGACGTCTGCCGTACCGCAGCGCTCCATTTCTGCGCAATTCGGCAGACGACAAAAGCTACGATCCCGGCGGTCGAATCGCAGCGTCAGAGCTAGGCACGCGACGACATACCGTCAAGGTGCACTCCTAGTTTAGAGGGCCGCGACATGCTTCGCGCTCTTCTGGTACCTGGAGCGCGTCTTCGACTGGTGTGCCTAGCGTCCTATGCTGCCCATACATCAAAAGTGGTTCCAAAGTGGCAGCAAATGACATCGCAGAAGCCGGAGTGTCACGCTGTTACATGTTGCGATCCCGGAGGTCGGTTGTGCAAATGCTAACAAGCTGCGAGTAGCACAACCAAATGCGAGCGTCGCTGTCGTCTCGGCATTCCAACTTCTGTCTGTTGAAGCTTCCGCGGACTGCCACACTGGAGAGGGACCTGTAGCAGTACAGCTGTCTGCCACATACACACAGCACATGGGACGCCGTCAAGATCGCGACTGGCGACAGCATGACCCTTCTACGACGTCATCGGGCAGAAATCGAGGAACCAGTTTTTTGGACGCGGTAAACGCACCAGTCGGAGATGCGTTCCAGGCACCATAGCGCAATCGCTCCGACCGGTTAGAGGTTTGCCACAGCTTTAGCGCTTGACCAAGTTAAGATCAAGTATAATCGGCACTGTCATGCCTTGAGGCAACGTGCTCGCAACCCTAGAGCCGCACTGCTCGCACATTGTGCAAAAGTTTGTTCGATGCAGGTACAGTGAAAAAATCGTCTGCAGACGCACATCAAACTTGTTCAAGGCACGTTTGCTCTACATGTATGCATGCTTCGAACGTGTCTACAGACTCTTTCGTACGATGTATTAGCAACGTGAACAAGGCTTAGAGCTACAGCACACTCGCTACAAATTACATCACAGTGCAACTCGGCAACCGAAACGAGAATAGGGAAACAATTTAATTTTTAACAAACGAGCGGACTGCAAAAGCTTAAACGTGCTGCTATAGTATGTATAATATAGCATGTATAGGCAGGAGCATGAATTCCGGTGCAGCAGTGGCAGTCCCCTCACAGTCTTTGCCGTTTCCGTGAGCAAAACTTCGGTCTTGGCGTGGAAGTGTACTAGGTGCTGCTGCTCGTCCCTTTCCACCGCAGTCTTGAACAGCGCCTGGAGAAACCCAAACAAAACACCCCCAGAAGGTGTCAGGCAAACAGGCCAAGGGTAACTTATATTTAATCCCTTGCCTACTAATAGCGAGTGTCACTTATGCCCCTTTACGGACCATAAAGCCCAACCACGAGTGACTCGCGTGTCGGTTTCAGCACTTGTTTAGTGCACTCTCTGGCAGACGACAAAACCAACCCCGTTGCTGTATTTACAGAGAGAGAACGCTCTATTTATCCCCCCTAAAAAACCAGTCGCTGGCGAGCGTTCACGCTAAAAGAACGTGGATTTGGTGTGGATGTGCTCTTTATCAACAAAAAGATAGAAGACCTTTTTAAAAAGATTAATGCTCAGGCATGTGTGACAACAAACCCTTCTGCTTTTCCTATTTTTAGGAATCTGACAATAGTTTGATGGGCAGTTACAAGAGCATTGAAAGCTGTGTGAATGCTGCAGGCATTCTATTAACTTTGGCATCTGCGCAGAAGTCCCGATTCAGAGCAATATATGAAGCCCGAAATCGAAGAGATTATTTTGTCTTATTTTAATGTAAATAGCCCGTTTAAAATAAAATTTTGCTGTACATTCCTTGAAGAAAAAAATGAGTAGGCAAGGGGTTAACTAAATTTAAAGTTACTAGAACACATCTGCCTAGTTATGGCCTAGTTACACAAGCACCCTTAACCGCATTTAAGTGTGACAGAGGTCTGACTTAACTTTAAGGGGGGGGGGGGGAGGGAGGGAGGGAGGGAGGGAGACCACCCAAAAAAAAAAACAACTTTTGCAAAAAAAGTTGATTTTGAAAAATGTCATATTCACGTCCACCAACATCTGGAGAGTATTCCCAGAAAGTTTCATTAGTTCACACTGCATAGTTAATTTTTTTTATAAATTATTTTCGGTCCATCAATGCTTAACAAAAAGGTAGATGTTGGAGCACTTTGAATGCAGTTTTCTCCATTCCACTTTTCGGCATAAATTTCACTTCAGGAAAACTATCGTTTTGTTATCAGTACGTAACTTTGATTCATTTTTACAAGCTTTTTTGGGGTGAACTTTTAAAAGGAAGATAGCTATGAGTTTGTATTTTTTTTATTTTTGTCATTTTCTATGCCCAAAATCTAAAATGTGTTTATGTGGCTTTTTTGTCATGAAAGATATAAAAATATAGCTCCATAGCTATCTGCTCTGAACTGTCCCAAAGCAATGTAACATGAAAATGACGAATTTATAAGTAACTTCAAAACAATAGTTTTCCTATGCAGACACGCCCACTTTCAACTCTGAACAATTGCGATTTTTTCTGTACTTCACCCAGGTTAACGAAATTTTGCAGAAATGTTCTCAACATCTACAGAAACAAGCCCTGTAAATGTCATTTAAATCAGACAAGTGGTTCAGACATTTATTTTTTGGGGTAGTGTCCCTCCTTAAAGAACCCCTGAGCTTTGACTGCATAGCCGCAGAATGTTGTCCACAAGCATAGTGTGGCAACTGGCTTAGCGTAGCTGCGGTTAAGGATGCCCGTGTATATACGGTATTAATGTTACAGGAATGACATCTTAACTTGGGGTCGTGTTTTGTTACTGAAATTGCAACTAATTGAATTTACTTAAAAGCTCTGGCAAACCTGCTTTGTGGCACCAAGGTTCTCCTTTGTGTGATGAAGGTCCACCAGCGTGTTCTGCAGGGCCTCGGTCTTTGCTGCAACCTCTTCTTTTGTGGATGTGAAGAGCTCCTCGAGCTAGACAGCAAAAGAGTGCACCAACGAAAAGCTTACCAACTTCTTGGGTACCAACCATATATATACACAAACAAGAGCACATATATATATTTTCATGGGCAGTTGCAACTTTTTTTTCTTGGGTACCAACAATTCTATGCAACACCAAGAAAGGGCCTCCTTTTCATATCGATATTTTCATAAAATCACTTGTAGCTTTTGAATAAGATAATGGCAAGTTCCGAAATTTCGGCATCTAGTTGAGACACCTAGATGCTGACAGAATGAGTATTCGGTGATGCGTAGTTCATTCATGAAAAATACCCTGTATATTATTTTGAGAGACACAGTAAAACCATCAGTGCACCCTTACGTCAGTATAGCTCACAACCCCAATCCTGGTTTCAAGCCTTTTCAGTCTACATCAGGCTAGGGACGTGACCGTTTCCCCAAATGGCCCAATTTACGCCCGCGCTAACCAGAACACGTATATCTTCTATATTCCGAGAGCATTACACTGCGGCCCAATGCCCTACATTGGGAGTTGCATATTTGCTTATCCCTTTCGACTGATAGCCTAGGAAACCCTCCTGGTCTCGGCATTAATACGTTAGAGCAGAATAGACCTTGTAAAGAATACGTCCAAGAAAGTGTTTGACACATAGTTATGCATCAGTGGGCGACTCAGATCCGCTTAAATAGTACTCCAACTGGAAGGACGCCTCACTTAGGAATGGTCGAGAAATTTGTTAAGCTCAGGGAACCCATTGTGTAGGAACTTCCTGGAAACCGAGAACTCTCACATCATGTGGTGACTGTCCGAGGAATCTGGCAATCACCACACAGTAAACAGGAACCATTTCAATCATTTTAATCCTCACTGGCTTTAAGTAAAGTCCAAGTGAGAAAAATAAACTTTCAAAGCAGTCAGTTATAGAACTCCAAATGCCTTTACAATGACCGCCTCTACGAAAATGCCCGTTTAAATGAAGCAAAAATAAAATCCCGGCCAATCTCCCATGTGTTCAATGCGTTTCTTTGACTACTACAATGAATTTTTTTTTAACAAATATTTCTGTTTATTGAAGCAATTGTGTGGCCAGTGTCACCGGGACCCGCTAATTATTTCGTTAAATCGGGAACTTAGTAAAATCAAGGAAGGGCGACCTCGTGCATAGGCTGCGCAGGAAATCCGAATTTGTTAAATCGGGAAATTCGTAAAATTGGGTTTCATAAAAACGACTAACCTTGCTTTATCCGAGTCCCAAATTGTTCCGCTTTCGAGCAAGAATATGCAGTTTAGGAAGCATGATCTGCGACTCTACCCGCGACGCCAACATCTAAACGAGATCAGTAAAGCCGCACAGAAAAACGCGCACCCTTCTTGGGGCCAAACAGGTCAGATGATACGAAGAGAACAGAAAAGGATGAGTACGCACGTCTGCCAGGCGCTGAGAGAGGTCTTCAATCTGGGCCTCCTTGGCAAGGATGTTCTCGGACTGGCAGGTCAGCCGACGCTCCATGGCACTTGGGAGGAGAAATCAAAAAGTGTGGGCTCGTTAGACGCAAGTTCGTGCTTAAAACGTGATGACTGGAAAGACAACACACAGCTAACCCACCTGTAGTTCTCAGGATCCACAAACATGCCATTCTTGTCCCGTGCTGCGACGAGCTCTCGACGCAGCCGCTCGATCTCCTCAGTGTACTCCTGAAGTCACAAAATAAAGAGAATTTTAAAGGAGTGAACCCCACAAACAAACATGAAAGTGTAGCAGTGCCTGTGTGGAGTGCTACAAGATTCCCATGTCTTCAAAGCTCAGTGGTAGCCAAGAAGTTTTTTTTTCAACTTGACAGTTTCCCTGGGTCAAACAAGGGTGCGCCTTCCTACAAAGCAGGAAAGCAGGAACCGAGAAGACTTTTCCGCAAACTTCCACGCTCCGTTCAAAGTTCACACTGAAGAGATTTCACTGAGACAAGCGAGTCCGTAGCGGGTTCCCAAGTGTTTATCGCACCGTGAAACAAATTTCTCGTGTCTGCGATTGAGTTTAGTATGGTTGATAAGCCATTTTATCGAAACAAGTTTTAGGGAATGGGCACATTTCACCGAAGCTCAGTTTAGAGGAAGTGGAGCCTGTTTAGAGAAACACCATTTATCGAAAAGGACTGTTTCAAGAAAAGAGGTCCCTACTTCGCACATGCATCGCTGGGGCGCTTGTTACCCACCCGGCCCCCACACCTGTTTACGCCGCCTTGCAGCAACAGTCTGCGGTGGCCAATTACAAAAATGCTAACCTACTTGGCCCACCCATACACGCTGCTTTGCGGCGGCCGAATTCGCTAAAAGGAGACTCATTGCCATTTTCTCCAAACTGGGTTTCTCTATAAAGGAATTCGATAAACTGGAGGAGGCAAAACAGCGTTGGCTAAAATGAGCTGCTCTAAACTGCATCCCCCGACTGCGATTTACAATAAAGGCCCGTTCACACTCTTGCAACCAAGTACGACCGAGAGAGACCAGACCGGTTTTTAATCCTCTTGCGACTTCTTAGGACCAGGCGCGCTGCTGCGGAGCTGGTCCTAAGACGTCGTAAGAGGATTAAAAACCGGTCTGGTCTCTCTCGGTCGTACTCGGTTGCAAGAATGTGAACGGGCCTTAAGAGTTCCTGTTGTGCGGGGTTTGTGGCAGGTGGCCCAGTGTTTTCCAGTGATTGTTTATAGAATTATGCCAATGCATCGCCAAAGATCGTCCACCCCATATTTTCTCACGTATCTCTTCATTTTGGCTGGGTGTTATGGGTTTATACAATAATAGTCTCTCACTACAGTGCCCGACATGAAGAAGTGGGTTCCCCCCGCTAAGAAAAGCACTGGCCTTGATGAGGGCCCTCTTGGTCATCTTCTGGTTGACCTCTGGCCGGTTGGTGATGCTTTTGGCCCTGTGGGCGTAGTCCAGGGTGTTGAGGGTTTCCTCCAGGTTGCACATGTCGGGAGAGATGGTGGCGATGATGGAGGTCTTGGTGCGGCCCCCCAGCGAATCCTGCAGCAGACGGGTCAGCTTGCTCTCCCTGCACACACAAAGAAACGGGATTAGAAACGCTGCACGGCCAGAGTCCCAGTTTTCAACACATGAGGTGCCTTGTCGACCAAAGCGGTGATGACTCTGCCGAGAGTCAGGAGAGACTGGTTGATGTTTCCTGCAAAAGGAAGAATCAACAAAATAAGTGGGAAGCACAAAACGTGTACAGTAGTCACAAAGTGGATTTTCACGCCTTAGGATTTCACGAGTTCATAAATAAATCTGCGGGTCAGATGGTCGTAGCGTTGCGCAGTTAAAGCATCTCGCATCCCCCTCGCATGTGAAAGCTATGGAGATGCCAACCTAATTGCAAAAAACACATCTGCGTACTAATTTGATGTACACCCAGCCACATCTAATGAATTCATTGCTGACCCCAAGATTACCTATAAGCTCTACTTCATTCAATAAAATCCAATCGCTCCCATTACTACCTGCAAGATGAAATCCAAAATTTATCGTAGTTCTGAACGGGCCAACACATACTGCTACAACAGAACCATAAAACATCTATAGCAGACAGGAACGAAGAAGTTCCATACCAGCCTCGCGAGCACGCCTGTCCATGGCACCAGAGCGGCCAATGTTTTCACTCCCAGCAAGGTCGACCTGCGATCAGAGGTTGAGTTTAGTTGCAGTTTAGGATCGACGCTCTTTAGCGCCACCTTTTGCCACCAGCGGTATATAATGGGAGAAATTCTGTCAGTGGCTCGAAACTGCGGTGCCCAGGGCTGCACAGGCACCGTTTCAAACTTGCAGTTTCGAAACTAGACTTAGAGGTCCAAGTTATTAGTTAGGAGACCCTGGCAATAACACTTTGCTCTGCCATCGTCTGCTTTAGCAAGCAGGCTTGACAAAAAGATGCTTCTTGCGTTCCTCGCTAAGCACGCTAGTGAAAGCTGGCTTTGACTGCAAGTACCAATCCTGTGACAACACTGCTGAAAAAACGCTGACTTAGCCTATAGACCGACATACGCTTTGCACTTCGCACTTTCACCAGCCTCCTTTCCTACATCCTCTCCACGGTTTACCTCACTTGAACCTGAACCCCCAGGCAGAGAAGATTGTCTTCCCTGCAGAAAACTGAGGTTGTACGTAGACCTTAAAGAGCAACCAGGATAACCGGTTTCACTACTCTAAAGGCCGATTCAAACCGTCGTAAGCAGTTGCAAGAGGCTTAAAAACGGGCTTTTCAGGCCGGTTCACACAGCACCATCTTCTAACGTTATGTTAAGTCATGAAAGCCTGCATACAAGTCAGGGGGACACCTCTGCTTCATATTAAATGTGCTATCGGTTCCGGCACGTGACGTTCGAGACACTAATGTTTCGGCGACTTGTACACAAGATAAGAAAAAGTAAGGAAACGGTGCCGTGTGAAACCGCCTTTAGCCTCTCCGATCGTAAGCAGTCGCAGCTATGTGAACCAGCCTTTTAAGGCTGACGAGCAGCAAGAAAGGAGGAAACTCCCTCAATTCCTCCGTTCCATTCGAGAAAAAGGGAGACCCTTTTCCTTTCCGCAGGGAGTAGCTCAGTCTTCGAGAGAACAGGGTGAGAGAATGGAGAGAAGGAAACTGGGAACAGTTTTTCCCGGCAGAAGAGAATTCTGCAGGTCAGCTGCTTCAAGACTGACACTCATCCATCCGCAGCAAACAATCAAATCGTCCACATATACTTTGGCGAGGAAACCCGCCCAAAGCGAGGAAGAGGGACCTGCCAGGTTCAGCTTGCCGGTCTTGACGAGCTCCTCTCCGTCGTCAGTGTTCTCTCGGATGTGGACGGTGACGGTGAAGACTGTGTGGCTGCGAGAGGAGTGGGCGTTGAGCAGGGTGGCCGCCGTCTGCCGCTTGGCCGCCCCCTTCTGCAGGATGCTGAACACCTGCTCCCGACTGTGCACCGTCACCTCCTCCAGGCCCTGGATGATCAGAGAGCCCTGCACAGACAGGCCACCTCGTCTCCAGCTGTGCCCAGGACATCTCAAGTGACGCCATAGCTGCATTTACTTTTTCAGTATCCGTCCACATATAAACCCTCGATGCATTGTAGATCAGAGATCTTGCGTGACGGCATAAGAGGGCTTTTTATAAAGTGGTCTTTTGATTTGGCGTAGACCCCAACGAATGCTCTCGAGGGTCCCTGGGGATTTGTGGACTACAGTTTGAAAGCCATTGATTTAGAGTTACTGCTAACAAGGAGCGGCAGTGGTGCACAGGTACGGTAGCCCACAGGTGCACCCAAGTGTTGCAGTTGTGCATACTTTTCAATCTGAACCTTAACTTAGAAGATGCAAAATGCGCAAATGCAGCAAACTCTCCGTCTTAGAGCGACCATGTTTATCAAGCATGAGAGAAGGTAGACTGCCCATGGGGTTTTGAGTTTTTTAGCTAGGCATCACTTTTATCAAAAATACCTCCGATAGCACAAGAGTACTTTTTATGTAACAAACGCCAGATTATACTACACTACCCAGATGATTTTTCTGCCCTACCCAGATGGCTTTTTTTTTTTTATTTTATTAATGCTGCAAAATTTTTAATATTTCCTTCTGTCCTCATCACACAAAGTTTTCAGTAGAACGTTCAATAAAGTCTTAGTGAAGGGAAGAAAAAAATTCAATTATGAACCGCAAATACTTTCTCTACAACGAAACCATATCGCCTAGGCATGTACAAACGACCCGTCAGATGCTAAAGCGGGACAACTCTGGCCCGGCGTGCATAGTGCGTAAAGCGTGCACCTTGCGTGCCGAGTCCTCGTAGATCTTGAGGCGAGTGGTATCCTCGGTGGCACTGAGCAGGTCGAACAGCTCCTCGTTGTACAGCTCCAGGAAGGAGACCTTGATGGTGAACTCGAGCTCCTGCAGGGTAAGCTCCTCAAACATCTGGTGCAGGGTGCGGGGGATCACCCCAGCCAGTGGGTCATGGGCCCAGCTCAGGTTGGTGTCGCAGCGCTCCCCTTCCATTGTGAACGTCTTGCCTGACCCAGTCTGGCCATATCTGTGTGACGACAGAAGCCAACAGGCAAGGAGTGTGATAAGTGGCACCGACGCAAGAGGAGGGCAATTTCACGCATGTACTCACGCAAACACGGTGCAGTTGTAGCCCATCATCACCTCCGAAATCGTCGGGCCCATCACAGCCTGGTAGACGTCGATCTGAGAGGACAATGAGAAACAAAACGGTCTTAAAAATAGGAAATTCATCTCTTTGTCGAATGAATGTGAACCCTTAATAAAGCAGTGATTTCTTAATACACATGCAACATAAGAAACAAACGGAACAAAAGAGGGTAAGACAGGTAATGCATATGCTGAAAAAAAGAAAAAAAAAAAGGCGAGACTATTACACTGACGTTGCATCATCCACTCTGCACCACCACGGAAGAGAGGGGGAGCTGCTTTTGTATGAATATTGAGTGACTTGTGCTTCTGTATGAATTTTGAGTGACGTCAAGTGGAAAGATGTACACATGCCTCGCACCTACATTGCACGACGTCAAATGCCGACACGATAGCCCTTAGTGTCAAAACTTCTTCGGCAGCATATCAAAATCTTCTGCTCGTAGCTCAATTGCACCACTGCCGAAAAATTCCACACACACGGGCTGAATGTCATCATAGGAAGCTCGGTACATCTTTTTCAAGTTCACACATGTCAAAAACTAGCTGCCTTTGTTGAAAATATGGTGCATGTCAGCGCTTGTGCAAGCAGTTAGCAGCATCTTACTGCCTTGGTAAGTGCGCATGGTGAGACATCAACCACCGGCATAATGCGGGGCCCCATGCTTCCCTAGCGTGTTGTCACAGGCAAGCTGCATGCTTAAGCAAGCATGTTTGCCTGCTTAAAGGATGCAGGAACATGAGAGTTTCTGCATCCCTGGCACTTTCAACCTTGAAAGGGTTGATCTGAATCTGTTCGCTCCATGAAGGAGCGAAGCTATACACACAATGTCGTGCACCTTGACCGGAAATAAATATACGGTCGACGCAGTGAGCTCACGACATTTAGTGGTGGAATATGGCTTCCCATCATCCTGCAACGTTTTTTCGTCAACGTTTCTTTTTGTTTTTAATAAAAGCTGAAAAAAGAAAAAAGTTGATTGTCTGAGGCATTTGTCGTCAATATCGCCAAATACTTGAAAATCACTCCTGCCGGTGTCATTATTAATTCCTGGGTCCGCTGTGTGAAGCCGGCGAGTTACCTGAGAGCTACGCCACAGCTTTGACAAACGGCACTATTTTAAACGAAGTTCGCCATCAAACCTAGAAGCCGCTAAAAGCATGCGCGTTATTCGCTGAGGCGTGCTTGCCCAAGCCTCGGGCCCCCTCGTCTCTTTACCCCCGCAAACCAGGCGAGCTTGCGTGAGGGCCTCGCACGCCCCCACGGCCAGCGCGAACTCGACAAGCTGAAGCAGCACTACATTAAGAAAAAGATGGCAGTCACCTGCTTTGCTTCTGGAGGAAAAACCTTGTCAAAGACGAAGGTCTTGTTGAAGCGGTCTCTGACAACGATCTCCTTGCGGTCTGAGATGACGTCGATGGCCTTCACAGCACCCGCCTTTTTTTCTTGGGCGTTTGTGGGCCTGCAACAACACAAAAGCTTTGCTGTCTACGAACGAAAGTGCTGTAGAAAATTGCAGCCACGGTGTAGGTGGGCGAGTGTTTACATGTTACAACGAACAGCGCACTGCGTTCTTCGAAACGCTGCGAGTACCGACATACGCTAGTTGCACGAAACAACTCCACTAAACTTCCATTCTAGAACGAGGACACCTGCATGCTTTTCAACCGAAATTTTCTGGGCAGCTTACCGACATCGCACAAAGACTTGAATGTGCTGGTTGTTTGTCCTCTTCGTAGCCATGTCTGCGTGAATGGAACGCAAGAAAGAGTGTTCGTCGTGACGGTGACCCTGAAGAAGTTACAACTGGAGCTGGACCGGATTCGAGAATCAAATGCGGAGTTGGAGTGGCTGGAGTTCGGCAGAAATTACCGTGCCGAATGTCAGTTGCTTGGCTTCGCCAGCTTCGCGTTCTCTCCAAAGTTTGAAAATGTGAAATTATATGTCGAGCGTATTCATTGGATAAGCGAGGCTCACGTGACTTGTTGTTGTTGCTCACCATGGAACTTTTTGAATTGATAAAATTGTAATATTAAAATAAAAAGGATATACATATACTCATACCAAATAAAAGAATACATTATGTCAGAATTTTATTACAGTGTTAAGCTGTTAGCTTGGATGTTTTCTTTGTTGTACACATGACACGAGTTTTACGAAAGGAGGCGGAACCGAAACTCGAGGTAAAATCGTAAAATGGCGACAGTGCTCAGCTCTTGAATCTAGCTAGCTCTGCCCGACAGGCCCGACAAGCATGTAGAATTTTATGGGAAACGATCTGTACAATTTACAGATTCTGCTTAACGGCAGTTTGCGGAACTTGTTGTCTCATTTTCAGTGTCAGTGTGTTCGGCCTTTCGGGAGTTGAGATTCATCTTCGCCGGTGCCATGGCTGGAACGAGTGGACAGAAAGCGCGAACCTCCACGACTGTGCCCCTTCACCCGGTGATTAGCATCGTTCAAAGGATGGCTCTCTACGAGACGAGATGCGTAAGTGGAGCTCGAAACCACTTCAGGCAAACACGTAGTGCTCATGCCGTCGCCCAACGAAAGCACATGACGCCTTTCAACGAAGGAACTGTTGCCTTTTATTTTCCAAAACAAAAGAGGGGAAAAAAAAAAAAATCACACTTGTGTTGTTTTTTTTTTCTCGCATTTTACTTGTGTACGTTTAGTTGTGAAACATTAAATTTTAGCCACATGAGTTGGTACCGCATACGCTCGAACGTTGCACAGCCTTTGAGCCTTATAAGAAATGTCATAAAAGTTAAAAAAAAATAGTAATGTACACCAAAAAAAGAAAACTACGATCTCAGATCTGCCTCACTGACGCACTCTGTGAAAAGGGTGGTATTTTTTTTTTTAATCAACTTTCAAAGACCGAAAAAAAAAAATTAAGAAAACGCTTATTTGTGCAAACAGCTAGGGATGGTGATACTAATAGTTATATTTCTCTGCTCAAAGTGTAGCATCAGACGACGAGCTAGGCCAAGCAAGTAGGACGAAGCCTGTACGCAGTGAAATGGAGATATGGGCCAGTTGGTTCATTGCAAGCAAAGAAGCGCCGAAAAAATACAGGGACACAGACGAAGGGAAACAGGAGCACCTTGTCCTGTTTCCCTTCGTCTGTGACCGTGTATTTTTTCGGCGTTTTTTTTGTTTGCCTGTACGCAGTGCACCTATCAGCTGCCCAGAGAGAAGAACAATAGTGCAAAACGTAACGAGCATCTACTATTAATGGTTGACAGGGTGCTACACGAGTGAGTGCTGTCTAACCGAAGCAAGTCACAAATTAGCTTTTTATTTGCTCGTTTCAGAGGTACTACCTGGTGGGCTCGAACAACACGCAAACCACATTCCGGGTGCTGAAAATCGACAGAATGGAGCCGAACGAACTCGTCGTTATCGACGACAAGGTGATGATGCACTGAAAGACTTCTTGCCATCACGAGGTGTTCTTGCTAAATTTTTGAGATAGGTGTGTTGAAGGTTAACCCTGCTTTATTTCGGCAGATGGAGTACAACCACAAGGAAATCATAGAATTTCTCAACATGATTGAAAAGGAGAACCGGCCTACTAAACCAGGACAGAAGGGAAGCCCTGGCTTGAATCGCATTGTGTCAGCATTTGGAATTGTTGGTATGGTTTACTGATATACACGACAGGATAGGTGGTATTCACTGGACGCTATATTTGAGCTGACTGCTCTCAGCGCATGCTTGGGAGGAGTTTCTGGTCGCTGTCCAGCGCTTCGGCAACCACAAGGGAAGAGTGGAATGAGAAACTCTCTTCTCACCTAGACTTTCCTTCGTGTGCCCCAGTCTTCCCCAGATGTCGCTATTGTCCCTCTAGAAGATTATAAAAAATGAAACCGTCACTCAAAATTCCTACTAAAGCAGCTTTCCCCTATCTGTATTCCATGGCTGTGCGAAAGCAGCATCGAGCTCAGCTATGGCCGCCAGTGAGTATTACCTGTACTAATGGAGGGTGGGTAGATCCAGGTAACGACGTTTATACAGACTGGGGACCACCACTTTGAATCATGGTGATCTCGTTTTTATCTTGATGTCTTCCATAGAAGACATCAAGATAAAGGCAGTAGCTGGATGGAAGGGGGGGGGGAGAGAGTGAGAGAGAGGGGGGGAGAGGGGGAAGCGAAGGCCATGGATGAGGAGTGTAGGGGCAAAACTGGGGGGGAAGAGACTCGGCCCACGAAGGGTGCCTTTCCACCGAAACACACTATCTTCTGCTTTCTGGCCTCAAATAAACATGTCTAAATGCCTAAAAAAAAAATGTAAAAAAAAAAAAAAAACTTATGTTGTAAATTGGAAGGGTTAAAACGAAGAAAAAAAAATTAAGTGAGGCAGTTTAAAATAAGTAGTAAGCCCTATGCAGAGAGGAAAAAAAAACAGACAGGATAAAATTTTTAAAAACAAAATATAAGAAAAAAGTAAAAACGAATGATGGTTTCAGTTGGACAGTGAGTAGTACTATACCAAAAGAGCTCAAAATAAAAGATAAAAAATAAAAATAATAATATGGAAATGAGACAGCTGGTAACTCTTCCAACGTCAGGAAGAGGAAGTATTGTGAATGAAGTGGAGAAATGAGTTTACATCTGTTACTACTTGGCATCTCACTGAAAAAAAGAAAGCTGAGGCAGCATTTTTGTTGACATCATTGTTTTTAAACAAGAAAAGAAAAAAATAAACATTTGAGTTTAGACAGTGTAAGGTCGACCGGTCTGCCTTTGAGGTATGGCGACACTGGTTCACACCTTAGATGAGAAACTTTACTCGTGCAGTGCCACATACGCTAGCCTGATGTTTTTAATGTGCATCACTTAGTAGTGAAACATGACCGCACCTTGGTACAATGCTCATCAAGGTAGAAATGGGCCAAGGTGGGAATTGAACCCAGGATCCCCGGGCTTTGCAGCACAAGCTTTCACTTCATATCTGCTTTGAGCTGCAGTGCGCTATGGGCCGTATCTAATGTGTTTGGTGAGCTCTCTGACAGTTTGTCTCTTTTGCTTTTAAGGCTTTGTGAGGTTCCTGGAAGGTTACTACATGATCCTTATAACAAAGAGAAGACGAATTGCCATCATTGGGCACCATACAATATACAAAATTGAAGACACCAGCATGGTCTACCTGCCCAACAACCCCGAGCACAGTGTTCACCCTGGCGAGAGCAGGTATGTGGTTGGATTTTTTACAAGAATTTGGATATTCCATCAGCACCGGTGATTGCGACATATTTCATGCAGCGAAAATGTTCTGTTGCAGATATGTCAAGATGTTTCAGAATGTTGACCTTAGGAGCAACTTTTACTTTAGGTTTGTATTATTCGCAGCTGGGTAATTGTGAGGACATCCTTGATTCAATCATCGTATGATTCATTAATTCCCAGAACGTCGGAGCGAAACCAGCTTCCCACATCTTTTGTAGCTGTGCCATCACTTGACTCATTCAGAGCCTCGATATTAGGCATATTTTTGTGTATATTTTAGGGTGGCAGTTTTATTTTTTTTGTGTGCACAAGTGTCCTTGTTTCTATTTTGCTCTCTCCCTGAGGCTACTGATGTAAAGAATAGATACATAGACCCTTTTCGAAAGTTCATCAAGCAAAATTGATGGTTGCCATGCTTTTGGTTTCTAGGCTAGGTAGTGCGAGCTACTGCCCGTTATAAATGGAAGAGTCATTTGTATCCATCTATTCATAAGCACAAAGTGCATGATTGAATCCAAGTCCTCGCCGAATTCTGATGCGCCCTTATGCCCAATACATGCTTTTAGAGTATGTGATCAAGTAATGGCGGGCAGACAATGTCGCAGACTTTTGGGAATGGTCTGCTAAAACTCTTTAATATACTTTTCATGGGTGGAATTTGACTTGTTGCCATAAATGTTTTGATGGCAAAAACATTCTGTTCTGTAGCTGTTGTACTGCATTGTCCATAAGCTCGTAATACTTGGATATACAGGCATTTGGGATGCTGTTACAGTGAAGGTAATGCCTGGAGAAACTGATTTTACTTTAGGACATTCATAAGTGGTCATCAGCATGAGCTGTGGATAAAGTGATCCATTGTCTGTCAAAAATCATAGCTTTAATGATGCAAACTGAATCTGATGAAAGCTCGCTTTCAGCATGTGCTTAACAACGTTATGCACAAGCTGACAGCTATGGCTGCCGATAATGACTCCCTGAGGGAGGCTCAACTAACTTTGGGAGTTTTTTGTGGGAAAGCATGAAAGCTGTGGCTCACACTACATGCCAGGTTTGAAATGTAGCGCGACCTGCAACTCGTGCCTCTTTTTAATTTGACGCCCGTGTTAGGTCATAGCCACTCCTTCATTGACAAATCATTGTCTAACTTTTTTTTTTTGCACCTCAGTTACAGCTACGACTTGACGCACACTCTCCAGTACAACCTCACACCATTGGTGTGCACGGTTCCTAGTCAACCAACGACTTCGCAGAGCGAGTCAGATGACTCGCTTCTCAATGCCGAGGAAGCTGAGGTAGAAGCGGCTGATGTCTGGGACTTGCTTCCAATTGAAGTGAGCATTACTGAGACCATTTTTATAGACTCATTGAATGCTGGTCTGGAGACTTCAATATGGGCTTGAAAGATGGCATGCTTTGAGGATTGGAAGCCCCACAATATTTTTCTTTGGCCACACAGCATTCATGCAGTTGCAAGTGCACAATGTACATTAAGGACCACGGGTTAAAGAATGTACTTCTCTGCCGAAATGGACTCCTTAAAGGCCGCTGTACAAACGGGACGTTCTGCGGGGAAGAACCTTCTCTCCCGAAGCTGGAGACGGGGAGGGAAAGGGCCAGCGTTGGGTCGAAAGGGCGTCTAGAGAATGGGATTATCCTCGGGGCGAGCCATCCTCTCGAGAGGGAGTGGGGACGGAACAAAGCTGCCGTGGGGTTCCGGCTACCAGGTGGAAGATAAGCTTGTCAAACGGCGACCTCGGATGCGAGGACGGGCACGTCAAAGAATTTGAAAATAGCTGCTTGATTAGCCGGACGACCCAGTGCGGTCTACTGGCTCTAGAAGGTGACTCGGATGAAGAAAACTCGTTTTGCTCCAAAACTCTAAAATCATTCTGGAACGTGAACTCTTGCCACAAATAAAAATAACACATACATGAAGAACTACGAAGGCACCTAAGCTTTCTCCTATGATGTGAGAATGCGTGAGCATTACAGGCAGGGTTATGTTGGCGCAATTTGCAATAAAGAAAGAAAAAAAAAAAGTTATGTCGACGCAACTAGGCGCAACGAATAGCGCGCTAGTTTCACGATCGAAACCGGGCAGGGGATGATTTTTTTCTCGTGTTCTTTTTTTATTTCGTTTTTTTTTGTTCGGTCACCTGACAATAAAAATCACATGAACAGAATTTTTTTTTTCTTTTGGCCACGTCACCAGAGATTTTTTTTTTTTATTTCTCCTTTTCTTGTCTTTTTGTTTTCGGTTTACGCTCCCTTTTGCAAAACTCTTTCCACCTATTTCGCGTTACTTTGGCGTTAGCCAAACCATTTTATTTATGGCAGGGAATTCTGCCGTACGTATCTTATGTTACTATTACCAACCCTGGCTTGCAATTCGCGTAGAGAATTTCGTCCGGCAACCAGTTTGGGAATGACGAGGCCAAATTTGTGTTATAATTTTTTTGAAGTATAAGCATAATTTCGGCCTCGTTATCCGTCGGTCTTTATGATTGGCTCTTCAAGTATCTTTTGGGAAGGCAGACGACTGGCATTTTTAGAGTGCACGTGTGTCGACCAGAGTGAACATTGCTGAAGCGCCTCTAGTGTGATTTTGGCCGTAAATAACTGGAGGCCCCGGGCAAACCCACCCAATGTAGAAAAGTATCTACCTTTCTGGTTTCATAGAGAGCTATGAAAGGGACGAATCGCAGCCGAGTCAAACTACCGGCTTGCAAACGTAATCGTGTTGACAATAGCTCCAAGGAGTTTGTATGACTCTCTCTGGCGGTGTGCAGAGGGTAAAGGCACGGAGGTAATATATGCTTTCGCCTAGTCACCTCGCAAGCGATTGGGTATTGGCTCCAGAGATCCATTTCGCTTTGTTTTATTACCGGGATTATAGCATAATTTCTGTGTTCCTAATTTCACAGACAGAACGAAATCGCATTTCTCGGGTGGCGTCACGGCGGTGAGACAAATAAATCAGTGTACCGGAATTCGACGCTTGTGCTCGTTCTATAGCGCTTCTAGAAACCGTGCGATCACGGCTGTGCAACGTTAACAATGCATAAACTGCAGTTACTTGTAATCGTATTGCATCGTGAGGGAACGACTATGACTGGGTAAACAGGAATAAAGAGAATGGGTGCGTGTGATTTGTTGAAGTTCGAATCAACAAATCAAGCTTCAACGAATGCGATAGTATTGCATTCACTGAACCAGCTATATGAGTTTTCAGACGGTATATACGTTCCAAGTATGCGATTCGTGTTCTGCCAGTGGTACCTCAGCTAAATTAAAAAGCAAAATCCACGTTGAAAAAAAAAAAAAACGTTTACGGTGACTCGAGCCGCTCCCGCGTCGAATCATGTTTCACGTAGGCGTAATCTTGGGGTCGATGCATGATGAATTGTCTTCAATCATAAAAATAGTTTGATTACGATTATTGGCAACGCTAAAAATTTGAAAGCCAAGCAGTGAAGACAACGGTGTTCTTATAAATGTTATATACATTTTATTTTACACTGTTTGAATACGCTGCCGTCGTTATGTTCTTGAATTATTGGCTAGCTTGTGGCGGACAGGGAAATCTTGCAGGACCATATGATAGGACCTACACTAAACCTGCCGCGCTTCGAAAAATGTTAGTCAAATGCATACAAGCTTGTTCAAGGCGGACGGAGCGTTGCGCATCCGGCAAAGCGCATTCGGTCGCTGCCCGCGGCGGTTTTTTTTTTTTTTTTCCGAGCGGCGAAATAATTTTTAGTCAAGCAGCAGGCCCCCTCTTCGGCGGGTTCGGCCGGATTAACGGAGGCGTCTCCTAATCCATTCCCCGTGTTGTCCTCTCGGGGGAGGGCGGTAAACAGGTGGGGGAGGGCGTTGAAGGAAGGAAAGGAGGGCAGGAGAGGAGGAAACGCAGAAAAAGTGGAAAGCGCGAACTGTACGGCGGCCTTTAAAGGGGCACTGACAGCCGAAAGGTTGTATTCTATTGTCTAAAACGATGCATGTTGTAGTCATGGACACTCCAAAAAATAGCACAATGCGAAAAGAAGTTTCTCACGTGCACGTGCCTTTTTGCCTTTGGAGCTTTTCTCTCCCTTTTTCTCAGCTCCTCGCTTCTTTTTATCTCTTACGTAAGCGACTTTATAAGCAACATTTCTATAATATTTAATAATGTAATTCATAAAACATTTTTTTAACGTAATTCAAATGTACTACGCCCCCTGTTTTGAACTGTTGAAAATCACAGTCCGGAAATGATGCTGCCTCCTGGCTTTTTATCCTCCCTCGGAAAACATGGCGATGCTCGGCACATGTAGCACTGAGGATAATCGGGGAATCGGAGGAAGTTCTCTTTACGGTGCCCGACAACCTCTCAGACTTCGGAAAGGAAAGCGTCAAACGGTCCAGACAACTGGAGCTGGTGCCCCCAAACTTTTTGTCAGGCGATCCATTATGGTGTTATATAAGACAACCCAATCAATATTTTGCTACAGCGTCCCATTTATTTTTAATAAAGTAATAAAATGCAACTGCTCAAAATCAAAATCGAAACTGGACTGGGGAGGAAGAAGAAATGTAGAGGAGGAGAATGTTACTGAAAGTCATGTGGCTGTGCAACTTTTTTTTATTTATTTTACTATAGACGTATTTGCAGCTTTTTACAAGCCACAAAAAATGGGTATCATATTTTTTGTCTATTTTTTAGCATCGAGTGTGTGCCTTCGATGATCTACGACTGATTTTCTTTGGTAGTCGTGTCTATGCTATAGAAAACGGCATGTGACCACAGAGAAGAGAGTGAGCGTGTTTGATCAGTCCTCGATCGGCGGTTTTCGGGCGGAAAGGAAACAAATTTCGAGCCACAAATTGTGTTCTGGGTGGTTGGACTCTCATATGTCATGTACAAATAAAAACCTTGGGGACCATAAATACCCTGTCAGTGTCCCTTTAAGTGTTGAACCAGCATTGTCATAACTTAAGAACAGACCCCTCTCTCTCTCCTGCATAAACATTTACAACATTCAGTTTGCTCTTTGCAGTGTCTGATGTTGGTTCAGTCTAGCTTGCTTAATGAGGGATGGAGCAGTTCAGTGGGCCGCAACATCTAGCTGAGGCATAAAAAATAAGACTTTGTTGAAGGGCAGCTAAAGTATTTGTTTACCTGATAATCCTCTCTGTCTATGGGTGAAAGTTTTTGAGGGACAACAGAAAGGATGTTCTAAGTGCAGCCCTATCCTCCCTGTCTATGGGTGAAAGTTTTTGAGGGACAAGAGAAAGGATTTTTTAAGTGCAGCCCTGTGTATGCTGAATTCACCAGCTCAGCTTTGTGGTCAGTGTACACAAACTCCCCCAAAACATATACAATGAAGTACGTACGGTATGTCACTACTGAGTGTTCCAGGTCTCCTCTGTATCAGATCCGGCTTTTTGTAAGGTTCGATCGTTCTGGCAGGCATGATGTAAGGCATATATCTTTCCATAGACACAGGAAAAGAGAGTTTGATGATTCAATTTACATAAAGTGTAGAGGTACATACAAGATTTATAAAAAAAAAAAGTTTTTTTTTGTTGCTTACGTTACATAGTTTGCATATCGTGCAGTGTGACAAATTTTGTGAACCATTCATCTTGTATCCTTTATTGTTTTTAGTGCTATATGTATGCTAGTATACAGGAGACTCTCATTAATTCAAACTCCAGGAAGTCACGAATTTTGTTTGAATTATCAGAAGTTTGAGTTATCGAAAATTCATCTAAATTTGGTGTAAGATAAAATTATGATTTGCCATATGAGTGGCTGCATGCTAAAAGCAGATTTTTGATTTCTACTACGTAGGCTTACTGGTCATAAGCAGGTATGCCACACAAGAAACATTTGTGAAATGTAGAACAAAAGTTCATTTATCCCTCAAAAATGTTGTTTTTATCATGGACTGTTTAGACAGCACATCACAACTCAAAACAAAGTTGTTTGTTCATCAGGCCAAGAAGTTGTCTAATGTGAGCCATTAAGCAGGGGACATATGAGTGATGAAAACAGGCACTTTTCATAACAACTTTCGCGGACGCTGTGACGTGTACCCATGCCATGCCGCTGCGTCACAGCGTCCGCGGAAGTTGCTATGAAAATTTCCGCATGGTGCCCGTTTTTATAGCTCATGGTGCCCTGCTTGAGCCCCGTTGAGTGCGCTTCTCGCCAAGCACCGGTGCACTGCGGAGAAGAAACACCCGTGGAAGCAAGCTCCGCGGGTGTTGCTTCTCTGCCGTGCATCGGTGCACGAAAAGAAGCGCACTCAACGGGGCCGCGAGAACAAAATGCATGAAGTGCGCAAAAACTCCGTTCGAATTAAGCGGCTTATGAATACATTAAAAACAGTGGGACAACCTAAAATTTGAAATTTGTTTAAATTAAGCAGAAGTACAGAATATCGGGAGTTTGAGTTATTGCGAGCCTACTGTATAATGTTTTTTTTACATGAAAATGGAAGTCTTTGTGGTCTTTAATTCCACGCTTAATTTCTCTCCTGACTGCCGCCTCGACTACAGGAATCCCAGAGGCCTTCATACAAGTTGCCCGGAAGGAGGTTTAAGTCCGCGGGAAAAGACGACGGCGTGGAGAACACTGCAAATATTGTGTTTGGAAACTGGTCTGAAGGTATTGCGGCAGCAGCACCTGTCACCTAACCGTCTGACACAATACTGTCAATCAAAGCCACCAATACATAAGGCCCTCCACTGCCTTGCAGTGGGCCCATGCTTGGGAAAAGGCTTGCCTCAATCCTAACATGCATAAAGCCCGTATGATGCTGAAGTTATATGCATGATGCGTACCTACTATCTTTTCCTACCCCTGGTTTATGAATTAATGTTGTTGTTCAGCAAAACCTCTAGATATCACGAGTGTCAAAATGCAGTTTGTCATCTATTTAGAATGATCTTTGTTGTTTCTGTCAAGCAAATAAAATTTCAGAGCATGCATATTATGCCTGACCAGCAGGAACGCCTAGAGTTTGGTAGATAAACGAAATGGAAGTTGTGTAGGGCAGTATTTACCAGCTGGCACTCAGTCCTATCCCAGGTTGACGCAATAAATATAAAAAAAAAAATGAAAAGCAGGTTTTAGAGAAAATTTTTAAAAGCCCCGCTTCTCCCAACGTCTGAACTCTGTGACAAACAAAGTCATAAATTTAGTCTTATTGTTGCGTGTACCTACTCTGGAACGCAGTATTCATTTTGATGTCAAGCTGTTTTTGGTGGGCTGGAAATGAAAATTGTAAAGAATGATACTTTATTTTTATCATAAAAGTATACAATTTAGGTGTCCTGTAGGCACCTGCTTTGCCGGAAGGACAAAGCCCAACTGGAGGTACGTCTGGAACGCCTACCTCCTCGAGCCCGTAGACCTGCACACAGACTGGCTCCTTTACGTCACCCACGGGTTTGTGGGTCAAACGAGTATCCTTTGACTGGGAGTCCTAGCACTTCCACGTCGACAACATATTGTTTTGCTGGCTATCTGTTTGGCCAGAGAGTGAACGTTTGGATAAACATAATGTAGGTAAAACAGCGCTGAACGACAAAGACTAGAAGGAAGGAACAAACAGGACGGGCAGGCGCTGCTTTACCTACGTTATGTTTAGCCTACACCAACTAGTCCAGCTTTCAACTTTGGAACATTTAGACTTGACATTGGCATCAGACATAAGTGTCTACGGGCGGCCCATTTTTCTCACCCTGATCGCACGGAGGTCCCAGAAGTTCTCGGGAACCAGATTCCTGAAGCGGGGAGCCAACTCAGAGGTGTGCCCATGGATTATGTTCCTACTTCTATTGGGTTTTTAATATTGCATCTCAGCTTTTTTGAAGACTTTTTTGTTTTAAAATTTTTCGTTTACATATCCTAAGCTTTACAGGAAGCTCACGAGAAAATTTTCTCGTGTCCGAGTAGCATTGTGACTCCTTGCATGAAGAGTAGTGTTTGATCATTTATGCTCCACATAGGGCACTTTTAAAGTGGGTTCTTTAGAAATCCAATGGTTCCTCGGGTGCTCAGATTCTCTTTGTCATCCCCCATCCCTCTGCTGGATACATTTTGGGTATTTATAGGTGTGCACAATTTGAGCATGGCTAGGGAGATACAGTGATGCCTGATTGATATGCACGGTTTGAACATGACCGGATACGTATATTGGTGCTTGGCTACAAGCCAAATAGTGTGCTTTTTCAAATCTAACGTTTTTAAGCTTTTGAACTTTATATTGCTGGCCTGCCACTTGGGATTTTGTGTTTTTTGGGTGCTGTCAAGTCTACTAATAAACCCTTATCCACATCATGCTTGTCAGATGATCTCTTTGTATGCTAGTTTAGCGTAGGTAAAGGTAAAAACGGATACAAGCTTGCACGGACGGGGTAAATATGACTTTAAAAGATGAAACAATCAGAGGGATTCTTTAAAAGGCTCTCAATTACTTGTCAAGGGGCAGTTCTCCTCTAAAAATGTAAGACTGCCGTTGCAAAGCCTTGGCTACCACTTGGAAACCTATCTTGAATTCGGGTTTCTAAGCGTGTTGGCTTGAAAGAGAACTGTTTTTGTGCTGGGATAGCTGCGACTGCATAGCAGGATTCCTTTGCAGGGGGACGTGGCCAACGAAGTGGAGACGGAGCAGATTGTTCACGATTCATCCGTGTCCTCTTTTACGGATGGCAACTTCACGTCGTTTGTTCAAGTTCGAGGCTCGGTCCCATTCAGCTGGTCGCAGGACGTCTCCAAGATCGTTCCCAAACCTGCCATCAATCGTTAGTGGCTCATGTCTTCTATAAAATACAGTGCTTACTTCTTAGATCGTAAAGAAAGAGTTCCAGCCAGGAGACATATTTATTTATTTATTTTTCATGTCCTCAGGGCCGTAGCATTACAGAAAGGGTTGGGAGATGGGATCAAACACACTACAAAATGGTCAATTCGGCTTAAACACATGATCAAACACATCAAACAGATCAATTCGGCTCAAACACAAACACGTTAATGTTTCCTTAAATCTTGCAAGATCACTGATGGTTGCAGTGCATGGGGGAAGGCGGTTCCATTCAGATGATGTTTTTAGAAAGAAGGAACTGTATAAGGAGTTTTTGCATGTTGGTATGCCTATTTTGGAGTGATGGTCAGAACAAGAAGATATGTAGATGGGGTCATTGTTCAGTTGACGTTTTAGTATAGAATTGTTAAAGTATATTTTATGATGCAAGCACAGACAAGAAATCATGCACCGGGTAGAAAGGGGTGGCAATAATAGGCTAGATTTCGTGGAAGTCATATTTGATGTGCGATGATAGTTGGATAGCATAAAGCGCGCGGTACAGTTTTGGATGGCTTTGAATTCTGAATTGAGTATTTCTGTTCTAGGATCCCAGACCGAACATGCATATTCGAGCTTGGGTCGTGCTAATTTTTTGTAAAGCAAGAATTTTAACGATGATGGAGCTAAGGAAAAGTTACGTCGTAGGTATCCGAGCATGCAATTATTGTTGTTAATGGCATATTCCGTATGAGCCTTTCTTGACAGACCAGAACTACCTAACATGAACGCCTAAGTATTTGTAAGATGATACGTTTTTACGGTGGTTATTTGACATGCCCCATTTTTTGTGATTATCTCTGAAGTTTGAGTGGGCGCTTGCCCAGTATTTTACGGTAAAATGTTGGGATTGATGCTGAGTAGGTTAAGCTTGTATAATGAGAGTTTATGGGGCTTTTTATCGAAAGCCTTCGAGAAGTCCAAAAAGATGCGATTGGTCTGAGATCCATGGTCCAGAGCTGAGTGGAAGTAATGGGTGAAAATGAAAAGCTGGGTGTCACACGAAAATGATATGTGAAACCCATGCTGAAAGGGGCTAAAGAAATAATTGGACTGTAAGAAACCTGAGAGCAGTGAAGAGATGACGTGTTTCATGACTTTGGAGGGCATGCTAGTAAGGGAGATTAGCCTGTAATTAGAAGGGGAAATTTGGTTTCCAGATTTGTAGATTAGCACCACCTTCCCCACTTTTCAGTCCTTAGGTAGAACACCATGATCAAGTGATTGTTGAAACAATGCTGAAAAAAATGATTGATGAATACATTTTAGTGTCTCTAAGAAACTTGGCATTGATCTGGTCAGTGCTCGAAGCTGACGTGAACTTGAGACCATTAATGATTTTACCAATATTTTAACAATTTCAACAACAGTTTGGCACGTGGATTTGCGCACCAAACTTCTTTTTTCGTTTTGTCAACATATCTTTTTACTAGATGGCGCTGTAGTTTCGACCTTCAAGACTGTTGTCAGACTATTAAATTAAAAAAATGTTATAGAACCGAAACATTTAAACAGAAAAAAGATATTACATGGTTTTGCAGAGGGAACCTTTCCCATCTGGGAAAGGTTTCCTCCGCATTTCCGGAAACGACCTCGGCAAACGCTTTAAGATTAGTGGCTTAAAGTATGCTCGTTGCACGCTCCTCGTGCCAGTGGACCTGGTGGACCCGTACTGCTTTGCGGCGGGGCGCCACTTCGGCCTCCTGCTGCGCCAGTATGGGGCCCCCGTGATCGCCCTGAACCTGGTGAAGAAGCGGGAGAAGCGGCAGCACGAGAGCCTGCTCAGCAGCCAGTTCCTGGACATCATCGACTACCTGAACCAGTTCCTGCCCCGCAGCCACCACATCATCTACCTGGCTTTTGACATGGCCCGCAGCAACAAGCTGTGCGTACAGCGCTCGCTTTTGACATGCGGCGTCTGGCTCTGCCTATCTGTTTGATGCTCTGCAGGTATGCTGCCCAGAACGCATCTCTGACATGTGCGTTTAGCGTCCTCTTTCGCCCGTGCATTGAAAGTGGTTCCTAAATTGCGGCAACAAACGACGTTGCAAAAGCCGGAGTGTCGTGCCGACAGATGTCACGATTTCTGCAGTTGGGCGTAGACGCTGTGGAAAAAAGCACAAGAGAATGCAGGTGTCGACTCCCAGCTGCCGAAGCTTCCATGGACCGTCAAGCTGGAGAGCGATTTCCAGCAGAACGGGCGTCTGCTCCATCCACCACCACTGCTGCGACACGGCCAGGGTCATGGCCGGCGACGGCGGGACACTTGTATGACGTCGTCAGAGTCAAGGGACCACTTTTTTAGTGCACGATAAACACGCCAGTCGGAGACGCATTCTAGGCATCGTACTGCCGGGTTAACTGCCACGCTTGTACGGGACAGGCACCATGCTGGATGCCTGTCGTAGGCTTTTTGGACATGGAGTGTTTATTCTGAGTGCTAGTTGGCCAAATCGAAAAAAATTGACTGTCACTTTGGAATTTTCTAAAGGAGTTCAAAATGTGTACCGTACGCTTAGAACGTCTTTCTCATGTCCACCCAAAACCACAGTCTGTCGCGCACGTTACGTGCCGCACCGAAGGAATTGTTTGTGAACTGGCGCCTAGATCGCTGGTCGGCCGTTGCGTAATGGCCACTGGCCTCGTGTCATTGCGTGTGCTCGGCGTTCGTTTTGCAGCCACGCTCCTCGCCCCTCCCCCTTGACCTTACCGTGCCACCATTGTCGCGCTTGCGCCACTTTGGTGGTACGCAAAGCCCGCGAGCAAGAGCCTTCATTAGACATGTAGTCCGCTTTGCTGACGCCAAGTGCACACTGAGGAATGTCCCCGCACCAGCCGATAGACTTTTTTTTTTTAAAATTCAGTTCCATCTGGTATTTCAAAAAGCAGTTTCACTTTCGACAAACTGATGGCAGTCATGAAACTAGATTTCAACGGGCACCGTCACTTTTGCATGTCATAGGAAAATGAGAATTGTTTTTTCAGTTGCCTAATAATTCTTAATGGTTAAAAAGCGCAACAGGACAACGGACAGAAAGGAAGACACAGATATTAATTACAATAATTCTTTCTTGATTTGTTTCAGTTTCGACAATGTGAATATGACAATCAACCAATACAAAACGACGACCTATAAGCGCCTGGATGAAATTTCCGCCATCAAAAGTCTTTAGAGCCAAACTTGTGTCAAGAGATGGGTTGGACCACACTCCGAAATAAGCGCTTATGCTGCCATCGTATCTAATTCGTCCGTTGCGTTGCACCAATGTGTCTAGCATACAGGCTTCGTATATTCTTCGCTTAGTAGTACCTTCAACTCCTTCCTTCGTCAGCCTCGAGAAGGCCGTCACTAGTTTGGCACAGGTGCCATACGCCGTGATGATGATTGTGATCAAAGTTGCCAGTCTGAATTTTGAAGAGGGTTAATTGCACGTTGACTCTGCATTCCAGGTTGCACATTCCAGACTCGTGCACAAAAGCACTAAAGGCTCGTTCTCGCTCTGGCCAACAACTTTTGACCAAGTGCCTTACAACCCCTTATGACCTCTTATACCCTTGTTGCACGGGCACACTTAACTGCAGTTACGCTAAACCACAATTAGCGCACAATACTTGCCGACAACATTCTGCGGCGATGCTGTCAGAGCTATGGGCGAACGTGCGCTTGAGCATCTTGAGCACCCTTCAAAGCAGTGCACGCGCTCTCTTCACTTCTTTTGAAATAGCCGTTCGAGGGTATAGTGCGGCGTCTGTGCTGCCGCGTAACCGCAGTTAAAGCTGAGTTAACCGCGGTTAAGTGTGCCCGTGTAACAGGGGTATTACAATCTGGTAGCCGTGGAAAGCTCAGAACTCCAGTATATTTAATTTTTCTTTTGCTCATTATTCTTTTTATTCATTGAAACACTTTTGACAGTGTTATAAACAACCTTTTCTCATAAATAGAATATATTTACATTTGATCTCGCAGGTACCGTAAAACTTTTGCTCTAATAAAATGCAGTTTCAGGACCCCCTCGTGGATGGCGCCAGTGTGCTCTCGTCATAAGAGATTGCTAGAACTCTGTCGTAAGCAAGCACAAGTGTGTGTATTGACCCTGGTCCTATAAATGTTACTCTTTGAAAAGCTCTTTCGCAGTCCTTTCATATGTACGACAAGCGCGCGGGACCCACGTTTTTTTCGTCTGCAGGAAGGAGGCGAACGTTATGGGCCGCCTTTCGGACATTGCCTACTCGGTGCTGAGCAAGACGGGCCTGTTCCACAGCCGGGCGGGGCAGTCGCAGCCGCCCCCCGATTACCGCCTGGGCGGCGCTCTCACCCAGTACGGGGCGAGGCTGCAGACCGGAGTGGCCCGCGTCAACTGCGTGGACTGCCTCGACCGAACCAACACCGCCCAGTTTGCCCTGGGAAAGTGCGCTTTGGCTTTTCAGGTAGGTGGCCGCGCGGGCTCGTTCGACGCGAGTCTGGTTTGCGAACTTGTGTTTGCTTACGACCGAGCTCTCGCAACCTCTTACGCCCGAGCGTCGCTAGAGCGACGAACAGACACAACCGATGACGGCGAGCCTCGTACGAGCGCATAGTTCACGCGAGGGTATCATTGGAAGGCTCGCCATCACTCGTGTTTACCTCACGAGCACCAAGAGACTGCGAGCTTGCCAAAGTTACCATCTCGTGCGTGCGTCTGATGCTCGTCAGCATCGGTTGTTTCTGTTTTTCGCTCTAGTACGGGGGACTCGTACTCGCTCCGAGAAAATGTCTTACTGTGCATCTGTGGGCTTTTCTCTCGCGCAGCTGAATGCACTTGGAGTACTGCCCAAGCCCGACCTGGTGTTTGATACGGACAGTGTACGGTATGCGTGCCTCTCTTACCGCTCATTTCTTTTTCAATTACCACCGAACTGTGTGAGCTCAACTTGGTACCGTTGCTGCGTGTCACTCCGGTAGAGTTGCTAGGATTGAAATCTGCGATCTTTCCCAGAATCACGATTGATTAAAGCCGCAGAACTGTGGAGGGTGGAGGCTGAGTTAAGATGGTGTGCAACACAAATCTTAATATACTCTATTCATATAGTGTGTTGCCATTTCTTTCCCTGCTTCGCAGCTTTAAAATAATATTCAATAAGGCCTCATTGTCTTTTCTATGGACATTGAGATTAGAGTGGAAGTTTTTAAATTTGAGTGTTCGTTTCTTAAGGAGGAGGAAAAACTCAAAAACTCGCGTAGGCTTTTTTTTTTTTTTTTAGTGTCTTAATATTTAGAGTTGTTTTTTCCTCTCTGTATGTCAAAGGATGCTGGAGGTCCTGTATGAAGACCACGGGGACACCCTGGCTCTCCAATATGGCGGGTCGCAGCTGGTGCATCGGGTTAAGACGTACCGGAAGATTGCACCCCTGTCCTCTCACTCCAGGGACATCATGCAGACTCTGTCACGGTACTACAGCAACACCTTTTCCGGTGAGGTCACCCACAGTGCAGTGAACACTTGGGGGACAGTACTATGTCACCATCAAAGGGGTGCTGAAGATAGTGCACCAGACAACAAATTTAAACATACCTAAATGTTTATTAAAACACAACCTACAAAAAACCCGACATAAATATAATTGTGGCTAAAAATCGAAGTATTTTGGGGGGTTTTTTACACAAAAAAGTCAATAGTTGGCTGCTTAGAGCTGCCTCCTTATGGCTTGGAGCTCAAAGTATTTGAGATGTAAAGCTGTCTGAGGCACATTTTTATTATTAAAAACACAAGTTTGGGGACCACCGAACTACCGAAATCAAATGTTCATTAAGAATGAAAGAATCTGTAGTAGTGCAAAGTGAAACCCCACTTGACTTCTAGATTACTTCACATCGCATCCACCAGCACTGATCCTTGGGCTTCGCATTCACTTAGACTTTTTTTTTTTTTTTAATGAATACACACTTTTAATGCAAGATTAAGTAGCTGGTGTCTTGATATCACTTTCTAGTGCTTTCCACTAAAGTATGAATTTTCGGGGCGTGTCAGAGTCTATGTAATTTATTGCAGTTAATTGGACTTCTCAGTGTGTAACTTCTCCCCCCACGTAATAGTTCTTCCTTTGGGGCCCTTAAAGTAAAAAGGGCGAGGAATGAAAAGAATACTAGTAGTTGATGGCAGGAACGTGAAGAGCGTTCACTGGGCATTGTGAATTTGCATCATGGATTCACTAGGCGCTTGGATTTGCAAACTCAAGTGCTTTCAGTTTTTGTAGCCTAAAATTTTCAAAATTGTAGAGGTTCTGTTTTGGAGCTCCGACTTGTGCATAGCATCATGAACCACATGCCCGGAATAGACCTTCATCGGTATGATCAGTTCAGAGGTGTCATCTTGCCATTTTAGAGCGCAGCTCTTAGGTGCCCGTTTTCGGGTTGAGCGGTGTCGCCGTCAACATCGGCGTAATCGTGCGGTTGCATTATGGGAAATTTTCGTACTAAATTTAGCGGAATAAATGTTCCTATAATTTTAGCGGCGAAATTTTTCGGCTAAATATAGCGGGGAAATTCTACTAAATTTAGCACTGAAATTTTTTTCTGCTAAACTTAGTGGGGAGATATTTTGACAAAATCTAGCAGGAAAATTTACCCGCTAAATCTAACGGAAAAATTTTCCCACAAAATTTAGCAGGGAAATTGATGTCACGTGACCTCAGCACCAATTCAGTCTCCCTGCTAAATTTAGCAGAAAAATATTCGCTAAATGTTTCCGCTATATTTAGTGGAAAATTTTTCGCTAATTTTAGCAAAGAAAGTTTTGCTCAATTTAGCGAAAATTTCCTGCAAAATGGGAGGGCAACAAGCGAGGTGGAGGGGAGGGTACGGAAGGGGAGGACCGGCATACCCTCCCCTCCTGCTCCTCGAGAGCTGCGCTCTAATTCAGCATTACAGAGAATTGTAGACGTCTTCAATTTTTATTTGCGTTAACACTCGAATTACTCGAGTACCTCTTTGACTCTGCTTGAATTTTGCTTGTCCACAGATGCGGACAAGCAGAATGCAATCAACTTGTTCCTCGGGGTGTACCGGCCCTACGAACAAAGCATTGCACTGTGGGACATGACCACCGACTACTACCTGCACAACTCCATTCCTGCGGGCAAGCTGCTCTGCCACCGGAATCCGTGAGTTTTGCTCCCACGTTTCGCGGAACGCAGTTAAGGCCCGCTCACATGCACGCGTTTGCTTAGGACCGAGCTCTTGCGACGTCTTACGACGAGAAAACATGTTGGTGCCATCTATGAGCTGACCCTGGAACTGCATTTAATTAGAGCGAAGGTTTGGTGCATTTGAGAGATCAAATGTATGTACTTACTACCTACGAGGAATGGTTGTTTATAACATCCGCAAAAGTTTTGCAAGCCAAGAGAGAAAGAATGATGCGCCAAAAAGAATGGAAATATAAAGGAACTGAAAGTGTTCCACGGCGATTCGATAAATGGTGGCAGTGTGTTTTCTTGCGGTCAAAAATTTTAAGAGGTTCTAAGACACACAGTTGTAAGCAGTCGCAAGCACATGAACTTGCCCTTGAGTCCTTTGCAATGTAAGATAAAAAGGAGAAGCTTGTCTCCTTTCATCGTATTCGACTGCACGTGTAGCGAAGTGTTTTAGAACGTAGAAATCTTGCAGTTAAGGTGGACCTTCTATACCAAGGGTGGCCAGGCTGACCCGGCCTAAAAGCCGCAAACAAAACCACGAAACTTCCAAGAGCCGCGAGGGGGGCGGGATTTTTGTTTAGAGCAATAAACGAAACTCAAACTACTTTTAATCTATCGGAGTCAAGAGCAGTCCAACTGTACGTAAGTTAGCAGTAGCTCAAGACTACCAAACCGCAACCTGACTTTCGATCTAAAATGCGTTCCATTTTTCTTTTTGGGGATGTGCTCGTACGACCTAGAGGGAGGCGAAGGAGTGGGGGAGGGGAGGGGAGGGGAGGGGAGGGGAGGGGAGGGGAGGGGAGGGAGGGGAGGGGAGGGGAGGGAGGGAGGGAGGGAGGGAGGGAGGGAGGAGCTGGTAGGGAATGGAGCCGCGAGCTGCACTTTAACACGCGAAGAGCCGCAGCTTGGCCACCCCTGGGCTATACAGTAAATTTTATATTGCTACAGACTATAGTGTCGATTAGATTAGAGTCCTTATCTCACTGAGCCCTACAATTAACACAAGAGATCACGATGTCAAAGATATAAAGTGGCATCACTGTGATAGATTTGTATGTGGGTTTCATTCTTTCAGTGTTTTGATGGTGCACTTCTGCAGCATCGCGCCTCCCAATAAACAGATATAAATACGCGACTTTGAACAGTGTTGAAGTTTGGGCTATTTGGTATCCAGGAATAATAAAAACAAAAATAGCACTGTATCCTCTTAGTTTTCTTTTACCTTGACCTTGTCTTTGCGCTGTTTTTGTTTTTGTTATGTCTTTGAACAATAATAATCTAATGCATAGTGTTGCGTGAATATTCAAATTTCTAATAGTAGTTTCGAATATTATACTATTTATTATTCACTTTAAAATGAACTGCAATATTCATATTCTTCTTAGAAGTGTTTATAGCGGCAAGTTTGCTCCTTTGAGCACGCTTCTTACCGAGCACGGGTACACTGCGTGGAAACAACACGCATGGAGCTCTCTTCCACCGGTGTGGCTTCTCCACAGTGCTCCGGTGCTTGGTAAAAGCTCACTCAGCAGTGCTTGGCCGCCGCAATCAATTCTCCGAAAAGTATGGATATTGTAGCTGCGTGCTTTTGAGAAAAGCAAATTTTAGAAGCGGGATGGTGCATGTACGCACCTTGTGTATTTAAAAAAAGGTAGAAACATTGTGACTACCTATTGATATCTTCATTGCAGTAGTATTTTCAAAATTAAACACCAATCATACGTGATTGAAGAAAATATATTTTCATATAGAAGTATATATGGGCATCTATATAGGCTTATTTTTATGTTGAATGTGTTGTTTACTTGCCATGTCAATGTAGGCATTAGACTTTCAGAGGCCACAGTCAATAAATAGATTAGATTAGCTTAGAAATGGACAAGTGGAAGCTTGGCAGCAACCTTCAGAAGTTTCAGCTGGTTTTTGTTTAACCATGTTGCAGTAGTGAAAGGCTTAGAAAACTGTTCAATATCTTGTTAAAAAATATTTGGCCAAAACCACTGCTCGCTTTGATTTTGCTTCAAACTCAAAATCCACTACTAGTAAATACCTTCTAATGTATGCTCATTGAGCATAGAAGATGATACATGGCACTGAGTTCTGCAACATTATCAAGCGAATGCATCTTTGCAAGCAGGCACAAACGGTGTACTAATATGCACTATAGTGAAGATAATGATGTGGCAAAGATTATTTTCTATACTGATTTTGCTATAAAGAAGTTTCATTGTACCTCTCTGGAAGGGCCTTTGTTTTCTTGTTGTTTCGTATTATTTTTGCCATGGATTCGTGTTTTGATCTGCATGAAGTTTTCTCTCCTTTCCAATAGGTACACCTGCTGGTTTGACGAAGAGGTGGCCGCAGCCTTGCCGTTTGCACTCGAAGAAGGTTGTTTAGTGTTTTTTTATTTGTATAGGTTTAGGCTTTTTGGGGTAGAACATTGACTTTCTAGCACCGAGAAGTGAGAAGCAATTTCGCAGCAGCTCCTATACACATTTATGCATGCTCAAGCAAATCACGAATGTAGGCAAAGCTGTTAGGAAGAATTCGGTAGAGGAACCTTCTGGAAGTCTCTGAGTGACAGCGGTTGACATGTCACTGAGAGACTTGACTTCTTCGAAGCCATGTTTCTTCAGCCGAAGCCAAGTCTCTTTGACAGTCACTTTGAGACCTCTTGGAGGTTCCTTTCGAAAGGTCATATTCATTCCATTCTTTATAGCTTGTCCTTAGCTAACAGTGTTTTCCTGGTGTGACCGTCGGGATGAGAACAGCAGGGAAGCCTTTCAGTTGTCGCGTCTCCAGTTTCGCCAGTACTTGCCCTGTCGTTCTAATCCTGTCGGTGGCCATAGTATCAAGGCGGTGACATCTCTCAATAAGTCTAACTTTGGTGGCTTCAACAGTGCTCAAGCACCACGGAAGGTCCCTGATGGAAGTGATGAAGCTGGAGGTGACCAGTGAGAAGGCAGACGGCTTTGTGGAGCTGTACAGGCCTTTTGAGATGTCCGTCATCAGCGAGCTGTTCATGTTCAATCTGAGCCACTCTGTCAGGTAGTCTCACTGGCTTCTCTCCTGCCTGATGCCGACTGGCTTTTGTGGTGAAAAATGAATGTCGAGCATGCCGGCATGTTGTGACGTGGAATAGCGCCTCTCGTGCCTCGTCAGTCCCGTGGCCACATTATGCGCTTCAATTGAGCGGTCTTGCAGTGTGTTTGTTGGTGTAGGTGTAGAATCAACTGTAAAGTTGCTAACTAATTAGAAGCTACAATTTCTGTTGCTGAAAACTTCTCCTAGTTAAAAGAAAATTTCAGTAACTGTAATGTGCAACTTTGCATTTCTGGACTAACTTGTAGTTGACAAGAGCACAGATTCACATTTGTTTTTGTCTCGACATCAACGTTCAGGAAATCAAGACAAGACGGTGCCATTATCTTTTCTGAATGGGAAATTGTGTTGATTGGCAATAGCAGCACACTGCGACATAATGGGACATTTTTAAAGAGTATCTTGAGCATAACTTATAGTTACTTTTACAAATAACTGTGAAGACCTGTTCTCCGCCTTGTGCTTTGTTAATTAGGACCAAGTTCTTTTGATCTCTTACGACAAGAGAGAACGCTGGCATGCTGGAACCGTCTATAAGGTGACCCTAGACTTGCATTTCACTAAACCAAAGTTTTTGTGGTATTTGGGAGATCAAATGTATGTATTATCTATGAGGAATTGTTGTTTATAACATTGTAAAAAGCTTCATAACTTAATTAGATTTTATTTCAGGTAACTGTAGCTGCCCCCCCTTTTTTTTTAGGAGTATCTGTGGCTACTCCTAATTCAGTTGCTAAATTATATAAAAAGAATCCAAGCTGATGCAACACGGAGCATGTTGTATGTACCACCTTGGATTATTTTAATATTAATTGGCAACTTGTTTTTGGGGAAAAGAGACTATAATGATAGCACAGTTTACTTTATTGTGCATCAAACTCATTTTGTCACAATGTGTGAAATCATTTTAGCATGAAATAGTCAGTTTGTATAAACTACTAAAGCTAAGCATACGCACTCTTTTTGGTGCCTACTCATTATGTTAACAGAGCAGTTAGGATCTCTTGTCCTCCAAATGTAATTCACATTCAAAGTGAGGAGTGAGTATTCATCATTATGGAACAAACAAGACCCCTTTATTAGCATTGTCTTAATATTTTGGTAGGGGTCACTTTTACAAACTGAAGATTAATCTTATATAGTGTTAAAGGGGCACTGACACATCAAAATCATATCTTTTTTACTATCCGAAACGATTGAAAACGATGCCGGGACATTACCCTCAAAATTTGAAACTTGGGAATTTAGTATTTCTCAATTAAAAAAACAATTTCCAAATGCCAAATTTGAAGTTCCCGTGTGATCCGCGCCAGTGCAGCGAGTCAAATTTTGCGGTCTCCTGCGACTCAACTTTCTTTGGGACCTCCGCCGTAGCCACGGCGACCCGAAGCGAGGAGGAGGTGACCGGCGCCGGCACGGGAAAAAAACGGTTTCTTCCCCGAATCGCCGATAAGCCTCTGCTCAAGTGCCGCCAAGTTTTCCGAGGGAGGATACAAATCCAGGAAGCGACATCACACCGAAATCTGATTTTTGGTATTTCAAAAAGAGGGGCCGTAGTGTGTTTGCAATCGCGTTAAAAAACATGTTTTACGATTGCCGTTATTAAATGGTATAGAAATGTCGCCTACAAAGCTTTTTAATTTCCTGATTTTTGACGTCACCGATCAAAAGAAGCAAGGAGGTGAGCGCGGGAAATATAAACAACAAAAATAAAAAGGCGCGCGCGCGCGCGAAACATTTTTTTTGCGCGATGCGTTTTTTTTTGCGTGTCTATGACTATAACTTGCATCGTCTTAGACAAAAAAAAAATAGAACCTTTGGGGTGTCAGTGCCCCTTTAAAGAAAAGGCACAAGTGGTACAAATTTTAAGAATCACTGATGTGACAAATCTGCCTAGTGAGCATTTAAAGGTAGTTCTTAGGGGGTGCAGATTGTATATTTTTAATTGGGTTGTATACATTTGATAATGAATATGGTAATAATCTTTATAGAATAATTGTCATAAATCGATTGTGATGATATTTACACATGTTAAACTTTAAAAATGACTCTTGAGGAATTAAGTTATTCATCTCATTCTTTACACCTAATTCCTCAGAGCTTATTAAGGATATATTATTTGCTGATCTGCCCATATACATAAAATAGTAACCTTTTTATATCACTTATATGCTAGATCAAACTGTTAGGACTTTGATTCTCTGAGTCACAGGATCACAGTGGGGTTGTTAAGAGGTAATCTCGCTTACAAGAGTCATTTAAGGAGACCACAAAAAGTAGGCTTTTCTTCCGCATTTGATAATCTCGCCAGGACAATACTGGGCCCCATTCATGATTTCTCGGGTCAGAGGCATCTATGGGCTGCAGCATTATTGTTTTGACGTAGAATACATTTTTGGCGATTGTGACTCGGTGAAAATGTAAGATGTGAAAGCAAGATGCGAAAGGAACTATGGAAAAGATGTCTTCAGGTTACATGTCTGAGAATGTCATCGGGCCGCACGACTAGTAACGTCGTTATTCATGCGACCCACGACGTCACTAGCGTCATCATAAGTCACATGTCATCATAAGTCATGTGACCTAGTGACCACGTGACCCAGCGTCATCATAAGTCACGTGACCTAATGACGTCGCCGTTACTGCAGCAGCAGGGCTTTCTCACGGGCGACATCTCGCTCTCGTTGGCTGGCATAAGTATCGTGTGACCATAGCAACGTCCAGTGGCGTTCTCGTCAGACGTCGCAGCGTGAGTCTCGGTACATAAATGATTGCACCGAGATTGACTGACCCCAAAACATATCCTAGTGCCTCGTGCTCGTATTGCTTCGTCTTCGTCCTCGTTGTTTTGGGCGCTTTCACACATTTTAAAACCACAAACCAACAGGTCCAAATAACAACTTTCCTACGCGTGGCGCTGTCGTCGGGTGTAATCACCGTTGTCATTTGTTGTTGACCCTCGGCAGTAGGCTTTTAGCGTGTCGGCACAAAGTTGGTGAATGAACCAATCTTTCTTTTTCCAGAAGCCGGCTGGAGGGTGTGCCAGACAAAAAGCCGCCGAAGGAGAGTTTGACAGGGTTGGGGGCCCCCATTGTATTACGGAATGTAGAATGCTGGTGCACAGGCGGAGCTCTGTCATTTGACGAGCTCTGCTAGAGCCAGAGTGCCTGAATGCGAGATGACGGCCCCTATTTCTCGGTGGAGCCTGCATGAGGAAACTGACTAAAGAAAAAATTGATCAACTTTTAACCCGGGGGCTGACTAACGCTCACACTGCATGGATTATGCCGGATGTCCACTACTGCTTAATGTACCATAAAAACAAAATAATTTGCATTCATAAGCTTTACTGAAACTTCGGTTTACGTATGCGAGTGAAGTTCGAGGAGGGTGGGGCTGAAGGAGCTAATGAACTATTAGATTTCTGTTTCCATTTTAGAATTCTCAAACGTCGTTCGAAACTTGACAGAAACGTTGTGTGAGCATGGACATGTTTTGTTTTGGGGATGTCTCATCGTTCCTGCATTCATTCTTTGTTGCCCCGGTGTTTGTTTCGTCTACGTAATTTCGCCTATTTCCTTGCACGTCTTCTTGTATTGTTTCTGTGTGGAGCTTGGTCTTGTCTGTTTGTTGAGGCAATCCTGGTCTTGCATCTGCCTCTACTTGAGCCTTGCTGTGTAGTGTCTTTGTTTCGTTTACTATTCCAGTAGCAGATATATCTGTTTGTTATTGAAGTTCTTGCTTGTATCGTATGCAGTGCAGCGAATGTTAATTATCGAACAGTTGTTTTTAAATGAACGCTCATACCCTTCCAGGGCAATCTGACTCATTCAAAATAATATATGCAAAGCATACCATCTTGAGAAGGGTGGCTTTTTTTAGGCAACGAACTGTGGGTGCTGTAGCTATCTATAGGGATTAAGAAAGCTTGATGTGAAGTAAATTTAAAAGCTGGCTGAAATAGTCGGGTATAAGGGCATGGGACGCAGCAAGACACATTACAGTTAAAGACCTAATAAGTGTGGTTGAAACTGGATGTTGCGCATGCTTCCTCGTTTAGCCTCAGGCAGTGAGTCCACATTTTCTTGGGCGGTTATGCTTTGAAAAGCGAGCCTGTCCTTGTCAACTTGGCAAGCCAAGTATCTGATAAGATTGTTTTCTTTTCTCTTTGTATTTTTTTTTTTTCGTTGCAGCAAACATTTTGATTTATAAAAACTGTTTACTTATGTGGCTGCTTGATTTTAGTGTCAAAAACTTTGTGCTGCCAAAGATGTAATAATTATAAGGCTTGAAACACTGAAAGCTTCTGCTTTCGGTGTTTCTTTTTCCATAGTCATTTTTCACTGGAAAAGTTTTAAGGCTACCACCGAAAATTTGCTGTTTTAAGCTCGGAGGTACAATTGTCGAGAGAGTCACACCCATTTTGGTAAAGGTTAATGAGTCAGTAGCAAGAATGTTCACCCCCGAGGAAAAAAAAAAAATTGTGAAGGCTGGCAGATGCACCACACTACATTTCCCAAATGATCGGATGGCATTTTTAATTTACAATATTTTGACACAAGATTAAAGATACGGTCAGTTTTGCCTGCACAAATTCTTCACGTCGGCACCCTAAAATCAAAACTCGATCGACACTTCTAAAGCAAGTCATTATGCACGCTAGCCACCTTCTCCCTCACGGAAAAAATTTGCATTCGCTGCATTACATCTCCCTTTCTACTTTCTGAAAGTGCCATTTGGCATCTTGCTTGTTGTAAACAGAGTCCGAGGTAGGGGTTGCCGAATGTTCCTAGAGTGCCACATCCCGTAGCGCTTGAACTGAAGAAACGAGTCATTCAATCTTTTTGATTGCCTAATATCAGTTAATGCCCAAAGAGGGGAGAAAAAAAAAAAAAAAGAGTAAAACGTTTACGTGAGAGCACTGAACGCTGGTTTTCACGAGTTGTTTTAATACACAAAGCGAAAATGTGAGTCTTTTTGCTCCTTTGCGAGCAAACAGTAGTCACAGACACGGTAGGGCGTCTCTTTCAAATGCCCTCAGCTCCTTCGCATTTGTCGAATTATCCGTGGGAGTTTCCTTTATTGCCCTAGGGGCGTCCGGTCACTCTAGCTACCACGCCTCATCGTATAAAGCCGCGCAGCGTAGTAAGGGCCTTCTCTCGTGCCACTCAGGGACATCATGCCCAACTCGGCGACAGACCACAGCCCGTTCTCAGTGCGCATCCGCCCCGGCAAGCACCGAGAGACGGTGGGGGCGGCCAAGCTGCCGAACCCGTCGGTGAGCGGCATCTCCTCGGCCATGTCGACGTCGAGCGGGGCCAGCGACTCGGACAGCATGGAGCCGAGCGACGAGGAGCCCGACACCGCTCAGACGCCCGACAGCAACGAGTCCTCCTCCAACGACTGCTCCCAGAAACCGATCACCTTCGAGGTGAGGTCGTGCTGCTCTCGCTTTCTTTCTCCTCTTTGCTTTTGGTCCCTGGATTCTTGGAAAACTGTGGCGTAAGTGTGCACACGGAGCGTGGCACAGTTTGTAGAAAGCAATTGTCGACTCCTAATGTGGAATACTTTTTAATGGAAACAATGTAAGAATTGGTGTAGCCCCCTTGCTGCCGTCGCATTGCCGTCACCGTAGCTGCAGCCATATTGTGCCGTAGGATTGTGCGAATACTGAAATTTTTTAATAGTAGTTTTGGGTAATATGCTGTTCAATATTTGCTTCAAGATGAACTGCAATATTAGTATTTTTTAAAGTGTTGATCACGGCTCGTTAGCCCCATTACTGAACACCGCTGCACTGCAGAGAAGCGACGCGCTCGCTTGCTTAGGAGAAAAGCACACTTTAACGGGACGGCGTACCCGCGTGCCTTGTATATTTAAAAAGAAACAAAAGCTTCATGAATGTTGATACCTGCATTACAGTAAAATCTTCAAAATTAATGTGTGGCCATTATGCGAGAGTATATGTTAGGCAGGGATGCCCTGTTCATCTTTTGTGATTGTCGTTTTCTTTTTTTTTTATTCAAGATTGTCGAAAGGATATTTGCATATATAGCGAGATTTATAAGTACCCTTAATTAGGTATACCTGGACGTCTACACGTCTACACGTCTACACGTCTCTACACCTTTAGTTTTACGTTGAATCTCGTTTACTTGCCGTCCCAATGTAGGCATTGGTGTTTCTAAGGTCACAGTTCATAAATAGAGTTAGATTAAAACTAGCTTGACTAAATGGACAAGTGGAAGCTTCGAAACAACCTTTATGAGTTCAGCTGGGATTTGCAGCAGTAGTGAAAGGCTCGGAGAAACTATAGTCGATATTTGTTTTGAAAATATTTAAACAAAACTGCTATTCGTTTTGAATTCGCTTTGAACTCGTAAAGTCCACTATTCACACATGTCTACCACGCAGTCATCAGCCGAGTTTAGTGAGCTACGTTCTCCTAGATTTAGCAGGGTTGGTGCTACTATGGGTCAGCTGACCACGTGACATGCATCAGGTCATGCCAGCTTAAGGGGGAAAACTAATCTCGGAGCTTTTTTTCTTATTCTGTGACCAAACCCATTGAAACTGCATAAGCTTGTTCAGCTTTTTGTGCTGATTTCATATATCTGGTCGTTTTCTCAGTCAGGAGAATTGTCCTCATGGTAATTAAAACTTGCCTGCCTTTGTTTGGAGGAACGATAGGAAAAAAACGGCTCAACAAAATATCCTTTTTAACACACAGCTAGATACTAGAAAGTGTAGAGCATACAATGTTGGAAGTGCTTTTAAGATAAATCCACTATTAGTGATTTTACCACACATTCAAGTTCGGTGCTCAATACATGGCTAACAAGTAATAAAACAAAAGATCAAATAGAAAATATTCTAGACTTTTATTAGAAAATCTGCTCTCAACATTGTATGCTTCACTCATTTAGCTACACATTTCAAGAAAGGTTATATTTCTATCTGCTCTGGATGCTGAGATATCCCTCTTGCAAATTTTTCACGAGTCCAAAAATTGTGTCTTGTGAAAGCAATGTTTTAGAGTCAACTTCAACTCACATTCAGCCCGCATAGACATTATTAGTTGATTTATTGCCCAAATATTCACCCACAAAATTAGAAGCCTGGTAAATTCAGAAGAACAACAGCCATCGCCATTTTCAAAAGAATACAGTTTTAGGACGTTTTTGGCTCCAAGGACCCATGTGCCCCCTTAAGTGAAGCCATGCTGACATATTATGGTCTTAATGGGACGTCAGGTCGTGTGGCGTCGCTGTGATGATTTGCGCCAAGCAAATTGCCCGGCTCGCAGATAAAAACTGACAGGCCACGGTGAGGACGTAGTACAATGCTCTGACCGGCTCATTAACCATTACATTGGCACCTTCATATTGTTGCAACATAACCCTGAAGGAAAGGTGAACAACAACTTTTAGAATGAATGTAAACATATACCCAATAAAACAAAACAGCACCACTTGGGTAGTTAGGGTCCATTAGAGACAAAAAGAGTGTTCCTTCAGTGTTTTTGTGTTTGAACAGTGCAGAAGCCATCTGAATGCTACAGTTTTCATGGTCTCTTCTTTATAGTCTGTGTTCCAGACAATGCAACAGACATATGGCAGAGAGATTCATGAACCTTCTACTAAGGACTTGACCGTTTACAAAAGGTAAGGCACATTTGCATTTACTGCTACAATTTGTGCTTGTCTTTTTTTTTTCTTTTAGCATGAAATGCTAAAGCTAAATGCCAATGAGCAAACCTAAAGCTAAATTAAAATGACTTCGGCAGTCAGTGAGGAGTTTTTCAAAATGAGGGACTCGGCAGAAGTTTGTCGCCTTATTTTTACAAGAGAAGCTTAATTGGCTAACAGTTGACGACCCTTTCTTGTTAAACAACTCACATGAAGTCATAAGGCTCTTAATTGAACACAACAACAAGGACTTTAAGGCCTTCTCCATTGACATCAAGGACTTGTATTATGCTATACCCCAAGAACGACGTTTAGTAATGTGCATTCAAACCTGCATTGACTCTTTCGATATTATCGCTTTCCAAAATGCTTCAGGAATGTCCCAAAGTGGCTTTCTTGAATTGCTTACAGTCTCCCCAAAATCTACTTTCACCCTGTGGAATTGAAACATCTATCGGCAAACAAAAGGTGTTTGCGTTGTTTCCTGTATTGTGCCTCGTCTTAGTGACCTATACTTAGCACATCAAGACAAAATCCTACACCGGTGTTTTGACACTTCAAAAAGTTGTGAAAGTGTTTCGCTATGTAGATGATTTTTTTTTATTTTCTTGGCCCTTGATGGAAACGACATTTCAAGTACCGTATCCAATATCCTCTCGATTTTTAAAAACTGTTTGGATCCTTTGGACATAACCCATGAGCTTCCGGTTGAAGAGTCCCTAAGGTTCTTAGACCTCAGACGTTTTTTTATATCTCATCTCATGTGTTGGTCCTACGCTCCGAGAGGGAAAAAGCCACTCCTCCATTATCAATCGGTGCACTCCAAGTTAGTTAAGAGGGGCGTAGTTCACCTATGCCTAACAAATTCCAGCAAAAAGTCGTGCCCGCATACTGTACAAACTAGCTTTGACGCGTAGACAGCTAGGCTACTATCAGTGGGGTACCCTATTCACTTATTAATATCTGTCGCAGAAAAACTCCTTCAGAAAATTAAAAATCCAGATTTAACCCAATGTAAGAAAAGGGACCGAAACCAAAGGCCAGCAGTTGTGCCTTATATTCACCATATTTCTCGTGGTCTTAAAAAGATAGGCAACCGCATAAACCATAAACATCAACATAGTGTTCTGTGCTCCATACAAGCTCTTTAGTTTATCTAAAAAAGTCAATTCATCCTCCGATAGAACCTTAGGTTGTATAAAACAGCATCACACACGTTTTGTTCCGTGCTCTGAAGGGGTGTCTGAATGACTGGGAGGTGTCTGAATGACCGGTTACAAGAACATCATTATAAGATAAACACTAAACAGAGTAATCTCAGGTAACCTAGGCATCTACTGCCGGGACTGGGGTGCTCAGTAGGCTTGAGAAACTGGTAATCAGCTGACACTAGAAATTATTGAAACTGAAAAAATAGCCAGGTTGGACAAGCAATCCGTCAGTGTCCCATCCTTAGCTTTATCAAAGAAAGAATTGGATTATCTCGAGATAACATCAAAGTACCAATAGTGATGGGTAATTTTCGTTAAATTTTTTTTTTCTTAATTTTTATTTTTGTTTAAAAAAGTTTTTTTTTTTAATCTTTATTTCTTAGGTTTTTCTTATTTATTTATTTAATATTGATTTATTAATGTTTATTGGCTATTTTGTATCCGGTGTTTAAAAATTTAAAATGTTCTCTTTAACGGCGAAGGAGAAGGAGATGACGATTTGAGGAAGAAGAAATATATCACTGAGTTGTAGTCAGCGCTGTGAAGGCCCGTTCACACTCTTGCAAGTGAGTACGACCGAGAGAGAGGAGGCCTTTTGGAACCTCTTAAAACTTTTTAGGACGAGGGAACACACTGGCATTCTGCCGCCATCTATGCGGTGACCCTGGAACTGCATTTCACAAGAGCGAAGGTTTTGCAGGATTTCCGAGGTCAAATGTGTGTAATACTGTACCTATAAGAAAGGCTCGTTTATAACGTTGACAAAAGCTTTTCGAGCCAAGAAAGATAGGATAGTGAAAGATAGAATAATGCGCGTATGAAATAAAAAATATGCCGGACCGCCAAGTTTACACTGCTACCCAATAGATGGCGCCAGTGTCTCCTCTCGTTGTAAGAGGTTTCAAGGCACCCAGTTCTAAGAGGTCGCAAGAGTGTGAATGGGCCTTGAGTCTGTTTCTTTCTTGCGTGCCTGTGAGAGTGGCTGTATATCCACGCTGCTCCATTCAAGCTTTTCACACTTTTTATTTTGGTATTTCTTCCTTTTGCAGATTTGTAAGCTTGGGGAAGTTGTCTGGAATGACCTGCAAGAGTGATGCCAGCAGCATCGCCTCACCAAAGAAATCGTTCCAGCTGTATGTAATGGTCCTGATTCAAAGATTTTGATTGATTCGGATGGTCTAAGTGTGTGGCACATGACCGTTATGAAGTGGCATTTTCTAACTATGGTATTATATTTCTTGGTTAATTTCTTCTTAAAAAGAATGTTTATTGGCATCGGTTGTGTTCCGTTTTTCGTCTTGATACGGTCTACAGTAGGAAGGAATGAGAAATCAGTGAAGCACCAAGTTTTGCGTCAAAACATTTTAGAATGTTGGGTAGGTTGCGGTGATCTCAACTAAAATAAAGGTATCCTGCATAGCTTTGGATCGATAGTATAGGTGTCTGTGAAGCCACCCACTGCTCCACAGTTAACACTTTATGTCTTTGAGCTCAAATTTTGGTGACATTCGGAAGTCAATCAACTATAAGCTGCAGTTTTTTTTTTTTTTTATGCTTTTTAAATATTATTGGCTGAATCCATAGCTCTGCTTCATAACACTTTGTTTTAGGAAATCTAATTAAAATGTGGTTCATAGATTTTTTGCTATTATATTTAAATATAAATAAATAAGACTGAAAAAAAAAAAAAAGTTTACAACATTGTCAATTATGAACAAGACAACTGCGCTTTTGGGCTTGCGCGAAAGTCGAGAAATCAGGTGGTGTTCTTGTATGAGGCATAGTAAAGGCAAAACATAAACGTAGGACTCTGAACAACCCATCACGTCACACAACATGGCAACCGGTGGTAAAGAAAATATTACTTCAGAAACCTGATCTCGCCGGTCCAGTACTGGTTGGCCATGTGGATATAATAGTGTCACATATATACTTAAATTTACACGTATAAAGGAGGTGCGAGTTCTCAGCACTTCCTTTTTCCCCCGCAAGTTCACTAGAGATAATTTGCCTGCCAAGTGAATTTGTTACTTCCTGTCCAGTTTCTCTCTCGTTTTTCTCTTAGTGCAGTCTTTGTGTAGCCTTTCCTTGAATCACCCCATGTTTCTTCTCACTAAAGGTATCCAACTTTTCCTGTGCTGCGAGTAATCTCGTGCTGTTCTCTTGTCAGGATCCGGCAGAGTGCATTCCCCATAGACTCGGTGTACGAAGTGAGCCCTCCCATGGTGCCGCGCTCTTCGCGGGACATCTACCAAGTCTACGTGCAGAGAGGCAAGACCGGTGCCCTGACTCCAAATCATCACACACTGATGACCTATCAGCACTTTGTTTCCCGAAGATACCAATAAATTCCCTTCTCTCTTTCTTTTTTTTCTTCTTTTGGTTGGGGGAGGGGGAGGGAGAGGGTAATTACTGTCCCTGATGATGCTGTACTGTGATGCTCTCAGTTTTTGTTTTGTTTCCGCCAGATCAGCTGGTTAGTTATATGGTATTTTGAATATATACATGGCCTCATGAGCCACATATATATGCATATTAATCTGTGTAGTTCAATTGGGTTTACCATTTTGCGTAACTTGGTCCATATTACTTTGTTCCTAAATTGAACTTCCAGTCAACATACGACCCCCAAAGCTTCGTAACCACCCAACTAAAGTTCCAAATGAAACTGGTAATAATAATAATAATAATAATAATAATAATAATAATAATAATAACAACATTAATATTTTATTTGCATATAAAAAGAACTACCCTGGGTGGGTTATTAAATAAGAGAATAAAAGGCAGAGGCAACTTTAGGGTAAAGCTTAAGCGAGTCGCTCTGCATGGAATGTCATTGTCTCCATGATGTGTTGTATTGGGTGGGAGAACCTTACATTCATAACGTCATACAAAAAAGGAAAAAAATCACTCCGTCGAGCCGGATTCGAACCAGCGACCTATGGATGTCAGCAAGTACTCATCTACAGTCCACCGCTCTACCAACTGAGCTATCGACGGATGAAATTCAGTGCTGAAAATGTGCTTTTTGTACCTTATTTTGAAAGTATAAAGTTTTTAACTATTTTCTTTGTAAATATATGCTAATGCAAATGCTATTAGTTTTTTCGGCTTTGTTGCCATCACACCAGAGTGTTGTGAGCATTTTTGCCTTTGCGCGTGATTATTTCTGAAGTGATGATTCCTTGAAGAATATTTGCCAACAATATCCAATCCAATCCTCCTGCTACTCGCCTCGCCCGCTGCATGTGCGCATATGTGAAGTTATGACTTGGAGATTTGGACGGGAAATTTTGGCATAAGTTGATTCGGGTATATCTAAAGGAAGCTATGAACAGCAAACGCAGTAAAGTTCCAAAAGCTCCAAAAGCAGGAGCAACGTATAAGAAAAGGAAGACTTCGGATCACGACACAAGGTAAGCGAACCGGAATAAGCACGCTTGACATATGTCCGCTCTCGATGCTTGTCTGTCCGACTGCAGAGTCGGGCACCGAAGCCGTACCGGCGCACGGATTAGGAAAATCCCCGGTGCTTGCGCGGTTTCGGCCCCTGATCTCATTACTCCCGCATCGGCCCACGATGCGGCATCGCGGAAACGCATAAATAGCGCCGGCGCGAGCCGCCGCAGTGCTCGCTTTCCACCGCTCGCGTTCGTCCGCCGTGACGCCCCACCATGGCGTACCTCGTGCTCCTGTGCCTCATCGTGGCCGTGAAGGTGTTCAAGAAGACGTCGCCCAACGGAAAGGTGACCGTCTACATCGGAAAGCGGGACTTCGCTCAACGAGGCGACGTGTGCGACGCGGTCGAAGGTGTCGTGGTGCTCGACCCAGACTACTTGAAGGGCCGTAAGGTATTCGGCCAAGTGATCACCACCTTCCGATACGGCCGAGAAGAGGATGAAGTCATGGGCCTGCACTTCTACCGGCAGCTGTTCCTGGCGCACGACCAGATTGTCCCCGAGCGCAACCAGATCACCCAGATCTCGGACCTGCAGCAGCGGCTGCTCCGCAAGCTGGGCAGCGGGGCGTACGCGTTCAGCTTCAACCTTCCCACGAACGCACCCATGTCGGTGACACTGCAGCCGGGCCCAAACGACCGCGGCAGGCCGCTGGGAGTCGAGTACGAACTCCGCGTGTACGTGGCCGAGGACGAGCAGCAGAAGGCTCACAGGCGCAGCACCGTCAACATGGCCATCCGCAAGATCCAGTACGCGCCGCTCACGCAGCGGGAGCGCCAGCCGACCACCGTCGTCAGCAAGGGGTTCATGCTGAGCGCGGGCAAGGTAGAGCTCGAGGTGGTGCTCGACAAGGAGGTGTACTTCAACGACGACAAGATTAACGCCCAAGTGTCGGTGTCCAACTACTCCAAGAAGAGCGTCAAAAACATCAAGATTCTCGTCCTGCAGAATACGGAGGTGACGCTGGTGCACGGCCACTACAGCAAGGTGGTGGCGTCCGTTGAGTGCCGGGAGAACTGCCCTGTGCTGCCGGGGGCCTCCTTCTCCAAGGTCTTCCACCTGCTGCCCCTGGCCGCGGAGAACCGGGACCGGCGCGGCATCGCGCTCGACGGCCTGCTCAAGGAGACGGATGCGTGCCTGGCGTCGTCGACGCTGAACCACGAGGACGCCATCGGCATCATTATCTCGTACGTCCTGCGCGTCCAGCTCTACCTGGGGCCCATGTCCGGCGACCTGATCGCCGACGTGCCATTCAAGCTGGCCAAGCCCGAGCCCGAGGACGTGTACCCCAAGTTGCAGGAGAAGAGGATCCTGGACAGGTCCAAGCTGAAGAAGCAGCTCAGCAGAGAGATGAGCACCAATCTGGTATTCGAGGACTTCCAGTGGCACAGGCAGATCAGTGAGGATGGAGGAGGGGACTGACAGGTTCTTCTGGGGTGTGTGTCTGTGGTTCCACACGCTTTTCTTTTGGGGCCTGCCAATGAGCCGTATAGTTGGTCGGGCCAAAAGCATCCTTCTGCAGCATTACCGAATTGTCGGGTTTTGTTCTGTCTATTTCTTTTGAAGTGTGAATAAAAGATAGAAGGTGTCTCATTGTCACTTTTCTGGCGTTACCTTTTTTGAGGCTTTGGAGGTGGAACGATCCCTTCCGTGCTGTGTCAAGTGCGCCCTCGTAGCTTGTTTCAAAGGATCCTACAGAAGGGTGCCTAACTGAGGATTCGTGTCGGTGTGTGGCAGTCATAACGGTGACAGAGTGCTTAAATATGTATATGTGTCTGGTAAATTCTGTGGAAAGGTTTCTTGAAACTATGTTAAAATATGAAGAAAGGAATAGAGGGCCACACCTGGCAACCAGTTTTGCATTGAAGTCACCGACGTCACCTCCTTCACCGAAGCGGGTAAGCCAGTTATAAGAAGAGGTGGAGGACAAGGGGGAGGAGAGGAAACAAAGGAGTGTGGCAAGAGTAAACAGCTTGATGGACAACTGGGAGAGGAACCGGTAATGGTGTGACCGACTCTACTGTTCTCTACTGATGGGATTGGCGATGTCACTCTATTTTGACCAGCTCTTTTTAAATATGCAGAACCGTCCCCTTAAAATAATACATGCTAACTCTACATTTTTTTAGCAATTGTGCCTCCCTTGTGGCTTTTTTTTTTCCTTTAATAAAGCCTCGATTTAGTTTTTTTTATTCTTTTTAAAAAGCTAGTTCATTAAAAAGCAAGCCATCTTTACTGAAAGCAAAGCTTCCAGAAAGGATGTCTTGCATCCTTCAAGATAGAACATTTCTGCTAATAAGTACAAGGTGTCCCCAGAAAACATTTGCAGGGTTTTTCCCACTGCAAAAGTAAATTATACTTTGCCGAACGCTCATTCTCCACCCAAAGGTTGCACTAGCAATCCAAACCAGGTGCCAAAGCTTCAGCTCAAACCGTTATAATAATAATAATCTCTTTTCCATTTAAAATACATTAATGACAGAAACAAGCCAAAAAATGTGTGAAACAGCTTGACGAAGCCCCTTGCTCCCTTACAGTTTCATACAGGAAAAAAAATAGAACATAGCAACAGCACAAGATATATCAAAATACAAAATACAACTTAACCTGTAAAACAGAAGAAATATTAACTTAATTCAATTCCAGAGAATCTTGCATTCTTATAGACGTTAAAGTTATGGTGAGTGTGTTGGTAAGGATTAAATTATCAGAAAGAATAAACAAAAAGACGGACAAGACCAGCCGTTATAAATCTCCGCGCAATATTTCTGCGCCCTTGCTTTCCCTTTTAGAGGGACATGTCGAGTATCTGCGGCCAGCCGCAGTTGATGTCCTTGACAACCCGTGCGCCCTCCACCAGGTGACCACGCTCTCTTGCCCTCGCCAGTTATTTCCCCCAGCCTCTGTCCTATAGATGATAAAGCCAGTAAGCAGACGAGCTGGCTTAGGTTGCACATCGTTAAGACCGGAGACGAACGGAAAGAATCCTGTTTGACCACAGTTCCCTTTCCCTCTCTGCTCCTCTCCTCCCTTTCACTTTGGGAGGGGAGGAAGGGAGGGGGAACCGGGTGTGATAACACAGCACCACCCACCTCCTCCTCCTCCTTCCCTGTTCCTCCTCGGGTCCTTTCACCACCAGCCTCTCCTTAAATATTTGTTGTTGTGAAAATTACGAAAGATGTCTCGTCTTGATTGTCTTTTTGTTTATTCTTTCTGATAAATTAATTTATAGACATTATATGGATATTTTAGTGACTGCATAAAACAATTGTTATGACCAAATGGCACAGTCCAATGCTTGCTCCTCCTAATCAGTTGAATGGGTTACTAAATGATTTTTTAGCTCGGGCAGGTTTGCTAAGGTATTCTCATTTGTTTTCTTACGTAAAAGAGACCATACATTTTTATTTGTATATATTGAAAACACAGAATAAATTATATTTTGTAAATAAGGCTTGGGTATTGGAAGTGTATGATGCATTCTCAATGAGGCAACCAAATTTCTTTTGCAATAAAAGTATTTTCCTGAATTCGAGCTAGTGGTTGTGCCCCATACCAAATGGCAGTAATTCATGTGTGAAATGAATAGGCTTTGATATACAAGTAGCTTTACTTTAGTAGGTAAAATATAACTGTTGAGTTCAATGACCCTGGACAATTTAGGGAGTAAATAGTTTCTATGACTGTCTCAGGCCATGTACTGATTAAAAATGACACCAAGAGTCTTGAAATTCTCTACTATATCAATGATATTTGTGTTTAAGGTAAGGCTCTCTGTAGTGAAGACATTTTTTTATTCTTGGGCCGAAAGAGAATTGCCTTTGTTTTAGTTGTATTGATTTTGAGCCCATTGTGTGAAGTCTAATTTTGCAGTACTGTTAAAGTCTTGTTTGAATAGTTAATTAGATCATCAGTTTTAGCTGGTAATGAAAGGCTCGTGTCATCCGCATATATTAAAAATTTAGGTCGTGAATCTATGTCAACAATATTAATGTAATATTAATACAAGGGAGCATTTTGGGGCAAAGGCGCCTAAATGCTCCCTTGTGGCGCACCATTGTGGTAGACAAGTGCACATTTAAATAAACATGTTGTTTATAATTTGCCAGATATGACTGGAGCAGCAGAAGTGCTACACCCCGAATACCGTAAATATAAAGTTTTTTTATCAATAAGTTATTATATAAATAATCAAATGCCTTAGCGAAATCAATGAATGTGCCTAATGCCATATTTTTGTTTTTGTCAAAACACCGTAAAATAAATAATTTTTGTACAAGCAATGCAAGTTCTGTCGAACGATTCTTCCCAAGTCCAAATTGAGCATTTTTGAGTATTTGAAATTTATGTAAAAAGTTATAAAGTTGTATACGAATAAGTTTCTATAAACTCATGGAAAAAAAAATGGAAGAATATAAAGGTGTCTGTAATTTCCTAGTTTGTTTTTATCGCCCTTTTTGTATATTACAGAAACTTTAGCGCTTTTGCATGAGATGTGGGAAAACCTCAGTCGAGAGACATAAATAAAGATGTAAGTCAGACAAGGGGTCATTAAGGTTAAAACATACTTTACAGGCCGGATCTGCGCGTTATAAGCATCGCAACTGTTGCTGTTTTTAAATTCAATTGAAACAGTAAAAATCTCAGAATCGGTTACTGGACCTAAAATAATGGAATCCTTATTTATGCAAATATTTTTGCATGAGGGATTCACTACAGTTAAATTGTGGTAAATTAATAAAATGGTCATTAAATGCATTAGCTAAAGACACGCCCACTAATGTCATCCCTGCAGAAAGAACGCCTTCTACGTAACTCGTATGTCTTCCATGCTCCGTAACAAAATTTATATTCTTCCGCATGAGATTAGAACGCCCCACTGAAGACCTAAAAGATTCATGAGGATGACTCTCCCTAACTTTTCTCAGGTCATTTGTCAGTTGATTGCGGTAAAACTTAAAAGTCTGAAAATCATTGGAATCTTTTGTTTTCGCAAACTTTTTATAAAGCATGTTTTTTATGTTTATTCTACCGAGTAAATCAATTGTTATCCATGGCTTTCGAATGTGTTTTTTTCTCTTTAAATAATTTATAAGGAAGATTTTGTTTATAAAGATTTTGAAATAGTTCTAAAAAAGAAATTTACGCCTCATTAGGATCCTCTTTTACAAAAATACCATCCCAATTTGTATTACTAAATACAATTTCTGCACACCCCTCACAGAAGTAATTGGCGCTTTTTTGTTTGTATTTTTCATTTTGATACACATAAAAAGTCGGAAAATGATCACAAAGGTCATAACTTATAACTCCAGATCTCGCACTGTTTTCCTCATAATTTTATATAAATCAACCAATCGAGGTTTCTGAAATAACATTTACTCATGTTGACGTAGTGATCACACTACGACAACCATTTACAACTATCAAGTTTTCCAGTTCTCTCTTTGAAGCAGTATGTTTAACATGTTTACATTAAAATCGCCATCACATACAATATTCAACTTATTTTCATTTGAGTCATCAAAATAGCAGAGACAGTATTGTGCTTAGTTTGCAGTGTTAAGGCTTCATAGTCTTTAGTGAGGACACTAAACCTTGTCAGCAACTCGCAATCAATGCTTTCCTTAATCAATATTGATACACCACCTCCTTGGCTTTTGGAGCGATTCATTAAGAAACATTTGTATAAAGGCAATCTGAAAACATTACCACGTTCTGTATAGCAGGTTTCTGAACACAAAATAACAGAATTCAAAAATTGTAAGTGATTTTGTGAAAATTTCAATGGGAAAATGGTGGCCGACAGAGTTTTCGAATGCATGGAGCTCTATGGCACCAGAAACCAAAAACAGGAAAAAAATGGGCCCCATTTTTCCATTGAAATTTTCAGAAAATCACTTATAGATTTTGAATGAGATGTTGGTTTGTGCTGAAACTTTGTACTCTGGTTCGGACCTCTAGCCCTACTTTTGGGCGGAGATGGAGCATTTGGCAAGGCATACTAGTTCACTTTTGCGGTGGAAAAAATCCTTGTAAATTTTTTTTTTTTTGAGGGGGGGGCACCCTATAATTTACTGTGGGGAATATTGGATATGCTCCTTGTCTAAAGGAGGCATAACTATTAGTGGTATGCCACAATGGGAGGTGGCACTAGCTTCCACGAGTAGAACCTGCTGTTCATGAACTCTTCTGTTCAGGCGGTGTACCCAGTATTACCAATGATATGTCATAATTAATGTGGGGTGAGGGAGGGAGGTAGGGGGTAGGTGTAGAAAGCATGGTGAATACTCTATGCTTTTCTCACTAAAGGCTCCAAAGTCTCCATCACTGTATCAGCTAGCAACCTCTCTGCATTTCGTCCAGAGCGGAAGCTTGTCACCTCTATCTGTCCTGAGTGGCCAGTCTATTGTAATATTATTTCTCGTTAGCTTTGTCTTGAATACCGGGAGCTCTTTACTAAGCTTATTTGGAATAGTATATTGTGTCTGTGTTCAGTGAGTAGATACATTCGTTTAACGCCAGCAATATAAATATTATGGTTTTAGTATGATGATTCCTCTTTAAAGTCTGAACATTGCAATGAAGAAAAGAATAGAGGCAGTGCCTTAACTCTTTCCTGATAGAGAAAAGTAGCAATTTTCAAAGTATCTGTGCAAACGCTTTTGTTTTCCCAACTAACTTGCGTATGGAAAAAATTTATCCATCAAAATGTGGCCAATTAGTTGTTCTTTTAAAAGGAACAGAGGCTAATATAATGTCGGTGAAAGGTTTTAAATCTTTATTTCTTAAAAATGCAGTGTATGTGCAGAATATGTATGAGTGCTGAAACTTCTGCAGCTGAGTCAAATTAAACGACAAATAAAAAAATTCTTAATGGTATAGAACAGGGGTTCTCAAACTGGGTTCTGGGGAACACACGGGTTCCACGAGCTGTTCTCATGGGTTCCGCGAACACTCAAATTGCAACCCCCCTCCCCCGATGCTGCAGGCTGCACGGCAGGACTATGCAAAGCGCCTTCATCTCACTTTGTACTGACATCGCGATTGATATGATGGGGATATATGGGAAGCAACTCAAGCAAAATTGCCTACAATTGTGCATCTGTTTCTTCTCGGTCGGCAAATATAGAGGGGGGGGGGGGGGAGGGGAGGGTTCCGCGGCAGTTTTTGAGGCTTCCTGGGGCTCCGCGAGACTAAAAAGTTTGAAAACCCCTGGTATAGAAAATGGGCCCCACACTCATGGCTGTTACTTCTGAATGTTAGTGTACTCTAACTAACATTGTCCATTTTTCATTTGTCATAGAGTTAGCCTCCGTAGCTCGTGTGCTCTTCAACGAAGGAATACGTATGTGCCGAAGCACAGATAGTGCACTTCACATCCACAGCAGAATGCTTTCTTTGTGTTCTACCATGGTTTTGTCATAGCCTTGATTGCAGTTCCCTCATATTTAGAAATTTTGTGCGCCTTGTTGAGAAGATAAAACATGCACTCCGGCTCAGGACAGCCTTGGAAATTGTAGTGATGCTTACCGACAACCATCTGTTAAGCGATGCAATGCCCATAACTAGGGTTCTGTGTTTTCGGATAAATTTGAAAAACACTCGCCAGTAAATTTTCCATGAATTCGGATTTATCCGAAACCCCTCCGAATTTCGAGGTCACAGCCAGAAAATAAACAGCAAAAAAGAGAGAGTTTTACAACTAAACTTTTGTAAGAGCACAAGGTCAGCGGTCTCAAGGAGATTCCACTTCTGTTCCCTTTGAAATCTAGAACTACCAACAAAAAGGTTTTGCCTTTTAGCATGTCGAGGTTCCTTTGGGACAACAGGTGATGGTTTCCAAACCTTATTTATTTTGTTCTTGAAATTTATTATTATTATCTTTTTTTTCTTAGTTTTACGCTGTAAAATTCGTTCAGAATTTCAAAGAATTGGGAATCTAGCAAAAATAAACTCTGATGAACCATGAATCCCCAGTAAAAGATAAACTCAGAAGAATACCCTCCGAATATCACGAGAAATAAACTCCGAAAACACGGAATCCTACCTATAACGTAATATAAAGTGTCCCCAGAGCTCTCAAGATCCAATAAATATGCCACTATACAGTTGAATTATGTAAATAATACCATATTTGTTACAAAGACCATTGGCCATGTTGGCCATGTTAGACAAGTGCAACCATTCCCGGGACTAGTTTAGACAGCCCACCATCTAGTGATAAAACTTACATACCTTGAAACCGAAAGTAGCGTTCTTCGGTTAACCACGACATATTGGAACATATTTCTCCTTACTAAATTTAATTTTTTGACGGCGCTTAGAAACCATCAATTACCGGTGATCGATGGCCTATGGGCACGGTCAAAACAGAGTTGAGGGACCCCTATGCTTCCTCGAAATATCAGTAATCTTTTTAATGCGAAGCACTCGCATATTGTATAGAGGCACAACACAATTCATTTTTACTACAGAATTGTATAGTTGTTGAGAGAGATGAACAAATCACGGCCGAAGCAAAATGACTAGCGCTGATAAACACAGCATCCGAGGCCCTGGTAGTCCCTTTGACAGTAGTAGTCACGATTACGTCTCGGCTCACTAAGTGTGCTTCGCTTTTCAGCAGCGATGAAGAGGTCATTCCCACTGCACTTCCCCGCAAGTTTGGAACCCCCCTTGAATTCATGGAGTTCCTGCTGAGTCCGCTCTCGTACAAGGAGTTCTCTGAGAAGTACTGGGAGCGAGAGCCCTTTGTGGCCCACGACCGTGCGGGCATGAGGGCATTCTGGCCTCAGCTCTTCAGCAAAGACGCCTTCTTCTCTATTGCAAAGGAAACCAAGCTGTACTTCGGCAAGGACGTGTCTGCCTGCAAGTATGAGGACGGGAAAAGGTCGGACTATGCGGAGGGTTATTCGGCCAAGAGCGCCAAGCTGAACAAGTACTTCGAGGAGAGGAAGGCCACTCTTCAGGTTCATCAGCCCCAGCGATGGAAGGTGAGAAGGGTTATGCACTGCATAGCGTTATGTTTTCTTTTGCTTTTTTTGAGGGGGAAGGGGGGGGCATGTTCTCAGTTTTCTAAAGATTGTAGGGCTTAACTTTCTCTTTTATCTCGAAAGCTTGTGTACGCTGATGGAGGAGGGAACAGCCATGCCAATCAGTTGAGTCCGTAATTTCTCCCACACAATTTTCTTGGATAGGAATGCGCGTTTCCATAAGCCAGTACCTCAGTTTTTGACCTTCCATTGAACTGTCACAGAATGTTATTGTTTGTGCCCAGTGGCAGTTATCATCCCCATAATGCCTCTACTCTCGTCATTTGTGTGCTAGATTTACAGATAGAGCTGGTTTTGCTCGCAGATGTGACCTTTTTCTAATCATGGAATGTTTCAGATTCAGTCTTGCAGTAACCCTGAGAAAAGAACTGATTGATATCGGATATAAGCTAAATAAATTTTGAGCATATAGGTGAGCATCTATGCACCAAGTGTGATTTCTTTCGTGTTCTCGTTAATTTTATGCTCCAAGTCCTTCTTTTGCATCCCAAAAAAATGTTTTTACTGCAACAATATTCGATCCACATACTAATTTAAAATAATAATGGAAATACTTTACTTTTCCTTGGCCATGAGCAACCCCCCTGCCTACTGTGTGGTGCAGGAAGCATAACTGGAACACAATATATGCATCAGAATAAAAGTCCAGAAGTAAATCTTAAAACAACAAATTATGAGAAATACAGTACCTTGTAAAACTAGTAGGTACGACTAGACCTACCTCTGCACACTTAGGTGCAAAACATCCATTTTGTTTGCATGCAACATAAAATAGCCTCAATCGTGCCTTTCAAAATGCTTCACTGCCTACCACAGAACGTAAACCTTTGTGGTCTGGTTTCCTCATGTTGAACGGCCTCTCTGTCGCTACTTGCTTTTGTTTAGTCGTATCTCTCCTTTCTTCGTCAGGATAGCCTCTGGGAAGTCCTGGAACTGATGGAGTGCTTCTTCGGCTGCCTCGTCGGCTGCAACGCCTACATCACGCCGGCCGGCTCTCAAGGCCTGGCCCCGCACCACGACGATGTGGAGGCAAGTAGAACACCAAGGCCCCCGCTGCCATCTATGGGGCGTCGAGTGAGAAGAGAGAGCCGCCTTTTTCGCACCACCCAGACAAGCCACACATTGCCTAAAAAGCAGAGCCTGCAATGATGTAGTGCCGGCAGTAGGGACAAGATACAACCGATTTTATTGGATATGAGGTTTCCGGAGTGACAACTTAGAGGCAAAGAACTGAATTTGCTTACGAGTGGATGCTATCCGCAGCAGAAGCAGACAAAGTGCGCCTGTTTTATATTGCATCTCCCAGATGGTTCCACTGTCGATGACGAGCGGCACCAACCAGACGAGATCAACAGAAGCAGACATCTGCCTGTCACGGAGAGTAGCGCCACCTGAGCGATACAAAGGAAATTAGATGCTCTCCATCTGCTTTTTCTGTCCGACGGCTCCTCTCTTCTAACCTCTTGCCCCAATGACCGTCAAGCTTTGAAACTTTGGCATCTTATGCCAACTGCTAGTGCTACATTGTGGCACAGTATGAGCTTTCAATTATTCATACCTTATTTTTTGTGGTATAAAAAAGACTGTTCATGTTTTGATGCTTTGCACCCTTTCCAATTTTTTTTTTGTGTCATCGTCCTTTTGTCGGTTCATTTTTAGTTTCTACATGGGGCACTTTTCTAGGTGTTCATCGTGCAATTGGAAGGGGAAAAATGCTGGAAGCTGCACAAACCGGTGACTGAACTAGCCCGTATCTACAGCAAAGACTTCACTTCCGAGGAAATTGGGGAACCCACTCACGAGTTCACACTGAGGGTGAGAGTAACATTTCATGCTTAACATTTTGGGCCATACTTTAAACTTGGGGGACTGTGTTTGCGCATGTGTTTGTTTGTGGAAAAAGAGCTATGCAGCAGCAGATTTTGCAGTGCTGTAACTATCTATGAAAGAAATAGGGCTGACATTGGGCTTTTTTCGACTGGCACTGCTAAGTTATGTGCGGTTACAGGAATGTTCTTTTTAGGGGGAGTGGAGGTGTGGTAACCCTTTAGAACACTCTTTTTGCTTTGAAAGCACTGCAAGTTAGTTGATATGTAGCTTCGAGGAACTAACTACTATGCTGCTCTATGCTTCTTTTATATGTGAAATTTATTTGTGATTGTCATAACATTATAATATGTATCTTTATGAGCTCAAAACTTGTCATAGGAATATTTTGTAGGTGCACTGGGTAACAGCAGTTAAAAGAAAAAAAACGTTAGAGAGTCACATGTACAGAGGACAAAAAATGTATTACTAGAGCTATGAGTATTGCATATTTTGCTTTGAGGCAATTGGAGTGCTTGCCACCTCCTAGCTGGGTGAAAGATGAGCTTTTAAAATACAGTCAGTCTGTGCTCACAACTTCTAGCCAATTCCTTTTCACCATTCATTATTTGAGTTATCTAGCGGCTCCAGATTTTGTTTTAATCCCTGCTAGACGTCTGGACTCTATTGATTTTTACTTTTTGTTGTACAAATGTGGCCTTTAACTTGTATATCATACCTCCTGTTCTAACAGCCTGGAGACTTTCTGTACATGCCACGAGGAACAATCCACCACGCCTATGTGCCAGAGTCGGCCGACAGCCACTCAACCCACATCACCATCAGCACCTACCAGAAACAGTATGGGATGCATTTTTATGAGAAGCCGCAGAACATATTCTTCTCATCTTGTATATAGTACAAAGATTATGCCTAACTATTGTTCTGCCCATAACAGGTTATTTTTAAACAGGTTTTTTGGGAGTCAAAGTACCAATCAATAATGTTTCCTTCCAGAACCGTGGGCGACTGTCTCATGGACATAGCCCCAGACCTGATCAGCTCGGCAATGGATTCCTGCATTGAACTGCGGAAGGGCCTGCCCAACAGATTCCTCCCGTCTTGCGTACTGTCCAAGGTATTTCTCCCTTCCTATCTCAAATTCGTGTAGCGAGCGTTTTATCAAAAACCGTCTGGCGCCCTGGACGTGACGGGCAAATCATCAAAGCCAGAGCTGTAAAAGTTAATCTTATAAAATACTAAGACTGCAGTTGCTGCAATTTATGTGTTCTATGTTGTAAAATTAAGTTATTGGTACGGTCACAGTTTGGCAAATCTGTCTAGTTGCAGCTATGGTTTCTCACAGGCATTGCAGTTACTTTCCTAGACACCCCAGACATTGAGGCAAGTTGCAGTTGCTGACCAACGATGTAGTTTCCAATGCCGAAAAAGGTGTTGGCAGGTTGCGTCTTGTTCAGCAATCTCGCTTGTGGCGGAGCTTGAGGCAGTGACAAGCATGTTATGCTGATATTGGGATGAAATCAATGTGGATTTCTGTGTTTTCCAACGTAATTTATTATGTTAATAATTTGACAGAGTAACAGGCTATTTCAGAAATGTAACTACAGAAACTCCCCTATGAACGCCCTCCAGACATCCCCCCCCTCCCCCCTGATTCCCGTTGGAGATCACATATAATTATGTCAACCACACTATTTGTGGCACATGTTTCAAGTGAGTTTGTAGTGGGCTTTTGCATGTTTATTGCACCGTGGCATGTGAACATGCTGCGATCCGCAGTATCGGTTCCCATGACATGCAGATTCGTAGAGGGTTCCCGCATTTGTTGTTTGCAATCTACGCGCGCAACATTGGTTACCGTGATACACGAGTTTGTAATTGTTTCCTGCGTGTTTATCGTACCGTGAAACGCGAGTCTATTGAGTCCGCAATTTGCGGTATCCATTCCCGTGACTGGAGTTTGTAGCAAATTCCCGCATGTCTATCACACCCTGGGACGCGAATTTGCCTTGTCTACGATCTGCGGTAGTATCAGTTCGGGCTGGTGCCCCAGTGCTTATCGCTAATTTTTGATGAAAATTTGCTGTCGCATCCACAAAGATTGCCCGCCCCACATGTTTTATCATTTACCTGTTCGTTTTGGGTGGGCTTTCTTGTGGGATTTTACTGTATGTAACATTTGATGGAATTTCAATGTGACCTCAGGAGCATGCTGTGTGCAAAATTTTAGCTTATTGCAGAACCTTAAATACTTTTAATTAACTACTTTACAGCTCTGAGGTGCATAAGTCTTAAGACAGCATTTTGTGGTCTAAGATGTAAATTATTCTGAAACTAGGGTGGAAAGTAAAAAGACCAGTCATGGCATTTAAATCATAGTAAACTTCCTCCAGCACGCCTGCATCCTAACGTTTTTTTTTCTTGCTAATCCTAATGTCTTTACATTTTCGTACACCAAGGTTTATTATAAATCTTTGCGGCATAGAGGGTGAGCATGGGAACATTGAACCTTGTGTTCTCTAAGAATCGGGTACGCTTTATGTCCACTTTGCACTGAATGCGAAATACTGAAATATTTACGAACCAGTGCAGGTAGACAGTTAGTCAAAAATCCAAACACACGAACAATACACTCGCACAGCTCTGAACTTTCAGCTCATCTGTATTTTGTCAAACTTCCTCTTCCTTGACCCAAGGAATAGAATGCAAGCCCAACAAACAAGAGAAAAAAAAAGTGAAAGACAAGGCAAAAGGAGGGTAGGTAAAAGACAAGGAAAAGGAAAGAAGACTAGAAAAAAAGAAAATAGAAAACAAAAAAAAAAGGAAAAGAAAACGAGAATAATAATAACATTGCTGAGTCCAAGAGTTATAAAAATTACAAGAATAATTAAATAGTACTGGAGGTCTTCGGAGCCAGGCACTCGCCCGGGCTTCTTCATATCGTCTGCGACTGTGCATAAACAAGTGTTTGTGTTCAAACTTGTCCTGGCTGATCGCTTTGCCTCGTATTCTCTCGGTCTTACGCGCAGGAAACGGTGGTGACAGCGCTCAGCTCCGTCCTGGAGCACGTCAAGCAGATGCCAGACGAAATGCCGTCGCCCGAGGAGATGGTGCGGGACTTCATGTTCTCCCGGCTTCCCCCGTTTGGCTTCGACCGAAGGAACACCTCTATGCGCCCTTACGGGGACGTTCCCCACCTGAACGACAGGGTGAAGCTGGCCTACCCGGACCACTGCACCTACCTCACGGAGTACTCGGATGAGGACGAGGAAGGTGCGTGCGTCCTGAACAGGCACTCTCCTTCCCCTACCCGTGGGCTTCACCTTTGTGTCACATGAAAGGCAATGCTGCAAAGAGTTCCTAAAGTCTTGGAGGTATACTGCTACTGTAATCGCTCTAAAGCGGGGACCGGATCAGGGATTTTTTGCTGTTTCGAGGGTCGGAAAATAAGCACCGTAATATACCGAGGGATAGCCCACCTAAAATCGAAAGCAAATAGGCTGAAAATAAGGAGTGGGTTAACTTTTGGTGCGTGATTAGAAAGACGTTGAAAAATGCTATAGTCGGTGAATGGTTAAAAGTGAAGTGGAAGCTCCTTCCATATCTCTCCCCTTCGGCAGAGCGAACTCTGGATGGAGATGAGGAGACCTCCCCTCTAGCGTGTACTCCGCTAATGTAGAAAGACGTGGGAGGAGCGACTGTGACTTGCAAAACTTGCGATCGTAGGGAGGAGTGACTGACCAAATTTGACTTCGCTTAATCTCCAGCTATGGCCAAGTAACACCATTTCTGCTGAGGTCTTGCCAGGGCCCTGCAATTACTAGAAGTGGACTATTTTTCGGTGTTCTTGAAAAAATAGCAAATCGTGCCAAAAATATGGGTGGCTTATCTTTCGGGGGTGGGACATCTCCTGGAATATTACGGTAAGTAAATATAAATGAGGAAAAACAAAAAAGAAATCCTAGATAAGCATTTAAATACAAAGTTGGAAGTTGGAGTAGAAAGTAAGAGAAGAATATAAGGGGGATAAATACATCTATAATATCGTAACGGTGCTGCTGAGGCATGTGCCAGTACCCACCGAGGACGACGACGTGCAGACGGCGCGTGACACACACTTCTAATCTGGTCTCATTTGGTTATGGACGTCCTCTTGTGAATTAAAAACGTAAAAATATATTGAAATAAAATATTTAGGTAATTATGACGTTACACAATAATTGTAACCCAGAGAATTCACTAGGCATACAAACCAAAGTTCATAGAAACATTAGAATGCTCCAAAAGGGCTAAATACTAATGAAAATGATGTAACTGATTCTGACAATATGCAATACTTCCACATCGCTGCCTGCTGCAATTGGCCAGCTCCACACGGCTGACCAATCACAGCAGGAGGCAATGTCCCGGTCCCGTTTGGTGCCTCTTCATCGTAGATTAGGACCCGTGGAGGTACGACGCATGACACTAAGCATTATACATGGGAATGCAAAGGAGTTTTAACATATGTAGTTCCACAAATATGAAACGGGGGACTATGAATGACGATGCTCTGGTGACGACGACTTTCAATGAATACAGTCGAATCTCACTAATTCAGACTTGAGGGGGACCAAATATTTGTTTGAATAAAGCAAAGTTTGAATTACCGGGAGTTGCCTACCATAAAGAGGCATAGGATGGGACCTGCATCTTAGTTTGAATTATCCGCAAGTTTGAATTAAGAAAGTTTGAATTAATGAGAGTCGACTGTAATACGGCGAGAGGGCACGCCTTAACGATACGCAGTTTTCTCTCATTTTCTTCTGGTATCTCCGTTCACACGGTTGGTGTGCGTTGTGGCGCCGTCTCTTTAGGGGCTTTTATTTCTGTGCCGGTTGCAGCGGGCTTGTGAGAAGCGGGCCACGGGAATTAGAAGGACCGTGGCCAGTCACAGGCCGGTTGAAAGACGTCCACGGACCGGATTTGGCTCAGAGGCCGGGGTTTGGAGACCTCTACTCTAAAGGCACATTCACACAGTACCGTTTGCTTACCTGTGTTGTGTTATGTTACGTCAGCTCACTTCGAGAGTCGCCGACACATCCGTGCTTTGTACGAAGCGTGGCAGCCAGTTCAAGGAGTAGCTTCGCATATGACATGCGAAGCATAGACATCTCGGTGACTTGTAACCAGTGTTGTCAACTCAAAAATTAAAAACTCGCTAAAGGAATCCCGGGAAACCACTAAATGTTAGGTGCAGGGCAAGAATGACTTTTTAACACTATTTACTGCTACAATAGTGGAAAGATAATACATTAGATAAAAAGCCCTTAGATGAAAGCTCTCCTGTTTGGCTTTGAGTGCAACCATGCACAACATTAACAATGTCCACTGCATAACGTTTCTGTTACCAGGTGTTACCAGGCTCCTTGTCTAGCCATACTTGCCGATGTACATTTTTATAGTTCTCATTTTTTGTGCAATATGTGGTGTCTGACCATATTGACATGCTGTGCAAAAAGTTCTATTTTCCAGTAGAAGTATCTGACTTTTCTGACGTTGTTTGGAACTTCCAATAACCAGTCTCAAATGTTAGAATCCTATAGACCCAATTTTTTTCTAATTGTAGCTCATAGTTCAGTGAGCCCATATGTCATCTGCAGACTTGGAAAATAAATTTGTACCTTGACAGTGTAAATAGTTTAAAGCATGTTTCAGTGTTTGCCGCCATAATGTCTCAATAGCGTTATGAGTGTTATTGTCACTGACGAGAACTGTGTTGAGAGTAAGCACAAATAATGACCCCATGGCTCTCACTTACCACTGAAATTAATTAAGCTTCTTACGGTTGGTAAGTGTAAACTGCAAAACATTTTACACCGCCATAAAAAATGCTAACATGACTTGAAAACCGCTAAAAATCTCTCCAACTGCAACACGGCAATTTTTCCCATTAGACAAATCAGAAAATCGCTAAATTGGCAGCACTGCTCGTAATGTAACGTAGAAAAAGCAAAGAAAATGCTCCTGTGTGAATGGGCCTTTAGAATGACGGTGGTGAAACAAAAGGTAGCAGTCGAGGAACCGGATGACGTTTCTCTCCCTTGCGTGTGATTATTTTGCCGGGATGGTTCCAAGCATATCAGGAGACGAAAAACCGCCATTAGCTGTTTCATTTCTTTTTTTCCCCTACTTTTGAGGTTTACAGCTCCTCTATGTTGAACCTCTGGCAGACACGACTAATACCCCTGTTACACGGGCCATTTCAACAATAATTTAGCCAATGACTATTCACGAGCAGTGTTACATGGCAGTGCCAACTCCCATCAAGCTGCTAACAATCGTTGAGTTCATCTGAGCTGGCCTACCACGTTTGACTGGTGGGGGTTTGCCCCAAAAGAGCTGGAGATGGCAGTGTCCGCCACATTGCTGCCAAAGGCCAACGCCAGCAAAGCACTTACTATTGCAGAAGATTGAGGGAGGTATCTAGAAAGTGTCGTAGCAGCAAATATTGTAGGAAAAGGTAGGATTCGGTGCCAGAGCTTGCGCAAAAATGATTGCGGCACGTCGCAGAAGCCCACGCTCGGCAAGCATAGGCTTTGTGATGTCGTTGCCGATAAGTCTTTCATTATGTCTCTCTTGCTTGAATTCGAGTGAAACATTTTCACTGTCGTTTCTTTACTCTAAAAAATAAAAAAAGAGAAGTTAATTATATTTTGTGTTAAATGTTTATAATGAATGTTGTGTGCATTTTATGTATTTGCCTCACTTTATAAAGAAGCTGATGTGACGTTTTGGTTTTGTTTTGGTTTCAATTGGGTCATGTGATGCGCATCTCAACGTGGGTTGTTGGGCCTTACTGTGGAGAGGTTCTTCTGTGCTCTACAAAATACCTGTACCACACTGCACACGTGTTGAAGGGATGCGGTGCAAGCTACCAGAAAAAACATATTTTCCCTTCTTTTTTTACCTCAGATAATGCACTTCTTGTGACGTCCGTATATAACAAGAGAGAAGAACACATGATGAGCAGCTCTGACGCGCAGCACGAAGAGGTAAGATCCTAGATGTCGTCACTTTGCGTCCGTTTTTTCTTAGCAAGCGCTGACATTCCTCTTTTTCTTTTTTTTGCTGGTTTTCTTTTTTTCTAGGAGTCTGCAATAATAAAGCTTCCCATTAACTTACTGGATGGAGTGAAGCAACTGTGTGAGAGCGAGGATTTTGTGAGTGTCAAGGCCTTGGAAGCGCCCTGCGACGAGGACAGGCTTTTCCTGGCTCTGGCGTTGTGGACGCGTCACTTGCTGAAAATACAGTATGACGCTGAGCCCGAGTGAGTTCAAAGAAAAGTAAAGTCATTGTCTTTGACAATGTATTTATCCTTGCAGTGGTGACTTTATTACTACATCAAAATAAGGGACATTTTACAGCAGTGGTATAAGGTGCAGTATACCTAAAATATACTAGGTGCAGTATTTTTGAATGGCATCAGGATGACAAACACTAGCTGGTTTATCGAGGCAAGCTGTGATAGGGCAAGCTGTCGTTTTGGGTTAAAAGGTACTAAGCTATCGATGCAGCATCATAGTATTACTTTTCCTCTAAGATGGCAACTAAAAACAATTGCTTAAACAATGTATTGTCCATGGCTTTGGTTTGCTTACAAGCACTGTAACAGTTGTATACCGTAAAATACCCCAATAGTGCGCACTTCGTTCAAGCACCAACTAATTAAAATTTCCAAAACTTGAGAATTCTGCATATTATACGTTAAGCACTTATTTTGACCGGACAAGCAACCATGTCTAGATCAACCCAGTTTTCAGCAAAAATCAGGGTGGGCGCTCCCCCGGTATTTTACGGTAATACCTTCATCAATATGCCGAGAAACCCAAAATTGTTTTTCACTTCGCAAATAAAGGGGGTTCATTTACTGTCGAGGTCAAGAGAAAAATGAATGCCAGACCACCATTCGTCTTTACTGTGGTGAAGAAAATTAGCTCATACATCTTTTGAAGATTTCTGTGCCCATACCATTAGTCACTTTATTCCTCATCGCTCTCCGAAGCAGCCGAGGGTTGGCGGTCAGGCATTCGTATATCTTTAGACTGCGGCAGCACCGGTACACTGAAGTAAAGCTGTGGTGAGACAGGCATGCATCTTGGAAGGGTGCTGCGAAAGTTTTAAGCCACGGAGATTTTCTTGTTCGGCAGCCAAGTTGTCCAGGCAACCATGCTGACGGCCAATGCGGTCTGGAACCAGCTGTTGGGGTCGGTAGCTCTGAAATAGAGACAAAGTATGGACGCATCCCAAATTGTAGTTTGTACGCAGCTTTACCATAGGTTATTGAGATGACAAAACATAATGAAATAGTAATGTAGTTTTTGCACATAAATGACTGGTGGAGATGGGCGTATAACGGTTTGATTATCCGCATCCGATCTGCATCCGCAGATTTTGTATCCGTATCCGAACAGCATCCGCAAAATGTGGAACCGCATCCAACTCATAATCCAGGCATTTATTGTATATCGTAACATCAAGCACGAATGAAAAAAAATATAGCATGTTTCAAAGAAGCTGTGCAACAATTTCAGGGCTTTGCTTAAATTATTGTGGAAGTTGATGCCGGACACTTCTGAAGTGAACTACAGAAAACAGATTTTGCCTGGATACTTAAGTTTTTATTTAAAAAAATTAAAAAGATCCAGGTTTTTGGCGCCTCTCAACTCGTACGTCGTCTTCCGGGTCACGTGCGCAGTGACGTTGATGGGGTAGGCGCGGGGTTCCGGAAAAGTTCTCTCTTTAGAGCCATCAGTGAGCAGCGAGAACTCATTCGCTCGCGACCGCGTGACCACGTGCTGGTGGGCGCCGCGCGAACAATATGGTGAAAGGAGGAAAGTCTCATCCGGGTCCGGCTGGTCCGGCCATACCCGTCCGGCCCTCTCCCCCTCCCCCTCTGGCTTCTGGCGGCTGTTCGCGGTAGCAGAGAGTACACCATAGCAGAGAGAGCTGACGGCTTTGTGGACCTAGGATAGATGGCGCCACTAAAACTTCGTATAATACAAGTTTTGTCGATGATACCAAGGTTTTTGACGCATTTATATATATGTTGGAACGACAAGATTTATAGAAAAGCTACCTTTTATCGAGCAGGCATTCGCACAACTTGCTATCTTTCTACAAGATTCCCCATTGATGTCACGCCGCGAGTTTCTCATGGCCGCCGCTCGCGGCTGCAGGTCGGGGAATCTTCTAAGTTTTGCCTTGCTATTACGCGGCGGTATCTCAACATTTCGATGAAAGGAGTTATGTTTTCTGTCATTTGTGACAAGGTGAACAATATCAAAAGCAGAAGATGCCAATTCCTTTAACGTTAAAATTGTTGCACAGCTCCTTTAAGCTATTTGCTTATTTTTGTACAAAGAAATCTTTGGGACAGCATTCAAAGGGGATGCCATTTTGTCATTGTCAGTTTCATTGTATTTATATTAAAAGCGATCAACCTTTTCGAGAAACTGCTCGTTGAAGGAAAAATGATGTCAGCTATGTGATCGTCCTAGGAGTCCGCGAAGCTCTGCCCTGAAAACCGCAAAAATTATATATATATATATATATATATATATATATATATATATATATATATATATATATATATATATATATATATATACACATATATATATATATATTTTTTTTTCTTTGTAATATCTATTTTATGTTGACGTGTACTTTCGAAACATAAAAGTTAAATAGGGCATACTAAATTATGAGATTTTAGTTGCATCAAACAATTAAAAAGTAATAGAGATTCATAATCGTCCAGCTACAACGCCCTGCCGTCGTAGTTGGACGAATATGAACTACCAGACTTTTTGGCTAGATTTCTAAGCATAGAAAAAAAGAAATACACAGGCAGTTTACGGGCTGCCTATGTGCGTGCGCTGTTGATATTGAAACTTTACAAACCGTGGCGCCACAGGGTCGCGCTCGCTGTCGAGGCACTCCTGTTGTTTTTGGAATCATGACCACACTACTCTTTGCGGAGAGGGGAACGTTTCTTCTACTTTCTTGTGACTTGTACATTTGAGGTTTTCTTTGCCTGGAAAAAGTTTCCGCTCTTTCCCTGCCAATATACTAGCTTTCTCGGGACGATTGATGCCCTGCAATATTTACTGTTTCTATAGATGGCAGTTTTGACAAGAGGAAACGCACTAACTAAAGCAATCTTCAGTGAGAATCCAATCTTTCTTAGGATCCCTATCGTTTTTTCAAAATGCGTTTTGTGGAAATACGTTTCGGGGACAACTTTTCATGAACATACATTTCATGGACACACGGTTCGTCGGACCTGTACATTTTGTGGGGACATGCCCCTGCGGTGTTTTGTCGAAAACACATTTCTTCACTAAGCCGCTAAAAGCTAGCGCGCAATTCACTAAGGCGAGCTTAACCAAACCATGTCCCCCTCCCCCCTGTAATCCAGGGGAGACGCAAAAAGTTTGTTACGAAAATAGCAGGGTTATGCGAGACGAAAGGTCTCAGGTTTTCAATGAAACGAACACGAGAAGCTTTCGATCAGACGTCGCATGTCGACGAAACGATCTGTAGATGAAACGTCGGTTCTAATTTTTATCCGCATCCGCCCAATTACTGGGGATATCCGCGGATAATTCGCGGATATGCAGGGCTCTAGAAATCTGCCCTGTTAGCTCGGCCAATCCTTGGCCAATCGTGAAACCTCACGAATGGCAGTAATGCCAAAAAGACACAAAAAATGTTAAAACTCCGAAGAGAAGAAGTGGGAATGGCGAGTGCACTGCATGCTCACAAGTCTGTTCATGTCACTCACTTACCTTGTGATTATGTTGTTGATCCAATGCAAATTCTGCTTCTGTGGCACACTATGTGGATGGGGCTGCATGGAAATGAAGGTTTGGAAGTTTTGAAATATTTAGAGCACATGGTTTTAGCAGTTTTGCTGATCCTTTCGGTTTGCAGTAGGGTGAGTCAGTTCACACATCAGTTTATGCAATGATGGTCTGGGTTATGTTTCTTTAAAAGCCATGTTCTTGGGAGAAGCATTCAGCTATATGTGAACACCGTAGCTAATTTTCTTCCGGAGATATAAAATTTCGAAGCTCGAGGCATGGAGATTGCCAAAGGTTTCACTATGGTACTTTGCAGAGGCGCCAATTTCACACCGAAGCACGTACCATAGTAATACTTTTTTCTATTTATTTTATGAAACCTTTACAACATGTACGCAGAATATAAAGAATTACAAATAAATGTTTATATGAAAAAAAAAAAAAGCACTGATACATCTCAGGTAAACATTTTTTGGAGACATGTTCTCAAATTCTTTACCAAGAAACCACTTCATATAAAAAGGTGCAAAGTACATAAAAATCTATCTTTAAATGCATTTTACCGCTATATAACACAGATATGCTTAGCCATTGTTTTAGTTTTGTTAATAATGCAGAAATGCGGCAAAATTATATTCCAATATTGAAAAAGAAGTCCATCTTGTATTTTTTTTAAACTCTCCTTAATCGTTTGCAGTGACTTGAACTAAGTTATGTTGGCAAAACATTGGATAATGTAGGACCTTCCAAAGAGAAAAGCGACAACAAACCTTCACTCAAATTGAGCTAGCTTGTCGTCGTTATGAGGGCTTTGCCGTACGACGTCGGCTCCATGGAGTCATTATTTAGAACCGACTTTACGCACCCTAAGGCAGAGCAGTGGTGCTGCTCTGTCGTAGGGTGTAAGAAGCCATGCTGTTCCAAGCTAAGTTTTAGCTTTGTTTTAGTTTTATAAAATATAAAACAAATGAATATTATTATTATTAACTGACGTGGGAAAGCCCAGTGTTTCATTGAAAGGCACAGAACTCGCCCTTCCACGTCATTAAGCTTTCCTTTGCTATATTCCGTTATTTTTAACATCTTGGAGGTGTTTTGTACGAACCTGGAGGTCGTAGTCCGACGTTCTGGCTGAGATCAGCTGCTCCCACTTGGGCAGCTTGTCTGTCGTAAACAGTGGGGAATCTGGCTCGTTCATGAAGGGGAGCTTGTGAAACTTGGGATTGTATCTGTCTCGATGTCCGGATAAGGTGATTGCCTCCTTCAATGCGTCGGTAACCGCAGCGGTGGTTTCGGACGACTCTTTCTGGTATGATTCGCCAAGGACATTTCCCAGAGCCAGCGCTTCCTTCGAAGGACAGGGATGGCTTCGGTCGCCTCGTTTTGAACTTCCAAGGTCTGTTTCTCCACTCAGGCTCATGTAAGTAGCTGTCATGTGCGATCGACGACCATCGATCCAAGCTCCAGCGTTGGACAAAAGTTCAATTTCTCGTCGATGATCGGTTTTTCCGACGAGCATGCCACCATTTGGTCTCGCGAAGCGTTCGACTTGCCTAGCATCACGGCGGCGCTCTTCCTCGTCAGATTTCATTCTTACTCTTGCATCTCGCTCAACTGAGTTGCGGTTTCTGCGATGATCTTCTAAGCGCTCCATCCTGATTGTTCCGCGAGCTACCCTTGGCTCCATCCTGATTGTTCCGCGAGCTACCCTTGGCTCTCCAGAGTCGAGCTCTCGCGTTAGACTGACCATCCTTTGGTCCCTTGTGGCTTCCCCAGTTCTGAGTTCACGAACGTCCTGGCTCTTACCAGTCCGTTCGACTCTGTCGTATCGGCCAGTTTCATCGCTGGCACCATGGCCTCTGGAGCCAGTCTCCCTTTGTTCGAATATATGACTATTTGTCGATGTTCGGATAGCAGTCTCCAAGAGCATTCTTTGTTCCATTACCATTCTAGCTGTCCTTTCACTGTGACGGGAAGCGTCCTGGACTTGTGTCCTTGCATCCTCCATCCGTGCCCCAACTATCTCAACCTCCGCGTTAGAGCGCACACGGTTGTCCCGGTTCCTTTTCTCCTGCCCCGTGCGTCGAGTAAATCGCTCCTCGCGAGCAAGACTTTGAGGCAAGCTGCTGTGAACCAGATCTTCCCTGTTCATTTTTTCGAATTGCTGGCCGAGATCTAAAATTCTGTCGTATATTAAACGATCAGATTGGCGCCTGGAGGGCCAAGGCTCTGCTCTATCCCGGCGCACATTTGAACCTCTGCGGACAGAGATGTACTCCCGTATGTTGGTGTCTCTTAAGAGGTTTTCTCTCGAGTTCGTACGGATACGGTTGGCATCGTACGAAGGCTTGGATTTTCGATTATCAACGCGGCGGACGTCGACTGTTCTGTGATGGCCGTGTTTTCTGCTGAATTCTGGCTCTCTCACACGGTCGGTCCTAAGATTGTGCGCGATCTCTTCTGCCCCTGCCGCCTCCCGACGATTGTGAATGACCGCGTTGGACGCACGAACTACCGCCTTGGCGCTCGCAAAGTGGTAGTCGTCTCGGGAGCCGGCGTTTCGTCGTTGCCTTCTATTCACAGGGTCGTCGTAATTTACGGACTCGTCGACTACGTTGTCCCGGCGGCTTTCACGGATCTGGTTGTTTGCTTTTGCGTGCTCTGTCACCCTCCATCGACTCTCGTGAAGGCGACTGCCCTTGGCGAGCATTTCATTTCTTGTCGAATCGGTCGAGAATCTTCGATTCTGAACATTCGCTTCGCGCTCGGTCATCCTCTGATCTCGATGCTGCAGACCTGACTGCCGGTTATCTCTGCGAAGATGAATCGCGCGGTCCTCCAAATCGACCTCGTCAAAAAGTGGTTTAGAAGTCGCGCGGAAGTCTTCCAATCCACGATGGTCACGCGTGGCCCTCATGTGGCTACGATAGTCCCTCATGTCATCCCCGTAAAAGATCGAGTCAGAAATAAGTTTCCCTCTGCGGTCGTCAGTGGAATGGAAGCGCGTACGTGATTCTGACGTCCTGTCCCTCGATAGATTTGGTGTCAATCGTTCAGTTGAACTCCTTGAAGTTGTCCTCTTCCTTGCATCAACCGTTGATCGACCTATGATGCTGTCCAAAGTCGTAAAGCCGTTTACGCGTACTGCTGCGCGTCTTATGGGGATCGCGTGGTTCCTCGGCTCACTCTCTGTCTCTTGTAGACTGACGAAGCTGTTTACAATCGCTTGAAAGTTCGCTGCTCTCCTCGCTTGATGATTTGCGTCGTTTGCGTTGGTTTTGTACCGAATTTCACGCTCCAGTTCATTCCACCGTGAGCTGGTTGTCTGCGATTCTACGGTATCGGGTCTTGTTCTATGCCCGTCTCTTGTCCTCACGTTTTCGAACCTGATGCTTGCATCCCGAGAAGAGTGATCCAAGCGACGTTCAGAATTAGCAGATCGGCGTTCTAACATCTCTTGTCTCGTTCTTGACTCGTCTTTTGCCCTCGAGTCTTCCTGTTCGTTTTCAGCGTGCTGAACAGAGCGCCCCAGGCGATGTTCAGCCGCACGCCGCTCGTCCCTGAACTCTCTTCGGGAATCACCCAATCGAGATACTATTGTTCGTTGTCTCGCCGTGCGTTCAATTCTTGTCGCGTATTCAAGGTCAGCGTGCTGAACAGAGCGCCCCTGGCGATGTTCAGCCGTACGTCGCATGTCTCCTAACTCTCTTTGGGAATTGCCCAGTCGAGATTCTAGTATATTTTGGCTCGTCCTGCGGTCGTTTGTCGTGTCTTCAAGGTCACTTCCAGCATGCTGAGCAAAGCGCTTCAGGCGATGTTCAGCCGTACGTCGCATGTCCCTGAACTCTCTTCGGGGATCACCCAGTCTAGACTCTGGTGTCTCTTGTCTCGTCCTACGCTCGTTTCTTGTTGGGTCTTCAAACCTACTTCTGACATACTGAGCAGAGCGCTCCAGGCGGCCGTTCCTGTTGTCCCTTCGCGAATCCCAATCGCTGTACCTGCGATGGCCCCGAATATTTTCATTCGGGCTCATTGTGTCGTCTTCGGTACGCCTACGGTCTGGAAGACCGTCGTCAAGTCTGCGATCGATCGCGAATTGATCCGCGAAATCCAGTCGAAATCTTGCAAGTGCGTCATCTGGTTTGTATCTCTGGTCGCGCTGACCTTGTGGGGAGGTGATACGAGATCCCTCAAGGACTTTGTCCTTCGTAGGGCTGAAGCCTGTCCAGTGCCGTTCCAAGCGCACCCGGTCGTCCAGGTAGGCTTGGCAGGGGATGGCGATCGCCACCAGGATGAACCAAGCCGTCGTCAGCATGTCCAAGCTGAACCCGTTGGCTGGAATGAACAACGAGAGCTTCGGTTATCCCCCGCTTTTCAGCTGAAACACGGAAGTGAACCGACGACTGCAGTTTCTAAAATTATATTTGTTTCTTAGCGACCCATGGAACGGAACATTAACGGTTCTCTTTGGGGTAAAAATCGTATCACGTAAAGCGATGGTTGCTTTTTTGTTTGTTCCTATGTAGAGTTTTTTTTTTATTTTTATTTATTATTATTAAAGTTAACTAAAATTTCGTGTGACGGCGTGGCGTGGCACTGTCGAAGCTAGAAGAGTTGGCCGCCTGCCAAACAGCTGTATGCCGCAAACCAACTGCGCGATGCTCCGTGGCCCTAATAGCCCCATACAGGTGGGAGCAAAAACTGCGTCGCATCGCTCCGCCGAGCGGCATGTAGCCACCGTCGCTGACGCTGTGACGTGGGGGCGCGGCATCCAGCCACGTCATAGCGTCAGTGGTGGTTGCTATGGTTACGCCGCTCGGCGACGGGATTTCTGCTCACACGTGTTTCTGTGCGTTCCTGATGTCGTTGCGAGAAAGAACGACGAGGCGACGTTTTGAAAAGACGCAGTGGCCTGTGCCAGAGAGACGGATATTGAACTTGAGAGTCGCCTGCGTTCAAAAAATGCAATTCTGCATACGATGGTCTCACAGAACCGAAATTTGTGCGCCTTTTGTTTGTTTTGTCTTTCGTGAAAACGCGTGTGCCACGTTGCGCGAGAATTATGTCCGTAAATAAACGCGCGATTGCTTAAAGAAACTCGTTAGTGTGAAACGCGTTTAGTTTCTAGGCTCCGCGTGTTGTACAGGCGCAAAAGGAAAATAGATGGAAAAGATAATTCCAAGTTTCCAACCCCGAGCTTGGCTGACTACGAAGTGGTTTGATAAGTTACGTCTCCCTAGACGGGTTTGACTTACGCTTTCCACATGCAACGCGTCGTGGCTTGTTAGCCACGTCTGTTGTAGCCCGTCGACGTCATTTCGGTTGTTTCAAGCGAGAGCGCAGCGACCTTGAAGCTGGCTTCTCCGAACGCACGGAAGCGTGCGGAGAAGTAGCATTGCGGGTGCGCGTGGCCGATTTATTTGCTTTTCTCCCGCGCATAAAAAAAAAAAAAAAAAAAAAGTTTTTTTAGGATTTTAGGTTTACTAACACGAGAAACATTATTGTTATTTTTTATATTAAAAAATATAAAAACCATCGATTTCGGTTACTTCACTGTTTTCCTCCCAACTTCGCAGATCTGTACCTTGGAAAATAATTTAGTCATAAATGTGATATTTTGACGCAATATTTTACTCCTAAGTGGCCGTGAATTGCCAAGAAATAAAATTTGTATACAGACTTGCTGTTGTACTGCTCTTGTATTGCTCTTGGCGAAAATGCCCGCTATTAACATTTCCCAAACTTGGGAAGTCTGCAAATTTGTATTGTAGTGGTGCGGCTGAGGTTCGTGCAGAACTCACTGAGGACGACGACGACAGTCTTCTAATTTGGCCATGGCCAACAACTAGAAAAATATACACCGTAACATTGGTGTCAGAAATGGGATTTCTGCATGGCACCTCATGCAACCCGGAAAGCACCCTGTCAGGATGTACGTCTTGTGCGACGTGGTCTACGCCGGCGTCTCATGGAGCCATATAGGGTCGCGGCTGGATTACCCGAAGCCGCAACATCTTCACGCCGGACCCCCCACGGACAAGTCACCACTTCGCCATGTTTTCCACGGCTGTTTTAGTGGCCGTGAAATGAAGATCTTGCGTTGGCCGATGGCCAGATTTGCATCCCAGAGCTTCGAGCCACCGAGGCGGGTACGTGCGCTCCGGATTTGAATTGTCCTTTGACGGTCATTGTGGCCATCCAGCGGGAGAGGTCCATAAGCGGCAATCTTCTCCAAAAGTTTTAACTTGTCCTGGGTTCCGGCCTTACCGGCACATTTCATTTTCGGTGTTGGTGATCAAAACGCGAAAATATGCTGTGATGTATGTATACCCGATATAGATCTCTGCCGGCATCAGAGTTCTACTCAGACATGCCACCAGGGGCCCTATGTTGCGCTTTTTGGACTCCCACGGCGACTAGGGAGAAGGAAGTGACGTCAACGACGCAGCAAACGCAGATTGGATGTTGACAGAAGAAAACAAAATCAACATCCAATCTGCGTTTGCTCTAGTCGTTGACGTCACTTCCTTCTCCCTAGTCGCCGTGGGAGTCCGAAAAGCGCAACATAGGGTCCCTGAGGTGACGAAAACGTAAGCTACCTGCGGCCAGGTGACAAGGCTCCGCGCACCAACTTTAAAAGGTGCGGATGGGCTGGATTTTTGTGTTGCGGAAAAACTGTGACTTTGGCGTGAATTCGGTGAGTGTGCAAAGAGCATCAGCAACAACCCCTGCAGAAGAAAGAAAACTCTGTCTTTAATGGAACATGGCGAGGTTGTTCAGCAGGATGAACCTTCTTAGAAGAAAACAACCCTCAAAAAACGCAGGGAGGGAACGGTGAGGCCGAGGCGCGAGCTAAAACCCTCTGAGGACGACGACGATGCGTGCGACAATCTGTTCTGATTTGGCTATGGCGAACACCTAGTTAATTAAACTCCCTAACAATATGAAGGAGTTTCTGAAGATTTTTTTTCGGGATGTTCGCACGCATCACGAGTTGAGGCAGCGAAAAAAAAGAGGCACGGACCCGCAAAACTCGCCTGTGATTCCCTCGACTTCGCCCGCAAACGAAGTTCAGCTAGGCGCACCTTGCTGACTTAGAACAGGATGCCCCCGACCTTTTCTTCGAAGTGGACCCTTCCCGCATGAATAGCTGACCTTGTTTTCGGGATAGAGGGCCAGTTTTTCTCCCTCGTTGTTAATTATCATAATTTTCGAAGTTGTGAGCGGGGGGGTGGACCGTGTTGCGGGGAATGTGTTCGGTGCTAACCGGTCGTGGATTCGTTGGTGGCGGACTCTCCTCTCGTCACTCGCACGTCGATCGAGTCGACTGTTTGTTTGACATTAAGCTCAAATAAACGCCGTATAGATTACCTCTGCATCGTCTGGTACGTATACTTTATTTCTTGAGTATGTTCCCTTTATTTTGTTTTGTTAGTAGTAAACGTTACAGGTCGAGCTAGCGCAGGTACCCTGCCAGCTCCGTCGTTCTGCCTTGGCTACGAAATCAGGCTCACGACGTCTCTATCGGCCTTCGTGGTGGCCATGCAAGGTGTCGAAAGCTTTCAATAGTTCACGAGACTGTATTGGTGGGTACATAAGTTGACATTTTAAACGATCAGGGGTGGGTTCCGACGTTCTACGGGCAGAGACTAACAAGGCAGCGAGCTTCGGGCTGTGGCACCCGGAATAATAAACAAACTCTTACCCGAACCAAATCACCGGTGCGAAGCCCGTTAAGATTACAAGTCAATTCTTTTCGCGACGGATTTAAGTGACGGACGTGAACATCACGGTTCTCCGTCGATTTGTGTGCTGTAACGCTAGGACTATAGCGCCTTCACTCTAAAAAATGCCGGTGCGTCCACTTTTCCGCACAACCCTTGGAGAGCCAATCACCGCAACTTACGGAGGCCGCTCAGCGAATGACGGTGCCGAAACATGTTTAAACCAAAAAACGCAGTCTGAGTTGTGACATTAAGCTATGCAAAACGTCACGCTTGCATTGCTTAATGTCACAACTCAGTCTGTGTTTCTTTTTTTGGTCTAAACATATGTTTCGGCATCGTCATTCGCTGAGCGGCCTCCGTAAGTTGCGGTGATTGGCTCTCCAAAGGTTGTGCGGGAAAGTAGACGCACGGGCTTTTTTTAGAGCGTTGGACGCCTCACCAGCGACAGGTGCCATCTTGTTTCGAAAGTCACTGACGTCACGTCAGCGTCGTGTTGTGATTGGTTGCCGCTTGGTGGTTCCTGAATGCGGTTGAAAGAAATCGGTCACGAAGCGGTTGGGGCAAAAACGCTCTCCAACCGCTCGATCCTAGCCGCTTTGCGGTTGAGAACGCGCGGATCCGCTTCGCGTTTGCGGATCCGCTTCCAGTGTGAACGCGTGGTTTACGGAATTTGACTCGTTGAACTCTGTCCATTTTGATACCTGAGAAGGCAGGAGAGTTTTTCATATGGTGTGTGATCTATTCTATTTCATGTACAATGTTATATTACGTGTAAACCATGTGACAAAACCATTACTTGCCTCACTCGGATAGCAAAATATTTTTCTTTTTTACAAAATAAGACATCGCAATCACTGCGTCGCACCATATGGACAGTCCGTGCCGAGCCTCGGAGAAGGGGCTCGATAGAGGAGCTCTGCCTATGCGCTGATTTCCTGCGGATCATCCGCCACAACGTGTGTGGTGGCACAGAGTGTAGAGTGAATAAGTGAGTTATACTATGAAGTGCTTTATCGGGTGTATTGCGGAAGCAAATTACTCTCTTAGAAAACAAAAAGGCTTTAATCGGGGAAAGAATTGCTCCTTACGCCATTCTCAGCAAAGATCGAGTTAAGGGTATTCTATCACGCCAAAAAGGCTGTCTGTAGAAAAGGTAAAGAATGCAGGGGCATCAATCGCCCCCCAAAAGCGTGCTCTTGTTTGGAAGGGACACGTCAGAAAACGTTTTATGGACAAAGAAAACTCAAAACGTATAATACCCCATCACACGACCGTAAAGGTACCTTTAGCTAAGGGACCTTTATTCTCTGCGGCCCATCAATTAACGATCTTCCGCGCGTGGCGTGTGCTCGCGACCCAAGAGCACGGGCTGATTCGCCGATAGCAAAGTGACCGATGTTAAAGGTACCTTTATGTCGACCGTGTGAATGGGATATAAGCCACAAGAGAATAGAGGCAAGGTATTTGATAGGAACTCAGCCTCCTTTCCCCCGTAAAATTTGCTCGCATTTTTATTTGATTTTTTTTTTTTGTCTTGACGGTTGGCAAGTTGTTGCCAATTAAATGGTTCAGAGCACGCTGCTGTGGGTTTGTATTTAAAACTGACACCGATAAGAGGCGTTACCATTATTGAATGCTTTGGGATATTTTCCCAGTTGTGTGCGTAAATATGAGTACTGCGCAGCGCTGCGGTAAGTGACCGCCTTTCCTCTCTACCTTTCTTATTGTCGGACCTAAGTAAAATGGCGCAGTGTTGTTAGTCTGTCCTTTGTTAATTTTCATGCTTAAAAATTGCGCGTCTGCTTGAAATGGGTTTTACAAAGCAAAAGGCAAAAAATATAACACTAAAATTTCCTTTCCTTTGCGCGCACTTTCTGGGCGAAATGTCGCAGACTCCCAGACGATCTCATAACCTCGATCATCTTTCCAGCGACGCGAAATGTCTCTTGAAAGATGAACGCTTATGGGACACTAACACCTCCCCCTCCCCCAACTTTTTTTTTTCTTGCAAGGCGATTTATCATGGTGTTAGGAGACTTTCCAATCAATATTTTGCTGCAGAGTCACGTATATGTTTAATAAAGCTATGGTGCCTAGAACGCGTCTCCGACTGGTGTGTTTACGCGGCCAAAAAGTGGTCCCTCGATTTCCGCCTGATGACGTCATAGAAGTGTCATGCTGTCGCCGGTCACGACCCTGGCAGCGTTGCAGCAGTTGTGGTACAAATAGCAGACGCCTGTTCTGCTGCAGGTCGCTCTCCACTGTGACAGTCCACGGAAGCTACAGCAGCCGTAAGTTGGGACGCCTGGGACTCCGCGACGACAGCGACACTCACGTTCGCTCGCGCTTTTCGCCAGCATTTCTACGGCCAACTGCCAGGATCGCGGCAGTCAACAGCATCACACTCCGGCTTCTGTGACGTCATTTGTTGCCACTTACGGACCACTTTTGATGTATGGGCAGTATAGGACGCTAAACGCACCAGTCGGAGACGCGTTCCAGGCACCATAATAAAGCCAAAAAGTCAACTGCTCGAAACCGAAACACGAGCACGGAAGCTCATGGCCGGAAATCACGTAGCTACGCTGGACTGCGTTTTTTTTTTTTTTTGCGCTTTGGTTTCTTTAAGCAGACAAAGACGACGACGAAGTTGCGTGCACCGTTTGTCGTGCGATTTTCGCACTAATATCCCTTCCCCTAGATGTTCTGCGTTTGCATATCGATTGGCCGGTACTACAAACGACAGTTTCGAAGTAGCGGCCTTACGTCCGTCGCGACATAGGTCCGTAGTGCGCCGACATCGCGTCGTTAAGTCCGCGGTACGTCGTCATATTGAAAATGATGTGTACATGTACATCTTGTAATCTCTGCAACATTTTCTTTTTCGATCAACGTATTTACAGTTTTTTGGAGGCTACAAAAAATGTGGTTGATATATATATTTTTTTTTACAATTTTAATATTGCATTTGTGTCTTAGATAACCCACGGGTTTGAATTCATTCGGTATACAAAATTTTAACAAAAAGTGACCATGGAAACGAGAGTGAGCGCGACTGAACCTGGCCAATTCTCGACCGGTTGTTTTCGAGCGGAAAGAAAACGAATTTCGAGCCGCGAAAGGTCATGTTCAAATAAAAAAACACTGTTGTCTCTTTAAGTTAAGTTCAAATAAAAACATCAGTGTCCCTTTAAGTTAATATAAAATTTCTAAGTACGATAAACAGAATACGATAAAAATACTTTCGCCATATTCTGAATTGGAGCCTTCTTTGTACAAGATAATCAAATGGCTTATAATTTATAAAATACAATCCAACTGATTTTTTTTCCCCGCTTGAGTTTATGTATGTCGAATGCGGGGATTCTGGGTCGATTACGGTTATAAATTTTGCGGATGCGATTCGGATGCTGATGATCAAACGGTTATCCGCGCGGGTCTGGTTCACACACGCGTGTGAACCAGATTTGAGCCGTCATTAACGGTCACCTAACTTACGGAATCCACCCACTTCTCATGGGAATCTGCAGACTGGCGCCGGTCACCCCGTTGGGTAAACCCACGGGAAAGGTCTTACTGCCCGATTGGCCTATCTGAAGCGCGTCACGTTCACAGCACTTTCCCTTTTATATAAACTCCGTGTGAGCACAACTTGACAAATGTCCAAAGCCCCAGCGAGCCAAACGGGACGTCGGAGCAAAGCACGTGACAGTGTACCGTGAGGAAGGATTTGTCACGCTCTTCGAGCACTCCGTTGCTCCGATTGGTTCGGGGCTGCTGCAGCGTTCACCCTTTGCCAAGTTATACTGAAGCGAAGTATTCACTCTACACTCTAAAAAAAGTTTGTGCGTCCACTTTCACACACACCACTCGGATAACCAATCACCGCAACCTACGGAGGCAGCTCAGCGAATGACGATGCCGAAACATATGTTTAGACCAAAAAACGCCGTCTGAGGTGGGACATTCAGCAATGCAAAACGTCACGCTCGCATTGCTCAATGTCACAACTCAGACTGCGTTTTTTGGTCTAAACATATGTTTCGGCATTGTCATTCGCTGCGCTGCCTCCGTAGGTTGCGGTGATTGGCTCTCCGAGTGTTGTGCGTGAAAGTAGACGCACAGACATTTTTTTAGAGTGAATACCAGTCCCCGAGAAAGACAGCACGAGCGATCTGGAATGCAAAGAACTTGGAAACGGTTGTGACGGCAGTCACAGAATGCACCCCATACTCACGGAAGGTACTCGTTGCAGCCTTCGATGAAGCGGGTTCGCTGTCGTCGCCTCTCTCCAAGATGGGCGCACGATGTCTTCTGTCGCCTTTATATAGGATGCGGCGAGCGCGGCGTGGACGTCACTGGGGTCTTAGCCGCGGAGTTATCTCTGAACGCACGCGCGTTCTCGTCGAGCAAACGTTTACACGAAGCGACCGGGGTCACCGCGGGTCTTCTGCTAACAAGGCGGAGGATGCGTCCAGCGGAGCTCCCGTCGACGCGCTTTAAATCCAGCCAAACGGGGATTATCCAGTGTCCCATTGACGCGCGGATTTCTCGGAGATCCATTTTTAGACGCGCCAAAGCAGCAGAATCGCTGATTTGGCATGTGCGTTGTATTGTTTGGTCCGTGGTGCTGCCGCAAACTCGGTAGTAGTGCGCGAGTGCGGTGCGCAGAAGACCGGCAAATAAAGATGAATGAATGTTGGCTTAAAGTTGCTTTCGTCTCGCTCTTTTTTTTTTTTTTTTTTTTTTTTTTTACAGTGGTGTAAAGTACGTTTCTTCGCGTCGTCAACTTTCGAAGTTACTGCGCTGTAGCATCACATAGGATAAACAAGGCCTGCGAACACGCTTTTCTTCCTCCATGAAGCGTCATCACAGTCGGATGACGCCAACTCGGCCATTGGACTCGAACCCGATGTCGAGCGTCGTTCGACGCGTTGATTGGACACGAAACCCAGCCGAACAGTGACGCAGCACTCGTATCCAATCGGCGTCTTCGCTCGATCTCACTGTCGCGAAGTCAAAATTTGAGTGCACAGGCTTTGATTATCCTAGATGTCACTGGCTCATCACGACGTCTTTTAGCGTCGCGGGTCGATCTATGCATGGTTGATCGAATCCTAAATTGATCTCTATTTTGCGTCGCCATTCTTGCTGGAGACGGCTCTGCTCCGAACAACAGCTTTGCCACACAAGCAGTGACGATGTGGCGAAGCACACTCTTCGGTATGTCTGAATTGGCCGTGCAACGATAGTGGGTAGGAATGTTCCTCCTTGTACACCGAGCTTAGCGTCACTAGTGCGGCCCAAGTACACTTCGCACGCACCGCCACTGACCAAGAAGCTTCTTTGTCGCCGCATAATTTCAAGAACAAAACTGGACGTCTTTTTGTAGTCTATCCTTCGAAAAATCGGAAAACTCGATGACGAATTTGTGGGAATCGCATTGTTGGCGTTGTCAACATTGTATCGGTGCTCGGTGGCACCCGAAAGATATGCGACTGACTCCGTGTCATGGCAAACCAAAAAGAATGTTTATTCCCTCGTGGCCCTGCACAAGCCACGGGCCCCAAGAAAAGTTCAAAGGAGGCTCACGGCACAAACATTGCGATCCCAAGGATTTCGTCATCGAGCTTTCCGATTCCTGCGGTGACGATATTTAAATGTGGCCCGTATGTTCATACAGTGTGCACGAGCACTGCGTGACCATTCCATTTGGGCTCGTGAAAATGAACGTTAGTATACATGCCTTTGCGTGTGACGTGATATGGCTGCTTGCTCGAGCGATAACCCCCCCCCCCCCCCCCCCCCCCCCCCCCGGGTTCGACTCCCGTCGTTGGACGCGCCACCGGTTGAGGGTGCTGCTATGGCAACTGATGTGTCTAATGGAATACGTTTGTTTTGGCGCACAGTGTCTTGATGGCAGTGCACCGTACTCCATGGAATTCACAGTTTTTCAACGATAAATTTAGAAGGCGCTTCAAACGACGGGAGGCTGAAGTGCGTGAGGGGGGAAAAAGGGGGAGGGGGAGGTACCTCCCTTCGCGGGAGTTCCACAACTGACCTAATTTAGTAACGTCGGTGACAATCAATGCCCCGAAATGCATTTGCTTGTAGCGGCTCGTGCCCAATCGCTGCGATGACGGGGATAGCCGAACCTTGCCAATGGGGAGTTTTAGAATAGGGAGTCCCTGCGCTTTGGGTCACCCAAGCATCTTGGGGGACCCAAATTTAAATACTCTAATATGTGGAACACAGCGCGTGCACTGGGCTTTGCCAACCCCAGCACGTGGCTATGATGATGATGATGATGATTAACTTTATTTTCAAAAGGGTGGCGCCATGGCCTCATTGGGGGAGGGGGAACATAGGTAGGAAAAGTTTACATTCGGCGGTGAACTCCTGTATAAACTGCATATAATCGGCTCCTGGTCACGTGGCCACTTATTCTGGCTGCGGGTTGAGGGGGTAAACACGCTGCTCATATTCCTGGATTCTTTATCTTCTGCGACTGCGTTGCGTAAAAAGAGAAAAACAAAGTAACGTACGTGTTTCATAGGTTATGAATGTCGAGGAATAATTCTAAGCGGTATTTACTGAAAGTAACACGGCAAAACAAAGAGGAGACGTGCCCACGCGGACACCGTTTGGATAACGACGTAACTTTAGAATCACCGCCAGGGTACGAATCTTCAATTACATTTTACAGCCACGCAGAAACCCCTCATACTGGCGATTTGACAGCATGAAGGGCGTAAGTTAGGTCGGTACTCTTCAGCCAGCTCCAGGTCTGCGTCAGAGGGTTGAAGAAGCTGCCGTGGATGAGCCGGACATGACAGCCATCTGCAAAAACAAAAAGATACATAGACCGGCAATTATACCGGGTGTCTCAAACAGTGGCCAGGCTGTTTCAATCGACCGCAAAATTCGGTTTCTTAACCTATCGCGCTACGATTTTGTGCAGTGTTGCGCACAGGTGGCGCATTTTTTCTATAAAATTTTCAAAGAGCGAACTTACCTGAGAAAAAAGTAAAAAAAAGAAAGAAAAAGGTTTAACTCCTATGGAAATGCAGCGAAGCCTCGGTCTTCAAACAGTAGGGCGCCCCATTGTTTGAAGACCGGTGGCTTCGCTGCATTTCCATAGGAGTTAAGCCTTTTTTTTTTTTTTTTCCTCAGGAAAGTTTGCTCTTTGCAAATTTTATAGAAAAAATTCTCCACCTGTGGGCAACGCTGCAAAAAATCGTAGCGCGATAGGTCAAGGAACCGAATTTTGCGGTCGATTTAAAGAGCCTTGCCGCTATTTGAGACAGCCGATATATCTTCCTACGCCACGTGCCACCGCCGCAACTCTCGCCACTGCGAATGCTTCAAAAACCACAAAAAGAAAAGAAACGGTACAAAAGGAGGACGCAACGACGCTAGACACGGCGTCGCGTGGTGGTAGGCTGAGACTTGTGTCCGCTACGTGCCTCATAAAACGCACTTCCGCATATGACGATTTGGTCACTAAGTCAAAAATAAAACTGCGAACCTTTTTTCCCTCGTGTGACACATTATGGTGAGGATTTGACGGTATTTTATGGACCATCCAAAACAGCTGCATACCGGAGTTGGTCGCTTTCTTTTCCGTTTATAGAAGTGATGAAAGCTATTCATTTTATAGACTCTCAGAGTGATATTACTGCGCCATGTTCACTTGCACCAGTCAGGAATAAGCTGACCCAACCTGTACGTACCAAAGTTCAAGAGGACCTCGGGTATGGGCCATATGTGGGCATTGTAGGCAATGAGGCTGTGGATAGACTGGTCGCCTCCTCCCATAACCTTTTATCATCACATGCCCGCATACCGTACCACGACTTCGGAACGACCATGAGGCTCGCATTTTTACAACTATTTGCCACACCTGCGTCACCCGTCGATACCTTCTTGTTGGTGAGGAACTTCCGGTCTGCGGTCACTGTGGAGACACTGTCTGTTCTGCATATTTTTTTTTGCCCTTGTCTCCAACAGCATCACCGGTTATTGTTTTCTCGAGCTTTATAGCTAGCTATAGCTAGTGCATTCCATGCCATCTTACCCTGTTCCTAGGGGAGTCGCCTCGCGTGCCATTTGGCCGTCCTTTAGCTTTTCTAGAAAATATAGGGTTTTTACACAACTTATAGCCGAATATCATTCTTAGTGTACCTTTTCTAGTTTGGCGCACTATGGTCATAGGAGCTTTTGTGCCACGAAACCCGCAAACAACAAGAATTCTGATTACGGAGGTATGACAAAAGGGAAGCTATGAAGTGTGAGCACCTTCATGCAGAAAATATAGGTTACAGGGAGTGCCACGTACTGGTCTCGAGCACTTCTTCCAGTTCTTCCGGTGGCACAAACATGTTCCAGTCATGAAGTCCGGCGGGCACGATTCTGAAGATGTACTCGGCGGCAATCTTGACGATCAGGTACGACAGGAGCGTGCGATTAATAGTGGTGAAGAAGAGCGAGCCGCCGTCCTGCGGAAGTTGTGCGAATCACATGCACACCCGTCACTGGGAACCTTCTCAGATAACTCACGTTCACACAGAGCCTTAAATGTGTACGGAAACGAAGTGACGTCTATCCCTCGCTTTGAAGTCGGCCAGCCAGAAGCGCAATGCGTATCGCGCTCGTGACGTCAATAGTTGATGCACTGCCAAGGGTACAGTAGTTGCAAGCCTTGCCGCTTGGTGGCGTCGATGCGTGACAATCTCGCCTATACTTTGTATCACTAGTTGCGTGCAGTGCAGGCGAAGGAAACGCTAAGCGAGGGGAGAAAGGGTAAGCACTAGGATGTCTGGGGAGAAGAGAGAAACGTCCTCTCCTCTAAGGTTCTTAGTACTCTTACTTTCTTCCCTCGTCCTCCACTTCCCTCCTATCCCGTCCTGCCTTCCTAGTGCTCGCCCTTTCTCTCTGCGCTTGGCGTTGCCTTCGTCTGCACTGCACACAAGTAGTACTATAAAGGGAGTATAGTACTAATACATATATAATGTACGGACTATGGCCTATAGCTTGCTCGGAACGTCATTTGCGGCCATGTCGGTATTTTATCTGCCACGAGCGTTCTGTTCACCGTGTTAGTTTCACACCGCAGTTCCACATGAAAATTCGGAGTATATCGGATAAATCTGAATTGACCAACATTTTACCAGCGGGCGTCTTTCGGAGTTTTTAGGAGTTATCCGAAAACAAGGAACCTTAAATACAAGTGTCTGTCAGCGTCGGTCCATGTGCAATAAAAAAACAGCTGAGAAAAAAAAATCAACAAAATAAATATGCAGTCAGTCCAGTTTTATGTTCTTGTTTGTTTGTTCTTTTGTTTTGTTTTTCGAGTGGCATTTGCAAGCAAAGTGAGTCAGCGTCAGGACCAACGAGGTGAGGGCCTTAGGACGATAAAATGGCTGCTGAAAGTGACCCCCCATTGGCCGCCGCCATGTTGCGCATGTTTGACCACTAGACACGTGACCTTAGAGTTTTACGTCCAGATTTTAACGAAGTACCGCGTACAAATAATTGCTTATTGACCTTTATAAACAGTACCGACGAGACAAGTTATGTTTCGTTTGTTTTAAGTCTAAAAGGTGCTTTTACGACAAAAACGCGGGCAGCTTCGCAATGCCTCCGCTAGACGCCGTCAGCCGCGGTGCTGTATTTTAGGTTTTGGAGCTAGACACTGAGCTCTGGGGCTAACAGTATTGACAAATAATTTATCATGTTCTTTTTACAGAGATCCCAATACAAATCTCGGCTCAGTTGTGAGTAAAAGCCTCAGGATTTAGTACGGTCACGTGTCTAGTGGTCAAAATTGTAGAACATGGCGGTAGTCAAGCATAGTTGTCAAGTGGGGGTCACGTTTATCGCTCTAAGCCCCTCTGCCTCGTTGGTCAATGACTGTACAATTAAAACGCAACCTAAAACATTCACTTTGGCAGGCCAAGTGCAGTGAAATACTTGAGAGCTACTTGCCTTTCGAAGCGAAATGACGGGGAGAGTCAAGCCTGATATGCGAGCCAAACGCCCAATTGCCTCCAGCCAAATGGCTCGCAAATTCTTACCTTTAGGTATCGTCCCGATATTAAACCATGGTTGTAATCACAACTGCTGCACAGTTCACAGAATCGCGGGGCCGCCTTTACGGGAACCAACATCTTTATTCAGCACCAACACGCGCGAAGGGACAAATCAAGCCGTCCAGCAACATACAGGGTGATTCAAGGAGAGGCCATGCTCTTTAAATCGACCGCAAAATTCGGTTTCTTAACCTATCGCGCTACGACTTTGTACAGCGTTGCCCACAGATGGTGCATTTTTTTTTTTTTTTTTTTGTAAAATTTGCAAAGAGCGAACTTATCTCAGGAAAAAGTAAAGAAAGAAAAAGGCTTAGCTCCTATGGAAACGCAGCGATGCCACCGGTCTTCAAACAACACGGCGCCGTTTTGCACGGGAGACAAGAGATGGCGCAAGCGATCGCAACGCCAACTGCCGCCAACGAACGAGCATACGACGCTGAGAGCCGGCGTCTTTAGCAGACAAGGAACTGTAGTAGTTCCTTGTTGTTACCGCGCCTGTTTTTGTTTCTGCGACTGTCGCCGCCTGCGGAACGCGCGCCGCTTCTGAGTCGAAAAGATCGTCTGCTAAAGACGCCGGCTCTCGACGCCGTATGCTCGTTCGTTGGCGGCGTTCGTTGCGCCATCTTTTGTCTCCCGTGCGAAACGGCACCGTGTTGTTTGAAGACCCGTGGCTTCGCTGCGTTTCCATAGGAGCTAAGCCTTTTTCTTTCTTTACTTTTTCTTCAGGTAAGTTCGCTCTTTGCAGATTTTACAAAAAAAAAAAAAAAAAAAAATGCACCATCTGTGGGCAACGCTGCACGATTCGTAGCGCGATAGGTTAAGAAACCGAATTTTGCGGTCGATTTAGAGAGCCTGGCGTCTCCTTGTTTCACCCTGTAGTTGACGTGGGAGTGGGACGCTAAGCTTAGGCCTGTCCCGCTACGAACCCAAGCACCCGCACAGCACTTCCGAAGGCACGTACTTGCGACAGTTGTTTGCTGCAAACTAGGTCAGTTAAGGACCCTTTTTTCTCCAAATACCCCTGCGAACGCAGAACGACTCGCATTCATAAAAATAAAGGCTCGTTCACACTCTTGCAATCGAGTACGACCGAGAGAGACCAGACCGGTTTTTAATCCTCTTACGACGTCTTAGGACCAGCTCCGCAGCAGCGTGCCTGGTCCTAAGAAGTCGCAAGAGGCTTAGAAACCGGTTTTGTCTCTCTCGGTCGTACTCGGTTGCAAGAGTGTGAACGGGCCTTAAACGAGCTCAACGTTGAGCACGCGCCGCAAATGCTGGCAGCCAAGTCTGTTATCTTTTGAAGCCCGGAAAGGCGCGTTATCTCTGGATATTTTCGAGAACAATAATGACTCTATCTAGATTATTTGTTTCGCAAGCAGAAAAATATTGTCGATATTAATACTAGTACGGCATAGAGAGACAATTTTACAATTAACATTTCACTCGTCAATCATCTAAAATAGTTTTAATACGCTCAGCGCGGAGGTTGATATTAGTGAACGCTCGTTTAAAAATGCCCTAAGCATTCAGCTTTATTAGGATCAATGTTTTTAAGTTTTCTTTTTTGTACAAAGAGTGCATTTGTGTGTACCAGCATTCAGACTTCGGCTGTTCCTGGACACAAGAAAGAAGGAATAAAGAATCCCTCCAATCAGTGAGAGCCGAGAAAAGGTACTTAGTTTTTGTAGATACCGGGTGGGGCAAGGCTACCCCACCTAAATTGCGTCTAAGGGCCCCGAAAAAATAAAAAGAAAATTGTTACCTTTTTTACTTTAGTGTTTCTCTAATTGAAAGAATTGGCATCTTCTACTTTTGACATTGTTCATCTTGTCAAAAAGGGCAGGAAACGCCCCTCCTTCCTTCGAAATGTTGCGATTCCGCCGCGTAATCGCTAGGCAAAAATTAGAATATTCCCCGACCTGCAGCCGCGAGCGGCGGCCATGAGAAACACGGTTGCATGACGTCAATGGGGTTCTTGTAGAAAGATAGCAAGTTGTGCGAATACCTGCTCGATAAAAGGTAACTTTTCTATAAATCTTGTCGTTCCAACATAAATATAAATGCGTCAAAAACCTGGTATCATCGACAAAACTTTTATTATACGGAGTTTTAGTGGCGCCATCTATCCTAGGTCCACAAAACCGTCAGCTCTATCTGCTACTGCGAACAGCCGCCAGAAGCCGGAGGGGGAGGGGGACAGGGCCGGACGGATATGGCCGGACCCGGATGAGACTATCCTCCTTTCATCACATTATTCGCGCTGCGCTCGCCAGCACCTGGTCACGCGGTCGCGAGCGGATGAGTTTTCGCTGCTCACTGATGGCTGTAAAGAGAGAGCTTCACCGGAACCCCGCGCGACCCCCATTGACGTCACAGCGCACTTGACTCGAAAGATAGTGAAGGGGATGAGGGGTGCACCGAAAACCTCAATCTTTGTTCATTTTTAAAATAAAAACTAGGACATGCAGGCAAAATATTTTTTTTTTGTTGTTCTTTACTTCAGAAAGGTTGAGACACCAACTCCCAAATTATTTAAGCAAACCACTGAAACTGTTGCACAACTCACTTAAGACTTGCTCTTAAAATGGAATAAAGCTACCATTACGAGGTGCGATCAAAATGTTCCGAGGCTGGTCGAGTGGGTCGTATACACAACAAAGTAAATTACTTCCGTTTAACCCCAAAGTATATTTAATCCCTTTGTGCAGCGACGCAGCGCTTCCACCTCTTTTGCCACTTTTGGAAATCCAAACACTTTCTGCGATTCGCGCTGAATCTCGTTCCTAATTCCAACACGGCGACCCTTTCAACCTGAGCTGCATCAGAGGGAAGAGGAACAAGCTGTTAACAGTGTACTGAATGGTTTTCCAAATATCCTCGTGCACAAGTTCCATACGCTTCCGTCGTCACTTTTGGGGGTTCTGCCCGTGGAAGATCGCCCTGACCTCTCTTCGTCTTCCAGCGATGCTCTATGATCCTTGAAGCATGAATGCCATACTCAAAACACCTCGCACAACCCACTGCTCCTTCGCCATAGCTTTGTCGAGCGTGGCGCCAGAATTTGATGTTCGCTCTTTACTCTAGTTTGCAGTTCATGCTGAAGTCACCCATGTGCTCCTGCACGTGGTCACAAAAACCTTGTGCAGCGTAGCTTTAAGTGTTCACAGAACGACGCCTCTTGGCGCTACTGTAACGCACGAAGGCCACTGTGGCCTTTGGCAGTAGCGTGCGCATCATTGTCCTGCTCTTTCTTTTTACCCTACGAAACTATAGTTTGGGATCTTTTTGATCGTACCTCGGGTACAGTTATTTCAACTGACATTTAATTAGTTTCCACCAGGGATGGGCAAAAATGTATCAAAAATGTATCAAAATACAAATACAAAATACTTCGTCAAAAATGTATTTAATTACAAATCTAATTAAATTTCCAAAAAAGCATTTAAATACAAGATACAAATACAACCAAATGTATTTGGTCTCCTCCAAATACTTTTCCAAATACATTCCTCAAAATTTGCGTCAGCGACTTCAGGGCACCTGCAACGGGTTTCTGGGTATCTCATTTTAATTTTGCGTCGCACACTCTGGAGTTAGTGTGCGAGGCTCTAGTAACGTAATAGATATATAATCACAAAAAATGTAATCAGCTTGGACGTAATAGGTGAAAAAAGTACAGAGCTTCAAGCAGCTTTTTTTGTCGATTACATTTTGGTATAGACCAACAAAGAACCGAGACGACCAAGACGCGCAGCACTAGCTAGAGAATTGTTTATTGTTGCAACTCGCACCATTTACGAAAATCTGGACGACCCGCGCATTTAGAATGTTCCACGCAAAAATATGGATGGAAATCAGGCTGGAAAGCATCACAAGTTGTCACAGGCACTTATTTAGCCAGTCTGCCTGTGAACGTCGATTTCGTCACTATTCTTGCCCTGGACTAGCACCGTAATCACAAAGTCACTAAACGCTTGTGCTTGATTGGGAGACACTGCATTCGGTGCAGAACGTAGTTTTCTTCCTGGTCTGGACAGTGACATTTAATTTGAGGGATGTATTTTTGCCCACAAAATTGTATTTAATTACAATTGTATTTGAAATACCCACGTTTTAGTATTTAAATACACACGTCAAATACATTACCCAATTTGTAATTAAATACAAATGCAAAATACACGAAGTATTTTAAATACGTATTTCAAATACTTGTATTTGAAATACTGCCCATCCCTGGTTTCCACATAGCGTTATATATTCGTATAGGTATATACCCAGGGTGTTATTTTTTATTCGAAACAGATTTTTAAAAAAAGGCGTCTTTACTGCTACGTGAATGCCGTCTTCACTATGTGTTTCTTGAGCTCGGCGGACATTCGAGAGGCGAACAACCGTCACAGTCTGGTGAGTCATTAACTAAAATATGTTAATTAATTTTTTAATTATTGGTTTTATGGACCATGTTGCAATTGTAATTTTGAAGCCTGCCGTCCTGGAAGGCTATACCAACTTACACATTAAAAAAAAAAAAAAAAATTGCAACTGGTTTGGAGATATCCGTCGACAATTTCTCCTCTTTCTATCATCCGATTCCGAAACTGAAAGTTCCAAGTGCGCCGGAAGCGCTGATCACGTGACGCTTGTAGAAGTGACGGTTTCGTGACGTACAAATCGTCATGATCTCATATCTGCACTGCGGCTGTCACGGTGCGGCTCGAGGTATGCAAACTCGCGGGGGCGGTCTTTAGCGCTCTCGCTTTTAATGCGTCATTGCCCTCGGAGCTTCCTTCGCGATTGTTTGTCGGCGAAGGATTCGCTTCGCCAGATAGCGTGGGCGCACGAACGCCGGCTCTGCCAGTTGTAGCGTTAAAATGGCTGCGCAAATTCAGTCGAGGTATTCAGTCGCCGAGAAGGTTCAAATGGTTATGGCGTATGCTAAAATGAATGGCAACGTTCGTCTTGCCACGAGGCTGTTCCGCCCAACACCCTGGTCGCACTGTTCCTGCCCCATCCACCGTCTTCCAGGTTGCCAAGAAGTTTCTGTCCACTGGGTCTGTGCATCGTCAAAGAAGAAGGAAAGCAGCTGTCTTGGACGAAGATTTTGAAATCGCTGTGTTAGCCTACGTGCGAGCGTACCCCGAAATCAGCATCCGAAATGTCGTCGAAGATTCCGGAGGCAGCATATTTTCAGTATGGAAAGTCCTGAGAAAGCACAAGCTCCATCCGTATCACATATCTTTGCATCAGGACCTCAGAGAGTGTGACTTTGAGAAGCGCTTGGAGTTTAGCAATTGGGCCCTTACTAAAACGGATGAAGACCCCGATTTTCTCACTAATGTACTCTGGACTGACGAAGCACAGTTTTGCCGAAATGGCAACGTGAACGTTCACAACGCGCACTACTGGTCTGATTCCAACCCTCACTGGCTCCGCCAGCATAACCATCAGGTTCGGTGGTCAGTGAATGTGTGGTGCGGCATGTTTCGTGACAGAATAGTGGGACCATTTTTTTTCGAAGGCACACTGACAGCTCAGTCATACACAGCCAACATACTTGATGGTGCTGTCAGTGACTTCATCTGCGATCTCCCGTTAAGCAAGCTTAGGAGCACGTGGTTCCAGCATGACGGAGCGCCAGCTCACTTCTCGTCGCGTGCGCGGAGCTACCTCAACGCCTGTTTTTCCCAGCAGTGGATTGGGCACGGTGGACCTATGTTCTGGCCGCCAAGATCGCCTGACCTGACCCCGCTAGACTTTTTCCTTTGGGGTCACATCAAAAACGAAGTCTATTCAACTGAGCCCCAAGATGTCAACGACCTGAAGAACCGAATTGTCTCAGCATGCGCCAACATTGAAGCACACGTCCTGAAGCGGGTGGTTCAATCTATGAAGAAACGATTCATGGCATGCGTAGCAGTGGAGGGTCGCCATTTCGAACATTACCTTAGGGTCTAAGCACACCAGAAACTTAAATTATCAGCAATTCTGATCTCTGAAGTTATTTCGCTGAATATAATAAATAGAAAATACTTCTTTCTTGCAGCGTTTAATTTTCTTTCGTTAAGTCGACTGGCAGAGTCAGCGTTCGTGCGCCTACGCTATTTGGCGAAGCGCCTTCCCCACCGACAAACAATCGCGAGTGAAGCTCCGAGGGCAATGACGCATTAAAAGCGAGAGCGCTAAAGACCGCCCCCGCGAGTTTGCATACCTCGAGCCGCACCGTGACAGCTACAGTGCAGATATGAGATCATGACGATTTGTACGTCACGAAACCGTCACTTCTACAAGCGTCACGTAATCAGCGCTTCCGGCGCACTTGGAACTTTCAGTTTCGGAATCGGATGATAGAAAGGGGAGAAATTGTCGACGGATATCTCCAAACCGGTTGCATTTTTTTTAAATGTGTAAGTTGGTATAGCCTTCCAGGACGGCTGGCTTCAAAATTACAATTGCAACATGGTCCATAAAACCAATAATTAAAAAGTTAATTAACAGATTTCAGTTAATGACTCACCAGACTGCGACGGTTGTTCGCCTTTCGAATGTCCGCCGAGCTCAAGAAACACATAGTGAAGACGGCATTCACGTAGCAGTAAAGACGCCTTTTTTAAAAATCTGTTTCGAATAAAAAATAACACCCTGTATAGTTGTAGAGTCAGTCACTCACTAATTTCTAATCGAGTCACATACCAATTGATTATAAAATACCCCACGATGCCGAGGTGTGCTCCGATTGCAGAAACTGCCGTGGCACAGTTTTCATTTTAATTCAGCAGTCTGCTCATGGTTTTGTTTACATTTACGAAAATTTCGCTGTAAACTACCGCTTTCCACTTTAGCGGGGCAAACACTGAAAGGGAGGAGACCTCCTGCCCACCCCAGCGTTAGCTCTGCTAAAGTAGAAAGAGTTGGGAGGATCTCTCCCTGAACTCTCAACCTGTCACCGACTAACACCAGTATTCAGTTACCGAAGTCGTAACCAATCACGATTTGAGACACTAAATTCTTCCAGAACAGGAAAAGACACCCACGTGCATCTCCCTCAAATATTACTTTCGTGCATTTTGGTGTGGGTCTGCTGTGAAAAATTTCTGAAACCCTGTTTCGAACGTGCAGACTGATCGGCTCTCACCTCTGTCAAGGCCACGCAGCACTTCACAAAGTCTCGGTAGTTCTGGACGTGGTCGACAACTTCGCTGGCCACCACGGCGTCAAACTTCACGCATCTCCGCACGAGCTCTTCGGCTTCGACGGCCTCGTACACGACGGAGTCTCTGATCTCGAGGTCCCCGTCTGCGTGAGCTCTAGCGACCTCGATGCATCCCGGCGTGGGATCGATGCCGGTGACCGTGGCACCTAGCCTCGCGAGAGGCTGCAATAGAACACTTAAAACATAAAACAATACAATCCACGGATTTTTTTCTTTTATGTTCATCTAAAGCATTAAAGTATTTTGCTTAAAAAACTTCAACATATAGCCACGAGGAGCGACTCAACTTAGAGGCGTCGTGTGCCCCCGCCTATGCCCCAACCGCATGGTCCTCTTGTTTTCGTTTTACATTCCTTTGTTCTTTTCGACAAATATGACGCAACTCTGCAGGTAAATATTGACTGTGTGGTGTCCGACACCACATTGACACCATATGAATGTCTGCGGGTCCTTGGGAGTCCGCGCTCGTCAGTCAATTAAATTTTTTTGTCATAATCAGAAGGAAACATCCACTTTTTGTGTTTTTTTTTTATGTGCATGACAATTGGGGTCTATTTTGCTCTAGCAGTTAGTTGTGTTCCTTTATTGTGTGGATAAAATTGCCAGTCACTTTCGCAAGTTCACGGGGGCCCCAAGATATCGATGTTTGAGAACTCAAATCCTACCGATTGACAAAAAAAAAAAAAAAAGAATTAGTGGGATGTCAGAGTTTGTTTTGTTCTTTTTTAATCAGCTAAGGCTACACATTAATAGAACAGCCTTGACCCTGTAAGTATCACGTCACCGCTTTAAAACAAACCGTTGCTAGGGGCGTTGTTATGGAAGAATACATGGGTGTGATGGGAATGGATAAGGAAGGAACTCAGAATTCCGGAGCGGTGGTTGTAGGAAGAAAGATGTTATTTACAGAGTAAGAAATCAAAAATAAAAGTCAGATAGAGTAGGAAAACAAGTTACGAGAGTCATCAAAATATGTACAAAGTTCAGTCCGCCGACTTCGCTTACGGCTCACACGATGTTATTGCCGAGAAGACGCCTCGTTGTCGTAACATTGGTTCGGGAGCCTGGCAGGCTGGGTCGAACCAGGCGTAGAGTTGCTAGCTGCAGCTTGGCTAACGGCGGCGGTCCACGGTGTGCAGGTTCAAAGTCCCCACGGGCCTGTTGGCGCCCGTCCGGAATCTTCCTAGACTGCCGGGACCGCTGGTGTTGAGCCGGGTGCCGATGCCCAACCGCCTTTTTCGAGCGCCTCGAGCGTGTCTCCCGTTCACTCTCCTCGTGTTGTCCTCCTCTTCTTTTTTCTTATTCTCATTCCCTGATACGGTCTTGCAGTCTTCTTCATCTTTGGTTATTCATGTGTTGACAGCGTTCATCTGCGTTGTCTTCCTCGTCGTTTGTTCAGCCCATATCATCACATTCACCCCCCTTTTAAAGACAATTGTTTAAATAAGATCGAACAACACAATGTAAAGACCAAAATGTTACACACTTTGGAAAAGGAAAAAAAAAACAATTGTTTCACCTAAATAGATGCACTCACAACTATTTGAGTAATCTCATCCTTTACGGAAGCGTATTATAGTCGGCTCAAATAGTCAGCCCCAAAGTTCTGACTGCCCCGAATGTACATGACATGAAAATCGTATTCAGCCAGCAGCAGACTCCATCGCAGCACGCGACTGTTGAGTTGTTTGGCATAGTGAATGTATTGTAAGGGTTGATGGTCGCTTTGAACCGTGAAGTGTTTTCCAAACAGAAATAGGTGAAATTTCTGCACCGCCCATACAAGGGCGAGACACTCTCGCTCGATTGCTGAATATGCAACTTCTCGCGGCAACAACTGCCGGCTAGCATACGCAACGGGGTGCATCATCCGATCGTGCTCTTGCATTAGCACAGCACCCAAGCATCTTCCCGAAGCGTCTGTTCTCAGGATGAAAGCCCTCGAAAGATCCGGAGACTTCAAAATCGGTTTGTCGGAGAGGGATTTCTTTAGCTCCTCAAAAGCTTTGGCGTGTTTGTCTTCCCAGATGACTTTGATGGGTGCTTTTTTCTTTGTCAGTTCCGTCAGAGGGAGCGACGTCTCAGCGTAATGGGGAATAAATTCCCGGTAATATCCCGTTAATCCTAGGAACGATCTGACTTCCGTCTTTGTTTGCGGTCTCTTAGCGCCTTGAATTTTCTCCAAAGTCTCGGTTAACGGCTCAAACGTTCCTTGTCCTACTCGATGTCCGAGAAATGTTATCCGGGAGAAGCCGATCTCTGTCTTCTTTGGCTTGATGGTAAGTCCAGCTTGTTTTACCCTCGTTAAAAATTGTCTCAGGGTTTTCGCGTGTTCCTCCCAGTTGGAAGTTGCGATTAGTACATCATCAAAATAATGATGTGTGTTTGGTACTCCATCCAGGACTTCCCTCATTAAACGAGTGAATACAGCCGGGGCTGTTTTTATGCCGAAGGGCATGAACTTGAAACGATATAACCCTGACATCGTTGAAAACGCAGTCGCGTCCTCCGATCCGTGTGCCATTGGCACTTGCCAGTAACCTTTCGCAAAATCAAATTTGGAAAAGTACTTCTTTGTGCTGACTTGAGCAAACATCATGTCGACTCGGGGTATCGGTTCGGAATCAGGTACGAGCACCTGATTTAGTTGTCGAAAATCGATGCATAATCGGGTCGTCTTGTCCTTCTTCTTTACTACCACCACGGGTGAGTTGTAGGGCGAGTCGCATTTCTCAATTATGCCGAGACTCAGCATGTCACCTATCTCTTTTTCTACTGCTTCCTGTAGCGCAAAGGCGAGTGGGTACTGTCGAACTTGAACTGGCACATCTGTTGTTAGTTTCAGCTGGCATTTTACGAGATTGGTTCGACCCGGAAGATCCGAGAATACTTCTTGGAACGACTCTAGCAATTCTTCCACCTCTGTGACCTGTTCTTCTGAGAGTTCTTCTGATTTCCGCACATCATTGTGGTCTTGCTGACGCCGAAGGCCGACATGGGGGACCTCCTGTTCTTCACCTTCCTCTTCTACTGCGAGGCCAGCCAAGACTTGTTCAGGAGCGCCCAGAACTTCTCTCTCCTCATACTTTTTGAGCATATTGACGTGGAATAATGTCGTCTTTCCTCCAAGGTCTATTACGTAATCCAGTTCATTCCTTCTCTCCACCACTCGGAATGGTCCCTTCCATTGCAGAATCAGTTTATTTTTGTCAGTTGGTAACAAGATCAGCACTGGATCTCCCTCTTGCAGTTCGCGTACACGACTCTTCTTGTCGTAATATCCCTTTTGCGTCTTCTGGGCTTTTCTTAGTTCTTCGTGGGCAACTTTGCACGTGTCTTCCAGCCTCTTCCGAAGATCGACCATGTACCCGTAGGTTGTTTTCGTCTCAGGGTCGATGTTCTCGTTAGTCCACAGTTCTTTTAAAACTGCCATGGGACCCCGAACATATCTCCCGTAAAGCAGATCAAACGGGGAGAACCCCAAACTACTCTGTGGGACTTCCCGATATGCGAAAAGCAACGGGGTCAGGTACCGATCCCAGCATCGTGGCTTTTCTTGGCACATCCTTCGAATCATTTGTTTTAATGTCCCATTCAGCCGCTCGACAAGTCCATTACCCATAGGATGGTAGGGCGTGGTAGTCAACTGTCTCAGCGATAACAGGCGACTGATCTCCTTCATCAAGCCTGACGTAAAGCAGGACCCCCGATCACTTAGGACTTCTTGGGGTAGGCCTACTCGTGAAAACATTTGAAGAAGGCCCTCTGCAACCTCTGTTGTCTCCATGCTCTTCAAGGCGACAGCATCTGGATATCTGGTGGCAAAATCAATCATCGTCAATATATATCTGTTGCCATTTTCTGAACTCGGCTTGATTGGTCCGATGATGTCTATGCCGACTCGTTGGAAGGGTGTCCCTATGATTGGCATGGTTCCAAGGGGCGCCCTGGCCACCAAGTGCCTGGGAACAGTCCTCTGGCAAATGTCACACGATTTTACAAATCGTTTTATTTCTGACGTTACTCGCGGCCAGTAGAATTCTTCTTGTACACGATCAGTGGTTTTCTTTGTTCCCTGATGGCCGGCCATAATTCCTTCATGTGCCAATTTGAGCACGATCATTCGAAAGTCTTTTGGTACTACTAACTGCTCCCATTCCTTACGGGACGGTGTTCGATATCTCCTGTAGAGGATTCCGTCACGTAACACGAATTCCGATTCGTGTGCCTTTTCTGAAACGAACTTTCTCCCGATGGAAGCAAAGCACTTATTTAGCGTTTTGTCGTTCTCCTGAGCCATTCTCAGCTTTCTTTTATCAACTTCTGTTGGCTCCACCGACATGACTGGTAACTCGGAAATGTTTTTCTTGCCTGGCGCCTTTCCTAGCGCCCCTGCGCAATCACTTACTTTCTCCAAGACCTTACAGTCTTTCTCTTCACGTTTCTCGCTCATCGCGAGTTCTTTAGCAGTTTCCCCTCCTACTGCCGTCTGATCAGTTTCGATTTCCGCTTCTCTCGCTTCAGACACTATTTGTCCTCTGTCACAATCCCATTCTTCATCGGGATCATCGATCCTCCTCACTCCTTTAATATTTCCGAGTACCAAGTCATATAACGGGTTATCCATACACTTCGCCACCAAGCTGCCTGTGAAGTATGGTGTTTTTATTTCAATCTCCGCCTCTGCTAAATATTTAATCGTCCTGTCCAGAAGAAAAACTGGACTGGAAAAGCCAGTTAGCTTGTTATCTGGAACCAGGCTTCTTTTTACAACAACTTTGTTGCAGCCGCTGTCTCTGAGGACCGTTACCGTTCGACCTCCCACTTCTCCTCTCACCACTGGCATATCGTCTACTAAGAAACGTGGAGGTTTTCCAACTGCCATATTTACTACTGGGATTTTGTCCCCGTTTTTTAACAAGACATAAGCCTTTTCTGATTCGGTTTCGTCAGCGGTCGTTAACACACAGGAAGCCTGGGAAGCCTTGTCTTTTTCTCGGTCTGACTTCCAGTTACAAGCTTCTGCTTTGTGCCCAGCCTTTCCACACCTCCAACACGCAGAAGGACGCGGAGCCTTGGAACTCGTCCAGCAATCGGCTGCTCTATGACCAGTGTGAAGTGCGCACAAACTGGGGACCTTCCCCGAGAACAACTTTGGTGGA